TTTGTCATGGTTAGGTACTATTCTGTTATAATTATAATTTATTTAATTGCCAAAACACTATAGTATCAAATTAGATCAATTTAATTATCTACTCCATGTACATTGTGTCATCGTATGTAAAAAAAATGTAATGTTCATAAGTGTATTACCTTCAATGATGCACGTGCTACGTCAACTGAAAACTTTCTGCGACAACCTGTTTTTATCTTGGACAGAAAATGGCGTCACCTCTAAACTTACACCTGCGACTAACTGTACAAATACGTCAAGTGAAGTTTAAAAACTGTAGTGAACTCACATGAACCGGTATACGATTTCGTACAGATGTCCCTACGTCTCCAGGCTGAGTCTGTCGAGTCATATTGCCGTTGAAATGACAAATCTGTCGGGAAAGGTTGACGATGTAGAAAAAAAAACAAATAAAAAAAAAATCAGCAAAATTTGCTTTGTATTGTAAACCAACACAGATATATATGTTAAACATGAGTTTGAATACTAATAACACAACATACTCATATGGGGTAACGAAAGAAAATAATAAGGGAAGAGGGTTATTGTTAAAATAAGCATTGGGGATAGGGTGAAACATTAAAAAAATCAAAGTGTCAGAGTTTATCTTCGGAAAGGGATTTCTGTCAGGATTTGTTACTTATGAAAATGAAAACTTCGGTTTCTAGTTTAATGACCAAAAATATCTTTATGCATTCAAACATAGGTTTTGAGGTTACTATTTAATTATAGGTTCAGGGTTTAATATTGAAAAGTCTTTACTTATTAACATACAAACAAATCTATAGGGTTAGAAATTCTTTTGGTGCCAGTTGATGGGTTAATGTGTACTATCAAAACAAACTAAATAAGAATCAAGAAAATACCAACATGTTAACATAATCAAAATCCAAACTCAAATTCAATGAAACTAGGGCAATATATATATATATATATAATAAGATTTACACAGAGACTCCTGAAAAAGTACAAGGAGAGTAAGACCAGTTGTTCCAGAAGAGTAAGTGTCTTTTACTTCTTGGTCATCCCAAGTAAGTAATGTGTATAACAACGGAACCAACGGGCAAACTAATGAGAATCAAACACGTTCAAGCTCCATATTGCACAAAGAAATAAAATATTTCTCAATGAGATCACTATGACGACCACAAAACTTCATCATAATTTTCATTAACCTTCATCTTTAGAAACCTCGTGTTACGAGTTTGTTCGTCAGTTGACGCCTTTTTGCACACACACAAAAAATTGTGACTATGGGAACAGGCCCTTGAATATCGAATCAACGGCGACATATAAACGCAACAGGTTGCGGATGCTGGTATACTTTTTTTTAAAAAAAGATCGAGATAAGCGGCTGATGAAGAAGAGTCTCGTGTCTTTAATTTCCAATTCTGGTAGGTATATACATTTTACGATGGACATGGTAAATAAATATCTTGCTATTTAAAAACAAGACGTCATCAATATATCTGAAAGTGAAATTAAACGACTTTGCAAGGTCTTAGTAGCCTGTTTTGATAAGCTCTTTAATAAATCCAACTTCGTATGAAAACAAAAACAAGTCGGCCAACACAGGGATGGGCGCAGTTACTTCCCATAGGTATGCTAATAGTCTGTTGGAATATCTTATCACCAAACTCGACGAAGATGTTGTCAGCCAAAACTCGATAATTTGTGTATGATCTCGTCCTCTGTATGTTTTCTAATTTGATTATAACGTAGTATTTAAGAAAAACGCTTCATTATAGTTCACAACCGTAAACACGTATTTATACCGCGGTTCACCTTCCTTGGCGAAGAAGTGATGTTTAGAATTACACAAACCATATTAGGTCAGGGTTAAGTTAGGATTTATTGCCAAATAAAACTTTGGTTCAAGGTTAGCTATTCAAAAAATGCTCTTGTTTTAGTATCCAAGACCAGTATATACGATAAACGGACAAATTTCTTTGACAATTATGATTTTGTTTTTCTTTAGGTCAAATTGATTTGTGAATCTAGTTTGTTGACCTTGTTTTCAATTACGAACGTGACGTTACTTTCTTGGACTGACCATGACTTACTATAAGCAGATGTCATCGATGAAGCAGAAGACGATAACAATATCGGAACACCTGGTCTTATTCCCCTGAAACTTTTTTCAATGTCCTTCGTGTATTTATCTTTTATAGTTTATAATTTGTCTAATTTCGTATATTTTTAGTTCAAATGAAGATTTTGTAAATATATATTTTCTTGGTGACGTTTGTGGCTCCGGCACGCTTTAGTTGGAACGCAAGTAATATCGATGTAACATTGTGGCTATGTCACTGTACCACTTTCCTCATCCGTTATGCGAAAAACCGAAGGTTATCTGTCAAACACTGTATACATCAAACCATTGTGTAAAAAAACTACCTTACACTGATGATGCATTGTCTGTCGTACATCAATTAGGGACAACAGCAGTTGTGATTTGTCAAGAGAAATGAAAATGGGCAACGAGCGCATATAAAAATGTCTATAAATACTGTGTACCACTTATGTTGAAATATGGTAAACATAATATTACCATATATCAAATACATAATACCATGTACAGCATATACAAATAATGGAGATTGAAGATATTTAATTTTTTTATAAATTTACCTCGGGGAATATCACTGTCAATGCTTCACTTATCTAACTTGTGAACTACTATAGAAGACTGGCCCCGATGTGTTTACTACCAGCAACTACTTCGTAATACTGTCCGTTTCAGTTTAGAGGGACCTTTCTTCCCGCTGCCTGATTGTGTTGTACATCACTAGATGACTTTAGAAGACGACTACTCTGGTTTTTTCCTGTAATTGTCTGCTATCCATGATGAAGGATATACATTTTAAGAGATCAGAGCCCAACTGCTCACTTGCGACGTTAATGTTCCGTTTATATTTCTTTCTCATCAGATCAAAGGCAAACAAAGAAGATTTAGTAATGTTGTTTTTATTCATAATACATTCTCACTTAGCCTTTCATCCAGCATACTTATCATAGTATACGTTAAAACTTCTCTTGTAAAGGTCAACCCCATATGTTACTGCCAGCGAGTTGTCGCCAGTCCAATGGAATTTCTCATTATCAGACGCCTATCTAACAATGGCCATTATCCAATATTATAATTTTCGTCCATTTTGTAGATATTTCTTTACCTTTTTTATCGTCCTTAATGATAATTATAATTCAACGTATAACGGAAGGAATTTAATGTGTGACGAGAATGTTCCGAGCCACGGATGAGAAACATATGCCATATATAGTAAACACATAAATCTTAAACACTGATGGTGATTTTTATGAGATATATTTCCTATATCAGATATCTCCCCTCCAGTTTCAACAAACGTAAAAGATATACACAAAATATACGAACGAAAACTGAATATAAACAATGCATTACTGTGTATTTCTGTCAAACAATGATTATCACGGCGTAATTTCAAGACGTACCTGTACATAATTTGGTTTCCAGTCCAAATCTGACAAACATTTTCGTTTAAGAAGCAGGAAAACTGTTGTCAATCATATATTCTGCAGTTACATCAACTCCTGTACACTGTATATGTCATACTTCATCATGTGTTTATGTACCAGGTTTGGTGGTCAAAACCAGCTTAATACAACGCTGCTGTATTCTGGGTATACTTTCAATATTTGGACCATACCGACAGTCAGCTTGAAATTTCTGCTATTGAACAATCCCATTTTTGGAATGGATAGGTTAAACCAAGGACTTATCTAAGTCCTTAGTTAATCATTGTGATAATGCTCAATACCATCTTTGACGGTGAGAATAATGGACCAGACCAACTTAGCATAGCTAAGTATAAAAACATATATACCAGGGTATATACAGCATTACTATAATGATAACACTCAGTACTAATGTTTTGTACCATTATATCATTATCAGAATATCTCCTACACTGCCTTTGTTGGTATACCTGTAGGTATATTTGATATAAGACTGTGTACTGGAAACGTGAATATTCAAATTAAACGGAAAATGATATATATCAGGCTGGTACCCTAGAATCGCCTTTTAACTGCTGGCGATATTTCATATAATTTCTCTGTTACCATGGAAACAAAGTCAGAAATACGTTTTTTATGTTTACGAGATTTTCCAATCTACAAATTGATAACCATTTAAAGTTTCTCTACGAAGCGTTCTGTACAGTGTATATATTAGGCTACTGTGCCCCGTTTTTTTCTGTTTCCATGGTAACAAAATTTAATGTTTGCAAGTTTGTTGTTTTCCCCGAGCTACAACTTAAAAACTGTTCAGCTGATCACTCCAACACATTTGAAATCAACAATGAAAGACACAGAATCTACACAGAAATAAACCCTACATTAAGTTTGAGATATATAAAAATATGTATGTCTGGATGTTTATACCAACAGCAGGAGATAATACTATACACACTTAACAGCTTCTTGTTTTCCTTCCCTTTCATGACCTCTGTCTTCAGCTGTAGTTACTACTAGCATTATTGAAGAATTTCGTGTGAGAGTTTTCATTTGTAATTCATTTTCATGTTACTCCTGGTGTTGCTACGAAAAAAAAAACACATTTGTCATCAAGCCTACCTACATTTACTTATCTAAGAATTACTAAAATTACTTAATGGATTATTTTTGTTTTTTGTTTTACAAGACAAACAGCTGGAACAACACATTGAAACTAGTTACTAGGTTGTGACAGTTGTAACCTAATGGACATTTAACTGTGGCAAAACCATCTTTAAAAAAAATCAAGAAATACATGTTACAATAAAACAAAACAAAAATTGTGACATAATATAATTTATATTATCAGTTTTTTTTTATCAAGATAATATTTGGACTTCCTTGTTAACTACTGTCATTAAACAGTATATCAAATTTATTTCAAAGATGTTTGACTGAAAGTGAGACAGAAATAAATTCCTTTATTACATGTGTATAAGAATATATATCGTATCAAAATCAAAAGATATAAATCAAACCCTATTAACCATTCAAAATGAAGTAGAACAAATTAACATTTACAATATTGCCAGAATTATTAACTAGACTCTTTATACTAAATACATCTGATTCATATTTGGCTGATACACCTACATATGTGTAACAGAGGTCATTATTTATTTCAATGTCTCGGCTAGGATGCCAACTTAGAACCTCTGGTGTACTAGTCTGATGCTAAACCAATCGAGCTAAAGAGAAGTTCTCTCTAGCCAAGTGATATATATCGGCTACTATTTACCAGGGTTACATATGTTAGATATGAAATCATCACTGTATAATCTCTCCAGGGTACCATGTAAATTTAAAGTCTACCTTCACAGCAGTTTTACTGTAAGACCATGTTTTATCTTTGAAATTTTATGATAAATGTACAAACTGTCCTTCATTAAGTTAACACCAAAAAGTTTTTATCCTTAAAAAACATAAAAGGAATTCACCTGTCATAGCCTTCAGAACCCAGTACTGAATGTGTCTGACATACCAACCTATTCCAGTACTGAGTAAAGTATAAAAATTTTTAACCGACGCAAATAACATCTTCTTCATGATTCATCATAAGCATGTTTTTTGAGCTGCATATATTTGTACTTTTTAGGGTCTATGCCATAAGCTAACAGTCTCTCATCACTCATGACTGGCTTCTTAATGTTTAATTTGTCTTTTTTCTTTTTTTTCTTTTGTTTTTCAGTAGGATGCTTGTCAGCAGTTTCATTTTTTACACCTGACTTAGCTTTCTTTTTTAAGTTTTTTCTCTTTCTTTTTGACAGTTTTTGTTGTGTTCCTGAGGAATGACTGCCTGCCTCGGTGCTACCAGCTAGGGGCACTGGGGCAATGTTTGAAGCCTCCTCTGTGTTCGCCTGTCTGGATCTCACAGGACTAGCATTGTCTCCACTATCATCACAACCTGTTAACCTTGATGTGTCAGTTTCTGTACTAACATTTCCATGTGATGAAGAATTGGCAGTTTTTTTATTCTTTTTCTTTTTGGAAGGTATAGAACCATTCAGTCTTTCCTCTAACTTCACCTTTTTATTTTCACCCTTTACAGGACTGTCTTCTAACATGTCTTGGTCTGGTTTCATTATTTCTTTTTCCTGCTCCAGTGGGCCATTATCTAACTTCACTTTCTTTTTTGGTCTCTCCTCATTTTCAACCAACTTGAATGGACTTTTTTCCAACTTCACTTTCTTTTTAGGGCTGTGTTCACCTTCTCCAGCTTTTCTTTTTCCACTTCCTAAATGCACATTTTCTGTGGTTGATACTGTTGATGTAGAATCCTTTGCTTTCTTGTTCTTTTTCTTCTGTTTTTTCTTCTTTTTCTTTTCTTCAATAATGTCCTTCAAGTTTTTCTCCTCCTGTTCCCTGTAGTGGATAAAACATGCATTTACAATTCACCAAAAACCTTTTTCATATTAAACCCATATTAGGAGGGACAACATCAAATTATAAATCTCAAGGTGATTGCTTTCATCTTTATTACTGTAAAGTTATAACAGTACAAAAACAGATATTTTAATCAAACTAAAACGAGGCAAAAGTTTAAAAGGCAATTGGGTAGGTAAAACTGCTTTCAAACACAAGATTTAGTAAACAATATCAATACTTATTTTTTATATGTATTTTAATTACCTGTGGTCCTCATTTAAAGATGTCAATAAGTTCATCTTTTTCCTCTGGTTTTTCCCTTTACCACGATAAACCCTCACATCTTCAGCTTCTTCTTCCGCAGTCCTGAAATGACATACAGATTATCTATATCTAAACCAGGCATGCATACTGCCCGTCCATTCAGCTTTTCACCTGCGATGAAGGACTCTTTATATCAAATATAGTTATCCCCTTTATAGGACTGGTCTTACAGCCCCTCAATCCTCTCCTTTACTGAACAACCCCACCCCGCAACAACATGTACCCTCTGTGAGTGACAAGTCACAAACAGTTCATTCCTTTACTCTCTCCTCTAAAGTGAAATGTCCTACACAGATACAACAAGTGTCCTCTGTGCAGGACTGATCACAGACAGTCCCTCCTTTAACCCTCTACTCTCTTCTCTTCACTAATACAGGTATAAATAAAGTTTCATTAACAGACAGACTAAGTTTGTTAAAGATAGAAATTCTTGCATAATGCAATAAAACTGTTTTGTCTTTATATGCAGAGTTAATATTTTTCAAGCAATAAAACAAACTTTCAGTTGAAATGGATGTTATATTCGGATACATTCTGCAGTAAGGTCTAAGAAACTCACATATACTGACTCATCTTCTTCAGAGAAACCCAAGTGTTTAACTCCTTATCTTTGCATTTCAGGATCTGTCAAAAGAAAAACATGTTTTAATCAGAAATCAATTACAAGGTTTTTCTAATTTCATTAATATGAAACAGGTGGGGCAGTAAAAGCTCTGTCATTAGAGTGTTTCTCTACTTTTACTCAGATTTTTGGGGAGCTTAGAAATGAACTGGTATGGAGTGTCTTGGTGTTGTCCTTGGGTAGGACATCCCAAAGGAAAATTTACCGTTATTAATCTGGTTAGCATGTTATAAGCATCGCACATGTGGTTCAGTGAGGTAGTCACCAGCTACTATGAGATTCACCTCCAAATGACCCAGCTGTTCATGGAGTGATAAACACAGCAAATACACTAACAAAGGCATACAGGTAATAATAGCCTACCTATATACATACACTTCCATGTAATAACTCACCTCATCAACACTCAGGCCGTAGTCGTTGGGTGTGACTTGTCTGTACTTGAATCGGCAGGGCATGTCTGCTATGACATCCTCACAGTCCAACTGGTAGTACTCACTGAGATACTGTTCAAATGTCTTCTCCTCTGTCAATCAAAACCATAGCAGGATTAACATGTAGCATCACTGATAATTTGTAAGAGTGGAATTCCATGTTGATTTTTAAATGAATTCTTAAAAGTTGGAATCTTGAAGTGTATTACTATTGATAATTGTCAATTGTCAAATACCAGTAACTTTCAAATTTCAACATTTCTAGATAGGAAAAAATAATACAAAAGAAAAAATTAAAAAAACATTTTAAGTAGAACCTTTTTACATATCAACAGTCTGTCATATTAGGAACATACTGGCTAAAATGTGCACTAATCTGATGAACTTGTGTGTTATTACATATATTTTTCTTAATAATCTAGCAGAATATGAAAATAAAATGTTCACTAGTCTGATATACTCATATTGAATATTTGAAAACTTATTCTATTTTCCACTAAGCCACTCCAAAACATGAATATTTCAGTTTCATTTGCTTTCCTAATGTTTTAGTCTCAGTACCAGGATGACATAATCATATTCTATACAAAAAGCCAATTACTAGAGTGTACCAGCTAATAATGGAACTTAAAGAAACAAACCATAATATAACACATCATCAACAAACAGGCATTTCATGAAATTTTTAATAAATGTTTTCTGTTGCCAAGCATAACTTAACCTGAACAAAACTGGCTATTGTATATACAATCAAATTGATACAGATTTAGTCTGGATTTAGGTTATGATAATTTATAGAATGAAAAATCTATAACAAGAAAAACACTAAACAGCACCACTCAGAACAACATTACATGTTATCATGTATCTCCAGTACTTACCGGGATCAAACACAGGTTTGGTTTTATTTAAGGCTTGGGCTAACTTTGACTTCTTCTTCTTTTTCTTACTGATAGCTTGAGAGGGGTCATAATCAGCATCCATCTAGAATTGACAACAAGTAAGCTTTAGATTAATCAATATCTTACTTTTATTGACCATAAACATGTTATTACATATCTGAGGAGAGAGATACACTGCAATCTATTTTATAAAAGTGAAGTGGAGTCAGAGCCTGTCACATTGAGAATGTTTCCTGGTGAAATTTAACATTTTGCATTAGAATATAACTAATGTTTTGAAACACATAATACAAAATTTTCATCTTTGTCAATATTGGTGCTAATAATTTGTGATATTGTTCCACTGAATACAGTAGGTAGTACCTCTAACATTGTGTTCAACTCTATGAAGCTATTATTTCTTAAATATAAATATACATGTGATACGAGAAAATGTTTATCTGAAATGTTTAATCCATCAAACTCAAGCCTCTCCTCCTCACATTGTCTAACATTATAAAACAACTCACATTGAAGTCCTCGTCATCAACATGGGGTTCAGTATATTCCTCCTCATTTCCCTCTTCATAGTCATCCTCTGTTCCACCCGTCCAAGTATCCCAAGTTTCTGTTAAAATCAAATGACTTTAATAGAAAATTCAAACAATTTACATTCAAATTAAATGTTCTTCAAAGTTGTTTATCAGGGGATACCTACATTGAATTGAGTAAATTAATTTTGCCAGTTATTCAATTTACTTAAGTTCAATTGTAGTCATCCTCCAATAACCTAAGCAAGATAGAAAGCCAGTCTTTATAATTTTTCTGCAGGAAAACACAGTTTTGTTTTTATTCCTTCCAAAGTGTACGGACACAAAACAAAAGCATTTAATTTGTCAACTTAGAAACTTCCATCATAGAACTGCCAACTGTTTCAGTCTTTCTGATACCACAGCAATCAAAACGGAAAACCAGTTTTAAATATTTCTCATAAAGTCATAAATCCTTTGCTAAATACAAAATTCCAAAGTTTATTCTAAAGAGAATCTGTCAAAGACAACCTTAAATGGTAAGGTGTTTTAAAATACTTGAAACACAATGCAATGTATGTTACAATGACATTACTCATGTCAGAGAGACTATCACTATCTATGTATAGTGATGATAAACATTACAAAGGTTATACAGCCAAAAGTTCACTGTGAATAGTTACATTTGATTTGATTTTGTAGGATTTATGTTGATAATTACTTATAGCTATTCATTTACTTACCTATTTGTAAGTGATTCTATAAAGATAACTACCTAGACATAAGTGTATAAGTGTGTTTATATGTTGTGTGTACATATGTGGGTCTGTATATGTGTTGTGTGCACATACATAAGTGTACATGTATGTGGTGTGTGTACATATGTAAATGTGTATATGTGTTGTGTGTTTATATTAGTGTATGTATGTGTTGTGTGCACATATATAAGTCTACATGTATGTGGTGTGTGTACATATGTAAATGTGTATATGTGTTGTGTGTTTATATTAATGTATGTATGTGTTGTGTGTACATATGTCAATGTGTATACATGTATGTGTTGTGTGTACATATGTAAGTGTGTATACATGTATGTGTTGTGTGTACATATGTAAGTGTGTATATGTGTTGTGTGTTTATATTAGTGTATGTATGTGTTGTGTGTACATATGTCAGTGTGTATACATATATGTGGTGTGTGTACATATGTAAATGTGTATATGTGTTGTGTGTTTATATTAGTGTATGTATGTGTTGTGTGTACATATGTCAATGTGTATACATGTATGTGGTGTGTGTACATATGTAAGTGTGTATATGTGTTGTGTGTTTATATAAGTGTATGTATGTGTTGTGTGTACATATGTAAATGTGTATACATGTATGTGTTGTGTGTAAGTCTTTATGTTGCGTAAAAATCTTAATAACTTTACTTTGCAGAAATCTATATATGTATTGTGTATGAAAATCAATGTTGTGTGAAAGATCTATTTTACAAATCATCTATTTGTTTTGTATGTAAGCTACCTGTCTCCAAGTCCTCATCACTGAATCCAACTTCTGGTTTTGTGTCTTCTGTTGCTCCCTCATCATAATAGTCTTCATCAAAGAATTTCTGCAGAACATTTAAGTATGCAGTCAATAATAATATAGATACAAAAATAATAATTCCAGACATATTTACATTTTGTAGTGTTACAGAACATCTGCTTTACTGTAACTTGTAATAAGGATGTATTAAAATGTATATACAGTGTAAAAATGTACATTAATTAAGGTATTCACACATCAGATTTGGCCATATTAAATGTCTGATTTTAAACCTGAGCTAAACCAGAATGTTACATTTATGAAGAACCACTACTTGCATATTAAATGACATCAAACCTGTCAATCAAGTAGTCATGGATTGTGTGTTGTATGATGAGAGGCCTCTATCTTGTGATTATTATCATCATTTATAACATCCTGCTGCATAGTGACTTTTCATTCAAATCCAATAATTTTTTATTTAACGCATTTAAACAAAAATATTCATCATTTAAGAAATACAATACTAATAATTACATCTGACTGATCATTCTTTTTCCTGTTATATATATATACTATACATACTATTTTAATTTATTTTTTCCTTGATCTGTAGTCGGGCAACTTTAAATTTAATTTCAGTCAGGTTGGCTTCATAATGTCACAAAAGAATACTTTACATTATGAAAAACATATTTGTATGTATTTTTGACAGTACATTCCTCGTTCTATTTCTAGTTACATCATCCTTGACCTAATATCTTTTCAAGCCTTATGAACATCACCATATGAAAATTCAGAAAGTTTGGCCTTCTGTACTCCGAAATAACCACCACACAGGAAAGTACTGATCAACAGACTGATGGCAAAATGAACAGAGTGGTTACTAAAGGGCATCCCTTTTTTTGATGTGGGGCCCATATTAAGTCATCAGTACATTAGCTGTACCTCGCAAACTTAAATACTCAATGAAAATAAAAAAAATAAGTTTTAGCAATAATCTTTGTTAGTGAGCAGCATTCTGAAAAAATGCTTTTTCTAGTTAAATATAAAGAATGTAAAGTTAAACTAAAAAGCTAAATGTGAAACACACAAATGAAAAAGTTCTAACTCAATGTCCATCTATAGCCTTGGAAATATTCATATTCCGGCTTCTGCTATCTGGTATTTTTAGATGTTACAAGTCATAACTTCCAAAACCCAATGTCAACATACCTTCATCATTTCATCATGTTTTTTAGGATCAAAGTCCTCATTAAGGTCATCGTCATTGAAGCCCAGGGAAGGATTGCCAGTGATCATCTTCAGCTTTTCAATCTTCTCTTGAATCTCTTTTTTCTTCAAATTTTTCAGTTGTTTTATTTCTTCTTTTCTGGTTTCCTTTTCCTGATGAGAAGTCAATCAGAAATCTATTATCTGTTGGGTATTCTTCATCAAGGAATAAATATACAATGCAATACAAAGTGTTGTTATGATACAAGCATTATTGGATCCCTTCCAGTAAAAATACAGTTCTACCTACAACTTCTAAATAAATTACTTCTAGCTGTTGATATATTAACATGCCATCATATTAACCAAGTTATAAACTTAAAATAATACAATGCTAGTAGATACATGTAAAATTCTGAAGAAGATATCCAATTCTCATTGAACAAATGGAAAGAAATTGACAAACAAAATAGTCTTTATAAATGATATCACTGAAAAAAAAAAACTTAGATTTATGTCCCATGCTTAAAAGAACAATGATATATTAAGCTTAAAGTTGGTTTTTTTGTTTCACTGTACAATTTTATAATCTTAAGCTTCATTAAGTCTAAGCTACATAAATAAATACAAAAGAACCAAACCAAAGCCATACCAAATTCTTACGCTCCCTTATCTGCTGGCGTTTTTCTGCTCTGGAGGTGTCCTTACGTCTGACCGTGTCTTTGATAGTCCTAGGATAACTTTTTATCTGTGGAAAACATTAAAAGCACGGTAATCAAAGCATCACCAAAATTGTAAATACTTTTCAACAGGTGACATGAAAATGGATCACGATTGAAGGTTATTTCTAGAACAATAGCTTTGAGTGTTCCAAAAAATGAAGTTAATTACGAAGATCAGACTCCGATATTGACACGTTGAGTTCCACGCTTTACTATATTTAGCTAGACACAAAGTGCAGAACTATAACAGATGCAGTTGAAGTCTTAACCACAACATCATGGTCAATCATGTAAATAAATTCATGTTGATGAGTCATCAACCTCTGTCATACTAAACATATATGTGAATGTGCATATTTACTTGAATGTATAGTGATGTTTCCCATTTGGTGTTGTATACATTGGAATGTAATTGGGATGGAACCTATAACCTACTGATCTATTCATAAAGTTGAACCCCAGTTCATTAATTACTTCACCTTACAACCCTTCAATCAGAATATGTGACAGAAATGTTTAATTATCAAACATTGCTATTAAAGAATTCTGGTTGTTTTGGGTCAGTATTCCAAACACCTTGATCCATGCCATTTAAACTCTGAAGTAAAAAAGGAACACTTTGAGTAACCATATTATAATGCACTTGGCAGGTGCAAAGGAGCAATAAGGACATCTTTCATGTCTCAAAAAGATAACTTATACCACCATCTGTGAAGTCTGACCTTAAACAATCTCGGTAATTAGCCAGACATGTTTCACAGTATGACAGTAGGATATGCAGTCATATTAGTTTTTAACATTCCATGGAAAGCAAATGTGCATCTACTGAGTGATTCCTTACTTTAAATGGAATAACTCTAGTGTATCTAGGCTTTGTAAGTTTCCAGTATGTAATTTAACTTTTTAGCTCCCTGTACTTACAAATTCAGCATCTGGTTCCTCATATCTAAAGTTGTATTTCCTCTCAAACTCTTCTTGCTTTTCAAGCATTTCTTCTTCTTCAGAATATTCATTATCTTCATCAACAACTTCACTATATGTTGGAATTCTACAGAAAAAAATCCACATGATGTGCTTAAAAGCTCAGGGGAGATAACTTGAACAGTCTAGGCCAACTATCAGCCAAAACTCTAATGATACAGGGGAGATAACTTTATCATCCTGGGAGTATATTATCAACGCAGATATTTAATTTTTATAAAATCATCAATTCATTGTTAAGACTGATTACTAACAGTTTTTCTAGTTCAGTTAATTCTCTCTGCTGAAAAATGTTTATGTTTGCACTTCAACAAACAGTGTTAAAGTCACCATCATACAACAGCCTTTTTCTGGAGGAATTATTTGCAATATAACAGTGTTTCCACCCTCACAACCCCCTCAGATCAGTAATGTACCTGTCAAACTCCTTGTCTATATGTCCTTTGTTTAAGATGTAGTCTCTCAAAAACTTTTCGCCAGAGTCAAGACTTGGGTTTGTCCAATAATCTTTCAATGGTTCCTGCAATGTGAGAAATCAACTTTTATATCATTATCAGGAGGACTTACAAAAGACTTTATAAGTCATTACATGTATCACATATTCAGGTAAATGTATTCTACTCGGTTTACCTGTATTTGAAATACACACTTCCCATGTTTTCCAATGAAATTATGTTTTAAACCCACCTCTGACACTCATACATACCAGTTCCACTCCAGTTTTCTTGTCTTCTGGTAGCTCTGACTTCTGTCCTTTCAACCAGTTTAAATAGTCTTCTTCTTCTTCAGCCTAAATATAAAATTATGTTTGATGTACATGTCCTATGTCCTGTTTTTTTTTCTATAAAAATCAAACTTTGCTTTACCAATTACTATTGAAGTCATTATCATGTGGAGATGGAATATATATCTGCAATTTAGTGATCATGATAAACAATAATTTCAATTTACTAGAAAAGATAAGATATTTTACATAATAAAAATGTTACTTGTATGGTAAAAGTTAAAAGAGAAAATCATGGATACCTGCTGTAGTTTATTTTTCTTTCTTTCAGTGAGGAATTCATCATCACTGGACTCATCTGAATCACCAAAACCAGCTGCTTTGAAGCTGAAAAAGGATACAATCCAAACATAACATACCTCAGTCGCTCTTATACCAAACTGGGCAACTTCATTGCAAAAACATGAAGCATATAAGTTTTATTTCAGTTCTAGTGTAAGGACAGCCACTGAATCAAACAGAGGTTACATCAACAAAACCCTTGATTGTTCACGCCTTCATCCATAATTCACAACCTGAAAATCTTCATAATTCTAACTTATACATAGAGAGATAAAGAAATGTGGAGACAAGCATTTTACCTTTCTCTGATTTCTTCCTGTTCTTTATAATAACCTGGTTTGCTGTCTGGTTCCTCATCCTTGTATTCATCATCACTGTCACTGCTCACTTGTCTGAAAGACATTCAAAGTCCTCGACAACTCACAATGCAATCATTTTAACACTACAAACCATATACATGTATACCTGGGTATATAATATAGCTCTTGCAGCACAATAATTGTTTATTTGGAAACACTGAGTAACATTCATTAATAGCAAAGCTGAAAGCATACCATATTACTACATCTTAACAAACTTACTACAATCTTGTTACACAATTAACAAAAGTTCTAAATCTACACATTTGATGTAACACAAATAAACTTAATGAGAACAAACTAAAAGGGAGCTCACAAAGGCTATAACCCTTAAAGAAAAGAATACAAAACATCTGTGTAATTCAAAAGGTCTGTCGTAACATACTTACCCATCTTTTTCTGTTATAAGTTTTCTTTCATAATCCTTTAGAAAAACTGGTTTTTGTTTCTTTCCTTTTGCTTTAGGTTTTGAATCCTCTAAAAAATGTAAAGGTAACATTGTCAGTAAGATATCCACAAGTGTAGAAAATTTACGTCAAAAGCTAAAGGCTTGCAACAAAAAGATGTATCGGATTTACAGAAAGTTTACACCTTTAAATATCTTCAATCCACAGCCTCGATATCCCCTTAGACACAAATGACTTATGGCCCGTTGTTGTTACCATATCATGACGAACACAGGGTGTAATATAATGGTACAAGACCCCTACTATCCTCTCCTTACATCAAGTTAAAATAAAAAGTTCTCTCGCCAAGAGGTTATTTCTGTGTCACAACAATTAAGGTCCCTACAGCCCAACCATAGTACTAAACTATGCATTAATTTATCTTATCATGACATCATATCCCTCTAGTCCTCTCAAGGGTAGTGAATCATTTCTGTCTTTTCTTGACAGTAAACCCTTAATGTCCTCTCATCATCACAGCACAATGGTAAGACCCTTCCCATCTTCTCATTACACCAGAGCCTTACCATCTTCTTCATCCTCCTCTTCCCCGCTGTGGTAGAACTTAACCTTGTTGTTGTAGATTTTGGGATCTTTACTTTTCAAGGCAGATAAGGTTTTAAGCCAGTCTTTCTCAACTTGTGCAGTCAATGCCTGTAATGGTACCAAACTTATATCATCTATTTTCTCATAAAAAGGAAAAATACCTTGAAGAATTAAGAACTTCACAAATGGTAAAAGTATTCTCATGAAAATAAATATACAATTATATTCTGTTTATTTTGAAAACAATTATATTTAAACAGTTTTGATTAAAGAATTTCTTAATTCTTATTAGCCTTTAAAAGATTTTAGACAGTCTCTTTTGTTATACTGCTGGATTGAATTGCAATGACCAAACTCCAAGAGTACTGGATTTAAATCGTATACAGATATATGTTTGTTTTCAGGTTATGAATTAATTGTTAGAATCGAGTGATGTCAGATTATTACAATTTACATGCAAGTATACAAAATGTAAACATAAAAATATAAACTTTTGAGTATCTTGGTGCTGGCAATCTTTAAATTCACTTAGAAAATACCTCTGCAGTTTCATCTTCTGATTCTGATGAGCTTGACGATTCATCTGAATGATTGACGTCCACATCACCATATTTGTCTTTGACTGAAAATGTATTGGGAAACATGTTAATACAATATATATATCACTCACTCTTTGAGTTACAAGTTGAAGAGATAAACAACTGTCATACCACCCTATGTATAGGCACTGATAAAAATTTGCATCTCTAGAACCAGATTCAATGGCCAAGGTAGATAACTGGGACTGCCTTACCCACTTTGATGTCTGCAGGGCCATTAATGCCTGGACAGACAAGCAGACATGTCAATTTCTAGCAGTAAAGCTTAATGTCATCAATAAGGGTGTACCCAAATCTCTCCCCCTATGAACAGTTACATATACACTGTACATACAGATTATGACTCATGACTACAGCTCTAAAAGATAGTTCACTGGGCCCAATTATGAGGTTGGGTTGGGAAGAAAGGGGAAATGCTGTCGGAGTTTGCGGAGTGCACATTGCTTATGAAATTCCTCCTGAGAGTTATTTCTAGCAGTTTAGGTGATGATACTTTTAAATGTGAAACTCATGTTTTCAGAACAGGGAAGAGTCTTAGGTTAGCTTGTTGTGTGATTGCTGAACACGGATACATGCAGTTACTGTACATTATATACACAGGCAATATTGGTTTTTCTTGTGGTGGCAAATAGTTTACTCTAGTATTAGGATTTCAGTAATACTGACCATCACGGAGACACGCTGGTGCATATGCTTACGTACTTGGTACATTTTTTCATGTTAACACACTGGTTGACATTACTTCTGTTTCGATCATCCCTATCACCAGTTATTTTCATCTTATTTATGCTCCACTGAACCGAATCTGCCAGCGAAAGCGACAGTCGAACTCAGGGCAAAAAGTAAGCAAAACAACAATAAAATCGCGGACAGATTGATAGGTCTATTGATTATGACCCACGTGTCGTCACGCGGATGCACGGGTGTAATTTTAATTGTCTATGACTTTCAGAAACTGCTGTGTTGCGCTACAATTGTCTATCATGATCTGAAAATATCAGGCCTGTCCTTCTCTGCTTATATACGCGACCATGAGAGCTCTACATAGTCTTACAATCTTCTGATTTTTTTAAGAACTCCTATATTAAACAGTTCAGTACAGTATGTACTGTATTGATGATAACACTCTTACCCGACCACGTTTCATCACATATATCGCACAAGTTATGCAATAAACCACATTTTTGAAAGGTGTGACAATACTTACGTCTCTGTAATTCTTCTTTTGCTCTCCATGTGTTGTATTTTTCTGCGTATGCCTTATTGATCTTGAACTCGGAAGCCATGCTTGTTCCAAATATTCTCTGTTATTTTTAAGCTTGAGTGGTGGGCACTAGGGTTTAAACGCGTAACTGATTCAGATATCAAATTGTATTGGCGAGTTCGAATGAGAACACGCTAACGTTGAGAAACACCTATTTCTGTATTAAGACAGGACGCTGTCTTGCTTCGAATTTAATACTTAGACACATACATTTATTCTCAGAATTAAACATTTTCGATGAATTCTGGTATTCAACATTGTTCACCTAAATTGTCCTGGCTATCTTTATGATTTCCAGTTGGTAATTACTCTTCACGTTAATTCATTTAGCTTGAAATTATTGGAAAATAAAGAAAGAAAGAAAGAAAGAAGGAAACAATTTGAAATTGAATTGTTTGTTTGGGGTGTACAGTTTAACTTCGTTGACTGGAATACCACGTTTATTTCCAATTATTTTCTGGTCCAACTGGAATAATGTGTACTCAAAAACTCGGTTATCCTGAAGTTAGATATTGGTGCTTACAGATTGACAGTACAAATCAATATTGAAATTAAAGGGTTGTATGTTCTTCTTTGACAACGCTGCACGATAATTGAATAAATTACTTTATTTGGTAAAATAGCAAGTATTACCCTTCCTTCAAATTGACAGGTGTCGGTAACTAACTGGATTTCTAGTTTGCTTAAATCCAACACAGTACCTATCTCTTAGCAACTCCTGAGGCCGGATGTCTTTCTTTAGGTAAGCTAATGTTTTCATTCACTTATTGTATGGACTCGATCTGAACATCATCCGATGATAAGTTGAACATCGACTCTTCCGATTCCTCCACTGCCAGCAAAGGTTCATCAGCATTATCTTCATCGTATACGACGCTGATTCATTAAGAATTAAATATACATAATTTCTAGTTACTACCAAGAGCCTGATTTAGAATGAGTCAATCCGTAACTTTCTCCGTCAAAGTTGCTATGTATTTTCGAGGACCAGTTCGTAATGTAAACAAATTATTTTTTCTTCGTTTATAAAAAGTATTACTAGACGACGAGCATATAAATGTATTGCTTAAAAGCTGACATTATCGGCGTGTCTCCCTGACAATTCAAATATACATTAGTCTGCTTAAACAATTCGACAGTGTAAGTGTAGATTTTCAAGTGTGAACTTTTATCCATTACATCGGTCTTTTTAGCATAACTTTGATGTTTGAGCAGTTCCAATTATTCGAATAGAGTTACATTCAGTTAAAGCCCTTTTTCTACATAAACGCACAAACTTCATATGAAATAGATTAATAAAAGTTCAATTCATTTTGATCAAATCCACAATTCATTTCATTCTTTGATATATTTGATAAATAAATAAACAAATGAAATTTAAAAAAAAAAAAAAATAAAAAATAAACAAAACATGCATTTCCATAGAATCCGCTCTTAATATTGTTTTATTTTTTATGCTTTACGATAAGTGAACAACGACATTCAAAATTTAGTTTACTTACATTCTTGTTTTTGTGTTTTGTATGCAATTTAAAGGATAAAAATAATGTTTTCACATATGGTGGACACCACACCTTGAATATGAGCGTCAAACAAACGCCATTCCAACATTGATTCATGAATTCTTCCGTGACAATGCTACAAATACTTTCCATATAAAAAGGCAATACATTAGTGAAATTAGATAAATTGTAAAGCTAGACGTAATCAGAATATTTTCTTGTGAAAATAAATATATTTACAGTATCTATACGTATAAAAATATACATTTCTCTTGATAGAAAGAAATGCAATTTTTAATTCTAAACTATTTATACGCCTTCGACGCTTATTCCAGAAATTTAATAGAACAAACAGCCAGTTAATAAACAGTTCTGATGAGAACACCACTGGACGCATATATGAAGTTCATGTAACCTGTTTGATAGTCTAACACCCATGGACACCTCATTTCTAATATATCATTTTCAGTAATAAATCTTAGCGTACCTGTTTACAACGCAAATCTTGGATTTTTTTCCAACAGTAATCGAAGTGACGGGCAAGATAGGGAACTCACCATTCACAAACAATGGCAGTTAAAAAGGAATTAAATACGCACTTTTTATCCATAAGGTCACATATCATATATAAAGTTCATTAAGTACTCCTTGTGGTTTCTTCTCATAATCATTAAGCCGCGTAGGTCTCAAAAAAGACTTCAAAGAGCATGGTTTTGATCAGAATGACGCTTAAAATGGTGTGAAAACTTTTGTTTCAAGCCAACATCAGGTAGTTATGCTACCTAACAACTAAGTTGAAATTTCATTCACTGAAGTGGTCAGTGACAGATTAATCAACTTTTACCTGGTTGTTCGACATTACAAGACAGTAGATATACTTGTTACCAACAATCAGAGAATTTTCATGCGTAATGGAATCTGCTTTATAAACTGCCGTTGGAGTATACCGAAGAAGCGTAAATGTGGACATTGTCCTGTGGAAACTTTACTATTTTACCAATTTATCCTTTGGATAATTTCCCTCAATATATACATACACAATATATACATATACATATATATACAATATATATACACAATATATACATATACATGTATATATATATATAGAGTATATACATATACATGTATATATACAAGTGTATATAAATATATATATATACAATATATACATATACAATATATATACACAATATATATATATATATACATGTATATACAAAGGTGGAGCGAATTGGGAGAGGCAAAATACTGAAATTTATTTATTATTGTACTTACGTATCTAACACTGATACTGAAATTCAACACAAAATTCCATTGTGATATTCGTTGTTTTTATTGTGCAAAGCAACTGTCAATAAATAACATAACATTCCATCGACTGATTTAATCATGCACGTCCGATTCAGACAAAACTTTCACTCAACCTATTCAATCGCTTCCCGATCAATTCAAATCAAACATACATTCACATCCGATTCATAAGAAAAAAACTTGGTTCAGAAACATTAGATATAATTTAAAACACATAAAATACTATCAATAATTTAATAACAACGTAATTTACAATGTTCTTTACAGTCTTGTAGATTAAACGACCTATCTAGTAGTACATGTATAGTAATATTGATACAATATATTAACATACACATACAACAATCATATACTAACTCGGTATGTAACGATTCCAATTTTATACCACATTATATAACTTGTTCTACAATCTTTTTATTTAACATCAACATTTGAATTTTCAGTTAAATCTTTCGTGATGTAAGTAACGAATTCAAAAGATAAATAGCTTAACATCGAATGATTTACTCTAATGAAATCATGCTTGGCAACAAGACCGCGCGTTACTTCGAATGTACCACTCGACACTAAATCTGTCGTTTTTAGATGTCGTTTTAAGGATACAGACTTGTTATATTCTACTCTACCTAAATTGAATACATTTTTAGAAAAATAAATTTTGGTGTCATATTATTGTGCTTTCAATCATGACATCAAGACTATGCGAAAACTTTGAAAGTTGCTCCCTTTCTCAGGACATCTTTCCATCTTGAATGAATGGAATGGGATGCATCGCTCGGATTGGTCAATATTATATGTCAATAATATTAAAAGTATATCTTCATATCAGCGGATATAACACTTTTTAATACATCATAGAAGATCTTGACTATTTCATTGTCTTTCACTGGTAAACATATAATTAACAGTCATGTTTAGGTGTAAGGCTATACATTATTGTGAAGAAACGTTAACATCAAAAATAACTTATTGACGTACGGTTTCAAATAGTTACGTAAACATAAATGTTTAGCTGTATTTCTGTCCAATGTCCTAGGTAACCAACATTCACATTCAGTTATATTTCTGTCCAATGTCCTTGGTTACCAACATTCACACTCTGTTGTATATTTATTACAGTCTAAAATGATATCGAGAGAAGGTTTCATCTATTTCATTCCTTTTTAACGATGGCACTGAAACCTGTGTTGAGATATACGATATAGCTAAACAGACGTATTGCTGATAAACGTCAGCCCTACTTAAACCTCGTGTTAACAGGTGCTTGTTTATAACACCATAGTTCCGTATAATATTTGGTCGTCCAGTCACACTAGCGTTAAGACAATGGCTATTTGGCTGCACAAATATTAGTTACATTATACAAATACAATCAGCCTGGTCATTCCGTGAGTAACATCTCTATGTATGGCTACTTAGCTTGTTAACCATCTAAGTATCACACATAAAATGGTATTTTTTAAAGTTATTGACCAATACAACAATTATTAGCACTTTGGATCAACTATATTAAAACTCTTCCGTTTATTTGCGGTACAGAGATCGTGCTCCATACAAAAAATATCCAGCGTTAACAACATTGGTGGACACAGCTATGAGGAACATCAGACTCCCGCCAACCTTTGGCTACTGGTCAGTGAGGATGTAAATCGTATTTCTCGGCTAGATGTTCATAGGATTCTATTCACAAATAATAGACAAGTTTTTTTTCAACTGATGATAATGATGATGACGAAAATAAGCGTGACGGCAAAGGTGATAAGGATATGGGAGCCCATGATGGCCTTCTTCATTCGACTGTACTGTAAAACAAAAACGAGGACTCATTAGAAATAGCCTTATTGTTTAATTCAGCTTGCATGCTTTTTCATCGCTGATAACGATTGATTAATATTACGTATTCCACTAACAAATATATGAATTATCTAATAATTTGTCACGTGACCGTGTCCAATTAGTTAAAGAATAGTATTTTAATATTAACAAGCCATTATCATGTCATTATTCATGACTGCTTGTGAGACCAGTGAATTTGAAACAAAGTCGAACTTATTGCAATGCTGATAGAAAATACTCTTATAGTTTTAAACGAAAAAAACCCCTGATAATGGTTATTGTACAATTTCATCTTTTAGATTTGAAAGTTAAAACATTAGTAGTGAATTAATACATACATGTGTAGGATTATCGACATGTAAACACCATTCATTGCGGTAAATCCTATCTCCATTTAACAAACATTCCCTAATTTGGAACTTGTCTATCAGAATTATAAGTTAATATCATTGTTAAGCACTTACCGGCGGCTCCAGATCAATGGCTACGTTCGTTGCTCTGTTGTTGTTATACGGCTTTCTATGCATTTCATAAAGATATGTCTGATTTCTCTTGTGTTCTGAAAATATCAATTTGAATCCAAACAAATTCAGTGCTATGAAGTGACTTAGCATTGTTCAGATAGAGCTAGTAATTGTGAAATTGAAACTATTTCTTATTCACGATATGCGTGTAAGAATATTCAAGTACTAAATACAATCAAGTTGATAAAGATATTAACAGTTTGACTCTGCAAATATGGGATCTAGCTTTGTACATAATGTATGTTCATGGTTAGTTAGTACTATATGTGATATATTCTATTGTGTTAATAGTTATTTTATATTAAATGTAACCGATGTTATATTATAGACAACAGACTGGATGTATTTAGTATAGTTACTAGCTGTATATAGTATAGTTACTACCTGTAATTACTATAGTTACTACCTGTAATTAGTATAGTCACTACCTTTAATTAGTATAGTTACTACCTGTTATTAGTATAGTTACTACCTGTATATAGTTAGTTACTACCCGTAATTAGTATAGTTACTACCTTTAATCAGTATAGGTATTACCTGACTTGTTAGCGATGCACTGATGGAGTTCCAACAGCAGGTAGATTATCACTAAATAGGCTACATAGCCCAGCAACGCATACTTCATGTAGGGCGGGGCGCCGGACTTGCTCAACTCCACTCCCGCAAATATGTTTATTACTGAAAGGAGAGAAAAAAACACATGCTTATGTTTCTTTTAGAAGTTTCTAAATTTCACCAAATTTTACTGCAATGACTTTCGGTTACTTCAAGTGTAGTGACATAATTAATCAGCTGGTAGCATTTTTGTCAATCCATACCGGCTAACAGATATAGATAAGATATAGCTGTCGTACTTGCGAGTATGTGTACAGAGGATCCCAGTCCCCAATGGATCCAGTTAAATATCTTCCTCTTGACGGTCCCGGGTAGTGGTCTGCATACCGCTACTATTGGCTATTGTAAGTAAAAAGGTGATAATTAACTGTCTAGTTTATCTGAACACTGATGTGGTTAACCACTAAACCATTTATTCAAATTTCTTAATTAAAGTATGTGTAAGTTACATGGATTTTAAAGAACGATTCCATATCCTAATGTCACCTGAAGCATAGACACCCGAAGCATTTGTCTACGAACAAATTGCATTTCAAATTGATAGGTAAGATTTATATGTTAAGTTAAATGAAACTGAAACTTTCATAGACAGCCTAAAGAGTGACAAAATTATATGATATTGAAATTAACTTCAAGCCTTGGTATCTACGAGATATCATTCTATGTGACCAGCATTTTCCCGACCAGTATCAGTAAGGTTTTCAGGACGATAAGACGTTATAAATATTTAAGGTTTATGCTACATGCAACAATAACTTTGTATGAATATTAATTTTTGTATCTTTTTAATATTATCAATAGAATATTATAAATTTGTTAAATTTCTTTCGCGACATATCTTTCTTTACTTACATTTGCTATGGTGAACAGCGTTACAAGGATTCCGAGGACAGGATGTGCTTTGTGGAATGTCTTCCCATCGATCTGTAATGTTTTGTTATCAATCTTTATCATATAGTTACTCTGATGTAGGTAAAAATCACATGACATTTGTTAAATTTGATAGCATCTTGTTTTAGACATATTTTCCTTATACCAGTTTTTTTTCAATAAGTTGATTAAATGCTCTGTTACATTTTATGTTAATTTTTCAACTGCAATAAATGATTTCACAACATTCCTCCAGTACCTTGCTGAACCCCTTGATATCCGCGAAGATCAGTACGACGGCCACCAGCACACACAAAAACACAAGGACCATACAGAAACGGTGAACCTAGAAACAGCAATAAATGTGATAAAGTCAGGGTTATACATATATCATTAAGTGTTACAACTAGGTTTTATTTATAATCCAGCTGTGTTCGTGCACAGCATGTAATGGGAGTTATCTCCCTTCCTAACCTTGTAATAGTTTATGGACTACTGTGCATATAATTACTAATTGAGTTAACTTTACTGCGATGCATTAACCACTATTGAACACGATAACTCAATGTCATTATGCTTATCTAACCATGGGAAATATACGTCTCTTACCATAAATGGTCACTCGTATCCATTTAAATAAAAAAATTAAAAGAAAAACGGACGAATGAAATATCACGTTGAAACAGTTGTTTTACATTTCAATGACCCGCACAATGTTAATATATTATATACACTGACATCTGTTGGAAGCAATCACCTCTATAGGTTTAACCGCTGTTGTTAAATACGTTTGATAATGTAGATTCTAATAATACCATTGAAATGATGATGTCGTTGCTAAATTATATATTACGACGACACCAGTCGGCACTAACCTGATACCAGATACGTTCTCTACAGATGGTTTTGTCCGGCCATATCTTCTTGTAGAACCGGACAGTGATGATTCCTATACTGGCGCAGAAAATCCAGGCGAAAATCATCAAACAACCTATCAAAATTAATGGATAATGTCAAATTACTATTTGTCATGAAAATAGTGTACCGTGATTACAATGTATTCCTTAATGATCTGTTAATACAATGTATTGTGATTATTTTTTAATACAATGAAATATAAATAAATTAAATGCAATGTTATGGGGAAATTTTTGAATGAATGGTGGATACTGTATAAATTAAATATAAAACACTTTTCCTTCGTAAATAATAATAGACTAACAGGTTAAATATTATATTGAGGTTATTACACAGTAAACAGTAAAATTATTGTATACCATGCACTTTGACCAGGAAGTACGAGGCCACGCTTGTAACAAGGATCTGTTGTTGTAGGTCGACTCTCTCGCCAGACACAGACGGTATGGTCACCAGACTATGTCGGTTCTTCTCCCCTGTAACAAAACATCGATGTTGTCATTGTCATACTCGTCGTTTAGATTTATATTTAGAGAAATAGTGCTTCCTGGAGTGAAATCAAAACAATGCTATTTACTTGCATGTCTTTAATACGATCTCCTATCACCCAAAAGTGTTATGATAAATACATGCAGCTACATATTACAGGATTCTTTCATATGTCGAGGTGTAGGATGGGGATATTCTACCCGAAAGGTCACGAAATGTCGCAAAACCCTATCCTACACCTCGACATATGAAAGAATATCTTTCTCTCACTTTCATTCTAAAATTTTGAGAAAAGATAGTCTCAGACGTCGACAATATACTTCCAAAGACGCCATATTACACGAAAATAATGTTTGTTTTCGTAACAATAATGCAATTAATTGACAGGTTGACATAAGAAATGAATTCTTCGTACCTAGATTTGGCAAACAAAGTTTGCACAAGAGAAATAAAACAAAATATAAACAGTCAATGCAAATAAGTATATGTGCCCATATGTGTGTATACATTGTACCAGGATAGGATGTCAACTGGGGAGGGACACGTAACATTTCTATGAGAGCGTGCCTGTATTGCATGTTTGGGTATTTGATACAACAGCGAACCTGGTTGTATTTCCCCGGACAAATCAGTATTACACGGGTAGAAATGACAATTTTTTAGATACATTTTTAGAATATATGACAGAACACAAAAATAACGATATAAAATAGTTACTGAATATGTGCATTTGTATATTTTCTTTTAAAATCTACAACAGAATTATGATCATAACAATATCATGAATGAAAGGATAGTATAATCACAAGGTCAGAAATCTTTAAATTTAGCAAGGAATATCGTCCTACTTATTCCCATTATGTTTATTTTTCCTCACCATGCATTTCAAATTAAGCCATTTGGCACATCTAATGGTTTAACAGTACAATGTCATATTTAATTTGATAATTTTCATTCTAAAAAAGAAAAAAGTTAAATACCAATATTGTTAGAAACTCACCGTTTTCTACCCGTCCCTCGGCAAACATGATGTGATAGTCCATGTTCAGATCAAATATAGTGGAATGACCTGGTACGACCTTGACCCTAGTGAAGCGACATGTGAATAGACCATTTTCCAGACGGCCTCCAACATTGCTTAGACCAACCCCTGGCTGAAAAATTAAAAAAAAAAACCAACATCATCATGATCTAAACTCATATTCAATAAAACTAGGGCAAAAGATGAATAAAAGAAAATCTTACACGAAGACTTCTGAAAAAGTACTAGAAGAATAAGGTCAGTGTCCAAGAAGAGAAAAAAACATCTTCTGCCTCATCGACGACATCAGCCATGTAAGCATTGGTCATTCCAGGTAATTAATGTCACATTCTCAAAGGATAACAAGGTATACAGCATCGGAATACACAAGCAAACTAACGAGCATCAAACACGTTCAACTCCACAACGCACAAAGAAAAGGGTTATTTCTCAATGAGATCACTATAACGACCGTAAAACTACTTCCCCATAATTTTTTATCGGCCTGCATCTTTTGGCACCTTGTGTTAAAGTCTGTCCGTCAGATGATGACTTTTTATACAAAAATCGTGATAATGGGAACATGCCTTCGGATATCGAATCTACTGCTACATGTTAACATCATAGATTGCAAATAGGTTGCTATCCAGAAATGGAAAATTCGCCACAGAGAAATTGAAATCATCACGTTTATCATACAGCTTGGTGGAAAACTGCCCATATTGGTATCGTTGTAGGGAAAGATCGAGATAAGCGGCTTATGTAGAAGGGACTGTTGTGTCTTTGATTTTCAATTCTGGTGGATACTTACGAGGACGTGGTAAATAAAAATCTTGTTATTAAAAAAGACGTTATCAATATAGCGTAAAGTGATACCAAATGTATTTGCAAGAAATTTGTGACCTGTTTTGAAAACATCTTCGATAAATTCGTCCGCGTATGAAAAACATGTGAAATCACACTATTAGCAAATAAACCAATAATTTCATGTATTTTCTCAAAACAATTGTTCCAGCTATAATCGAACATGATGAATTAAGGTTACACATATAACGATTCTATACATACCTCGGCTAATACATGATTTGTTTTGTCATCATGGTTGTACGAGTGCTGGACTTCCAGAATTCCATTCTCCATTAAGCATTCTACCACACTATCAGTGCCCTATAAGATAAAACCATACATCTTTACCATCGGAAATATAGTAATTAAAAAATCAGAAAGAACCAATATGCATCTCTAACACCATTTAAATTGAAATCAAATGTCTTGTACAGCTTTGAACAAGTTAACTGTCCTCTATCATCTATTCGAAATATATGCTTCTTTTCACATCAGTTAGTTAAATTTATCTTCCATAAAGCCCTTTTCGTCATATTTCAAGTTTGGAACAAGTATCTGTTATAGAACTTATTCAATCAAACTCATGTAAACATGAACTGTATCAGGTATACATCACCATAATGCTTCATCACCTGTCTACTTATGCTATTAGTTACTGCCACCTCGTCATCAAGCATGCTTTAGAATAATATGTCACGTTACCATATTGCCGTCGTTCGAGAAGCCGACTGCCATCCACCTATTGGTGGATGCCTCTCCTTTGGATCTTAGTTCGAAGTCGATAGCATCCCCCTGATCCTTCCAGGACACGATAAAGCGACACACGTCTCCAGTACATTGTTCATAGCACCCTTTGGTCAAGCCACATGCAAGATCGTTCGTCAGGTCACCGTACTAAAACAGAAATCAAAACTGTTTACACTTACGTACTCATTCTGTTAATAAAAGAAATATTTGAATTTTTATCGAGATCTTGAATAAGAAAAAGATATCTGAGGGAGAAGTTTTATCAAGAGCATATGTTCAAACTATATTACATAACGCATTATGCTGTTTGACTGTAAACCTCCGTCGTTACTGTAAAATCATTGATTTTCATAGTGTTTTGTTTTCGTTGATTTCCTGGGTACTCTTAATCCTCGATTGTATATGTCCATGATATGACAATACACACTATCATCGCACTAGTGAGTTTTGTGAGAACTATTTAATCATGAACTCAAAGACAAATAATATGTACCAAATTTGAGTCCCACGAAAATATAGATATATTTTTTGTTTACAATATCTTCAATACAATACAAGTTTTTTTTTGTTTTTCTTAATTAAGGCACACGTGAAACTGATTGATTTGAAACGATCATCATACAACAAAAAAAATCGTAATGGAAAGTGATTTATTTGTAGGTGACGAATTTCACGAAAGTAGAAGGTAGCCGTTAAACACCAACGTAGTATAGATTCGGGAGTACTAGAGGTTTGTACTGCAGTTTTACATGTTAAAATATACCTGTGCCTCTGTGACAAGTGGTGTCGACGGGGCTTCCGTTGACCGGTCCGTTGTTATGACGATTGGTGGGGGCGTTGTAAATATGTCAGTAGCTGTAGTGGTAGGCGATGTTGTGGTGGAAGTGCTAGGCTGTGTTGTAGTTGTGGTGGTTGTAGTTTGTGTTGTAGTAGTTGGGGCAGGCGTGGTTGTAGTCGTCGTTGTTGTTGTTGTAGTTGTTGTCACCCAGCGTAGATATCGCTGAAAATCCACAGGTTCGAGAGAGGCATAGGGCGCCGGGTTGTAAATGTGAGGGAGCTTCATTCCTGTATAATGAACAGGGTATCTAAATCATAGCTACCATACCTTAACTCTTCATGTCGAGGAAAATACATAAAAAACACTACAGCATCACATAGATGAAATAGAAAAAAATGCATAAGGCAACTAATTCAAACAGTGGGTTTGAGAAAGGTGATTACCGCAAATATTACCAGAATGATTCGTGAAGCAGCCATACACATCATAATTTAATAATCGATCTTGGATATATATATAAATCACTTTATCCATTTAATATGATACTTTTGAGCAGAAAAGGCACAATATGAATAAGTAATAAGTGTTTTATGAATGACAAGTGGTCCTGTTACATAAATTGTCATTTAAGTAGGTCACCATGTCCACTTAATGTCCACACTTTACTCTGTCGGCGATACTGTAACAATGACTGAGTTAAAGGACCATAATACCATTTGTTATTCAATACTTATACCGACATATTAAGACAGTGTTCATGCTTGTGTTCATTTATTTCATTCCCCTAATTTTAAAAAGTTCGTAGAACACCAGTTGATTAATTTCAAGACAAATAAGGTTTTTGATGCCATGTACTATTAGTGGTTTCGTATCCGAAATATGTAGAAACAATGGAATTGGTACATGATGTACATATAAAACCAATGTTACGTATTAATATATATAGAACTGTTGTAAAACTCCATATCCAGTTTCTTTCAATTACATGTGTGATGTTACTTATGATGCTATAAAATGAGAAATGAAATAAAAGTTTATAATAATACACATTTAACTGAATCAGCTAGGAATGTTCAATATAAAAAAATATGCTAGCTTAGCTTTCTTAATCTGACTCTGTTTACAGATACATTACTACGACGTTATATTCTTGGAAAGGTAACTCCGCGTCAACTTTAGCACAATGGCTTACTTCATTCATTAACCAAAGTTCGATTGAGATGACAGAAAACAATTTATTAACATTATTTGGCAGTATGTTTGGTATTGTTAGTACATATAGAGGGAAGCTTGGTTGAAGGGAAACTAACACTAACATGCTGTGATGATCCGATATCGCATACACTTTCATTATTAATTCACAGGTTATTACATGAATGAACATCTTTTATTAGTACCATATGCAGTGTTTTTAAAGCATGTACATTGGAGTGTTATGTGAAAGTAATTCATAAGTAGGTCAAATATTACAAAAGCCAATAGCTTGCTGTCACCCTTGCAAGCCAAAACCAGAACGAAATCGTAACCTACCTCTACCGCTGAACGCATCTGAGTGTTTAGAAATGAAGTTACTTTACTTCACATATTCAATGTAACCAAAGTTATATTTCATTAGATATCGAACACTACCGTTCACTATATCCTTAAAATGAAAAGCGCCTATCCTATGTCTTACAACCTGAAAGTGCAGAATCTACATTCCAAAGGAGTCACAACAAATGTAATACTATGCAAAAGATTTTCGTTGCAAAAATATTAATTCAGAAGTCATCATGTCACTAGTTAAACATTTTACATTTTATATCAAAGCCTTAAATTACAAGTATATACATTTAGATGTTAGTAACATACCCGCCATCGCTGTACCATGAGCAAATAAGATGTGCCAGTCTCTGTTTAGGTCATACACGGATGAATCAGAGGTAACAATCTTCTGTCGTGTAAAACGACAGGTAAATACACCATCCACAAAGGATCCTCCTTCGTTACTTATACCCAGCTTTGGCTGTAAAGAGATTATCAAACGTTTCATAGAATGTAATAGATAGAGGTAAGGCTTAACTTGAATGCCTCCGTCAGGAATCGAATCAGACACACCTGCGACTTATAAGTCTTATGCTCAACCGATCTAAAGATCGTATTTAAATGGATTTTTTAAAAACAGATAACAGCATAGAGGAGTTCCAAATTTTCGTTCGAAACAAATGTAAATTATTTAACATCATAGCGGAAATTAAGCGACAATTTATCTTTATCATTACGATGTTCCATCTCGAAGGCATATTGGGATCATTTTTTCAAGTTGGACCCTGTTGTGCAACCATTTCTGTACCAGTTTCGTGAATAACTCGTGTATGCCATTGTACTGTCATGGGCTATGTACTGGTGATGGTGACAGTTTTGGTATTCTATGTAAGGGTATCTACAATTCTATGTTTTAAAAAGCTATTAATTATAGTTGCATACTCACATTCCTTAGCCTGGAGTTTACACGTGTGTCCTTGTTGAAAGATTGGAACACACTGACGTAACCGGAAGTCGTCACACATTCTGTCACGCTGTCGGATCCCTTGTAAGAATAATAAGAATAATCAACATTTCACGTTTCACGAAATTATTGCAACTTTTAGAGACCGGAGTCACTAGTTCAAAAGCAGGCGAAGGCTGGGTATATTTTTCGTTACCTCTTCCTATTACAAAATATTAGCGTGCTTACCATATTGCGGTCGTAGGAGAACCCAATGGCTATCCATTTATCGCCTCTTTCCTTGACCGCAGCTTTTATTTCGAAATCAATGGAATTGCCTGTGTCTACCCAACCAATGATGAAGGTACAGTAGCGCCCCCTACAGTCATGATGGCAGCCTCTGGTAACATTGCAGCTCATGTCTGGACGTATCCATATTGCCTATAAAAGAGAGTGATTATTGATATCCTTAATATTAAAACAAATGTTTTATACAAATGTAGAAGAACAGAAACAATATTTCAGCATCAAGATATATGTTTGTAATGCAATACATGTAAGGTCGTTCAATCAGATGGTTGAAACGGCAAAGACTTCAAAGGACTAAAACAAAATATTGATGAGATAAAAAAGGAAGCGGTGATACAGTCATGACGTCCTCTGAATGGACAGTATGATAACCAATCGTCTTATCACTACACAACTAGTGTAATAATAAATGATAGACTAAAGTGATCAATATGGAACATATTAAAAACACATGATGATTGTCATCAGTTATATTGAGTGAATAAAAGACACATTAAGATAAGATTCAGTAGAATCAAACAATGAATTAAACTGCATCATACAGCTGTGTCGTCTTTCTAGGACTTGACAGTAATGCTAAGGACCTACATTTGTAACCTAGGAGGCGTATAAGAACAATCCAAAATAACTGGAATAAATGTCACAATCTAGATGTGGAGGTGCACTAGCCCAATATTTCAGTAGATTTCGTGAATTTTGTATAACTGATACTTTTAGAAGAGTGTCAAGTATATATCTATATTCTTAACCGTCACACTATTCGTATGAATTAAAATGGGTCATGCGATTGCTACATAAGTTAAATACTACAGTATACAATCTTAAAGACTTTTCATAAAAATGAACATTTAATGAAATATTTCAAAGACCAAAATTTAACACGTGTTTAAAGTAAGGAATGCAAATGTGAATAAGAGAATTTTAGCTCACGCTGTGTTTGGATTGTCATATCAATCATATATGAAACGAAGACGCCAGTTTAACAAGTCGACAAGGGCCTGCAGCTACTTCATTACAAGTCACCAAGATAGATATGTGTTGTTACTGTTTAGCAAACAATATCTTTGTAATGAAAATATTTAAGTTTAGCCACTGGCAAAAGTGGACAGACAGTGAAAGATAAAGTATTGTTTCTTTGAGAAAAGCGCTTAAATAGTATAACCGCTAAATCATGTGTGTCAACAGCGTTTGAAAATAGTGCAATTTGGTCTTAGATTTAACCATGGACTACCTTTTTTATTGAAACATTCTCGTTATCTCGCTACATTCACAACATCACTCACCCCTGGATCAGCAATGTCTGGAGTGGAAGTGGGCCTGGTCGTCGTGGTAGTAGGCGTTGTGGTTGTGGTTGTTGTAGGAGTCGTCGTCGTTGTTGGAGTTGTAGTGGTAGTAGGGGTTGTAGTGGTGGTGGTAGGGGTTGTAGTGGTGGTAGTTGGAGTGGTAGTCGTAGTAGTGGGCGTTGTTGTGGTGGTTGTCGGAGTGGTAGTGGTGGTTGTAGTAGGCGTGGTGGTGGTCGGTGTTGTAGTGGTAGTAGTAGTTGGAGTTGTTGTGGTGGTCGTGGGTTTCGGTGTTGTCGTGGTGGTAGTGGTAGTGGTGGTGGTGGTGGTGGATGTAGTTGTAGTTGTTGAAGTTGTAGAGTTGAAAAGCTGGTTACATGCAGTTGACCGTGGGGTGGTCAGTGTTAAGAGTTGCTGACGAGACAGACGAACATTACTGAATTGGTCATACACAACTGGGGAACTCACGCCCATCCAATACGTACTGAACTGCTGCAGGATCGTGGCTCTGAAAATAATATACAGAATAAACGTATTATAATGCCACATTTTGATTTAATGTGAGTTTAAACACAGTTTGTAAAAACGTCTCATACATGAAGGAAGGGTGCTCACCTAAACAGCACATGACCCTGTGGTACCTGTGGAGCTTGCCACACAAATCTCATCAATGTCTTGTCTGAAGCCTCTACGTGGGTTAAAGCTTGTCCACGCGTTCCCTGCAAATAACAAACCATTTATTGCTATTGTAACTGGTATCACATTACAAATACCATCCCTTGTAATAACTTTTTATCGTATTTTATTCAAGGAAATGATAAATTAAATGTATATAGAGACCGTCAATATCTTATCTTTGACATCGGAAACAGCTTTCGCTGATAAATCAATTTGTTTTCGGAACATGTCATTCAATAGATGATATATGAAAGGAATGGCAACAAAGGAAGCTCTCATATAGCAAAATGAAATTCAAGGTGAGCAACATACTGTTACGAAAACGGTATACAGTGTTATAATCAAAATTACGTGATAGAGGATATAATCGAAGGTTTCCAAAATATCAACAATCAAGCACATGTTGCATACAAGAACCACCATCAAAATTTCAAAAATCCATGTCGTTTGTAACAACATGGATTTAATCTTCACATAATGGTGCATTTTTGCTGTGTTAGATACAATTTCCAGAATATAATGCTGTGACTTAACCTTGAACTACCCAAAAACATGCTACAAGCATTAACACTATTATGTGTGTAAGGGATATCTGCCAACTTTATCTTATTTATTATCTTAGTCATCTTGTGTTCACATCCAATAAATGTGAAATATGTTTATTTAAATATCCTTATTACATCTACAGTTCAAAATTCATATGTAAAAAGAATGGTATGGTTTTTAGTGTTTAAATCAAACTACGGTTAAATGTCGGAATTACTAGGTGATGATTTCTTCGGTTCTAGGTACCATTCAATTTACTGAGGATGTTAAATTACTAAATCGCGTAATTATCATACATTCAAGTCATTTTCTATTGGATATTTTAAAATGCATTGTCTCCTTTCATCACGTTCGGTTCTTTACATATATATTCTAGATCTGCACATACAGATATAATGAAAACATACGTACCAGTCTGGTATCTGGACACGCGTACTTGAACTGAGAGTTGAGGTAGTTACCAAACACGCCGACTTTAACATCCTGTTCGTAATACTGGACAAGTCGAGGTTGTATTAGGAATCCTTTAAAGCTGTATCCGGGACACGCTTGTATAGTCACTGTAACACAAAAATGGGCATATACTACGATTGTTAGATAGTATTTGGTTCAATTTATATACATTTGTCTTTCACTTTAAAGCCATATGTAGTAATGACTGGAACTATAACTACCTTCAGTGCTGGGGTGTATCATTAATTGAAATTTGTCCTCTATCTTTATGTAAAGTGTCCGTTGATTGCAAATGAAACGCGATATTTTGTTGTACAGTTGCACAGAGTTGATAGTTTTTTAATTTCTTTTAATATATCTTTTACAATCACACTCTTCCGGTTTTTTTTTGTTTTTGTTTTTGTTTTGTTTTTGTTTTTGTTTTTTTTTTTTGTATTAGACATTTTTCAAATATTTGTAAACGATGCACCATTTCACCTTGACAAATCTGGCGATAAAATATGTAAAATTAAGGTTCGTACATTAAGTCCTTTCTGCTGTGTATACGTTAGGTCTGGTGTAACGTCTTTTGACTAGGCTAGACTTAACATATACATAGACATGTGACACCAACACTAAAATGACCTTATCGCATTGGAGAAAGACTTACAGGCACTCGTGTAAAAGAGTCCATGTATTACATAATTACATATAAATTACATGTAGGCGACATATTTAATACCAAATTATTACAAGATGGCGGCGTTTTTATTGGTGTATAACGGTTACGACGCTTGATGATCTGTTTGTAATAGCTGGCGGCGACGGACATACCTTCGTCTGGGCTATACATCTCTACACAAGGATTAAGTATCAGATAGACTTTTCATATATAGCATTGACACCAGAAACAGAAAATAAATGTCTGTCACTTATCTTATCGCGAAATTTGTGTTTTATTTAGAGAATTATTGAGTTTATAAAACTCAACTCAGGACTCTGTACAATGACTCTGTATAATGCTAACTCACTGAAGACAAAATATGTAAGTAATTGAGTTTTGTTCTTCTGCTGTGTATTGTAAACTCTTGTTTGCATACTTAACATGTTTGTAATCCGTCCCTAGAAGTTAAAAGATAGGACATTGCACCAAATACACACAAGTGAAGAGTACCTTTCGATGTTGAAGTTTGAAATAGAGTAATGCCACATAATGAATATAACTGCACCATACAGATGTATAGTCCTTACATAACTCGCAAGTGATACGAGAAAATTGTGATGTGGGAATCAAGAAACCGGTCAAAGAAGTATTGCGAGTAAAATCTAAATAATAATTTACTTAATTTGATTGATCTTTAAAGAACATCAAATTGTTTATTCTGAACCGATTTATTATGCACATAAGTAAAACGTGGCATGCGGGATTTGGCAAACTTCGTGGACATTATCCAACCACCAATCTTAAAGGAATGTGAATAATGATGTATTAATGCAAAACAGTGATACACAAGAGCAAATGAACAGATATTCCCTTTTGTTGTCTTTTCATTTTCAAGTGTTAATATACTCAAGGGATAAAGAAACGCAAGGTAAACTTTGAAGATGATTCTAGGCAAGACGTCGAGTATAATATATAGCCACCTGCGTTTCTTTATGCCTTGAGTATATTTATTGTATAAAACCTCTGTCCGACAAGCTAAGATGTTATACCCTGAACATTAAAAGATTGATTATTTCAAGAATTCCTGTCTAGTTCTTGACAATTTCTCATTCACCAGGTAATCATTAACGAGTTAGAACATGTATTTTGATAACCTCCAATGGTCAATTTATAATAACATGAAAAACGGAAGAACATGATCGGATGGAAAATAAGCATTCGTAAACAATAAGTTGCTTTGTCCTCTAAAGCTTGAATTGCCTGTCTTTCTCCAAATATATTCATTACAGAAGCATCTTACATGGGGAATATTCTGTTTCCTCTCACCTGTGATCTGGTCCCTCGGTGCGTACGTAGTTTTGGAGACGCTGATGATGAAGGGTGCAGGTGAGGTACTGGGTCGTGTCCCAGAGTGCCACGGCTGTAGGTTAGGGCAGGCTTGATTGGCAGCCCCAGAACTGTACCCTGACACAGATGGTAACCATGACAACGACGTTATACCAAATATCGATATCAGGTATAGAACTGGCACTATCCCCATACCAGTTGCCTGTAAAAAAACCCATCAAAGTTGATATTGGTACTAAATAATATTATAGACTTATTTTATCCAACAAATCAAACATTTCATACACATACGTATTTTCGTATACTTATACCTATAATACATGCTCTTGCATTCAGTATAATCAAACGTCAATGTATAACATGTGATATGATTAATGCCAATTCCATGTTTAAACCTTTATTGAATACCGTTTAAAAATTTCAAACGATTGATAGCCTTAATTATGTTTCTGATAATGTAAATAGTACATTTATATGTACGTAATATATGTATATATTAAGAACACCTAGCCATCTCGGTGATGTGTTGTTTTAGTATTTCCTTTCATAACCTTTTTTTCGGTTGCAGATATCATTTACACAGAGTGTAACTCTGACAGTATGAACTGCATTATACTCATTACACAAAGAATATTGTTTATTATAGTTAGAATAAAGACTTGCAAGGGAATCATTTTGGAGTGGTCAGAATTGGACGTACAGATATTACAAATAGTCTCATCCTCCACCAATAGGAACGGTTTATTCCTACATAAGTCTAAAAGTCGAGCGGTATATAATTTAGGATAACAAGATTTTGAATTATTTGAAAAAACATTTTCAATGTCTAATATATATACCACAGGAATTTCACACGTGCAAGTTTTAAGAGTGACATATGAAATCATATATAAAAAAATAATAAATTTTCTACTGAGATCTCTGTCATTTATTTTACAAAAAAAGTTTTGTCATTTCGATCTTTGAGATACCGCCATTCTTTTGTAACAAAAGATGTAGTTCTTTTGTCTTCTTTCAGATAATACAGAAGTAGTTGATGTATCCTTCTTGATTTGGACGTGTATAGCTATGCTATATTGTGCTCTTTGCCGTGTTGTTTGTAACACTCGGTCTTTTTTTACTTTTACCTAGTTTTATATCATTGTCGATAGTGTGACAGAATCTTATTGTCTTGAAATATGTCTTTTTCTTCTTCTTGTAACAAACCAAAATTAAGTCCTTGACCTTGGTTTCGTCTAAGATGCGTCTTTTATATTTTCTGTGATATGAAGTCATTGTCATTAGAGCTGACATTTTTTATGATACAAACCACTATAATAAAAGTAATTAAGAATTTTAAGAATACAGCAGGTTTCATAAACCTTGTTCGTGTTTGAAAATGTGACATTGTTTAGATTGCCCTAGATTCATTCTGCATTATGATGACGCGGAGACTTTACATTTTCCTTATACTTGATTTTACTGTTATTTTACAGTGTCATTGATCTCCGTGAACATTTTCCATTGTCCAACTTTTGACCTGGTTTCATCGGTTTTAAGTCTGATTCTTTATTTTGTTGCCATGCCAATGCTATTTTGTTGCTGTAATTCATTTGACTGGTAGGATACAGTATTATACATTTAGTTCCATGTACACAAAGATCTTGCAAAGTTGTTTGATTTCACTTTCAGATACATCAATGACGTCATTTCGTTGAATAACAGGAATTTATTGACCACGTCCGTTGTGTATACCCACCAGAAATGGAAATCAAAGACACGACAGAAACTTCTACATCAGCGGTTTATCTCGAGTTTAACCTTATAACGAAATCAACATGGACAGCTTTCCAACAAGCCGTATGATAAGATTTCAATTCCTCTTTTGTGATTTCTCCATTTTTGATGGCAACATCCCTTCATTCCAAACCTATTGTTTTCATGACGAAGTTAATTCGGTATCCATGGGCTTCTCCCCATTTTCACGATGTTCATGCAAGATGTCATCAACTGACGAATAAACTTGTAACACAAGTTTCGAAAAAGGGAGGTTGATGATTTTTTTTGGTGGATTTCTTTTTGCGATATGAAGCCGGGCTTTTTCGATGCTCGATTGTTTGTCTGTTGGTTCCATTGTCGTATACTCTGTTCTCATTTGAGAACATGACATTACTTGGATTGACCAAGGTTTACGTGGCGGGTTCTTGCTTGCGCGATAATTTATAAACTGTCAGTATACTGTTTATGGTGATATAGAGATAATTGAGCCGCTATATCAATGTGTGTGATTCGAGGGTGACTTTGTAAATAAAAAGTACATTGTACTATTTATTGTGTTTCTGGTCAATATCTAATGGAAACCATCAGACTACTAAGATATGCAATAACAAGGCATGTTTATTTTTCCCCTTAACACTAAGGCAATCGACAACATCCTTTATAACTATCGATTTTTATTATCATAGCAGTGTTTAGTCTGTTAACTAAGGAATTGAGTACAAAGGCACTTATGTAAGGATGACGCGTACACAGTAAACAATTGGCCATATAAAGATTCAGGGCAATGACTGGCGACAAGAGTTCAATATCTGACAGGTAACATTTCTTCCAAACGTAAATATAGGCATATTGGCATATTAGGCACAATATCTACACACAATATCATTCATAGTATACACTTTGAACTACCATAAGTACAATTCTGTTTCATTGATATGGAACTCAAAACAGTCATAATGATCCAATTATCATTAAAGAGTATGGCTCTATATTAAGATTCTAATCAAGGAGGAGTTCAGTTATTTCAGTGGGATAACTTTAAATGAGTCCAACGTACATGAAACTCTCTAAACTTTTGAAATGATACAATCGAGATACTGTTTCTAGTATAGAGCAGCTGTCATAAGAATGTCTTTGTGCAACAATGACAACGACTCGCAGGAAATGAAACTTACAATTACTAAACAAGTTAAATAAACATTATTGTACATATTACATAGAAGTTGCTTTGGTTATGTCCGCCACTCTCTATTTTATAATTACACTGAAATGTAATACCACTGATGAAAATGGAGGTTCTGTATGGATTTAGTTGATTCTTACATGATGGAGTTCATATATGTTTAATGTTTTCTTCTCAATTTAAATAGAAATAAGTTCAATGTTTAGGCAAAAACTAATCTTGTTTTAATGTAGGACTTCCTGAAATCAGAGGGAGGTACAATTAAAAAAATTAAGGAGCATCGCCCAGTATCACAAGTTTGCTATTCATCACGAGATTCATCTATAATGGACCCTATGTTGCTGCGTTAGAGATTAAATAACGATTATTATAACCAATGGACTAACAAAACACTAAGATGCTTTGTGCAGGGACAACACATCACACCGCATGCACGTCGTCAGTGATTTACTCTCCGGCATACGTCTTTATCATACATACTTGTCAGCTACACGATAAACACATTATTTGACTTGTTACCTGCTAATCCGGCGATTTGCTAAGTACCATTAAATGACTGTAACAGCCCCGCCTGATCAGACAACTGCCCCTGACAGCTGACAGTTACATGGCGTATAGTCGCATTTGGTAATATAGTATAGACAAGGTTGTCATATATATATTAGGACGAAGTAAGTAAATTCTTCACAATTACACAATACACCATAAAAGTATATTTTTGTATCTTCTTATTTAGAATTAAATTCGAATTTGTCTCAAAAATCAATCTTTGGCAAAATCATAATGTAAGAACAATACATATTGTACTAATATTGACTATTTAATCAAAAGAATAAACGCTAATAAAACACATCATCCTAGAAAATGTTGTTTGGATATTGAACTGCTCGAGCAACTATTGGAGTAAACAGTCACTGTAAACTGGGTCGCTCATCAATCAGGATAGTGACGACATTTTAAAAACATCCTCATGTTCTTTTTCTGGTCAACGTTTCCGACCTGCCCTCGTATAGAATATATGTAGCTGGATCGTTCGGCGTAGCATACTTGCGTTTAGAGAGATTAGTTGATAGTGAACTTGAAAAGTAAACACATTTCATTATTGATGCAACTACACTTTCATTTATCCCTAAGGGTTATGGTCACCCGGACATCGCCCTTGGTCCTAAATGCAAGCAAAAAGGAAGTGATTTGTGTAGCTTGTAATGTTACAGTTTTAATGAACATCTGTAATAGCCCTTCACTCTTTTTCTGCCGTATGTGCCTGTGTACAAGCAATACCAGATATGTGGTTTACAGCACGATTAAAGGACAAAACGGAAACGAGAACAAAACTTCTTCGCTATTAACAGATATAAAGTGCGCATCAATTAAAAGGTAGAAAGAAATGATGGACTGACCTTTGACATTGTATTGTAATGTCTGTAATGTGTCTTTAATGGTAAAACAATACACTTGAACACATTTCAAAACATTAACCTGACGCTTAGACATATTTTAGCTGCATCGTCTCATAAACGTTTCAGAATGACTTTAGACCTATACCATATATGTTTTAATTATGTTAGTCTTTCCTTTAGTTCTTCCGAGGCCTACCTTCAGTTAAGATGATATCAGTAATGTGAGAACAATTTAACTGAAAGCTCTGTTATAAACGATACTCTCGCTATATTTGAACAGTTCATATTAAAATTATTATCGTTATTAAAAGTAAATATTCATAGAAAAAAAATACGAAATAAAAATAATACCGTCATTAATAAACAATAATATTGAATACAACTTAAAATCTAGATAAACCTTTTAGAGAATCGTTATAAATATTAATTCATAATTAAAAATTAAAAATGATAATTTAATCTTACCTTTTCTTTAGATAAATGAAGAAAACTAGAATCTTTCAATGAAGGCTATAATAGATAAATCCTTGTTCACTGTAACAATCCCGAACTGATATCCGCATTCACATACCGTCTGAGAAATCCTTATCATTAGAAGGTACAGTATGTATAACACTATATGTGCAAATGAGCGAAAGAGGTGTCCGATTCAAACGTTTCTCGCAAAATCAGTGAAGTGTGACGGGATCGATGGCGATTGAGGAAGATCAATGACGTATTCTTTGTTTTTTGACTGATTAGTGCCCCCTAGCGTCAAAGCCTTACTCAGCGCGCCATCTGACGAATCAGGAGCGAGCCTATTTCCCCCGGGGGATAGTCACATCGTACAAAGTACCAGGTACTCGGCTATATACCTGTATACACACAAGGTGCAGTCCATGTGTAGGTTTGTTTACTTAACATCGGTCATGCATGTACAAATGACGACCGGAAGTTGTCCAACTTGTCTCTGAATCATAGAAATGTTGACTTTTCTACATTTTTATCATTACGTCAAAATAAATAGTCAATCATTCGCAGATATACCTGAAATTAATGAGAGATCTTATTCGTGTAAATTAGTCACCTTGAGATTCCATATCTTGTAAAATAACTTAATTTAATTCAACAGTGTCTTAAAGTATCGTTCAGATATTGTACAGTTACACACAGTCGATATGATTTTAATATAAAAGCTAGACGGGATCATAATTATGTTTAGTTGAAAACAAAAATATTAATGAGTATAAATCTATTCAAGGAATTTTTCAAAAATAGGGAAAATATTAAATTTCCATTAAGAATTTAATGAATATTTAATACCGACTTGACTTTTGTACCTGTCAGTTTTTTTTTGTTGTTGTTTTTTTTGAAGGTTAGGAATGATACAGTGCACTAATATCAGGCTGTAGTTGAATAAGCTCGCTTACCTTTTGTTGTTATTGTAATCTCATTCAACGTGTAAGTTAAAAAAATTGATGAAGGCAGATGAAAATTGATGTGAGGCCAAGTCAGAATGATGGCAATATGTCAATGCTGTGATGCAACCGTAAAAAATCCATCTACATTGGAGGTGCTGTACATAACACTGCAATCATCTGGTATTTTCTCAACATTTTTGCACAATTAACGAGAGGAGAGTTATATGTTTAAATACCTTCACCGATATGTAATCGACCAGAAAGCATGTTGTTGATTAGGTGATTGTAGTAAACCATAATAAACACCTTGTAAACAATGCTTGTTGATGTAAAATGCTTTGCTCGGACTACAAATGGGTGTTGTTTCGTCATAGTATATATACCAATATCCAAATGTCGAAATAACCTATTCTTTATTATGTCTTTATTGTGTACACTTCTTTGCTGGTTTCCTATAGATATAAAAATTACAAACGGCCAATGAAATTTCGTTCTTTCCTAAATTCATTAAGATTATTTTTTTACGTTTCCCTAGAAAGGCGAAGGTTTCCACATGTCACTTCGCTTGCTTTCTCAACACACAGAAACGTCATTAATTCCAACTACGTTTTACATAACAGACTAAAAAACTTTGTGCAATTCACTGCATATCTTATAATTATTTAATGAATGTTTTAAGGAATTCAGTAATCTATTTTAAGTAACATTACACATTTACGCTTTTATTCTTGTCAAGGATTCAGGACTTCATTTTGTTTAGAAATTATACTACATCTTCACCATAACGCTTCTATTTTATCCTCTGTCGTAAAATTTGATAAAATTCTTCCTATATCTCTTTTGTCTTCAGTCGTACGCACATTGATAAAATTCGTCCTATATCTCTTCTGTCTTTTAATCTTGTCTTCTGTCGTATGCACATTGATAAATCCCATATATCTTTTGTCTTTTTATCTTGTCTTCAGTCGTACGCACATTGATAAAATCCAATATATCTTCTGATCCTTTAATCTTGTCTTCTGTCGTACGCACATTGATAAAATTCGTCCTATATCTCTTCTGATCTTTTATTCTTGTCTTCAGTCGCACGCACATTGATAAAATCCAATATATCTTCTGATCTTTTTATCTTGTCTTCTGTCGCACGCACATTGGTAGGATTTTTCCCATATATCTTTTGATCTTTTACACCATACTTTTTCGCACTCCATCGAAATGTAGCCTGTCTTTAATCTCAAGTTCCTAAATATCAGAAAGTTTGTTGTAAATGCTGTTACATTCATGCGACGCTGATAGTGATATCATTAGGGATATCCGCATACACGTATAATAAAAATTCATTGAAATCATCTGATATTTGAAAATTTAGGATTTTAGGTTTGTGTACCTCCCCATATAGATTTAGATATTTCCGTCGACCATTGTTTGTAAATTCCTCTATCGCCTCCCTGCTTTCTAAGCCTTTAGCACCTTTGACGAGTCCTAGAAGGACAAAACAGTTGTGTAATCCAGTTTACTTCATATCTGGCTTTAACTTAGCGAATTATAAGTATTGAAATGAGCTATTCTTTTGTATATCCTTTCCACAACCCTTGGTGTAGTTCTTATGGAATATTTTTCCAGTCCTGATACGTCCCTGTTGTGGTATTTGGTATCTGAAGTTGATTTTTTCTGGCCTGTTCTTTTCTTAACTTGATATTCCAAAGCATGTAACTGCTTCAATAATCCATATTAAAACTTTTGACAGGAGTATGTTTTTTACGAAATCTGCAAACCGCGTTGAATCAATTGATTGAAAGAATGTAGTTTTTCATAGAGCACAATATGAAAAATATGACTGATAGACCCGAAGAAAAGTCATAGGTTTAGATGTTTTAATATAATCAGGTATATTGAGAATACATATTGTATTAATTAATGAAGAAGTCATATTATAACCGATTACATCTCATTACATTTGATTCATTAATACCTACGATAAAGTATATATATTCCTGCGTTTACTATCGATTTCTCCACACAAGTAAAACAATTGATGATTATAACCCACCAATAAATGAGTATTGAAGATAAAGGTTTTTGGGTAGATATCAATATGAAAAACGCTCGGCATTCACATTTGTTACAAAAAAGACGTGGAGCCATCAACCATATATCAAATGTTACCTGTATGAAGCCATTTTCAATACTGTTTTTGAATTAGATCTAGATACAATTCAAATATCTAAATATTGTTCTTTGCTTTTTGAGTTTTTAGTTTTGACAGACTTGTTCGCCAGTTTCTTCCAATGACCACAATTACATATCGGTGCCTTGTTTTCCTGTCGAACACCTAATAATAACATAATGACGTTCATAATATTTAAAAGTCCACCAAATTAATAAATCTACTGTTTGTTTTCAGATAACCATAGCAATAGATCTACAATCATTCATCAATAGATCCCTTACAATACCATAAGTCTTTGGTATATAGGAGTCAGACATATAACTGGAAGTGGTTTGTCCTTAAAGATGTGACGAGTCATTATTGTGTATTCTGAAAGCAAATCACATCCTTTCATCCAAGCCAACATACTTTACAGATTAACCTCATCGATCTATTACCTTAACGTCACTTCTACTGTCAGGAAAATTTATACTAGCATGCGAAGACTTCTACAATATCGTTAACACTTATGATTTTGATTTTCCATCCCGTGTATAGATCACGATTTTTTATCTAACATGAGGTCAATTCTGACGTTATATCCGTATTGTACAATTTTTTAGGGTACAACAAAGTATATACTAAAAACAGCATGTCACATGTAAACTTTCGTTTTTATCAAATATGTAATTTCTTGCGTAAAGCATTTCACAAAAAAAAAACAAAAAACAAAAAAAAAAAAAAAAAAAAAACAAAAAACAAAAAAAAAAAAAAAAGAACAAACAAAAAAATATTATTTTCCATTTCATTTGTTTTGGTTGGTTAGTAGATTTGCGATTGTTATGTACAAAAATGTTATATTTAAAATTCCCAGATTAAATCTTAATATTTCTTTCTTACTTACTTTCTTATGTATTCATTTTTCACATGCTTCATATTTAAAAAAAATTAACATGTAATCTAATATATTTATATGTCTTATCACAAACTGTCATGAAATGTTAGGAAAATGAATTGTGTGATAAAATGCATATAGCACAAGTTTAACACAATGTGACTGCGTCGACAACTTTCACCCAGTAACCTGGGAGTTACCTCCCCTGCTTTATTTGTTTACATATGGCTACCTGAGAGATCAACGTTTCCCAGGTGTTACTGTCGTACCAATTCAATTGCGGATCTTACCTTTCTCCCAGCAATACACCCGACACGTAAGTCTTGTTTAACTTTACAACATATAGACAATATTCTCACTCAAATGTTGGGGATGTGTGTCGTAGTATAAACGAACGTGGAACAGGTGTGTACGATATATCTGGTAGATTGGACAGGTGTGCTAACGAGCGATAACATAACGACCTTACTTCTCGGTGGGACTTTAAAACAAGTTTATCTGACAGGCATTGTAGTATAATCAATAGTAGCTGTGGAAGGACTATTGTGAAGTAGATATATGTATGTATACATACAATAGTAGCATTTATCAGGAACGTTACACATGCTAGATGTTTTACACAGGAACTTAAATTAACTGCAAACATTGTACTAAGCAAGACCATTTAAGTATTTTGTCATCAATGAAATGATTCATACTCTCTATCGGTATTTGTTAGAAATAACTTATATTTAATCACTCGTCAGGTAAGAATAAATAAATCGGCTAAATCGTCAGAGTCGACAAATCAATTACCTCTGTTGGAAAGTATATAGAATTAAACATGTGTGGCGAGATCATGTATAGGTGGGGGGAAACACACAAATAGATAAATAACGACATGCACTTACACTGTTGGTTTTGTCTATTTTATTTCTACATACCATTTACATCCTGGTATGTATAAATCTTAGGATTACAGTAGACTTTTCTATCTACTGTTTTCATATCCGATATACAGCCACAAGGATTAATTCGATGAGTTTGTGAACTACATTGTAATCTCATTAACGAAGTCCTTTCTCTCTGTAAAACAACATAAATGTTTCATCCTGGAACCTCTACACATTGCAGCATTATATTGGAGTGCAATATTATGTGCGAGGTTAATTCTAGGAAGGTTAAAAGGAGCGCTAATTGGGAAAACTACCGGCTTTATGGCATGTGAATTCATATGTCTCTTTTCCGACCACTTCGTGTTTTCCCCGAATTCTCTGGTTTCTTCCCACAATTAGACCTTTCATCCGGACTTACAGGGATGATTCATATATGTTGATATAACTCTATTTGTTACAAGTTGTTGAACTTTAAATAAAAGTTCATCTGTATTTGTCATGTTTTCCCGAGTAAACGATATTGGACATGGCGGTCTGTGTAGCTTAAAATAGCGTCAGTAATACAAATTTAAATGGTGTGTTTATTAAAATGATATCAATTGTATTAATGTCTTTCAACAAGAATTTTGTAAATATTGTAGATCGCTAATAGATATGACTTCTAATTCAATAAATATCTCGGAAGTTATTGGGTATTTTTGGTACATCTGTATGGTGACAACAGCAGACCATTTCAGAACACCTATGTATGTACTTCTACATGGGTGACAAAAATCAACCATTTTTCTTTATTTCTATCTCAATGTTGTTATCAAACGATTGCTTTATGCAGTACGCTATGTTACAGCTTCCAGCATGTCGTACGGAGTAGGTTACCAGCTGGACAGGGCTCCACTTGGGACCCACAAAACAGGACCACCACTGGACAGTATGGCTCCTGTCAGGACAATGAACAGGATAGCACAGGTACGCGATGTTATGATAATCAGACCCGTTTTGACGGGTTATTGATATTTAAGGAGAATGTACATTCTTACTCCAAGCCTAAGTCTTTGTAAACTGACAAAGCGTAAACAATACCAATTTATTATATGCTAAAAGCTGAAACATCGATATTTTTTTGTTGTGAATGAATTTGTTTTGGCATTATACGTATCATATAAACAATAGACTGGAAGTGTTTTGTTGAAGTCTTTATCTGCCTATGAATTGCACCAAATCCGTTGCCTAATCAAGATAAATGTATATTGTATGTTCCACCAATTTATTTGAGAATTATGTATAATACCTTGTGGTCTATTGTGGAAAGTATTACCAGTTACACTTCTGTATCCGTGTTACAGGTTGCTATAGAGAGGATTATATTGATGATGAACAACACCAAACTGATCAAAGAGCGACGTATCAGCACTATACAGCAGGTCCAGACCTACCTCCGTGGAAACCATGATGATATTGGCATGTCAGGTGACAGAGGCGACTTCTACCGGCGGAAACTAGCAGAGCAAATTTACGTTAATTTTAACGTGAGTGGCGTCACCCATTCTAACATTGAAGTCATCGTGGAAACTGCTATTCAGTTAGAAAAACGTACTCAAGCACTATTAGCAGGATGTGCTTTCAACACGAACGCAGCACCCTCAGTACAAATCGAAGACCCTATTTTAGATATTCTGTCCAAAATCGCTGATGTCTTTTAAATAAGACGCAATATCCACAGGTTTTATTAAATTGTTCGAATCCATTTGTAGTATTTAACCCTCCGTTGTGGTTACCTCCCTTCGTAAAAAACGCCAAACTTCGCAATTACCGTCTCTTCGTTCCCAACTTATTGGATTGCTATAATTATGATGATAAAAGCCGAAACACAAGGATAAATAACTCTGTATGCGATAAACCGTATGACTATTACCAGAGTTATCGTTCCTTACACTCTGATTAACACCTTGTGTTGTGTATCCATATTAATGGATGCTGAAAGAAATTGTATGACAATATGGAGAGGTGGAAATATATGTGTCCGGCTACAGCGAAACCGGTAAATTATGGTCCTAAAAATGATCTATCGGCATGGATAGACTTCGCTGTTGATGATTCTGTCTTTGTTGTCTTCCTTTGTACTTTGGTCAAAAATTGCTCTCAGATTAGATACAGCCAAAACGGTAAAGGTTAGAAATGCAAGCCACCGACTTTAGATAAACTGTGTTGACGTTTTGGATGTGTGTACGTTTTATTAAACAGGCAATATATATGTCAGTTTTCTGATTTTTACATGAAATGTTTATAAATGTATATATATAGCTTTCTTGTCATTTTCTATTTGTTGTCAATCAATCCATGAGTGCATATAAGATTTATAATAAACTCAATGTTATAACTTTAAATATTTCGATTATTTCTGGTCGTACATATGCAGATCGTTCCTCTCATTAAACACGTGATCTCTTGACCTAGGCACGTGAGAGACTGGTAACATACATGCACTGACCCTAAACTCGAGAAAACTGGATGGTTACTTCCGTCGAACGTTTGTCACAGTATCATGTACTTAACCTTACCCATTGAATTTTGACCTCCTCTTGAGTACGAAACCCAGTGTCTAAGGACGAGTCATGACAATTCTAAACTATTCATACCAACACGTATTTTATAACCGTTGATAATGTTTTTCAAAGAAAGAACTATATTAGTTCCTACGGTCGAGTGTGGACAAACGCTTTACAAAGTGCACTTGTACAATGATGACGTACATTTATACAATCGGTCTACAGAACTATATAGGTGATGTATATTACCCATAGATGCAATCACGTATTTAATTATATGGTATAACATGTAGGAAGCTTTACCAGAACAAGCTGTCACACTACCACTGGTGACAAGTAAATAAGTCCTGTGTGTATACACTGTGACTTATACATATTTACTTTAACCTTACAATACATACAATGTAACTTACACATATTCAAACAAACAGACATATATATACAATTTTATTAAAGAAAGACATAAGGGGAAGTAACTCCTTATTGTTTACGAACTAGATCAGGATTGTATAAGGAAGTAACCCAATATTATGTATATTGAGTTTGAGCATTACTGTGGATTCATTTATTTTCGTTGGGTTCAATTTTCGTTGTTTCTACAAATTAGACAGTTTCGTGGACTCATAAATTCGTGGATTTTTGATTCTGTGGGAAAAAAATAAAAACGTTAGAATTTTCTCTTTTTGCTTCCAGTCGATTTTTTTTCTGTTTGTATTAAGGCTATGTTCACAGGAATTAACACTAATGACAAGAATAAAAGAACGTTTTTTTTTCAAGATGGCGTCCTGCGTTTTTATAACGCTGTTTACAACAGTCTCGCATTAATATCAAACCACAAATCAGTATATATCCTGGCGTGTAATCAATCGGTAATTATCAGAAACAATTGTTTTCAGTGGATAAACATTGTGTGCTGATCAGTCGGTGTACCGCAGTCATATGAAAACACCACGCGTATCGATGGGACCATGTGTGTAAACAGGTGTGTAAACAAGATCTGCATTATTAATAATTATTGTGAATAGTCGGATAGAAATACGGATCCAATCTTCACACAGGATGGTCCGATCAAGCCAGTGTCCACAGTGTCGCTAACGACTGCGATCCCATCATACTTAGCATCACAATGGGTACTTACCCTTTGTTATGTGTAATAATATATAATTATATATCGTTGACACCAATTTAGCGTATCCATGTCGATCAGATACCGACTCCCGACTAATTACGGGGCTTCTGTCATTACCGGTGGACGTTTCCGGTGTCGGCAAAGATTACTTGGTCAAATTCCAAAATTACTTTAGTAAGTAGTTCATATTTCGTTGTGTTTTTAAATTCGTGGATTTGCTCATCCACGAAAACAACGAAAATTGGACCCCCACGAAATAAAATGAATCCACAGTAATCAAGATGATCACGTCTGAGATAGTTTCGTATTCTTAATTTTGGCTTGATGAGTTCAAATATTTGTTGAATTTAGATTTTTTCTCCCAGCAGAGAAGGCCACACAAAGTCCATATGCACAACACACTGGCCAACAGTTTGGGTTTAAAACCCAATTTCAACAAATAGATATACATAGTTTGCAAGTAAGGTTACAACAAGTGCTATTTATAATATGAAGATTGCTTATTTAGATAAGAAGGAGTTACTTCATATCGTTACATAAGTGAAAGCAGCCATCTTAGATGCCCAGACCAGACACATTGTATTTAATTCTAGTATAGTAGGGGAAATGTAAGAGATGATAATTCATAATAATACATCAGGTATTTGTAGTACTGCTTTAACTTACACATATTTCCACTTACCTTACAATACATACAATGTAACTTACACGTATTTACACTAACCTTACGATACATACAATGTAACTTACATGTATTTCCACTAACCTTACAATACATACAATGTAACTTACACGTATTTCCACTAACCTTACGATACATACAATGTAACTTACATGTATTTCCACTAACCTTACAATACATACAATGTAACTTACACGTATTTACACTAACCTTACGATACATACAATGTAACTTACATGTATTTCCACTAACCTTACGATACATACAATGTAACTTACATGTATTTCCACTAACCTTACAATACATACAATGTAACTTACACGTATTTCCACTAACCTTACAATACATACAATGTAACTTACACGTATTTAACCACTATACAATGTAACTTACATGTATTTCCACTAACCTTACAATACATACAATGTAACTTACACGTATTTCCACTAACCTTACAATACATACAATGTAACTTACACGTATTTCCACTAACCTTACAATACATACAATGTAACTTACATGTATTTCCACTAACCTTACAATACATACAATGTAACTTACACGTATTTACACTAACCTTACGATACATACAATGTAACATACATGTATTTCCACTAACCTTACAATACATACCATGTAACTTACATGTATTTCCACTAACCTTACAATACATACAATGTAACATACATATATTCTCTTTAAAAGAGGAAGGTTGAATCATACAGATGTACATACCGAATGCAAGAAATGCACTGTAAGAATCATAACTCGACAGTTAAGGTCCACTTTTTAACACCGAAATATGTTCATGATTATTTCTCTCTTGTTCTGTACCCTCGAGATAAATATTGAATTAGTGGTGTGACACCACAGCGTTATTTATTATTGCCGTGATGCCGCACTTTTGATGCAGAAAAGAAATTTACCCTGTTTCAACCATATCGTGAGACAAGAATACGTACAGAGCACATCTCAAGCTCAAGCCTCATGCTGGCCTTTCTCTGCCGCCATTGGCTGTCGAGCTCATCGCTAGGCCAGGCAGAGTGAAACGAAGGGCAATAACTCTGGGAGATCAGAATGCATGCTGTGCATCCAAACTTCTACGCGAGAGCAGAGATATCCCCCTTCACGACGTAAATCCACCTTTAGTCATTTTCTCTTGCACGTTGCACGTATTGAAAATTACACATGGATTAGGAGTCAAATTGTTAATATTATCCATTTGTGAAATCATTAGTAGCGTCATTTAGCGCGTGCCAGCTATATTTTCCATTTGGACCGAGACAAAAATTAATTTTACGATATATTTCATTGTAACATTAAAACCCATAATTAAGTCACAAAGTTTCATCTGAAAATTTCCAACTCACCTGGCCAAGATCGACATCTGAGAAGCAAAATGTAAAAGTTTCAACCAATTATGTTACGTATTTTCTGGAGCTGATACACTTCAATGTGTGTCACCAACGTTAATTCTATACATCCGGGTCAGGGCTAGAGATGAAAACAGGACATTTAACTCAGGATCTTGCAGCACAAAATGTTTAATATAAATGATTTTACACACTGATGGTAAGATTATCAGCTCTACTATAGATCTACATCAGATTCAAAGAGGCATATTATTTTTTTCCTAATATACATACATTTTTAGGGACTTCATCCAGGTCTGAACGCGGAAGTATTCAATTGTTGTCTCAGTCCATATATTCCTTGTGTGAAATGGGAATGAGTTGGGTAAATTTCAACCCAATGGTTGAACTACATACTGTATCATGTAGTGTTGTTGTTTTACAAATATATCAATATTTGGCGCATTGATGACGGTTTTGAATGATTAACATGAGGTCATTTGTTACTGCCCCGAAATTCGCTAATTGGAAAGGACTACCGCGTGGTAAATATAAATATCAGCCAATCAAAATAAGAGGATTAATAGCCATGACCTGTCGTTGTATTGTTGACGTGAAGTCTAGCAGAGTGTAGAAAAACTACGGCAGGCAATAAAGTCTACCCCAGCCCCTCCCCCAATCTATTTTGGCGACACACATCTCATGAGAAATCGATGAATCTATGAAAAGGTTTTAAAAAAAAACTTCGAATTAATTACTGTTTTTAAGGTATACGTGAACAACAATTGAACATAAGTCTCCCTCATAGCAAGCCTCGCGCTAACCAGCAAATCGCTTACACTCCCTCATAGCAAGCCTCGCGCTAACCAGCAAATCGCTTACACTCCCTCATAGCAAGCCTCGCGCTAACCAACAATTCACTGACACTCCAAATATCCCTGTCTACAAAACAGACCCATGTGAGATTCTATTAATCTCAACCCAGTAAAAGTGTAGATATACATCGCCTAAGGAAAACGACTTTGTTACAGAATGCCTCCACCGAGATGAATCGCTATTAATACTTACACATTGTATGCAGGCAACAATTTTTTTTTATCTTGTACATTATTTCCGATTACTTTCTTTTACGGTTAAACGTCAGGAAGAGAATTTAATATGGCGTCATTTTACTTGTTACGACATTTGGCAACATATAACAGTAATTTCTGAATCACTGAAAACATGTACGCTCCATATGTACATGTATAACCGAGAAATCTTTCTCTCGTGTACAATGTAGTAACCTGATCTTAAAAATACGTGAACATTTCGAAAAAATATTGAAAATAAAAATGTTATTCTTTTCTTCCTCTATCATTGGTGTCATGAACTGAATAAAATATATGTAACACAGTTCATGTGTATCTTGTTCGGGAACCATTCCTCTTTGGCTGTAACAATCAAATTGTTGACCACTTGAACTCTAAGCTCAGCATCTGCAACACAACAAACCCGGGTCAAAATGTAGAACTTGCTTCATGAGTCACATCATCACGCGTCTTGTGTACGTCGAGGTACATGGCAATGACGTAGACGAATATATGTAGAACATAAACAACGGACCTATTCGTTATTGACCAGTACCCATATAAAGTATGATATATACTATCATTCAATCACACCATCACTGGTTGCAGTAACAGCAGAAGCTAGTATTTTGATGGTGAGTTTCCCAGTAACACTTTCTATAAGATCAAATGTTTCATACAGAAGGTGTATCAACACTGGAATCACGTGCGAAATAAATTGCGCACACTTTACCACAAAATATATATCTATTTCAAGATTGCGTCTTTTCTAAGTCTGTGGTGTTACAGTGTACTTCCGATTTATGTATGTTAGTTCCCTGATACAATATTGCACAAACACAAGCTGTTTTTATCACAAATATACATGTTCCATGTTAAGTGCAATCATATGATAGTAAAAAAAACCACAATGTTTTTATACAAACATACATTATTTAAACACTCTCATACAGGGTGTATTATTACTTTTAATAGAAAGTAGAAATCGAAACTTTCCAGACAATAACATCTAAATAAAAGTCTACGACTGATCATTTCAAGTATTTACAAAGTAGTGTGCGATTACCTAGGTCACGCCTGATCATACATTTTATCGTCTCTTATTGTGTGTAGTCTTCAATGTGACGTCACAATGTGATGACGTTTGTCTTTTTTCGGTCATAGATATCAATCAATTGCAGAAATTCCTCCCATCTATGGTGGTCGTTATGTTGGTCAAGTTGTCCACCATCGTTTCCTATATATGTGTGCACGATTTAAGAAATCTTAATTTCTTCAACAAACCTGCAAAATCACACAATGATTTGTAAAGTTTATTTCAATCTGTAAACCAAAGCTTTGTTACTGGTCTCAGTTAATGTTAGACCCAGTATTTCAACTCTGAAATGTTGCTGATTCACGTTTTCGCCCAGAACTTGAAAACTCCAAGAAAGGTCAATTTAACGACCTTGCCAATGGTCTGACAGCTTGGGAAAGGTTTCTGAGTGCCTTGAAAGGGGTTATGGGAGGGAGGCTTGTTGATACGATAAACCATGGCCTGACTACCCAGGAGGGGGTCTTGTTGATATTATGACCCATGACCTGACTGGGTGGGGGTTGGTTCTTGTAGATAGGATGACCAGTGGAATGACTGCCAGAAAGGTGTATGTTTATGTAATGACCGACGGCCTAACTGCTGGGGATTAATGACGCAGAGTGCACGCGTGTTTTGGAGGAGGCTGACTCACTTCCTCGTAAACAGCATCTCCATTCCTAGATGGGGGGGTGAAGACATCGAAATACGTATAAGAAAGACAACCTTACTACATTGTATTGTAATAACAAAAGCAGACTTAGGTAATATATAGCTTTAAGTTACATTTATAACGATAACTACAGCTTTCTGTAACAGCACGTAGGTTTGCATGTAGCCTGAATCTTCCTACCTTCACAGATTGCTATAATGGACCCGTCCTCATCACATGTTTAAAGTAGGTACGCGGCCCCTCTGGTACACAAAGAAAATTGACATGTCGAAGTACGTACTGATCGTGTTGCTGGCGCTGGCGGCCGTGTGCGCCCTGACCGAGGCTCATCGGAGACAAAGACCCACGAGACCAGGTCGTAGGGTAGTGGACCGACAGCCAAGGCTGGCATGGAGAGTCCGACAGTTCATGCAAAAGTATGTACAGTTTTGTATGTTACATATGCCTGACATTGTTGCAGCCTTAATCCGATTTATTTTTTCCATGTCATTTTTTTCTATAATTGCATGGTTGAGAATGATCCAAGATCACATGTACCTTTACCTGTAGTCCCTGCATGTCATATATTTATTACATCGGCATTGACCCTGATTTCCGGGAAAGTCATACATCTTCGCAAGGTAATTTCGTCTTTCCATTTAATTTAATTTGTATTTAATAAAAAAAAATCGAGTCTAGTTATGCATATTATTTTTCAGTTATACAATGTAGTCAGTATTTGGTAAATGTAAAATTTGTTATACACGTCTCCGATAAGGAGTGAAAATTTTCCGTTAGAAAAGTTGAGGGATAATCTGAGAGTTTCACTGCATGCCGGCCCCATGTGCCGAGGTAACACAATCCTTTTCTTCGTTACGCATTATGTAGGGTTTCTGTCATCTATCTAATATCCTCTTTCTTACAATGTGTGTGGTAACCTTCGGTCGTCCAATCATTCTTGTGTCGTTTTCTCCTTAATTCACCCGAAATCATTCGAAAATTATTTCTAGACTCTAATGCAAGTCGATATTGGACCAGTCTGGAATTTAACTCGTTTTGTTCGATTCTGCTAAAGGAGACATAGCAATGTTTACATGCGCTACAGTATACAAACATTGTGTCCCTCCTGATTACGTTACAATTTTAAAGTGTAACATCATGATTGTCTTGTCCCTCGTGCCTATGTGACAGTTTTACAGGGTAACACTTTGTACCTAGTGACTACAGTAACATCACTAACATTATGGTGTAACACTTTTGTAACGCCTTGTGGTCTCGTGACACTTTATACCTCTTGACTGTTGGACTTCCCGTTTCGGTTACACATTGTGAGACCGCAACAGATCTCTGTTTGTTGTTATACTTACTGATCGGTATGTTGAAGAAGCTGACACTAAAATGAAAGCAAACTGCACTTCAATATGGAAAAGAGATTTTTCTTTTCGAACATCATTCGTCAACTCGGTCGACTGGAGAGTTGGCCATCGTAACCTCGGGTAAAGAAACGAGGTACGTGGTTCGACGCTCCCTTCCATTTGTGGTTAGTGTTTATCGTGAAAAATGGACCTGACTGTGCTGACGTGTTTGTGCCCTTGGGCAATATCTTTACCCTTACTGCCCTGGACGGACCTCCCGTATGTTATTCAATGAGACAGTCACCACTCTTACAAGGAGATCAACGATAAACCCAGCAAACAAAAATATTAATATAGGACATTTCTTAACTTGAACAGCAAATATTCTTAGACTGCACCTTCACATCTGTCACTAACGCTCCATGTTGTAGAAAACATAATGACGGCTGTTTTTTATCTCTGGCCGGATCTCTACCTTCTCTCTGTACGTGGGTTACATTCACCTAGGTGATTCTGATGCATGCTAGATAGTATCACTGACATAAATATGTCTTCTAAACAAACTGTAATTTATTCATTATCAAAGCATGAATTAACTTAGACAAATAGTATTGTTATTGTTTATGATATATCCGATTAATAAAAGGCGAAACAATGGAAGTAAAACTTTCGTTTGCATGGTTACCAATACTACCGTAATTACTCTACTTACTTTAGAATTCAAATAGCTTTATTCAAGGAGGAAACGATACAAATATATCAATCAAACAGCGTATTTACTACTTTAACATTGGTATGAAGTCAATGGTATACAGGCATAATCTAAATATAGCGATAATTTGTCTGTATCTCTTGGACGTTTTACCACCTTAAAACCGTCAACGCAGTTCAAACGCTGTTCATTACCTACGGATAACCGAATGATGTATCTTACGAAGAACAAGATTTTTCTCATAGACAATCGTGATATCGGGTTGATCACCACGCGGGCATTTTTACAATGTTTAGCTGAATTACCACTTTAGTATATCGAAGCACTGACGAGTGTATCCTTCGGAGTTTCGATACGTCTTCCAAGAACACTTGTTGCTGTTAAGAATAATGAACGTTCAATCAGTAAGGTAGGTCGCTTTTACAACAGATACTATTTGCCGGCTTTGCGTTTACATACAGTTGGTTCAGTCAAGTTTTACTCTTAAATACAGCTAATGTTTGCCGATTGTTTATTAACTCTGATAAATGGAAACGTCTCAAGTAATGCATTGCACGACCAAACTAAATGCATGGGCACTAATTTGATTAGAAACACCTATTCCATATGCCTCTGTCCATTGATCTTCCGGTCCCGGTGTATCCCGGAAGTGGTGCTAAATAATATTGTTATGTCAATCCCAAAAATGTATTATATCATAATACGACTGATTTATAATACAAGTTTATCCCGGAAGTGTCCATCTATTATATCCTATTGTACTCATTATGTCCCTCAAGTGTCCTTTCATTATATTCTTATATTATCCCAGTAGATTCTTGAATTGCCCCTTTATTAAAACAGATGTATATCGGTCTGTCTCTGCTGACACATATACAAGATGTATTTTTGACAATGTAATGTATTATAAGATGATATTTAAAAATATCCTGTAAATGCTACATATGATAAAGTACAAAATGTAACTGCTCAGTAGGTACGGGAGCTTATGAAAAATGGCCATTCATTGCCATGAAATCCTAACATGCTAATTAATTTCTATATTATGTATCGTCAACTATCTACGCCAGTTACCTGTAAAATTTATATATGTTGTTTTCTTTTCAGTTGTGTAAGGAATGGCGGGGGTGAGGCTGAGGAGGAGTTCGATGACCTTGAGGAAGAGGAGGATGTGGAAGTTATGGGACTGACTCCTCTAAACTCTGACGAAGTGGATATGCCAACTGATACCGTCGGTAACGGTGGTGTCGTCAACTCGCGTCGTCGTTTACAGCGACGTCAGGAACGCCAAAATCGTAGACAAATGAGACGTCAGGTACGATGGATGCAATCATCAGGGTTCAACAGGATTCAGCAGAGGTATCGGAGAAGAAGACGAAGGGAACGACGAAGGTCAAGATGGTGCGCTAAATTGGAGCGATTCGGTTGCACTCTTCCCGATGATCTGTCGAGCTTTTGCGATGAAAACACTCCTTCTACTGAACTACCAGTTATTCTGTAGAACAGTGTAACCATGTCACCGCTTCGTCAATAAAAACATTGATATTACACTACAAAGCAAATTCTTCACAAATATTCAAAGAATGAATTCTCATAACTTCATCAGATATTTTCTCTACCTCATTCCATTATTCTGAACACGGACCATCCTTGATTTAAAATGGCAACAATGAAAATTGAAGGACAATTTGTTTGTAATGTTGTATTTTTTGTAAAATAATTTCTGTGTTGTTTTGAGACGTACTTGTCAAATAAAACTAGTACCATTTAACATATGTCTTGGATGAAATTCCTGTCTAATATAAACGAACATTGCCTCCTTGGTCCTAGGTACTGGAGACGAAGGTATCTACGTATAGTATAGTTGACTTCTATCTACAGACAGAAGTATAGACACGTGTCGTAATGTAGTCTACTATCTAACGAAGACAGAAGTATAGACACGTGTCGTAATGTAGTCTACAATCTAACGAAGACAGAAGTATAGACACGTGTCGTAATATAGTCTCATATCTATCTAAGACAGGAAACATAGACACGTGTCGTAATGTAGTCTACTATCTAACGAAGACAGAAGTATAGACACGTGTCGTAATGTAGTCTACTATCTAACGAAGACAGAAGTATAGACACGTGTCGTAATGTAGTCTACTATCTAACGAAGACAGAAGTATAGACACGTGTCGTAATGTAGTCTACTATCTAACGAAGACAGAAGTATAGACACGTGTCGTAATGTAGTCTACTATCTAACGAAGACAGAAGTATAGACACGTGTCGTAATGTAGTCTACTATCTAACGAAGACAGAAGTATAGACACTTGTCGTAATGTAGTCTACTATCTAACGAAGACAGAAGTATAGACACGTGTCGTAATGTAGTCTTATATCTAACGAAGACAGAAGTATAGACATGTGTCGTAATGTAGTCTACTATCTAACGAAGACAGAAGTATAGACCCGTGTCGTAATGTAGTCTACTATCTAACGAAGACAGAAGTATAGACACGTGTCGTAATGTAGTCTACTATCTAACGAAGACAGAAGTATAGACACGTGTCGTAATGTAGTCTACTATCTAACGAAGACAGAAGTATAGACACGTGTCGTAATGTAGTCTACTATCTAACGAAGACAGAAGAATAGACACGTGTCTTAATGTAGTCTACTATCTAACGAAGACAGAAGTATAGACACGTGTCGTAATGTAGTCTAATATCTCGGAAGCATAAGTTACATTGTATCTATTGTACCGAAACAATTTCTATCTACTACATACTTACAATATCATCTAGAGATTTTCCTCTGGGCTGAATATTTGTATAATTTACCGGAAATACATTTATTCAGTTAAGTGTAATTACAAAAAACAGATAATGTTTTAAATAGATCAAAATAACTGAATGAGTAAGAAGCGTAGAAAGAGATACAGGATATTATGCCAATCCGAAAAATGTAACAAAAATTATAACATTGTCTCACAAATAAAGGAAGGAATCAGTGATAGACTATAGAATTGTAAGGTAGTGAGGGTTCTGACAAAAAAAATGGTGACAAAGTATATATAATGCAAATATAATGTATTCGAATTAATAAAGGAAAGTAATATATATAATATATATATTATTATCCATGTCATGACATGGTTCAATGCACAATTGTAGAGGACGATGTTAACGACATGGTTCTGAATACACAGTGTTAGAAGACAAGGTAAACAGAATACAGCGAAAGGGATAAGATACAAAACAACCAGAAATATTAAACTACTGGTAGCTATCAGATGGATGATCTTCTCTTAAATATAGTGCGATATCATCTGATACATACCAAACAGTCGAAGGTGAAAAATCTGGGTGGACATTTTAAAATCATAATTCAGATTTCTTTACAAAAATACATTTTTATAACATGATTGTAAACTATCATAAACGTTAAACTGCAAATCACAAATATGCAAACTATCACATAAACTGGGTAAAAACAACTCCTGTGGACTTACAAATGTATCGTTTTACTAACAGACAAAGTGACTGTGAACCCAGTATATGAAGTTTTTACGTTACCTGGCTATATATGACGCGTTACCATAGAAATACATGTCATTTCTAGTGCGTTGATACCCTTCTACCGTTACCATATTATATATATAGTATCAGTATAAAGTGTTTTATGTTTGACTTGGTTTCTATGCACATTTTTATATATATATTTGTAAGCCATCTTTCTTACAAACTGACAATGTTCCTCGTTTAAGCATCAGGGACTATACTTTGCTATGTAGCACAATTGTCACTCGTCCTTCGCTTTAACACTTGTTCATATTATATACTTAACAGAACTGGCACACTGCTACATCGTTGACGGTGTACAGAATCACTGACGATCTCTATAATCATTGGTTATTTTATGATATTAATCTAATGAATCTCTGCGGTTTTTACTCAGCGGCAAAGATGTTTGCATTGTTAACAGTATGTCTATTACAATAAATCCAATCAGATCTCTTATTTCTCTGTGTACCCCGTTATAGCAAGCATGCTTCTGTGATGAGACACCATGATAATAATAATAAACTTTATTTATTTTACAACAATTGCGAAACAAGTTATGTCAACTGATACTAATCACTCTTGTTGGCCCGGATGTAAGCGCGCGAGGGGTCTTACTGTGGGAGGGAACCGGAGTACGCGGGGAAAACCCACGTGGTCGGGCAGGTGACCCCTTACCTTTTCACGCCATGTCACTGTTATTGATTTTTATAGAGCCAGTATAAAGTTCCTGATAGCTTGTACTTATGCAGATAAGAAATGAAAAAATAAGTAGCGTTAACACAAACAAGTGATAATTAATTCTGTAATTTCCTACATCAGATCAATTTAATCAATGTTCTCTAGCCACTTCATGGTTGATAAGGTTAAATAATTCGAAAGCAAATGGAGTTTACATTTTGACAATTTCTGTAATTTACAAACTAGTGAAAATAATATGTTGTATGTATTTTGAATGTTTCCAGTTAAAATAAGATGTAAAGAGAAAAAGGTGATGTTTTTGGGGGCCATTCAAGGCAGCAAGTATACTGAATGTGGATATCTTATTTGGTAACAGAGAAAGTCTAGTATTTGGTTCGTTTTAAAATCGCGATACTATTTTTAAAAAAAACTTGTATCACCTATTCAAATCTTAAAAATGTGATTTGACCAAATCAATAGGTAAACTATGACCATATATAGTTTAGAATGTAGAGTGATGTAATCTAATTGTATAAAATATATCATTGCTTAACTGTTGACAGATTTCATTGTGTTAACTTACTGTGGTAAACCGATAGAATGTCTTGATTGGTTTTCTCTTCTGTAGAATTGAACTTTCCCCTGATTTAGGTAACTGGGATATTTTGATAATTGCATGGTCTTGGACTATTTACGGTATTTAGAATGCCTTCGAATTCCGCACAGCGACTCCAGCATTAAGACACAATACGTTTAATTCAGGTTTGGGCTTGATGACTTCAGCTTTGATGTGGACAAACCAGGCTTTCAATTCAGTATTAACTTCGGTGGCAGGAATGATAACTGGTGGGAGGGGTAAGTAAAACAACGTATAGAACTTGTTTTATTTGAAAATTGAAAAGTCACATATTTCTATATTTCTAGTATACATCTCCATCCACAGTCACATCTCTGGTATACATCTCCATGTACAGTCACATCTCTGGTATACATCACCATACAGTCACATCTCTGGTATACATCTCCATGTACAGTCACATCTCTGGTATATATCACCATGTACAGTCACATCTCTGGTATACATCTCCATGTACAGTCACATCTCTGGTATACATCACCATATAGTCACATCTCTGGTATACATCACCATACAGTCACATCTCTGGTATACATCTCCATGTATACATCTCCATGTACAGTCACATCTCTGGTATACATCACCATTCAGTCACATCTCTGGTATACATCTCCATGTACAGTCACATCTCTGGTATACATCACCATACAGTCACATCTCTGGTATACATCTCCATGTACAGTCACATCTCTGGTATACATCTCCATGTACAGTCACATCTCTGGTATACATCACCATTCCGTCACATCTCTGGTATACATCACCATTCAGTCACATCTCTGGTATACATCACCATTCAGTCACATCTCTGGTATACATCACCATTCAGTCACATCTCTGGTATACATCACCATTCAGTCACATCTCTGGTATACATCTCCATGTACAGTCACATCTCTGGTATACATCTCCATGTACAGTCACATCCCTGGTATACATCACCATTCAGTCACATCTCTGGTATACATCCCCATTCAGTCACATCTCTGGTATACATCACCATGTACAGTCACATCTCTGGTATACATCTCCATACAGTCACATCTCTGGTATACATCACCATGTACAGTCACATCTCTGGTATACATCTCCATGTACAGTCACATCTCTGGTATACATCTCCATGTACAGTCACATCTCTGGTATACATCACCATTCAGTCACATCTCTGGTATACATCACCATTCAGTCACATCTCTGGTATACATCTCCATGTACAGTCACATCTCTGGTATACATCTCCATGTACAGTCACATCTCTGGTATACATCACCATGTACAGTCACATCTCTGGTATACATCACCATTCAGTCACATCTCTGGTATACATCTCCATGTACAGTCACATCTCTGGTATACATCTCCATGTACAGTCACATCTCTGGTATACATCACCATTCAGTCACATCTCTGGTATACATCTCCATGTACAGTCACATCTCTGGTATACATCTCCATGTACAGTCACATCTCTGGTATACATCTCCATGTACAGTCACATCTCTGGTATACATCACCATTCAGTCACATCTCTGGTATACATCACCATGTACAGTCACATCTCTGGTATACATCACCATTCAGTCACATCTCTGGTATACATCACCATGTACAGTCACATCTCTGGTATACATCACCATTCAGTCACATCTCTGGTATACATCACCATACAGTCACATCTCTGGTATACATCACCATGTACAGTCACATCTCTGGTATACATCACCATGTACAGTCACATCTCTGGTATACATCACCATGTACAGTCACATCTCTGGTATATATCTCCATGTACAGTCACATCTCTGGTATACATCACCATTCAGTCACATCTCTGGTATACATCACCATGTACAGTCACATCTCTGGTATACATCACCATACAGTCACATCTCGGGTATACATCTCCATGTACATTCACATCTCTGGTATACATCTCCATGTACAGTCACATCTCTGGTATATATCTCCATGTACAGTCACATCTCTGGTATACATCTCCATGTACAGTCACATCTCTGGTATACATCTCCATGTACAGTCACATTTCTGGAATATATCTCCATGTACAGTCACATCTCTGGTATATATCTCCATGTACATTCACATCTCTGGTATACATCTCCATGTACAGTCACATCTCTAGTATATATCTCCATGAACAGTCACATCTTTGGTATACAGGTATATACAGTCACATCTCTGAAATATATCTCCATGTACAGTCACATCTCTGGTATATATCTCCATGAACAGTCACATCTCTGGTATACAGGTATATACAGTCACATCTCTGGTATACATCACCATTCAGTCACATCTCTGGTATACATCTCCATGTACAGTCACATTTCTGGAATATATCTCCATGTACAGTCACACCTCTGGTATACATCACCATACAGTCACATCTCTGGTATACATCTCCATGTACAGTCACATCTCTGGTATAAATCTCCATGTACAGTCACATCTCTGGTATACATCTCCATGTACAGTCACATCTCTGGTATAAATCACCATGAACACACACATCTCTGGTAAACATCACGGTTCAGTCACATCTCTGGTATACATCACCATACAGTCACATCTCTGGTCAGTCACATCTCTGGTATACATCTCCATACAGTCACATCTCTGGTATACATACAGTCACATGGTACAGTCACATCTCTGGTATACATCACCATACAGTCACATCTCTGGTATACATCTCCATGTACGGTCACATCTCTGGTATACATCACCATTCAGTCACATCTCTGGTATACATCTCCATGTACAGTCACATCTCTGGTATACATCTCCATGTACAGTCACATCTCTGGTATACATCACCATGTACAGTCACATCTCTGGTATACATCACCATTCAGTCACATCTCTGGTATACATCACCATACAGTCATATCTCTTGTATATATCTCCATGTACAGTCACATCTCGGGTATACATCACCATTCAGTCACATCTCTGGTATACATCTCCATGTACAGTCACATCTCTGGTATATATCTCCATTACAGTCACATCTCTGGTATACATCTCCATGTACAGTCACATCTCTGGTATACATCTCCATGTACAGTCACATCTCTGGTATATATCTCCATGTACAGTCACATCTCTGGTATACATCTCCATGTACAGTCACATCTCTGGTATACATCTCCATGTACAGTCACATCTCTGGTATACATCACCATGTACAGTCACATCTCTGGTATACATCTCCATGTACAGTCACATCTCTGGTATACATCATCTCTGGTATACATCTCCATGTACAGTCACATCTCTGGTATACCATGTACAGTCACATCTCTGGTATACATCTACAGTCACATGGTATACATATGTACAGTCACATCTCTGGTATACATCACCATTCACACACACCTCTGTGCTATATCTCACTTTACATTCTCATCTCTGGTATACATCACCATGTACAGTCACATCTCTGGTATACATCTCCATGTACAGTCACATCTCTGGTATACATCACCATGTACAGTCACATCTCTGGTATACATCACCATGTACAGTATATACATCACCATCAGTCACATCTGGTATACATCACCACAGTCACATCTCTGGTATACATCACCATACAGTCACAGTATATATCACATCTCACTGGTATACATCACCATATACAGTATACATCACCATGTACAGTCACATCTCTGGTATATATCTCCATGTACAGTCACATCTCTGGTACAGTCACATCACCATCAGTCACATCTCTGGTATACATCTCCATGTACAGTCACATTTCTGGTATACATCACCATGTACAGTCACATCTCTGGTATACATCACCATACAGTCACATCTCGGGTATACATCTCCATGTACATTCACATCTCTGGTATACATCTCCATGTACAGTCACATCTCTGGTATATCTCCATGTCACACATCTCTGGTATACATACAGTCACATCTCTGGTATACATCTCCATGTACAGTCACATCTCTGGTATATATCTCCATGTACAGTCACATCTCTGGTATACATCACCATTCACTCACAACTCTGGTATACATCACCAGGTACAGTCACATCTCTGGTATACATCTCCATGTACAGTCACATCTCTGGTATATATCTCCATGTACAGTCACATCTCTGGTATATATCTCCATGTACAGTCACATCTCTGGTCCATACATCACATCTCCATGTACATCTCTGGTATACATCACCGTCACATCTCTGGTATACATCTCCATGTACAGTCACATTTCTGGAATATATCTCCATCTACAGTCACATCTCTGGTATACATCACCATTCAGTCACATCTCTGGTATACATCACCATTCAGTCACATCTCTGGTATACATCACCATTTACAGTCACATCTCTGGTATATATCTCCATGTACAGTCACATCTCTGGTATACATCACCATGTACAGTCACATCTCTGGTATACATCACCATTCAGTCACAACTCTGGTATACATCTCCATGTACAGTCACATCTCTGGTATACATCTCCATGTACAGTCACATCTCTGGTATACATCACCATTCAGTCACATCTCTGGTATACATCTCCATGTACAGTCACATCTCTGGTATACATCTCCATGTACAGTCACATCTCTGGTATACATCACCATTCAGTCACATCTCTGGTATACATCTCCATGTACAGTCACATCTCTGGTATACATCTCCATGTACAGTCACATCTCTGGTATACATCTCCATGTACAGTCACATCTCTGGTATACATCACCATTCAGTCACATCTCTGGTATACATCACCATACAGTCACATCTCTGGTATACATCACCATACAGTCACATCTCTGGTATACATCACCATGTACAGTCACATCTCTGGTATACATCACCATTCAGTCACATCTCTGGTATACATCACCATACAGTCACATCTCTGGTATACATCACCATGTACAGTCACATCTCTGGTATACATCACCATTCAGTCACATCTCTGGTATACATCTCCATGTACAGTCACATCTCTGGTATATATCTCCATGTACAGTCACATCTCTGGTATACATCACCATTCAGTCACATCTCTGGTATACATCTCCATGTACAGTCACATCTCTGGTATATATCTCCATGTACAGTCACATCTCTGGTATACATCTCCATGTACAGTCACATCTCTGGTATATATCTCCATGTACAGTCACATCTCTGGTATACATCACCATACAGTCACATCTCTGGTATATATCTCCATGTACAGTCACATCTCTGGTATACATCACCATTCAGTCACATCTCTGGTATACATCTCCATGTACAGTCACATCTCTGGTATATATCTCCATGTACAGTCACATCTCTGGTATACATCTCCATGTACAGTCACATCTCTGGTATACATCTCCATGTACAGTCACATTTCTGGAATATATCTCCATGTACAGTCACACCTCTGGTATACATCACCATACAGTCACATCTCTGGTATACATCTCCATGTACAGTCACATTCCTGGAATATATCTCCATGTACGGTCACACCTCTGGTATATATCTCCATGTACAGTCACATCTCTGGTATACATCTCCATGTACAGTCACATTTCTGGTATACATCTCCATGTACAGTCACATTTCTGGAATATATCTCCATGTACAGTCACATCTCTGGTATATATCTCCATGTACAGTCGCATCTCTGGTATACATCTCCATGTACAGTCACATCTCTAGTATATATCTCCATGTACAGTCGCATCTCTGGTATACATCTCCATGTACAGTCACATTCCTGGAATATATCTCCATGTACGGTCACACCTCTGGTATATATCTCCATGTACAGTCACATCTCTGGTATACATCTCCATGTACAGTCACATTTCTGGTATATATCTCCATGTACAGTCACATTTCTGGTATATATCTCCATGTACAGTCACATTTCTGGTAACCACCTTCATAGGAAGTATTCATTTTTTATGAATATTAATTCAAGTTATAATGTGATTGATTCTATAACTTAACTTTTAACATAGTTTTGTAACGTCTTTTGCCAATATACAGTCCGAACGTATGTGAAACGAAAACGACTGATGAACCCCGTGAGGACGCAGAAGAGGTTTCGTTGGACGAAGAAAGTCAACGTCATACATACGGCGTATCAGAATTATGTGATGTCTCACGAACCGTCTACAAATGTACAAAAACGTAAGTTCAAACACATTGATCGTGTGTTTGATTTACCCCAGGCTATGTTGAATCACGCTACAATGTTTACTAGATGTGTTTTTACAAGTGCTCAAATACCAGATATGTTTAAACCAAATAATGTTTTTTTTCTGGTATGGACTGTATATCACAATACTTTCAATGCGGAGATTTTTCTAGTTTTTCGAAATCTCTAACGTTCTTGAATATGTCCTAGTATAGAATAATTTCCACGTGCTGAATTAATCTCACACACCAGATCAATACGAAAAATTCACTTCCTTCATATGGCGTCGAACTTTGAAAAGAAAATTTGACAATATTACCACATCGTACATGATGGTGAATGTTTATTTCGGATTTGTTACGCAAAGAAAACATGGTACACAACTGTTTTAAATTCGAGTTCACTGTGTTGAGTGAGGACGGAATAAGATGCTAATCTGTTATTTGTAAGTGATACTTGATGTTTGCTTCAGTAAGTCTGTGAGAGGAATCGATACCATCACAGTCTTGGCAAAGAAATGTTGTAACGGCTTCACCAGGAAACCATCTGACTTCGGATGTCCGAAAGGTAAGTAATAGATAGACAGGTATTACGCTGAGACTGTAAGGAATAACTGTTGTTACACTTCACTTTGTACACAATGTAACACGAAACGATATCGTGAGGAGAGTTAAGAATCAGTCAGCTGGACAGACACGAGTTAAGGTAAGGTGAGGACGGCATAAGGCTAACTTTAGTGATAAAATAAAAAATGTGTTTATCATACAACAATCGCGAAACAAGTTATTTCAAAGTATACCAATCACTCTTTCACTCTTGTTGGTCCACCTAGATGAAAGGCGAGTACGTTACCACTGCGCCATCTGATCACTTTAGTAATGTTGAATCAGAGGAAACTTGAAGGGTATTCCTGTAGCCAATTAACTATACTTGTTTGTTGTAGTTAAGTCAGTTAGCTATACTTGTTTGTTGTAGTTAAGTCAGTTAACTATATTTGTTTGTTGTATGTTAGTCAGTTAATTTTATTTGTTTGTTGTATGTTAGTCAATTAACTATACTTGTTTGTTGTAGTTAAGTCAGTTAGCTATACTTGTTTGTTGTAGTTAAGTCAGTTAACTATATTTGTTTGTTGTTTTGAAGTCAGTTAAATATGTTTGTTTGTCAGGTTTGCGTTTATGTTAAAGATGTTGTTACATGTTGTACAGAGGTTCACCTACAAGATCTCAACAGCACCGCGCACAGTCTTGGACTACAGGAGTTCTTAGAAACTGCCAACAATGTAGACCTTACAGAGTCACTAAGGACGGGAAACTTCACAGTGTTTGCACCAACAGATGATGCCTTCAGTGAATTCGGACAGGTCCTGCCGCCCTCAAGCGGGATCGATTTGGTACGCTTATAGTGAAACAAAAACATCCCTTGTGCTTTCATTGACTTGTATTATCATTATCATAATATTAGGATTAATTAAAAGAGATATGGGGTGTCTGTTGTATGATGTAGTTATCTATATTATTAATGTGTCGGGAGTGATAGGGATATCGTGTGTCCATTAATGACAGAATGTCCCGATGTTGTTTTTACATTTGTTGGTGTTTGATACATATTTGATACAGGATATGGGATCCGTTTTGATGTTATCCGATTCGATGATAGAAGATCTGACTGACAAGATAGCTGGTGTAATGTTGGGGCACCTTGCAGTTGGCGCCATCCCAACTTCGTCAATGTATGACGAACAACTGATCGAGACACTCAGCCCATTCAACTCAAAGATCCGCATCAACTTTTATGATAACACCGGTACCAGGGTACGTGTTATCCCGTTATGTATCTATACTGATAGAAACATTTGAGACATTAACATTGCACTGTTTAATAACGAAATGATGCATGTACATATCAATTTCTAGTTACTTAGATGATGGCGGGTCTGATGTCATTTTACTCGAATTTGTTTTTAAGAAAAGATAGTGGGTTTTTTTCATAGCTGTTACTTTACATCTAAATTACATGCTAGAATGATTTTCAATATAGATCATGTTGGCAAACTGCCAAAGAGTGACGTCAGCCGACAACATGGCAAGAAATGGCGTCATTCATGTGGTGGATCAAGTCTTGACCCCCGTCACCAAGTCCATTATTGACATTATTTCCAAGGACCCTAATCTCAGCTTCCTCAAAACTGGTGAGTCTGGCGTTAGAGTTTACAGCAGCATGTAAGGTCTACGTGTGTAAATAATTGTTCAAATACCAATATCTCGCGTAAATTTAATCAAACTCAATACAAACTACCATTGTACTAATTGCTTGAGTCACAACGACTCCTTCGAATATTGAATGTGAATCCGTTGACAATATAATTCTATTTCATCCATTAGCACTTGGAAAGACAGCACTAACCTCGTCGCTTCGGGAGGACGGCCAGTTCACCATATACGCACCAACTGACGCGGCATTCCGTAAGCTAGACCGGGGCCTGCTCGATAGACTTTTCAACCGATCGGCATGTCTCAAAAGTATGTATTTCAATGTATAGATTTATACAAGTCGATATACCCTATTGAGGGCGTACATCATAACGACATAATGTATTGTTGTAAGATTTATATACAGGAGTTTAAAAGAATAAAATGAAGTAAATCTAGATTTTTTTTCTAACCTAAGTGTAAATGCAGCAAATACCTAGCACAAGTTAATTCGTTGTTTTCATTTTTAAACAGTCTGCAAGGTTTTATATCAGACGTAATCGATTGTTGTGTTATATCATGTATTTAACTTGCAACACATCTTTCCATTTCTCTCCTAAAGAGGTGTTGCAGGACCATATTCTTCCTAACGTGATTTGCTCAGCTGCCGTGCAGGGTCAGTCAAGAACACGGACAGTATTGAATACATATCTGCATCTGACACGGGACGAGGACGATAAGCTGTTTGTACAGGACCATCAGGTGGTAGCCTCAGATATCATGGCGACCAATGGCGTCATTCACCTCGTCGACAGCGTCCTATTCCTTGATCGCGGTAGGACGGACTCTCCCTATATTATTATGATTAAACGTTATTACGTCAAAGTCAGTAGTTTCGTGTCGTTAGCCCTATTTGTCCTACTGTCTTCATTTATGATGCTAGTAATTAAGTCTTCCTGTTCGTATCACCATCCCTCCGATGTATTCCCGTCTTCCTTATTCTATTGCCTACATTGCTATTTTTGTATCTACAGTTATGGGTGTGCTGGACGTGGTCGATAACAAAGTGCCGAACTTCACGGACTTAGTTCGTCTTGCAGGCTTGGAGGAACGTTTACAGAATGCTGAAGACATTACAATTTTCGCTCCAACAGAAAAGGCTCTCTTAGTAAGTATCCATTTTCTCCCACTTTTCAATGCAATTTACTGCTGTAACAACATTAAGTCTTAATCAATCGTCTCCGTGTTTTCAAGACGTTTGACCGGTACAAAATGTGCAACATACCAGTTTTACTGTTAATGGGTAACGATATGGGTTCTTATCAAAAATAATTAATAACAGTACAAATTAGTCTAGCTTGATGGTCAATTGTTGTAAGGTATTTGTTATGGTTGATACCAAGTATATCACAGTAAACAATGCCATTAACGATTATCACTTGAATAAGCAGGGTCTCGACCCAGACGTGCTGGAGGTCCTGATGAACGACACGTCAGCCTTGAGGGATGTCCTGAAATATCATGTTGTTACTGGTGTTTACACCACCAAATCGTTCTATAACGACCAGCGTCTTGACACTCTAAATGACGACAATCAAATTCGCATCAACAAGCACACGAAAATGGTAACTAACTTTTGTATACTAACTTCGCACTATTTCGTTCTACTGTACAGAGTAACTAATTATCGGTACTTCTAGGTTCCTGAATGCAGTCACAGAATTATTTTTTAAAAGAGTTCAGCATGCGTGATCCGATTCTTAGTTCACAATCCGACATATTTGTTTATGATTGTTTTTACCTTTGACGATCAAATTTATCATTTTGAATTTAAACTGAAAAATAAAAGCGGATATCCCTGATAATCAGCAGCTACTTACGTTGTCGACATCACTAAATCCTCTTCATGACATACCCAATCGCTAATTCGATAAGATGAAAGTAGATTCCATAAAAGTAAAACAGTGATACAGCTTTTCATAGTGAGAGAATATAACATGTCATACATTAACAGGTACCTCGACATCTCTGAGGATTATGTTAAGTATTGGAATGAATTCTCAGGAATTCCAAAATATGCTATTCTGATATTTGTCTCAGTCAAAGAAGACACTGATCAGATATAACAGTTCAAAACTGTCCTTCCCGGGAGCCGATTTGTCACTGGCCTCGTCTTCAAATCGGGTTTCAATATTAATTTCAAACCATCCCCAACGCACTGGAAGTATAAACTTTTTCGTTGAAGAAAAGTTTTAAGTACACAACGTTTTTGAAATCCAATATACTAACGTGATAATTTGTCCCTTTTTCCGTAGCGACGTGAATCTGCCGGAATGGCTCAGTGTGTTCCAATAGTCAGCAGTTCCGCTAGGATTTGTAATGGTATTGTCCATTTCATTGACAAGGTTTGTGCCAATGGATATGAAAATTTCACTTCCCTTTTACTTTGTTATTTAATTTGTTGTATACACCCTTCATATCTGCATAGTATAACTTTGTCATATTGTGTAACTTTTATTAAAAACCTTACGTACTCTCAATTTTTCCGCCGCCTATATTTTCCACTTTCTTCAATTACCCTCCACATTATACTGTAAAAAATAGAAATCTTCAATAAAATGGGAATCTCCAAATAAAGTGACTACCTATGTCCTTCAATGTCATACAACTAACAATCCTGTATATATAGTATAACTACCTATGTCCTTCAATGTCATACAACTAACAATCTTGTATATGTAGTATAACTACCTATGTCCTTCAATGTCATACAACTAACAATCTTGTATATGTAGTATAACTACCTATGTCCTTCAATGTCATACAACTAACAATCTTGTATATGTAGTATAACTACCTATGTCCTTCAATGTCATACAACTAACAATCTTGTATATGTAGTATAACTACCTATGTCCATCAATGTCATACAACTAACAATCTTGTATATATAATATAACTACCTATGTCCTTCAATGTCATACAACTAACAATCTTGTATATGTAGTATAACTACCTATGTCCTTCAATGTCATACAACTAACAATCTTGTATATATAATATAACTACCTATGTCCTTCAATGTCATACAACTAACAATCTTGTATATGTAGTATAACTACCTATGTCCTTCAATGTCATACAACTAACAATCTTGTATATGTAGTATAACTACCTATGTCCTTCAGTGTCATACAACTAACAATCCTGTATATATAGTATAACTACCTATGTCCTTCAATGTCATACAACTAACAATCTTGTATACATAGTATCTTTGGTCGCTTTGCTTTACTTGTGGATTAAAGAATTCAATTAAATTATGCGAAGTTCTGTTATTGCGAAACATGGGTATCATCCTTGGCTATGGCCATAATGCATTTGTTTACCTTTCTGAACAAAGAAATTATTCCATAATAAGTCACGAATTTTTCACATGTTCTGACATCAAAGAAAGGCATATCTGCGTATTACTACCTGTATCAGATGATGCCACCTTGTAGTGACACTTTTCTTTGACAGGTATTGATTCCTCCCCGTTACAGTATCATGCAAATCCTCCGCCGTTACGCTCGCTTCTCCAAGTTCGTGCAGTTAATACAGCAGACGAATCTGGACCAGACGCTAGATGAAGACGAACCATTGACTGTCCTAGCTCTTACTAACGAGGTATATCATATATATACTGTTGATGACTTCATTTGAAGTGAAACCATCTTTTGATACAAACTTAGAATTTGATACCGTACAGCCAAACAATTAAACTGCATCATGCAGCTGTTTCCATCTTCAAGGACTCGTCAGGAGGCAACTGCGGAAAATTCAAAGCGACCGAAAGACTTGTAGGAGGAGGTGCACTAGCTAGTACTATAATCAATAGAAAATGATGTCCACCTGACTTCTCCCTCAATACGCTCTGACTTCTCTATCAATACGTTTCCATTGGTACATATACAACTTAAATAAAATGGTTCTTTTATCTTAATGAAATTGGTCATATCAAATATCATGTTCATATTTCATACAAAGTCTACTGGTTTCTATTTACTTCCACAGGCCTTCGACAACTTACCACGTGATGTAGCTGATGTCTTACAAGGAAACGACATACGACAGATTGAAAAACTGGTTTACTCAAATGTTATAAGAAGTAAGCCAATTAGAATATTAAGCAATTTAATTACTGTATATGTGAATCGGTGCAAATAAACGAGACGTGCATACCATGCATGCCGTTCATCACAAAAAGTGGTGCTTCATATATTTATGTTACTCTTGCAGGGACCATCTGTTGTCATGCCATCCAGAACTGGTTCTTCATGAGAAGGTCGCATGTATGGACCCTTAATGGGGATGTTTTGACTGTGAGCTCCAAGTATGGCAAAACGTCTGTTGGCCGTGCCACCGTGACGGAGTGTGACCTGACTGCCACAAATGGGGTAATCCAGGTTGTCGATGGATTCGCTGCTAGTGTGAAAAGATGGGACTTCTGGTGGTGGTGATTTTTCTAGCCAACCCATCACCTGCCGTATCATTGCTTATCTCCCCTGTATCTCCATTCCGATCTCTTCAGGATTACTTCCATATGCACAGCGGAATACACGTCGTTACGTACAAGTGTCCATATGTCGTTTTGTCCTCTTTACATTTTATGTGACTTCACTATCATTTTTATTTTTCATTGTTAAGTTTGAGTCAGATATTTTCTTCAGTAGTGCTTAGTGTTCTTTTTTCTTCACAAATGATCTTTGTATTTTTTCAAATAAAAAGGATTTTAGTCATTGCATAACTTTATTCTTCTTTGTCTTATTTTAAAGTATTTGATTACACTATGTATGTTTCAGAACTTACCAAAGAACAAAGGGTTCGATTTTCGATTTTGTTCACAGATATTATTTTGATAATATCATTTGACATGCAGTTGCGGTCGAGCAATACACATTTTTATTAAGCGGTCAAATTATCAAGATGGGCCACAGCACAACTTACCCGTTTGAGTAAACCATTTGTGTTTTCTTTATTTTTGTTATTTGGGACCGATAAAAGGTCCCATTCCCAACTCAAATTAATTCATATTTAAGCCAAATTCTCAAAATTTACTCCTGAAAATATCCTTCACAATTCACCAATTTTGTTCCCAAAATGGCAAAAACCTCCTGCAACATCTTAAAGTAGCAAATTAACTTTCTGCCTGAATTTGACCGTTCTCTAGGAACGGATGCTCAACACAAACACCCAAAGTGTAATGTTTCCATGTGAGGTGTTAGGAACTAACAATGGACGCAAAGGTTTGTAGCATAATAAGAATATGACGTTTAAAAAATCATTACAGTAATGTGATATGATGTTCTTCGAGTTGTTGAATTTTTCATGCGAGATTCGTGCACCAAGATAAATCTTCAAAATTTCCTATAAAACGAATTCAAAATGTCCAGCCATATTTTCCCCCTCGGCTGTCTTGGCAAAAAGGAAGGTTACAATGCATGGTTTGTGTGTTCAATAAAGTATTCTTAGTCTGTAAAACGAATTCAAAATGTCCAGCCATATTTTCCCCCTCGGCTGCTGGCAATAAAGAAGGTTACAATGCTTTGATTGTGTGTTCAATAAAGTATTCTTAGTCTGTAAAACGAATTCAAAATGTCCAGCCATATTTTCCCCCTCGGCTGCTGGCAATAAAGAAGGTTACAATGCTTTGATTGTGTGTTCAATAAAGTATTCTTAGTCTGTAAAACGAATTCAAAATATCCTGCCATATTTTCCCCCTTGGTTGTCTTGGCAAAAAAGAAGGTTACAATGCATGGTTTGTGTGTTCAATAAAGTATTCTTAGTCTGTAAAACGGGTTCAAAATGTCCAGCCATATTTTCCCCCTCGGCTGCTGGCAATAAAGAAGGTTACAATGCTTTGATTGTGTGTTCAATAAAGTATTCTTAGTCTGTAAATAGAATACGGATAAACTTGTACATCATCATAATCAAAGAAGACTTGCAACCGATTAAAAGACTATCAGCAGAGTTGATTAAAATAATCATAAACATACCAGCTTTACTTCTCTTATCTTCAAATATTGTCGCTTCCACACTCTGCACTCTGTGTATCTGTTATTCATTTATAATTGACATTTGCGATGACCTATATGCACTTTTGGTGTATTCCTTGTTTAGATTACATGTGGCATCAAACTGGCCGAATCAGATCACCTGACCAAGCCTTTATAACAATACCCATCCTGTTAAAAAATACACTGATAAGGCACTTCATTATTATGTTTGCTTTACTTACAAACGTCTGTAACAAAGTGGCTGACTATGAGGGACAGATCCGACAATGACTTTTCATGTAAACCTACCACTGGGGGTAACTGCAAATTATAATGTCATTTGCCCATTTCAGACACAACTTTGATCAGTAAATCAATCTCGCACATCATTCATTACTATGATCACAACTTCAATACAACAATGTAGAAGGTAGATATAAGGACAACATATGGACGGATTGAAGAGATTTCTGTATGTGTGAATAGTCTTTTCCACACCCTCTTGTTTCTTGGTTCTGCTCTTTCTTAATCTGGGTTCTTTCCCAATTCATGCTTTGCAAAGCGTAGTAACTGTAAAAAACAATCACATAAAATTACTTGGAATCAAATTTAACAGCAAATAAAATCTGAGATATCCCTAAAAATAGTAACAAAATCCACTGCTGCCAATCAGCTCATTTCTAATAACAAATCCACATTGAAAACTCTTTGATTAACAGTTTGTATTAATGAAATAGATATAAGCAATAATTAAAATCGAACACAGAAAAAATAATTGAAAATGTAATATATGAGATTATGAATGATTAAGTCAATATCTTACTTCATCTGTCTTCCTAATGTCACTGTAGTCTGTCTTCTGTTGATGTCTTCTGCTTCTTCTGCCACCCTACAAAGAAAAGATGGGTTCAATTAACCTTGCTGACCTTATCTACACTTATGATTCAGACAGATGTATTTTATGCCAATTATATACCTGATGCCTTAGTACAACCAAACGGTGGCAGTGTTTAATTCTGTGAGAATGAAAGTTTTGTAATTTATCAATGAAGAACATCGGATTGATTTGAATGGATTACTTACATGCCAGAATCTACCGTCACTTGGTGAAGCAATTTCATCTCTTAATTTGGCCTTGTCCATATCACTGAGATCAGGAATACTTAAGGAGTCAAGGTACCTGTGGAAACAAGTGTCATTAAGTTAAGGTCATCTTAAAGAAAATGTAATGGATTTAAGATCTTTTGACTTTGAGTCTTTTCTATTTTAACAACAGTGTCGTGGACACAATATACACTGCCACAAAAATATAAAGATTAAAATAAAATGGCATAAATCTTTCAAAAATCAATGAACCGTAAAATCGCCCCTTTATGCACATCCAACCATTGTATTAGTGACATTGAACAAGTTTTATGAAAATCTTATCCTTAGTTCAGAAGGAGTTGCATTCACAAGGCTCCACTATGAGCAAGCTACAGATACAAAGTTGAAAATAGCATAAATCTTACAAAAATCAATGAACCAAAAAATCGCCCCTTCATGCACATCTACCCATTGTAGTAGTGACATTGAGCAAGTTTCATGAAAATCTGAGGATTAGTTTAGGAAGAGTTGCGTTCACAAGAAATGGACGTACAGATGTACAGACAGATGTACGGACAGATAGACGAAGAAAATGACGCTTATATACGACTGCCTCCAGCGGTGTATAAAAAAACAGAAGAGATTAACAGTCTCACCTTAAACATGCATCCAAGTCATTGCGAAGTTTAGCATCATATGCAGAATACTCATCCTGAAGGTCCCTGAAAGGTCAATATTACATTCAAAGAAACAATAAGGGAGACTATATATATTTTTAACTGATTCTTAAAATAAGGCTATGTCTGTAAAATTCTACTCACTGGGCTCTACAAATAATCAGTACTATCTTGGGAATGTCTATATACGTTGTAAATGTCCCTCAAATTTTGAAAGTGACTGGAAATTTTTTTTTATATTTGAATTTATAAAAGTTATTTCGAGAGCACATCATTTGCCTTATAGAATAGAAGTATATAACCAGCTTACATGATCCTCTTTTGAAGAAATCTGACATTTTCTTGCATATTTTGTTTTGATTCCCTCATCCTCTCCTCGAATGCCTGCTGGGCAGCCTGCTTCAGTGATTCGATGTTCTTTTTGTGCTTCACATCACTTGAGTCATACTAACACACACAATATTTCATCATCACTACAAATACTTCTGGAATATCAACTACATTCCAGTAAGCATTGTTACAGTTCATCGGTGTTATCATATTATTTAGTAACTACATTTACTGTTCATATACTTAAATGAATAGAATTCTCCATAATGTATTAAATTTCTACTGTCCACAATTCAAGTCATATGAAAAACAATTCTACATACATCTCTGACCCTCTTAACTGTTTCATTATTTTCAGAGTTATATATTAAAATGTATGAAAATTTAAAATTGCCTGAGGAGTTAACTAGTCACAAGTCAGGTGTGTTGTATTTTTGTTGGGTTTCAGCAGTTGTACAATGTGGCTGTGACTAATTTCCTTCACTTGAAAAGCTATTATTGTAAAAGAATTGGAAGGTAACTTATATAATTGGCAATTACTGGACGAAATCCATACGATACTGTTATTGTAATATGATCTAGTGTATGATATACTTACACTTGGCACTGGCTGTCGTGGAAGCGGTCGAATTGGAATGTTATCAAGTGTCATTACACTGCTGTTCTTTAGTATATCATTCTGATACATGGGATCTCTCTCCACAACATTGCCCTGCATAAAAAAAAACGACAAAATTTTTGGAGTCAATATCTGTATCTGAATCTGAAATTTCTGATTGTATACAAATGTACGAAACATTGTGTTACATAACTGACTTATTCGGTACAAAGAATTAGGTAGGTACATGTTACTATGGAATAAAACACCAGCACAGGAACTAACAAGGTGAAGGACAGATGAGATAAGTAAAAGGTGATATAGGTAATACAAGGGATTTGAGAGTTGAGATAGTTGATATGTGAAATAGGTGATTGGTGATAAGTTGACAGGTGAGTTAAACTATACTGGTGAAGTAAATGACAGGTGTGTGATGGGTGAGGTTACAGTTGAAGTATTAGATTAGTGAAATAGGTGATTGGTGATAAGTTCATAGGTAGGTTAAAAATACTAGTGAGGTAAATGATAGATGCATGTGATTGGTGAGGTTACAGTTGAAGTATTAGATTAGTGAAAAAGGTGATTGGTGATAAGTTCATAGGTAGGTTAAAAATACTAGTGAGGTAAATGATAGATGCAAGTGATTGGTGAGGTTACAGTTGAGGTAAATAATTTGTGGAATGATCACTGGAGAGATTTAACAATTATTAGTGAAATTTGAGTTAGGTGAGAGGTGAGAAAGATGAGAGGTGAGAGATAATAGGTGAGATTTGTGAAGTTAAGTGAAGATAGATGATATGTGACAAAGGCAATTGGTTAAAGGTGAGAAATATCACTGGTGGTACAGATGAAATAAGTGACTGGTAAGGAATAATGTAAGGAACAGGTGAGGCAGATGGCATGAGTTAGGTTGATGCACCATCGGTGTAAGACAAATGATATGTGAGATATAGTAAGTAAAACGTGATGAATGAGGTGACAGTTGAGATCATTTGTACTAGATACAGGTAACTGGACAGATATTGAGTGGTAAGACAGGTGATACAGGAAAAATAAATGTAAGCCATAAATGAAACAGATGAAACGTAAAGGTAAGACAGGTAACATGTAAGACTGAAGACACAAGAAATATTGACAGGTGAGATTTGCAACATGCATGTGATATAAGGTGACATGTAATACTGAAGATCTGAGATACAGGCGACACATGAGTCTGTTTGTTTGCTGACTTAACCGTCTTGTGAAAAACCTGGGCCATTTAGAAACAGGTGAGATATAGTAAGTAAAAGGTGATGAATGAGGTGACAGTTGAGATCATTTGTACTAGATACAGGTAACTGGACAGATGTTGAGTGGTAAGACAGGTGATACAGGAAAAATGCATGTGATATAAGGTGACATGTAACACTGAAGATCTGAGATACAGGCGACACATGAGTCTGTTTGTTTGCTGACTTAACTGCCTGGTGAAAAACCTGGGCCATTAAGAAACAGGTGAGATATACATGTGTAAGACAGATAAAGTATAAGTTCTATGTAAGCTAAGTTATTTGTAATATACTTAAACTTACATGCATGTTGAGGACCTCGAGTTGTTTGAGCTGTGAGAGGACACCCACCACTGTGTGTAACACATGTATACTATTACTAGACACATTCAACACCTGGAGGTGGAAACAGCCGGTCAATGGTAAAATGTGTCTCTGTGGAAATAAAACAGGAGATTAAAGGTAAGTCTAATAAAGTAAATATACATTGAAGTCAACAATTATCTATTTTGGTTTAACAAAACTCTAGATCTCAATCTTTCGCTATCAAATTAATAAAATAACAGTTCATTAGTATACATATAAATTTCCTGAACAAGGTATTCAACTTACTATTTCATTACGCTGGGCATACAGCTCCTTTAGCTTTGGAAGACCTTGGATGCCGTCTAGAGATTCTAACTGAAAATCAAACATGTCAATTATGCAAAATGTAATAAATTTCTGACAGGCAAGATGTAAAATATCAATACAGGCAACCGTTCATTAATAGACACTGAAACACTACTGACCAGTCACTGAAAGATTTCAGAACCATCAAGAACACTATTAACTGGCCTCAAAAAAATCATTGACGGTCTTGAAAAAACACTACTGACCAGCCTCTGACAGATTAATGACCAGCTCTAGAAACACTACTGACATTAACACTACTGAATAAATATACCCCAACACCCTCATCTCTTTTCTTCTGATCTAAAAGTAGTGAGGAATTAATCTATTGAGAAGTTAATTGGAAATCTTGTACACAAACATTTAATTTCAAAAATGGTCATTATTGACATTTGACGTTATCCTTGACCCATGACCACTAAAATCTCACTTGGTGTAGTAATTGATTGTGTGATACTAAGGTGTGAATATATATTAAATCTTTTTAGTGGTTCAGAATCACTACTGACCAGTCTCTGAAGATAACTGGCCATGAAAGATTTGCAACCAACCTCTGAAAGATTACTGACCATTTTCAGAAACAATACTGACCAGTCTCTGAATATAACTGGTCATTTAGAAAGATTACTAACCAACCTCTGAAAGATTACTGAGCAGCTTCAGAAACAAACACTACTGACCATCCGTTTAAAGATTATTACATGAAGTTTTAGAAACATATACTGTCAAAAAACTTAAAATTCATTGACCAACTGCACTACTGACCAGCCTTTGAAAGATAATTGACCAGGTTCAGAGACACTAATCTCCAGCCACTGAGAGATTATTTTAAACAGCTTCAGAAACATGACTGACCAGTCACTGAAAGGTTGCTTACCAGTTTCAGAAATCGGGAGTGACCAGTCATTGAAAGATCACTGACCAGCTCAAGAAACATGACTGACCAGTCACTGAAATATTACTGACTAACTTCAGGACCATGATTTACCAAGCAGTGAAAGGCAGTAAATCTTCTCGGAATAACACATAAAACCTGAGTTTGGCCTCTGATTGGTAACTCCTAATATCTCCTTTATTATTATCTTGCAGCTTGATCTTCATATTAAATGCCCACACCTTTTCATTGCCTCCAGTTCACAATCATCTCCCAACCCACTATGTCCTAACTATCTAAATACTCATTTATCAACAGATTAGCTCACATCGCCCATAAAAATACTAACTCAATAATCCATACAACAACCCACTGTCAATCACAGCGTTTAATCTCACATACTGAATAGTTTCCCACCTAAAGAATTCATCAGTTACACAAAACTTAACTCCTTATTGATGTACATAGATTGACTCACTCAGACATTAACTCAATCAATAATAAAGAAATAGATAAATATCACTGACTCTGTTATCCACTTGTAAATATTAGCTCATGGAATTATATACAATGTATTTATGTAACTATAGACAGCTTGTCTGGAGGTCAACTCACTGAGTTACCCGAAATTAAATAAATTACATAGAGATGAACTCGCCCGTAACCAGTTATCCAGAGAAAACCAAACTCAGTTATGTACTGATAATTAAGGCTATTACTCCACTTCTCTGTGACTATATTTATCACCTTACACGCTGTAAACTCACACTCAGTCTACAATTAAGACATCAATCAGCAAGCAACTTACCTTGTTATTGCTGATATTAAGGATCTCCAGGTTGATGAGACTTGGCAAAAGGGAGATATCCCTAAGCTCATTCATGCTCAGGTTAAGCTCTACTAGAGATGGAATGGCAATCATATTCTCCACTCGTTTGATGGAATTATGTGACAAGTTTAGTGTGTACAGGAACTTAAACACCTCCACTCCTGCAAACCTGGCAACAACAGATAATGCCAAGCAATTTCATGAGAGAAATGAAATTAACTAACTTAATCAGAAACTCTAGAAACAACTTCAAATCAAGGATTTAAAGAATAATATTTTCTTTGATGATGCTCCTGAACAGACAAAACATTCTTACTTGGTTATCCTGTTGAGAGATGCATTGAGCTCTCTGACATTTTTGAATGGTGCTAAGCCTTCATGTTCCAGTGATGTGAGCTCATTAAGAGATAAATCCAACTTTATGATCCTCCTCTGTAGGTCTGACGTAGCTCCAGCACTGAAATAGACCATAGCCATCCTGAACTTAAACTGAAATTAATCTATCTATTAATAAATTTAAATTGAAAGACACATGTAACCACCTTTGATCCTAGCATTATAGAAACAGATATACAGGCCCCTTATATATTTATCAATCTCCATAAAAATGAGTTACAACTATACTATAAGTTAAAAAAAACCTCAGCTAAAATATCCACTGAAATAACACACAGTTCTCTTTTAATTTCTTCTCAAATAGATGAGCACATATCTGCCATTTTTTACCATACACTGATTAGACACACCAATATTCAATACGGTCATCTTCCAATTAACAGGTATATACTTCTGTTCAAGTACAATGTATATCACTCAAAAGAAAAACAAAACAAATGGGAAACATATAGCAATCTGGCCAAAAATTTGATATAACAGGAAGGAAATCTAACCTGTAATGTTAGTGGTAAAAATCCAATCAAAAGGGATGTGGTTGTGAAATTACCTGTCTTTAGCCCAACTGAAATTGTATGTTAGGGCTTTCAACTGACACATTTTGAGGTCGAGTTCGTACAAGGCTCCTTGTAGATCCAACTGCCATTGTGGTCTAGTGAAGGATAGGGGATGTGTATGCTGGTCGACAAACTCCTGAGATAAAGCCATACTGGAGTTCAAATATCATTCATTCCTCACCGTGTTGCACATGTTTGAATCTAAATAGAAGAATTTTGTGTTAGATCAGTACAATAAAAAGTGGTAGTATACGGACTGTAAAATATTTTGTTGATAACTTGATACATATACAGGGTATATATATTATAAATTACGAATTTATAGTAGTGATACAAACAGATTACTTTAACACCATATCTAAGACATATGCTTTATATGAAAGATTGAGCCATCATGTCATTTTCATCTCAAACATGTGTGATCTTATCTGAATATTTTCATCAGGTTGGTAATGTACAAAAAATGTGCATTGAATAATTATAAGGTTACACGACATATATAGCATGATTGAGTTTGTGACCAGTAATTTCTATCAAAATCAAAAAGCTTTTCTATGGATAGATAGACTTGTTCAGTAACAGGTGTTTTGTTTGACATCAGTTAGGGTGTAAGGATATTAATTACATGTGAAATGCAGTTGATCAATACATGTATGCAAAACTAACAACAGAAATATTTAGAAATAAAAGTCATTACAATTAATTTCTTTACTTCATAATTAATGTCCTCAAACCGGATATATTATTTCCGTGTTCCATGTCGTGATATTAGAATAATGAAATAGAGTTAAACTTGACCTAAATAACTCCCACAACAAGGACGTGAGTAAGCACATTTAGTAAATACGTAAATGTGATGAAGTATCGTTGGTATTTATAGTGAAGCTCGGATAGACATGTCAACATATAGTATTTGATAAGCTTTATCCAACAGCCATGACCAGAGCAACGCAAGCTAAATCATGATTTGGAGTTTAACCGTTTCTAGTATGGATATTCATGGAATTCAGAGAGACCGTGCAGAATGAAAAGGATAAGTTCGTGATTTCATTACCCTGGTAAGAAAACATCATCTCTGTAGCGTAACGACAGCGAAAACGAGTAAGAAACATACCTCAGCATGCATGTTGTTATTGTGTTTCCAAGCATGACAGGTCAAGGGAAGCCACTCCCATAAGACATCTATATCAAATAGAAGCTTGTCTTCTATGGTACATACAAATTAATAATATGCTGGTTTGCTTACCGTACACAGTTATGTGTAAATATTTAGACGCACCGTGATTTTATTGAAATTTTGGCCGAACATTATCGCATGGTTTTGCATCATCTGTTTATTTCTTTTATTTCTGATTTGAAGTGCCTCGATATATGTACATGTACAGTGTCATTATGTAGGACATAACACTGTATTGATTGACAGTTGTCACTTTCGTTTCGTCATTGGCAATACCTATACAAGTAGTTTAAAGTGTATGGCAATTATCCAACTTTACGTCTATACAAGGACTCCTAGATGTGACATATTATAATTATAGACATTATATGTAGCTCGCTTGAAAATCTAGAAGCAGATGCATTATATACACATACACATAGGAAACACGCATGGGTATCATATTGCTCTCAAAAACACACACACAATCGCAGCATATCGGAAGCAAATTGTAATTCAAGGAATCATTTAATTTTGATATCAGTTTATCTTTATTTCACGATACAATTCAGAACATATAGAATCAAATGACAGTCATCTCCCTATACACGAATGACACGTCCAAACTGCCGCAGAAGTGTGACATTTTTATCTTCACAATTTGCCTTTTGCTCACAGTAGAGCAGGAAAAATCGTCAAAAAGATGGTGCTGAATTTCATCGTTAACCACAAGCTGATTGATGGTACGTTTTCAGTTAAAAAAAAACAACTCCGATTTATTTTGAAAAAAGTTTGTTGTACTTTCAGCTCTTGATGATGCTTGAGAAATGACCGCTAGAGATGCAATCGTTGTCTCTTACCCTGAACACGTGTATTTAAAACACGTGTTATATGACATAGATGTTGCAAAACAGCGGTTCAAAAGTAAGCATTGTTTTAATTGTGATGTCATAACTTCATTGCAACATATGCATTATTGTTTATTAGTCTAATAAAATGCTATTTATAGAAATGTTGCAAAAGTAAGTTAGGTGATAAACAGAATCTTTCATTCGCTTCCATTTCATTGGAATTTCGTGAAACTCGCCAGAGGCTCGGTAAAACTCGCGAGATTCTGAAGTCTCATTACATATATCTCGTATGAATGGAAACTCATGTACATGTACGAAAGGTCGCTCTATATCAACCAGGGTTAGACAAGGGGTATCCCCTTTTGATGACAAATGTAGGTCTCAACATTTCTACAGTGTAGATTTAAGTCATTATTTCCTGAACCTTCTCAGGTTATACAAAACTGTTTCTGTAATGACGCGACATCAGTCGGGATGTTGACCTCACCCGGTACATATATAAATTCTACACATGTTACACTGTTGCTACACTTAATAATATATTATCTATGTACTTAAATTTGAATGCGAAATGGTACCGAACACAAATACTCACGGTTAGTGGATATACTTTTAAGAGTAATAAAGAACTTACGGTAACTATATATACAGCTAAATATTGACTTGTACCAGTGTGTACGACGTCCTATATTTTATTTTATCAGTAGGAAGTAACATAAGACGCGAACTTCATGATTAACAAGCACGCGTCATATTATAAAAAAAAAACCCTTATCAACATTTTTTAATAACACAGGTGTTAGTCACAAACTTCGCCGTCGTCTAGGTATGTCTAAACATCACGTGAATAATTGGAAGGTAAGCACAGTCTGCTATCACGTAGTGTGTTGCTCTCCGTCATCGTTTGGGTGATATCTCTTCTGTGATAAGTATAATATATGTCACCAGGTTAATATCAACACAGGATTAAGTTAGGTGTAGTGCCTTTGTAATCCTCATAGGTCTGGGATGGATGAGTTTTCCCCCTGAAACCTGCTCTAGACCAATCAAATTACGTGCGTGCTGTAAATTTTGCCGTGAAATGTCCATGGAGTGCAGAGAGCAGTAGTGATTGTAAGCCCTGGAGTGTCGAGGATGCACAACCATTAGTGTCAAGTTTCGATTGACAGATAAGTTAACACCACGAAAAACATAAATATTAAAAATAACAGTGATGAGACGTTATCAGTAATCAATTAAAACACACGGTACTTTCACTACTATTTCTTGTATAAGCGACTTATCAACTCACGATAATATCAATGATATATACTTTTATTGACAAATGTATCTACATAATCAGTGCACACGTCACTTTCATATCTACATAATCAGTGCACACGTCACTCTCATATCTATATAATCACAACACACGTCACTCTCATATCTATATAATCACAACACACGTCACTTACTAATATCTATATAATCACAGCACACGTCAGTCTCACTAATATCTATATAATTACAGCACACGTCACTCTCACCAATAACTATATAATCACAACACACGTCACTTACTAATATCTATATAATCACAGCACACGTCAGTCTCACTAATATCTATATAATCAGTGCACACGTCACGCTTACTAATATCTATATAACCACAGCACACGTCACTCTTACTAATATCTATATAATCAGTGCACACGTCACTCTTACTAATATCTATATAATCAGTGCGCACGTCACTCTTACTAATATCTATATAATCACAGCACACGTCACTCTTACTAATATCTATATAATCACAGCACACGTCACTCTTACTAATATCTATATAATCAGTGCACACGTCACTCTTACTAATATCTATATAATCACAGCACACGTCACTCTTACTAATATCTATATAATCAGTGCACACGTGACTCTTACTAATATCTATATAATCAGTGCACACGTGACTCTTACTAATATCTATATAATCAGTGCATACGTCACCATCACTAATATCCTTATAGTATCATAAACTAATGACGTACAGGACACAAAACCCCCAGATCTATATTACATCTCTCAGTTCGTTGCCTGTGTTACATGTATCATGTTTTTGTAATCAACAAAACGCACTTTGTTGTTGAATACGTATCATAGGTCAAACACACAAGATGGCACTAATGTAACTGCCTCTCGGGTAGGAATTGAACCGTAGACAAACACTGCTTTTTAGATTACAGACCTAAACGTCCATGTAACCCTCGTGCAATGTTGATGTTGTCGATACGGTAACAAGACTACTGGCGTCGGACATGTCACTCCCTGATGTCAATGATGACTGCCGTGCACAATGTCCGTATTGAAACTCACACCCATCCTCCTTGTAAGGTTGCTCCAGAAACTCTTCTTCTTCTTCACTGAACTCTGAAGTGCTTCCATACATACTTGGGGTTTGGTCCAGTCGGGGTGACAGTTCTTCATTATCGTGGAGATTTGCCGTTGACCGTGAACGCGGGGTCGATGTTTTGGTGCTGTGATGTATTTTTGAGAAGGACATGTCGTCAGTGTTATACTGATATACACATGAAGGATTGTTGGAGCCATACTTCCGGGCTATATGACGCAAGTTCCGGTATTGCAGATCTTCGCACACGGAGTTATACCGCGGAGTGGTGACATACGGGTACTCGGGAAAGTACTGTTCGTCTGAATCCCTGACCGACCGTCTTGACACCCGTTTATCTAGGAAAGTCGCCATGCACCTCTGTGACGTTTTCACTTGGTTAAGTACACGTGTTATTTCCCGTTCCGTCTTACCCAGATCAAATCTCATGTCTTGTAGCTTCTCTAGAAGTTTTTCTTGACCTTTCACCAACTCTTTGGCGGTCTTACCGTATTCGCGAACTCGCGTCGTAAACTCGAAAGAACCATTCTTGTCATCCTTGACTTTACTACCCATACTTGAGAGGACAATGAAGTCATTCGTATAGAATACTCAGTACATTATTTAGATTCCACAAAAATAAAAATCCACAGAGTTCGGTATCATCCTTTGCTTCACGATGTACGCATTCATCACATCAAAACGTTCTGTGGTCATCGAGTAATGCTCAAATGTAACATTGGTCAACAGATATTAAACACATGTGCTAATATACTTCGTCATATCACCACACCGGTACAAACACGATTTAGAGTGAATGAAAAGATATTGAAGGATTTAGGCCCGGATCATGAATACGTGTATTTATAGATTTATACGGCTTATCGTTTACGTTATACGAGTCCACTATGTGTGTCCGCTATTCGGACATTATCTGTACGTCTTAATCTCTGGGGAAAACGTATTTAAATCTGCTTTGTTCAAAAACTTTCTCTGTATCGTAGACTGAAAATCATTTATGTGGCATACCAGATGTTCGCTGTGTTCAATATTGTATTTTTAATTATAAATACGATAGTTTATAATTATTTTCCTTATGTTAAATTGATACTACATTGATTTCGACCGTTGGTGTTATTGTATGCCAGCACCAAAGTAATATATATCACTATATTTAGAAATCTACTATCAAGTATCAGTTGATTCGTCTCTGTATTTTCCTCATGATCAACAACCAAAAACGAGGCTCCCCCGAAACATCACCCTGACAATAGAGGGACTCAAAAAACGCTATATATACACTATTTATACAGCTCTATACTTGTCCTTTCGCCAAATTCCGTAAAAGAAATATAATCCGTTTGCTATAACGAATAATCGTGAAAAAAGTTTTCCATGACACAATTTTCTGTAGGCTTATGAACTCCCCCTCTGATTAGTTGGTATCTGCTTGCAATGCCACTCGGGTGGTCTTGTCAAACGCGATAGTCAACAACGCACGTGTTCGCTGAGATTGTGACACCAAACTTAAAACGGGAACAGTTGGTAATGGTTTAAATATCTTTTATATACAATATACATAAGAGTTAATTCATACATGTCTATATAACTGTGGCCTCCCGTGAACGTGAATTGGTGCTGTGTGTTAAGCGCTACGTGTATCTAATGCGCCAAAATTAAACCTCCGCGAACAATTTACGTTTACAGTGTTATATACACATGATCCATGGCGACAGGAAGTGAATGAAGTGACACATTTTTGGAGTAGTAGTGATCTTGGGACGTGCTCATTAGGGTATATACTGCCGTTATCTACCTGTACTTCCCCGTTATCGTGCAAGGCGTATTGCCATCATTTTGTACTTCCTTACACGGTCCTCTGTCACACTGAAGGCGGAGACCCTGTGGTAAGTCACACATCTAACAAATATATCAGGATATAAACTGTCGATTTCTAGTTGGTAAAGTTTTACACGACTTAATCATTTTCAGTAAATAGATAAATATCTGTATTATATTTTTTTCCTGCTTCACCAATATGTAGACTGGTAGTGTTCTGAATATATTATCTGTGGTGTTAAATCACACCCTTATTCTGTCCTTACTGTTGTGTTAACTGAACGTAAATATCTTGATACTAGTCGTCGGTTTGATTCTACATGTCAACGTTATACCACTACACAAGTTAAGATAAGAGCGAAGGAAATCACACTGCAGCATATGTTTATATTACTTATCTTACCAACAGCATCAAGAACACACGTGACAATACTTGTGACATGACTAACAAACTGACTATTGGAACAGTCCCAACTTAAACAGTTTTCATCACAATTTATCATTTCAAACGAGAAAATAAGTACGTTTAATATTTCGTGCCTCTCACTGAAACTGACATGTTTCATGATTATCGGGGCGACTGTTATTAGAATGAGTTTAGATACACTGTACATAACCTGTGGTGCAGATCTATTGACATGTATGTATCAACATTATAACAACCAGATGTTAATGTAATTCAATTCAGGTTAACATGCTTCATGTATAGAAAGGTAATCTAATAGTTTTGCCTTAAGTGATTTGGCCAATAAACACTTGAATACAACTGTACATGTAATTGATTCCTTACGTATCTTATTATTACATCCTTGGCTATCAGGAAACTCAACGAAGTTATTTTATCACTAAACTTTCCCAATATCAGTGTAATATCACACGTCATTTTTTTTAAACCGTGGCATAATACCTTGTGGAGCTATGATAGGCTCGATGTTTCCACTGTTTCCATGGTGACGTTATGGCTTCCTTGCATTGTGTGCCAAATAGAGAGACATACAGAGTATCACCAAATTCAGTTTCACTATCGGTCCAGTTATAAGTCTATCAGTGATGTGATGAACATTCCTGTATTCGTTACCATTTCATTAGAGATTCGTCAATCTCAAGGAGTGAAAGTAACAAACTGTCCTCTTTAAACAAACGTAGGAACATTTTGCCTTTTTTGTGCACACAACGGATATATATCGCCAGATGCCATATCACATCCAGAACATGAAAAGAAGAAAAACATTTAATGTATTGTCACTGTTTGCTTGTAAGATGTATTCCATTTTGGACAAGTTTGTTTAAACGATGGGTTATATTTAAAGACGAATGTTCTTTTGAATTTGGCCAATGATATCAGATGGAAATCGTTAATCCTCTTTGAAATGTGATATTTTTCTACTTTCAGCGTCACGTTTGTCTATAATTCAACATGGCCACGCCTATTACGGAAACAGCCAATCCGATCACCCGTAATATAGATGTCGCCACGCCTACAGGTATTTTTGACTACTTTTTTTCTAAATGATAATGTGTTAGACGTCGTTTAAGTGACTTAAGTACTTTGCGTACTTTGCTGGAGACTAAACAGATAAAAACATGTTGTACTCAGGATCGACTAATAAAGAGTTAAAGTCGTGACACAAAATAACTCCTATTATGGTTTGATTAGAGATTGGGCGTGGTTAAGGATAATTCAGAGGGATATACCATTTGTATATACACAGACTTAGTAGCCAGATCGAACCGTGTTGCTACTACTTAAACTATCATTGTTGCATGTTTAGTTTAGGTTTTGCATTGTTTTATGACCAATTTAATATTAGAGTGAGAAGAAAAACAAAAACAAAAAACTTCAAACTCAAACAAAGAAGTTTAAATTCTTAAAACCTTAGAGCAAAACGGATTGGATAAGGGACATATCAGAATATGTAGTAAAGTCTCTAGCACGTAAATAGTCAAGTATGAGCTAAACCGAATCCGTGTCTAAAAAGCAAATCCTAGATGGCTAGATAAAATGTTTACGGGTCTATTTGAAGTCGGAGTAATCAGTCGTACAATTTGTCTGATGGTAAAATGTTGATCACGTGCATGACCAAAATAGAATTAAATTTTCTCTTCATGAAATGCAATCGTATTTTGTGTAGATATGGTTAATACGAAAACGTGAGAGGACAACTTCACATCGGTAGCTTGCTCTACTTCCTTATACTATATCTACAATAGTTTGAATGTCGCGCTGCTTGTTGACTGTTTGAGACCAATTGTTTTTCCATTTCATTTTGACAAGTTTTATGTTAAATGGTTTCAAATCGGAGTAAGATAGTCTAATATCATTTGATTGTAGGGTAAGCGCTGTCTTCGAAACCTTATCGATTTTTCAAGAAATGCCAACATGACAGGGATCCAAAATAAAATTAACTGAAATATCATCAAAGCCTTTTATGTACGAATACAACATTTTGTATGAGGTTCGGAAATACTTTGAAATATATCGATTTCGTCTAAAGTCGAATTAGACGTAATTGAGATTGTTACTGTAACGATTTAACTGACGATACCGTATTTCACACGTGTTACATCGTTGTATATTATGTATTTGATCACTAAGCTATTTCTTCATCGTTTAGTTAAGTCAAACCACAATGAAAAATGTACGCACGATCAAGAGGTCGCTATTCCTATTTTTAAAAAATGATGACATTCTTTTGTAGAAATAGTGGGTCTTCTCCAGAAGTGTGACTCTGAAATATTCCATGGGTGGCAAGACTACCAGGTATCGTTTATTTACTTTAAACCTAGCGCTTGCTGTAAATGAAATATATTTTTACGGTTGCTTGTATTAGGGTCAAGGATTTATAAAATCACACACACACACACACACACACACACACACATATATATATATACATCAAGTATAAGTGATAAGTACCACTCATAACTAAAATATCACAATTGTATTAATTTGTACGAGAAATGTTTATATTACTTTCCTTACCTGAAGTTTGTTTACATGGTAATTTTACATATAGAGTATTTATAATATATTGGTGCTAGTGATCGGGCGTTACAGGCGCCAAAACGTAGCTCTTCAAAAACTAAGAAATAGTATATTAAACAGAGTTGTCTCCTTTCACTTCTGTGTGGCTTATCATAATCGTATGGTCCATAAAACGTAAAGAGTACTGCTGTAGAGAAACATTATCGCTCAATCATTTCTTTAAAATGTGGTCATTAAGAATCAAACGGCTAGGTGATTGACCTTAGAGTTACCTCCCTTATATGAAAGTACCAAAAATGTTGCTGCAGTTCACACGATATCTTGCTTTTACTTGATTACGACAAGTAACGGTTCCATTCAGTGAAATAATGTTGCATATTCAAACAAAGTATTGTTTACAGACTGTGTGGTGATCTGGAATTCAGTATTGACTCTGCAAATATTCTAGTGTCAACAGAGCAATTTTATAGCAGAACCACACGGATACGAAATCACAATTGCGTGCCAATCAATACTAAGACCATCTTTGACTCCTACTTCTATTTGTTTTGTTCATAAATGAAATATTACTAGACGTATCTATACTAAGGAACAGTACCCTGTATTTATGTTGTTTTTTTTCTGTCCGATTCCACTGTTTTGAGACTTTGCATTTTACGTATTATATACATGTACTAGTGTGAGATGTGTAATACAGTAATATTTATCTGGATTAACTAGGGTTTATGTCATTCTACCACTCTGCGGACGATTGAACAGATATCACAGGAAGTAACAACGATACTTAGGGTGAGTTCGGATGATACACACAGTTTAATATTATCGAAGAATGGCAGAAATGTTCTCAGTACCTGTAATACAAAATTAACATAAAACGCGTCAATTGTTTTTTTCATTTCTTCATAATTAAAGTTACAATATTGATATATTCTGGTGAATCACAAATGCTACTCTCTTTTTCAGGCTCCGGATTCAGGTCTGGTTATCTTTAGTGGGTGTGGCACCTCTGGAAGGTTAGCCTTCGTTTCTGCCGTAAGTAATGTTCACATTATGTTATGCTGAAGGAACATTCACCACATTTGAATATAACGTTGTCTTAACATAATCGTACATTTTCAAAATATGTCCTGTTTCGGGAACTTGAAAAAAAAACAGCTTTTCAAGCATATACTGTACTCAAGTGGAGTACAATATTGTACAAAAGTCACACAAGTGAATAAAATTTATAATGCAATTTTTCTAAATTGCACCGTACAGCTGTTTGGAACTAGTAGTCGTCAGTGATGCTAAGGGCCTAAATTTAGAAATCTAGGAGACAACTAGGACAAACCAAAATTGAGGATATCTCTTCCTTGTTACAGAGAACTTTCAATCGGAGACAAGAGAAGGCTGGGAAGCCTCCATGCTTCAAGTATCTGATCGCTGGACACGATAAGTATGTAACAAAGATGATGTCAATTTTTCCATTGATCTTCTTTGTTAATCAAATTAGATACTCAATTAAAGAAAAAATTTAACAGGGTAACTAATTTTTAAAATTTTACCCTTTGGTTTTTACTGTGCGATACATCTTTGTAACCAATAACTGCCAAAAGGTCAGACATACATTTATTTACTTATTTTAGCGAGAAGGAATTGCCATCGATATTTTCCGCTTAGGGAGCAAAAATTATAGCTTTCAGAGACATAATGTTATAGTATAGAAGTCATAATGATGAGAAAATATTGTATTGATTTTGTTACGTGTAGTTGGATGTCAGATCCTCATTAGTATCTCTGTTGGTCCTTTTGTTGTTCACCTTGTGGCTATTGTTGATGGTACCGAGTTGGATCGACCAGGACTTACATGGCCGGTAGTATCGATGAAGCAGAAGACTCGCAAACTTTCGAAACGTTTATCACTTTCCTACTGTATTTTAATACTACTTATTTTTTCCATGTGTCTCTTTCTTTTGGGCCTTTTTTTACCATAGTTTCCGGTTGACAAATCGGTATTTCTTTATTTCAACAGGGCATTGTTCACATCACAGGAAGCTCCAGAAGACGATCCGGCCGTCGGGATACAAATGCTTAGAGAGGTGAACCATGTTCTTAGCAGTACTTATAACTATAATAATGTCTGCCTTCTCATATGTATGCTTTGGTATAAAATTTGTAGAAAAAGAGTTCTGCTATTCCAGTTGTATCTAAACACACGGAACAATACATTAAGTTGTTGTTGTGAACGTGCAGATATCTTGTATTGATAACTTCTATATGTTTATGTACAGGCATGTGTTGGGAAGACCAAGGTACTGTATATCGGAATCACATGTGGTCTGTCTGCACCATACGTGGCAGGGCAGCTTCACTACTGTATGCAGAACTCCGACATCATAACACCTGTCTTGCTAGGCTTCAATCCCGTCAGTTTAGCCAGGTAGGCACGTATTGAAACTTTCGAAATTTATACCAAGTAGTCACCTTGAATCCTGTCCACTTCTTAGTGACCCCAATGTAATACCATTAACGCGGTTATGGTAATACGATCATTTAACATACTACTATTGTATTGATCTCGTTCACCGGATCAGCTGACCTTACTAAGGGTCAATATCTTAACATCTCCGCCCATTTATTTAGGTATGTTCTACTCTAGCTATTAAAGAAGATGCATGCTGCTGGTGCTACCAAATATCAACAAGCCGAGTGCTTTCAACATTTAGCATTTTTTTATATCTTACTTATAGCATTGTCATATTTTTTCTTAATATTTGAACAGGAACACAGAAATTGAGAATTGGGATTGGACGTTTTACAAAGGTAGGGTTGGTTCATTCTAAGGTTGTACAAAATACTTTTTGATACAAATTTATCATTAGATACAGTAGAGTCAAATTAGTTCTTTCCAGAACTGGTCAGTTTATACTACCTAAATTTGAAACCTGGACGACTTTTCAGAAAAATCAATATTGATGAAAATGTCAGACTTAAGATTGGGTGATCTACTAACCCGATATTTCAATAAATTCCCTGATAATCATTCATCTGATGGTTTCAGATAATAACAAAACAGTAATTGAAAAAAAACTAAAAGTAGAACATTGTTCTTACAGTTGCTCTTCAGCTACAGAAAGTCGAAAAGTCTGGAAAAGGTTTCATTCTCAATCCTGTGGTCGGCGTGAGTACTTTTATCCTAATGTGTTTGATGGAATCAATGAATCCTAAAACCTTTTTCAATTATATCGAACAAATAAATGATTATGTCATCGTTGTATCTTGTTTTTGTAGTATGACTTTATTTTCGTTTGAGAAAAAAGGTATTTGGCCGTACATGTTGATGGCAACCTTGTGCTTTTATTGACTATAAAATATTTTTTCCAGCCAGAACCAATCACTGGATCGAGCCGAATGAAGTCTGGTTCTGCGACAAAGATTATGTTGGAGGCTATACTTGTAGCCGCCTACAACTCGCTCTCAGACCAATCACCATCATGGTAAACTATCAACTAATGCTGGCAGTTGATATTCCGTTTATAAAAATAAAACCTATTTTTGCAAGATTTCAACTGTTGGTTACATTTTCTGGGTTGTATTTTGCATACTGTTTCAAGATGTACTGACTCTTAGAATAGTAGAGTGTCGTGTATCTATCGGGTTCTATAGACTTTAAGTGGTTCTCGTCATATGTTCATAATGCATAGGTTTAAACGATTTGCTGACACATATTCTATGCTTTTCATTTTTGTCATCTTTTATTCACAATTAGAATTTCTCCATCAATGACACCAAATATATTCCAGGAGTTTGTGTCAGTGATTATATCCCAACTATTTCAATTCATATTAATTCGTTCCTCAGGGACACGCATGCGCACTTGGAGACGTACCGGATGACCTGTGATAGTGTTTACAGTCACAGCGAGTCAGTGGCGGGTCTGATACAACTAGCAGGGAACAGGTAAATATGACATATTTGGAGGGGCGACGAAAGATAAGATATACTGATGTTTGTATGATAACTAACCAATGATATATGTAAGATCCTCCTCTGGTTTGCCAGCTGTTTGAGGTCTTCCAGTAAATCTGAATATATGTCTTGACTGAATATAATATTGCAAGCATGTATTAACGATTTTGATGTTATTACGATGGTATTTATTTCAAATATACCACCTCCTGGTTTTCGACTAATCTACATATATATAATATTTTGTTTATAGTCTGAACAAGGGAGGCAGTGTCCACTACCTTGGATGGGACAGTATCGGAGTCATGGCTTTAATTGACGCGTCCGAGTGTCCTCCTACCTACGGTGCTAGTAAGTAATTATCGTCCGTTTTTATATTCTCTTTTATAGTTAGTAAGTAGAGACTGCTATGGCACTGCCCACACATACAGTTACAAAAATATTTCAAGTTATTGTCTTCGCTATTTTTTTTTTTTTTTTTATTTTTATTTTCAATATTAGTAGAAAAACTATAACCTTTTCTGTTGTTTTGAAATGAATTAGATAGGCGTTAATTTGTATAACATAATGTACGAATGATGTGCAGGCCTTGACGATATACGAGGATTCATGGAAGGAGGATATTCATTGCTGTCAAACTACGAAGGAGACATAGGGCATTTGGTGAGTAGATAGATCATCGGTTAACATATTTCTATTCAGCTTTCTATCCATTATCACAATATCTACTATTCTGTTATTGTTTATCCATTTTTAAATTATGTTCTATTTGTAATTAATGCTTATGATCTTGGATATATTGATGCTTGATGTATTAATTAGGTCTTTGTATCCTTCTATTTCGCAACATTGAGTTAGAGATGTGCTCGATATATCAGCTAAATCAGATTAATTAAACATTTTAAAATCTAGCGTATATATGCAATCCAGACAGATCTAAATGCATTCATAAAAACAAAAACAGTCTTCCCACTTGTTTCAAGTTACACCATAGAACCATTCGTTTTTTCATTATCAAATTTGCTTCAATAGTGAAAAAGATAACTATTCAAAATTCGATGTGAAATCCAGCTAATTCACATAACATTTTTTAAACATGAATTTCCTGATCGGCAAACCCAATAATTTTTCAATTTTTTCATTAAGAAGATTCGTTTGTTCTCTCGGAATGATGAATGTTTTTATATATTTTTTTTAAATCAATCAAAACGTGTATTTTGCTATATCAAAAGGACAATCGCTTTTTTCGCTGCTGTTGATATGGTGGTGACCTTCTTTTTATGCTTTGTTTTTTAATCTAAGATGACTGTGTGGTTCCTTGTTGTTTTAATTGTGTGTTTGAGAAGAACCAGTTTGGTGATTACTATGTTACCATTAGCTCATAATTTGACTCGGGGAAGGTAACGTTGTTTTACGATAGAAAGATATCTGATGATAACGGATGTGCTTTTTCTCAGTTCTTTACAGGGAAGACATTTTCAGACTAATTACAGGCCATGATCTCATGATAACTGACGTGTTTTTCTTCTTTATTTACAGGGAAGACATTTTAAGATTTCATTACAGACGTTTGAATCCGACATCTTACCATATTTGACTGAAGCTGATCTAGTCATTGTATGCCATGGTGGTAAGTAAATCAAATGACCACAGTAGGACTGCTAAGAAAATTCCATGCATCTAATATAGTTATCAATCTTTAGAATGACCTTTCTATGGATTACTCTAGAATATTGCTTCATGATATATTGACTCTGTCCTCATATGTTAACATTTGTTAAGGTAGATTTTAGAGATTGATATATCATATACTGTCTATCTGCGAATAAATGGATGGAATAATGAATAGATATATGTGTTTTTTACAGGGGGAAGTATACACCTTACACCCAAACTATGGAAAAGTAAATGTAAAAAGGGCATTATCACATTTGATGCGGACTTCAAAACGGTAAGTACACCTTTCCATTTTCCTCTTTAATATCTTTTATATTTTTCAAGGTCTACTCAGATATATGATTTTGAAAACTTTGATTTCATAATCAAAAAGATGTTATTCGTTATTTTGACATCAAGCTAATAAAATAACATAGGGAATCTAAAAATGTCTATAGATAAATGACATAAATAGGAAGTTTCATATGTGAACACAAAGTGGATTCATCTTTATAAGTGATATTCAAATATGTATCATTTGTGCATTCCTTTTCTGAAAGATTTTTCAGTCTCTGGGAATCACCCGAACATTGCGTCTAACTTTTGTATACTTTTTGATATTGTCATTGGTTCAGAACATACACTTGAACATACACAGAAATGTTTTAATTACGTGATTGTCGCTTAATTCAGTGAATAAAACCATGTTTAGATAATGAAATCACGCACAAACTACATTTTGACATAACAATTCAGATAAAAATATGGAGACAAAATGACTTTTAGTTTGACATTTTCTATAATATTTGTCTTAACATACTGTCAGTTGAAAAATACATTCATTCGTTCCATTTAATATCTGATTATAAAACTCGCCAAAACATTTTATTTTGCTAGAATAAAATATTTGATACTCGTTTCATAAATTATATATCCAATGGAAACTTGTGTAAGACCATTCATATATATTTGTCAAACTTTCTGAACAGATAACATTATTCGTTTGTGCATCCCCCACTGATAATCCGATTTTAATTTGTAACTTTCTCTATGAATTTGCAAACTTTTGTCATCTTGCTTCATTAAAGAGTTACGTAAGAATGAAACAATATTTAAATGTGCTATACGCTTAAATGTTTCTTGCTCAATCCACACCACGAATTTATTAGTATGTTTCACTATGTATCCCTAATCAATGTAGAATAAAATCACATTGATAGTCAACATCAAAACGGTTTTATCAATGATGTTACCAATTCATTGAATGCTGGTCATAAGCCGAGTGTCAGACCTACCTTTTCTTTACTTGCACTGTTTCATTTCAAAATATTTGACATAAAACGATTTAACGGAAATTTTGTAACAGGCAATGCCTAGACACGCCCTCTCTCTTAAAATACATAAATTTCATACAAAAATAGAGTTGTAATATTGGCGTAAATGTGTAAGAATTGGCTACAACTGATATTAAGCAGTACTTTCATAGAAAAAAATTGATAAACAGCTACTTAAAAATTCGCACTGATATACAAGTATGTATGATTAGAATGCTATGAAAATAAATAAGTCATCATTATGCATGAATTGGTATAACCATGATTATGAAATATATTGACAATTAACAGTTATACAGATATTTGATACCATTTGAGTTACCTCATAGTATGACAAATATCATCGTTTATCAATCGTGGTTTTAGAATGTGTACGACCAGTTCGACCAGTCAGTGGCCTTGACCTTGCCTGAAGATGATATCAAATCACTTGTAGGAGACCACATTTGGGACCAGTGGCAACCACTCTACCAGGAGATAGCAACAAAGTGGGTCTGTAACGCGGTGACAACAGGGGCGCACGTGCTCAAGGGCAAGGTCTTCGAAAACGTAATGGTGGATCTCAAAGTCAGGTAAAATTCCTTGTAATACGTTAGGATCGAGATACATTATGTATGTATAGAGGGAGATAAAACATTAGCCTTTGTTCATAGCGATCAAATTGTAATGTTGTTTGTTTACCTGGTCATTTTTAGTAGATGTATTGTTGAGGTGATTTGGTTTTTTTCTGCTCCACTCATGCCTTGTTTATTTATTTCAGCAATAACAAATTGTTCCATCGAGCCGTCGGGATAATACAGGTATGATATGTTAACCCCTAGCATATACTTTATCGAGATTGCTATATCATAGTCTTTTTTTAACTTTTAGTTTTATATTAACAAATTTTTGCATTTATTTTGAATATGTGTATACTTCGTGTATACCTCTAGTGTAGATTGTTTGTTTATACATATATATGTAAGCTAGTAGTGGAGATTATATTTACCTCGCGATGTAAACAGAATTATTTTGAATAATTAAGTTATAGAATAGAAAGACAATTTGATTGGAAATCTGAGAGAAATCGTAGTGTAACTTCACCTGGATGATTTTTAACATTATTAATTAATTTGGAGTAAACTGATGTCCGTGACATGCGTTATCAATGGCTTGATGTTATATACTTCTCAAAACTTATCTGTAAAGATGAAAAATTTGAATGAAAACTGCTAATTTGTGTTACAGAGGTTTAGCCCGCTGTGTAAAGAGGCGGCAAATTCAGTACTGCTGCGGTCAATTTACCAAACGGATGTCTTAACACAGAATCAGTTGTCACTCTCTACCTCGTCACATATAGAAAGCGCCACCGCCATGGGAAAGGTTTGATCTATTTTCATATTGTAGTTATGATATCAAATACAAAAATAAAATTGCCTTTGATAGATGTCGACCATTGACTGAAAGAAACATACAACACATTCTAAAATTATCTGAGTTATGACAATTACGAAATTCATTTAATTATGTGGCTTTCTGCATCTCCCCGTCTTCAAGATTTTAAATTTGCATTAGATCACTTTTGATTTTCCGTTGTTGTCTCCTGAATTTCGATGTTTAGGCAATCACTGACGAGTCCTAGAAGGACGAAACAGCTGTATGATGTTCTTAAACTCTATTGTATCTAACTCTAAGTTATAAAAAGTTGCTATTTACCTGGTTTTCTGTTGTACAATCGTCATTTTTTTTCGATTATAGTTTATATACATTATGACTATGTTGTCATAACATTAATTATGACTTAATAACACTTTGACATTATGTAGATTTTACCAACAATATCATTACAAATATCGTCGATTTCGTACTTTTTTATGCTTTTTGAGTTGGGAATACGCTTTTTACTAGCGATGAATGCTGTTATTAATGTAGCTGTGTTTCGTGTACCAAGGTTGTCCCGTGTGCATTGCTGGCTGCCATTACTCAGTGTTCCATAGCAGAGGCACAGAAACTTATCGACAAACAACCAGTCATCCGGACAGCGATCTCAGATTCTCTGAGAAAACACCAATCAACATAGTAAACACTTTATATTCATACTTACTTTGTGCGTTCTATTTCTCATCGATTTTCTGACAGCAGATAAATAGGAAGAATATAATTGAAAAGTCACCATGTCCGTAACAGTCTAGTAGACTAGAAGGCGAACACCAATCAATGTAACGTTATTAGACCGATAACTCCTTAAGACCGAAACACTATCATCAAAACGATAGCTGTACTTCATCAGTATGTTTTCAACTTTTGCATCATAGTTCCACTCTTACGTTTCGTTTGCTATTGTCAGCTATTTTTCTCTATTTGTACTGTTATTTCTTTACTGTTATTACCAAGATTTCCTTTTTTTATTCAGGTATACATAAACAAAAGAAAAATATCGACATGTACAACACTGCTAAATTGAGGCAATTAAAAACATTTTAAACATGTCGCAAATTTAGTAATTTCTTGATTTTTTATGGTATCATGGTGACCTATTGCAATTATCTTCATTTTGGTTCAAACGGACACCCGGGGGCTGATGACTAAAATTTCAAAAATATTCTTCTCAACAATAAGATATGGTAGAATCAAATGCTCTTCATGAATGGACACATCTTAAGGTGCTTTAATTACCAACATGAGTCTCAGATTTCTTCCTGACAAGGGCTTTTCTTTTTAAAACTTTACTGAAGTTGAGCATAACGTTGGTTATTGCCCACTGGAAATAACTTTGTAAGAATTATCAATAAAGGATGGCAGTTTAAATGGTATCCATTTGTTAACACTGGCTTTCTATATTCATTGTCACAATTTCTGTTTCATGACACTTGATAACTACCCTTTAACATTTTATATTGTAATCATGTCGAAATACCTCACTAATTATTTTATAGTAATTGTCTAAAATTGTTTAGATTCACACGATAATTATGTCCTGCTGTACTACACACTTTTGTATACAGTGCATGGAAGGACGGATGTTGGTGTATGTTTATGCTTTATGGGAATAATTCCAACATGTATTATTGGTTTCGTAATTCGTTGACAGCTAGAGTGAGTGTTGATTGTGATTAAAGATATTACGCGAATACTTGGACAATCACAACAGATTCACAGCTTACAGCAGGCATTAGTAAGTGTACATTGCCAAACAAAAGCATTATTTAAACACTACATGGTTATTTGATATTCTAGACAGAATCACAGCTTAATCGAATACAAGTTGTAATTCTACGTAATTTTAATGTACGTTTAATTTCCTTTGTAATTGAAAATTAAGTAATAAAATTAATAAGTTTGTAACAACTTCACGTAAATTTTATCGTGAATGTATGATTGATATTAACGAGAAATACGAGACTGTATATACCATGAACATTGTCTTTTCATTTTGTGAACATCTAGCCATTTAACATAACTGATTAACATTTATCAGTCTTTCAAATAAAATGGTAGTGTGGTGTCATAGAATATTATAATGTCACTCAGTGTTGTCACTGAGACTTTATTAAGTAACTATAAAATACCAGTGATTAAGAAGATGTAAAGTTATTGCTATCTCAGTTATACTATCAATAGTTTTTGCTAACGAGAGTAATGCACAACAAACAGGTCTATTAAAAATATACTAATACTTTAATTATTTCCATTACCATGTACATGTTAACAGCAATTGTTGTTTTGTTATTTACAGCAAGTATACACATACACAGTTAACAAAAGATATATCCCATGTATTGCCCATAAAAGGGAAGCATTTTTCATAGACGCGTGTACAACTAAGACATGTATATGATGGTCAGTTACATAATAAGGCATATTTATGTGGGATTAAGTTCGTTTATGAAAATCTGTTATTTTCCCTTAAACTAGTCCTTTTGAAAATTACTGGTATACAGCCATTATGTGATAAATGGACGGGTAGAATGGGACAGAAAAAAGGCAATCTGATATCTTGGAAGTGTTTATGTTTATTATCGTTACTATGTTATAAATAGGTATTATAACATGTATTTTTAACTGTATAATACCGATTCGAGGGTGCAGTTATGTGCATATACTGTTTCGCAATATTACATTTTAAGATGGTGCTGAACGATATTCTTTTAAGGGATAATATATCGATTTTTAGTTAGACATGGTATATTTAGAATTAGATAAAACAAAAGTGAAAATAATTGAAAATTTCTTATCAGGTGAAAATTGTGATTGAAATAAAACAATTCATAAGAATATATTACATTACCAGGTGGGAAACACATTTGATATACAATACCGGAAATGCTCGTAAAACCAGTATTTAGTGAATAGTTACGTATCTAGATTTTCCCTGTTCAACTGCAATAATAGATTGGTGTAAATCATACCCATTCACTGTAAATACATTTCTGTAGGAGTTTTTACAGATTTACTTTCAATGTAGAATAGTATACGGCAAAGGATAAAGGTCGATTGAGGGAAAAATAATGATATAAAATACTTCGTATTTATAAAGGAAACTAACCAGGAAGACTTACATTTGGTTGTTGAAATACAATAAAAAATAATTTTTCAGCTGATTAAGTTTTTTTTTCGTTTTTTTTTCGGGTGCATGGTCTTTAAAGTTTTGTAATGTCCATACTGGGAAATATGTAATTTGTTACATTTGCCTCAAGGTAAATATACGACTATTCATTTAAGAAAGCCTAAAATCTCATTTTTCTTTCACGATATGAAAATAAGAACGACATTTAAACCAATTAAAACACTGTAAAATAATGGGATGATATTAAATGGTGTTTAAGCCAATTTCAAAATTTTCACACAAAATATTGATATTGTTCATGTAACTAAAGGTTACCCTCCAAAGTTAGCAGACGTCATTGAACTTAATTTGTTCTTTTATATGCTTGACGACTTTCTTTAGTCTCGTTTTTCGACGCTCGGTGATTATGTCAGCGTTGAAGACGGCTCCCTTGGTGGCTACGACTAGCTCCACTAGACTACCCTGTAAATACATTCATTACTTAGAAATAAGAACTCGAAAAATGAATATGTAAACATTTATGATACACAAATACTAGCCCTACATTTTTTTATCCTTGAACGTACTTGACATATAAATACTATCCCCACAATCCTTCTCTGTTTATGCTCATTATATACATACTAGCCCTGTAATATTTCTCTGCTAATGCTCATAATATTGATACTATTTCCACAATATTTCTCTATAAACACTTTCATTACGTTATTCTAGCCCCACATTATGATTCCTGACAAACAATACTTTCTGTTTCTGTTATACATCCTAAATATTTGCCAGTTAGCACTTTAATTACGTAATACTTATTCCCGAAAATCTTAGTGAATCACATTACTGGAGTGTTTACCTCAGGGAGAGGCAAAATTTGATAAGACGACATCCAGTCCCAGTTTATAACGGTATTGTCCCAGTTAATGCCATGGACTTTTTTCGAGGGATCCAAGGACTTGTAATCCCCGAAGGAATTCACTATTATATCCAAATTTTGATATTTCAGTTTTACTTCATCACTTATGCTTGGAACCTGAAAAAAGGGAAAAGCGATATTTCATTTATGTGATGGATGCTCAATTTGAAATATTTCAGTTACATATTTAAAAATAACGTACAGGTATCTGGTGAAATATTTATGAAGCAGGAAGCATTAATATATTAATATTGACGTCAACTTTAATCAAACTTATATATATTTTTTCTAATGACTTCTTGCCTGACACGAGATCCTATATAAATGAATTCAAATAACTATCAAAATTAGAAGAAACACTGTTTACATTTTGTGGTGTATTGCGCTCACTAACCATCTCCCTTGATATAACGATGACTACCCTCTGAGTATTCAGACGATAAGGGTAGCTGGCTGCCATATCTAACGCATCGTTCATGGTATCCACATTTGGAAACCGCTTCCACGCTGTTCTCCATGGGGAGTTATCCACTCCCACATCCAACGTATCCAGGGCAACCATGTACCTTTCGAAAGAATACATATTAAATATCCCAAATTACCTAAATAAACATGTTATATTATTAAGATATTTAATGTATTCCCATGCTAAAGTCTAATCTTTTTGACACTAAAAAAGTTTTGATGAGCTCTTGACAAAATTGCTAGTTTTTGGACGCAAGCATGATTTTGTTTGCATGAAGTCAGTGTAGAGCACAACACGTTCAATGCTCGTTTGTATACTCGAAGATTGTGTTGTTAAGACACAGATTTCATTTTGCAAATAATATTCATATATATATACTTTTGCGATGCCACTTTGCGAAGATTACCAGATGAAACAACTTTTATTAGGCTTTAAAAACATTAACGTTCATAAGGATATGAATATGTTACTTTCGTATCTGGCGATACATATAATGAGTAGCAATAATTCACATATAGAAACTGTGGTATGACTGAATCGTTATCGATAAAAAATTATTTAAGTATTGTCAACTGAATTAGTCTAAACAATCATATCACCAATGTTTATATCGAACTTTTATAATTGTATAGCCGGCGAAAAACCATACACCAATTACCACGATTTCATAATGGTAATGTAATAACGTGATTCTATTAACCATTTTCGATAGTGATGGGATCATGATCAGCTGGTAGTGATAAATCATGCCAGTGCTCCGCGTGATTGTTTGAACTGCTCATGTTGTTTCAATGACATCAAGGGTGATTAAGCTCTTGACTGACTAAGATGTAACAGGCCTACATGAGTAACTTTTACTTCGTCTTGGTTTAACCAGACTGAGCTGCGTCACCACATAACATTAATGATATGATATCATTTTTGGTCGTTTCAATTTCTTGAAATATTTCAACTTATTGTTAATGTAACTCATAAACATTTATACCGTTATGAATATCCCTTCAATGAGTGAACGCCGCTCGTTAGCTTATTATTGTTTCTATAATAACATAAATATATAACCCTACGTACATTCATTTTATAAAACTGTCGTTATTTGAGTAGAAACGCTAATATTTACGGACCACGTAGCCTAAAGCTCACTGTTTAGAAGTATCCGTATGAACAAGGCCTTCACTCGTTCATTTAGAATCGGTGCACTTTTGTGAACATGAACTTACACGAACCAAGGGAGGAAGATTTTTAAAACACTGTCATATAGATTGTTGCCCTGAATAAACCATTGTTCAAAGGAAAATGACCTAACAACATCAGACTTGTGAGGGACAATTCATGGCAGACCTACCTTGTCGACAGCGAAGGATCTAGAGCATCGATGATTTCCACATCCCCTCCGTATCCGATAATTCCAAGCTGCACATTACTTAAGTGCTTTATTTGATGTAGTAAAATTTCCACGTGGGTCTCTATGTCAGATCGTGAAGATTCCAAATTATCGGACACCACCACTACAATATCAACTGGTCGTCGACTGCCCTCGTCGGAAGATGATGGTGTGTCAAGAGTGCAATTCACTGTATGACATAAAATTTAAATCTATGTTGTATTTATCTATGTTACAAATTTCTCTTTCATCATCCTTCCGTCTGAAAAAGCGTGGTTCGAAAACAAACCACTTATACTGCAGACAAATCTTTACATGTGACTTTTATTGGCGACATTTTGGAAAATCAATAATGTACTTGATTGAAATTCACTCATTATCACAAGACCTAATATATAATCAATCTGATCTTCATCAATATATAAGAGTCATATAAACTGTTACCAAATATTATGTCATGGGAGATTTTCAAACGACAGGCAAATTCATACGCGCGGATATGCTTGCAAGCATCAGATGCAACTCTACCGCAGCTTCTGGCTTCGGATAAACAGCTGTCCTGACAAGGTAAATAAAACAAGTGACTTCAACAAATAGTTTCTATAGCAACATAGCTGTATTATTTCATTTATTTTTGCGACTTTCTATTAAGAGCTCGAACAATGTCAGAAACTGAAGCGTTTTTTACAGAACTTTGACTATTCGTCTTGAAGGTGACATTGACAAGTTCTCGGGAAATTCAATGGTGCAGAGTTCAACACTTGATCGGTATTAACGCTAATTAACGAGCAGTAGACTATAAGTTTATGCGTTGCCCATTTCTGATTGGCTGCTGTGTAGAAGCTACATGCGACATTTCCCGTATTTGAATGAGTACTCTGTCACCAAATATAAACATACATACAAGCTGAGACAATATCATGCGGCTGATCATTAAATACATCATTAAAAACTGCCCTCCCATTAAAAGTATTGTTGATTCTTCTGATAAATTGGATAAAGTTATAAAATACATCTCCTTCCTATGTATGGGCTTGGAATGCTAACAATATAATAGACTATGAAATGTGAACTCTGAGATCGTTCCATATATAATTTATTTAGTTTATACTATGGCACTGTGTTCAGTTTTATTTCCTTTGATCTTGGTTTATATTCTTGGATCTTTACCTGAATATCATGACGACATTGCAAGATGTTTTGCTCGAGACGACGAGCCAAATACGTCGCTAGCAAGTTCCTGTTAACATTTTGTTTCATACGAATGTCTCATAACATGATAATGTTTTCTTGTTCAATATATGGACACTCACACACACGCACACATGCATACATTTGTTTGCGTACAACGGTAAACTGTACACAACAGGATCGTATTTTGGTGAATGTAAACCAAGTGTAGTAGTGAGCATTTTAACATGTAGCTTATGGGCATTGCTACAAATGCTTACGTTCCTGCTATGTTTAAATATATATCGATCAATTACTTAGTATCGATGTGTCGTATATTGCTAAGAAGCTGTCATTTCTGTTGGTCACTTGAAACGGCTTATAGCCATACCCATGGCATTCATAACCATGGACTTCTTCGTTCGAAGATTCCAAACTTATCAAATGGAAATGCCAAAAAGACATTTTCATCAATGTTTCTACATGGATTCTCCATAACGGGTATAGCCGCAGAAGCGCTATTTGACAATAATTTTAACACGAGAAATAGGGAGGGTACGACATGTCAGGGAACATCAGTTCAGCAGCTAGTCTGAAACGAGCACAGCATGCTCCGTCAATTTGTGTAATATTTATCAGTTGCTATATACCGCACCATTGAAATTAATGGGAACTTATCCTGCTAGCGTTGATCCGGTTGATGTAATAAACTATATATACATCAGAAAAGAATAATCGTCACTAAGAAAACATAAAAGAAGAAACAACTAACCAAAAACTGTTGTGGTGATATAAAGGAATCACAATCATAATTCGTCGTGGCCAGATTAAACTGTCGGTTGCATTCTTCCTCCATTTCTCTACTACATGGCGTCTGCACATTGTTTGGGGATTGGAAATGTAGTGGTTCGCTAATCACTGCATGGTTGTAGTACTCCGAGGAAATGCACTTTGGCGGTCCTCCAACAGCGTAACTCTGTATGAAGGTGTTGGTGACAGAAGATGCTATGTATTTATTAGGAAACTGAAAGTCTGACCCTGGTTCCCCGTCGTTGCTGCCCAACAGTCCCCAAGAGTTTCCAAAATGTTTTCCAGTGAGGTGAATATGACATACATCTCGACGTTGTGGACACGAAACACGAACACCGTACGTGGTGGTAAGAATCAAATCGTTACGTTGGATATATACGTGCATTCGACTTCCTTCACGTCCAAGTGGCAACCGTCTAAGCAAAATTTACAACATTGAAAAATAGCTATTAGCCAAGGAGCGTTGTACATATATCAGTTTTCTATTTGCATCATGCATCTCTATACTTTGGATTTTACTAACATCTTTGCACTTTATACATCTTTATCCCATATATGAGTGTTTTCAATTGGAAAGAATTTAACCATCTTTGCCGAATGATTGTAAAAACAGAAAGAGTTTAAATGATAGTTCTTAATTTCTACTTACACGGGGCGTGGACAGTTGTCGCGGAAGACATTTCCCCCGAATTCAAGCGTGACTGACATCTCACTTGTAACCACAGTAATGCCTTGACGTGATAATAAAATCGCAAATGTCTTGCGCTCGTAGTCCGCGGCCAGTAGGTGGACGCAGTCGGCAGCTTGGTCATCTGTGTGAAAAAATAATTCTTAGATGTACGTACTGCCATACGTTTTATTTTGACTTAAATGAAAGATGCAAAATAAATCATTATGTCCTTTGCTGTTCAGTAGATGTTATTCAATTGACGTGTTTTATGCTAGTTTGTTTGCTTGTTGGTTTCGTTGTTGTATATCTTGTATATATTTGAGAACGTGACATTACCTACGTGAACTGGCCAAGATTTACCCAGCGGATGTCAACGATGAAGCAGAAAACGTATACTCTTCCGGAACACTTGGTCTTATTCTCCTGGTACGTTTTCAGATGTCTCCGGGTATATCTTTCTTTTGTTCATATTTTGGCATAGTCTTATTAAATTTGAGTTCAGATTATGTTTATTTTAACATTTTGATATTTTCTTGTTGTATTTGAGAATTGCCGTAAATTGAACTTACAACAGGAATATAAATTATGAAGTATACCTGGTATATGATAGATCCGACCATAGAAAGTAACCAAGTACTGCCGGTTCACGACACGGGCACTGACGGATTTGTCGCTACTGTAAGGACCCGATGACAAACGGGAATACAGCTGTTCCAGGTAACGTTGACCATACGTAGACCTTGGACTAAACTACAACAAATCAGTCTTTACACATCAGGTAACACTTCGCGGAAGGAACTGAAGTGCACGGCTAATGTAATTAATCTAATGCAACGACAGCAGACTTAAGAATGAGTGAATTATGTGTCCAGCATCTAAGAAAGTCGTGCTTTTTTCTTAATTTTAGTAGAATCTTACTTACAGGGAAAACAGTTTTGGCTAGAATAAGTCAATGTAAGTTGTATGTACTATGAGCGCCTGCCGAACAAGTATGTTCCATTACGTGTGTTGTTAGAAATAACAGTTTATCTATTCTGTGTTGTTAGGAAGGCCACTCTATAATCTGATGGTGAAGGATATAGTGAGCAGCGTTCATGCTTCAATTCGTGTTGATATAGATGTTGTCAAATCTGCATTAAATCGCCAAAAAAATATTTTAATATTTTTAATGGTATTTTGGGTTTTCATTCAAAAACAAAATTATTTTCCTTGTCATTACAGTCACATACTTTACATATTAATGTATCTTAAAATATTTTCATTTTTGTTCACTTACTACAAATGATCTCCATTCTCCGATGAGAGGGGCTGTGAAAGTGACACGGGATTCCGCCAAGATCTTGTCTATGGAGGGGCGTAGCAGGAGATTCATTAAGCGTTCTACAAGCCATGGAGGACGTGTACTGACTTCAGAAGCGCTTTTTAGGACGGTCCCTACGGTTCGCGACAATATACCCAATCCTAAATCTCCTGAAACGGGAATAGTCACTTCAAAGTTTGATCAGCATGATAACTGGCTACCTTTTAAATCACAATGCAGACTTTACATTACTCCTAATATTATTAAACATCTGTATAAAACTATTTTATTTGAATAAATGACCTTACGATAACCTCATAAGGTTTACAAATATTCCAGAATGATACAGTGTTCAGGAGATTGCCATTATCATCGAACTGTAGAAATAAGGAATAACAAAGAACGGTTGGTTTAAAATGTAAAAGATATATACATTGATATACAGAATTGCCATTATGGAGTGATTATGCACATACCTTCAAAATAACATACCATATTATGGATGGGTATCGCAAAACTTTTCTTCAATTCAACTAGAAATTGTTTAAAAGTCATTAATGCCTCTCTCCGTTGCAAATCAAAACCAGATAAGGTGTAGAACTTGGATGTATGGTACTGTGAGGTATACGTCCAGAAATGGAAATTGAGTCATAACGAGACGAGAAAGATGGACAAGGGTAAAAATACTACTATAATCCTCAACCTCACCATAAAATGGCTGTGCCATTAAAGGACACACCACGTTTGTGATTAGACTAGAAGAAAATGCCAATTTTGTACAATACCAATTGTGGGCTTTCGTTGTTGAGTTGGTCCAGAATCATCAACCCCGTTAATTTCCGTGTCGTCTGGAGGGTTTGCCCTCTTGGAAGTGGATATCATTTCACCGTTTGTCAAATGGAATCGCAAATATGGGTACAAATATGTTTCAAAGAACACACCTACTGTCTGAAACAAATAAAGAAGGACTGCTAGTGATTAGAAATAGCTAGAATATTGACAGGAAAACCAGCTAGGTTTCACATCCGCGAAAGCTAGCATCGGGCTCTTAGATAAGGTTGATGAATTTGATTTGAAAAGTCTCCTTAGGGTATCTACCACATGTTACATAAATAACCATGAAAAACAAAAACGACATATTTAAATCTCTATTTCCTATAATGAAATTAATTTACATCTCGATTTCATGGTAAGAAAAGAGTTGTTCTCACATAAATGGAAATTTCTGAGAATTTCCAAACTTATTTTTCGTTTGAGCATATTTTATTATCAAGATCTTGACAAAAGAAAATGTGCAACAAGTATACCCTATACTGTCAAGAAGAATACGTCAATCAAATAGACAGTAAACTACAGAATGATATTAATAATGAACTGGAACCTAGAATGTAGTTTTAAATAAATTTAATAAAAGGAAACAGATATCAAATGACAGCATTTTGTTACCGCATATTAATGCCCTAAGAACAGAGGCTGAAGTCAGTATTTTGACATGATTTTTCCATTTTTCATGAAGCAATATGTTAAAGTGACAATTTCTCTAAGTTGTCTCCAAGTAATCCGCTAGATGTTTAATTTCAACACGTCTAACTGGGTGAAATACTGGTATATCGGTATGCTTTTGTACTTATAATGTACCATGTCTGTCAATGGTATCACCATCAGGTACACAGGTTTCTCGGCATTCAGCAAGGCAACCTCCCCAGCCGCCACGAGTCCTAACCGCAATCCGCTGAGCCGACTATTCACATCATCCGAGACTACTCTGACCAGATCAGGATTCCAGCTTAAGGTGTGCGTACTCGCATGTGGGCTTGTAAGTGACATCTCCCACGTGAGAACATGCATTGCAGTGTCATCGGGCTTTAACATTGAAACAAAATTATCAAGAAGGTGACAGCTTTGAAAATAATCTCTTCAACTTACATACTTTCATTCTCGTATAACAGTCTCTTTATTAATGAACAATTCATCCTTACAATTCAATAGTTTTAAAGAAGATATATACTGATAAATCCATTACTTATACACTGGCAATTTTGACAGATGGAATACTACCTTATAGAATGTAACAATGATGATGTTAAACCTAGTGTTGACCATGTCAGCCTTTACTTCAATCGTGCCTTCCGTTCTTTCCAGAGTTACTAACAGCTGTGGTAAAACATTTTGTGCCATTTCATATTTTCCTGTAACGTTAGTTTTTCCTGGCAACCATGGCATCTGTAAAATTAGTGTCAGTTTTAGACAAGAACACATAACCTATCGAATTTTCAATTAATCGAAATTTCATGATAGAAAAAAGAAGCCATTTCGCTCATAAAACAGTTTGGCGAAAAGCTGTCTCTGATGGTTTTATTGTAGTGAAAGACCGTCATCCAGGAATTTCGTCTTCCATAAATTTTTTTCTTTGATTTGGACGAATATTTCACTAGCCTCTTGTATCATCGGTAATAACTATACTACCAATACAAATTGACCATCCGCTCACTGTGACCAATCCAAAGACTATTATCTAATCCGTGTCACTCCATTATTAAATCATTGATCCCTTTTTCGAATCGTCACGCTTTAATAAGGTGACGACATTTTTTTAAATGCCACCAGATAAAAGCCAACTGGCATACTGGATAACAAATCTCAGCAAAGATAAAGATGATGGAAAACTATCCTTTCAAATCGGAAGATATTTGATAAAATCAATATGCTTTAAATAATCATTTTAAAGTTTTTTTCCCTGTTTTTTTTTTTTTTTTTTTTTGAGGGGGGAGGGGGTTGGTTTTTACATAACATATGCTTTTAATTACTTTAATAGTTAACTAAAACCTTGCTTTAAAATGAATTAAATCGATTTTGATAATGTAAACTTTAAAATGTCACAGCATTTAATTAATGGGGACAGAAGCATTCTATCTTTTCTTTTTCTTATTTATCTTATTTATTTATTATAAATAAATGCAAATGCAAAACTCTTTATATGAGAAGAGAGCAGTAATTCGCAACAGAATTTAAGCAAAAAAGAAATGAAGAAATATCTCTAATTGTGAAAAATATAACCATGGCCTACAATAAGAATTTGGTGATTTTCTGAACAATGTCTAAAAATCCAGCAGAATTCATTATTTACTTGTAACTTGACTGTGTGAAAGGTAAAATAACAGTCTCTGATTCTCTGCCTACATGTGCAGACTTGTATGTAGTGTACACATGTATTACGCCTTCACTCTTCAATTACAGTTACCTAGGGGTGTCACTTCACCCTTATCAACAATCTTCACTTTTGAGGATATATGTCTGTATGTCAGTATAAACTTTCTTTCAACACAATATCTTTTTTTCAATTGTTTGATTTTCTAAACAATGTTTACGTTGTACAATGACTAATCCCTCATCGAAGCAGGATTGTTTTCGTTCATTTTGTTAATATTTGTAATCATAACAATTCGCAGCTATTTCATTTTTGATAATGACAACACTTTTCACAGACATAATTAGACATATCTGCAATATGCATGACACATGACATTATGGAATATTCACTTCACTTTAATTTCATTAAAACGTATGATCATCGGGGTGTGAACTTATGTAAGCAAGGAATGTATAGGCTAACTAGTATGAATGTGGCTGATTAATATAAAATGTCTATGCATGTTTAGAAAACTGGAATGAATTATATTTTTCTATACAATATGTATTACTGTCATGTGCGCATGTCCTTTGAAAAAAAAAGAATAAAATACGAGTTAAAAAGATATCTGCAATATACAGAAACATGTGAGTGCAAATGTCCGAAAGCAAGTCGAAATTTCGAGTTGTTATCATGAAATTTTGGGTTCGACTTACTCAAAATTTCGGATTATTAACTCGAAATTTTGGGTTACTAACTCAAAATTTCGAGTTGCTATCTCGAAATTTCGAGATAAAATAAAATACAACTTGGATTTATTTATTTATTGAACAACTTGCAATTATTAAATTCTTTTGCAGAGGCACAGTGTGACGTTATTGTACGTTCGTACGGGGGGTCGGAGAGTGACAGAATTTATTGACGTTCGTACCTTCAGCAAAATACATTTGATAATTAATCAAAAGTACACTGACCCGTGAATCTATAGTGCTGTCGACCTCAATCCTGAAGGGGAAAAACCAGCCGATATAATAATGAGCAGTTGTGTCGATATCAATCCAGGCAGTACTCACTTCAGTTTCGTGAATCAGATGATCCGTCCAACGATAAAAATCTGTAATACACACAAAATTACACATAGTTTTTAATCATTCTCTCGACGCTGCATCAAAATAACTAACAATCCTACTCTTACTGGATTTTTTCAGTTGAAGAAAATCAGCTTATTGATGTCAGGGTATAGAAAACCAGATAATGACAATACTCACGTCTAATATCGAAGTTGATCACGGGCCATGGAGTATGGAACTTATAGGTATTAAGAGCGGAAATATTACGTCCCGAGATGTCATACAGGTGCAGAATGTAGGAAGCGTTGATCAATTGACTGCTGTAGTCCAGCACCACATGGAGAACGCGATTGAGTTTGAAACGGAAACGGAAGTTACTACTGTAAGACTTGGACTTGACCACAACATCTTGCTGCCCCACGGCATCACGTGACTTTGTAACAGTCGCATTTACAGTCACCCAGTGGCTAGATTCAAATAAAATTTCGCTAGTTTATTACTTTTCCTTTAACATACGAACCGATATCTGCATACAACTTATTAAAACTGGTTTAGCCTTAAACAACAAGAATTTGTTTCACTTTACAAAACACGTCTTTAACCTTATAAGTTAATTTCTAAATTTAGAAAGAACACTAGCTAAAGTTCGAAATCTCATTAACCCGACTAAGATAAAAAGTGTAAACAATGGTCAATCGTAGGGGAATGTCTTTGTAATGACAAAATAACATCAGATAATACCATAAGATAATGTCCCTAGTGACAGACCATTTCACATGTAAAATTAGAACAATTTAAGTGTGCTAGCTTGTCTTTATTGAATATATTTGATACCAGCAAAATACGGCTGTATTGACAGGTTATGACTTACTGGAAATCTTTACGTGTGTTGACACGCTGACGACCGTACAGGCCAATTGAACGGTATAACACTTGTCCCCCACAAACATCTCTGGTGTAGTTGTAGTCCCACCTCATCTCTATCCCATCGGGCACGGGAACACCTACAACAGTCAAAGTTACCACTGTCTTTCCGGGATTCTCTATACACGGGACCGTGTCGGGACTTACTTCGGACCCTCCTTCACCTTCTCCTGTCAAGCCGTCTTCTGTGTCAGATAGATTTGTCTCTCCAAGACTTGATGACTCCTGTGAAAAGGAATTTACTACGATGTCATTTACAGTTTTGATGAACACGAAATCATTTATTCCATATAATCTACATGTATAACTCATCCATAGTCCGGATATTGACAAATATGATTCCTCGTTTACATCATAGCACGAGTGTGACAGAATATCTATAATTTTTTCACAAGTGCATACCACGAGTGAAAAATAGATAGTCTGTCATACTACATGTTTACGGAGGAGCAAACGAAAAACACAAACATAAAAAAAAAAAAAAAACAAAGCGGCGTTCAAGAGAGTTTGGGAAACATTACCACGTTCATTGTCATTAGCTGGTTTGACGTTACGCTTGACTAGCTAAATAGGATGATTTACATCGTATTCTATCAGTTTATGTTGTTAGTTGGTAAGAATCGCTTACAAAGCATTTTAAATTAGGGAAAAGAGAAAAAAATAACAAAACATACAGAGAAATTATTGGATGGAAAACCAACTCCTTCAACCTTCGCCTTATTCCGTCCGAACAGGAAAATCAAAGAATGTTTGGTCAAAACTACGGAAGCTATGTTATTACTGGAAAAGTTATATAACCACAATTAATGATATGAAAATTCTTAGATCATCACTGTAATTAATGGTTCGCCACTATTACGATTTGATTCGTGAGTCCTCGGCCACATATTGCTTCGCTCTTTCTAGTTCTCTACTCACTGTCACCCTATAATAATGTGGTTATGTTAGTTTCCGCAATATGGTAGATAAAGCCCGCGACGGGGGTGGTCTTAAAAGTATTTTGTGAACGTTTCTTATATTGTAAAATAGCTGCTCTATGTAACGTTTTGTTATCAATAAATGTTTGTTAACTGTTAGGTATTGGTTGAGTCTGAATTTCCACACAGCAGCCAATAGGTAAAAAACTAACACAGTTCGAACAAAGATTGGTCCGTGACACTGATCAGTACACATAATGTTGGGTGGTTACTCACTTGTATATAGTTTTTTATATACTTTTATCATTCGTAATTTGTTTAGATTATCATTTTACCTTGGTTTTCATCTATTTTTTTTTCAATGTGACAACAACACAATGGGAACAAATCAATACATTTACTCTAAAAATCCATGAAATCAGGGCAAAATATGAAGACCGATGCCCGTATTCAGGAAAACATACTTTGTGCTCATGCTCAAATACTTTGGGTAATAAATGTAATGTCTGAGTTAATACATTTCAATGATTTGAAGGAATTTCGGAAATACTTCAAATGGGATCAACTTTTCCTTGTTTAGGTTTGGGTAAATATTGGTCTATCCTAGAATTACTTTCCTGAATGAAAAGACAACAACATCGAAAAAAAAAGCGCATCGTAATGAGCATAACGATGACAATATATCTTCTTCAAAATCTTCATCAGCCGGTATCTCTCGAAACCCTGTGTAATGAGTCTGTCTGTTGTCGACATCCTGGTAATGATGTTTTAAAATGTCAGAATATCAAAAGAAATTTCCGTCTTTCATTACAAAGTAAGGGTATGATGCTAAAAGGTTAACGAAAATAATATGAAAAAGCGAAATTTTCATTTGATTTAAGGAGCTTTATGTAGTAACCAAAAATGGAAATGTTCCAAAATTACTAAATTTGTTTGACCTCTTTCATAATTAAAATTTTGAAAATATATAATGTTTGGATGGAGCAATTTCCGAGGATACTTAGGATTAAAAAGATGAGGTCTCGTTGCTTTAAGTTTTGCAAGTCTCACCTAAATAGCCAGTTTTTCGAAGATCACGAAACAAGCTGAAATATTTGTTATCGGGTCCTAAAAATCCATAAAAATGATCCACCAGGACGAAATCGATGAATTTGAAGTCAGTGATTTGTTGTGATAATTCATGCAAGAAAGGACATAAAAATCGCCATCTTTGAGTTTACAAGTACAGCTAAAACAATAAATTGCATAAGGAACAAATGTTGAATTCATTTTATACTGTATTATAAATTCAGATCAAAAGTCAAAAGAATACATCCTTAAGGTATGTTTCAGCTGAATTCCAGTACTAAAACTTCGGATGACGTTTAAAATAGATGTTGTTCTAGGAAACAATGATTGCACAATCACATTACAAAATGCCTGTAATAAAGAAATTTCGACGAGGTCGAATATTAATGCCAACTCATTTATTATAAAGCCTATTTACTTAACTTTCCTACCTTTTTTTAGTTCAGTGGCATAAGTAGAACTTGATATGTTTAAAGTGTGTTTTTGAAGATTACGACCATATTGGATTTTGGACAGACCCAAAAATGAAAGAAAACATTTCGGCGTACGACGAAGGACAAAACACGATGGCTAATAGGTCATCCTGACCTTTTTGGATCAAATTACCTATAAGCTATGCTGCATGAGAAGTACAGAACTTTGACATTATTAACCAGTCGATGTCAAATCTATATCCTAGTTTCTCGTATTACCTGAATAGTCTTTGAAATATGTTCAATTTCTGTCAATATGTTTAGATTTCGGCTGCTGCCTTTCAAATGACCTCGAAGTGACAGGTTGTATGGCATTCCGGTGTGTGTCAACAGCATGAAGTAGTCATAGTTGTTATAGGTGCCAATACTACTGTTGGTCACGTGGGCATCCATTGTCACTGTGTGCTGTAAAAATATGAAAATAAATAAAAGCGATTTGGCATATCTTCAACGAACTTTTATGAACATAAGATTATCTAACGACAGTATCATATAATACCTTGGCGTGATAAATGATAAAGAAATCTTATATAAACCAGATCCCCTTGGCATTAGATACATATATAACAACCTGTGCTGCCAATATCACCCCGAACCATCCCTTCAAAATGTATAAACAGGCTACCTAATGGCCTTTGATACCCATATCTGTCAACATCACCCTTTCACACTATGTAGAAAGGCTACCTACTACAGCTTATGATACCTGTATCACCCACACCATCCCTTCACACTACATAGATAGGCTACCAATTGGCTTTTGATACCCTTATTACCCAAACCATCTCTGTATACTATATAAAAGCTACATAATGACTATGATTCCTATGTTAACTCATCCAGCATCCCTATTTAAATGATTATATAGAAAGAGAATAGCTTCCTTCCTAAAGACCCCAATATAGGTTCTCGACAACTTAGAAAGAAATGTACCTCCTGGCCTGTGATTCCTGTGTACACGATGACCGTGTGACGGTTAGCATGGGTCACGTTTGCCTCCATTTTATTTTCCAGGCTGAATTGAAACCCTGGAGATGAAGCAAATTGGATGTTGTTGATTTTTTTAAAACCTTCGACATATTTTCACTCTTTGAAATTTAAATTTCCAAAATAGCCTTATATACAGTCAAAAGAAATTTACAATAAATAACACACTTAAAATTATTATTCTCAAACCTAGTACCCACAGAAATATATACATATTGAAACCTCTAAGATTAGAAAACTGTTGATTGTTTTATAAACATGCACAAAGTGTGTAATCAATATAAGTATACATCTAAATTAAATGTAAAACCCTTGACCGCACCTGGTAGTTTCAGCAGCATAAAGTCATTTGCTCTCCAATTGCTGGTATTGTTAATGTAACCAATGACAGCATCGTTAACGAACTGAGCCACAGACGTATCCCCGTTCTGTCTGGCAAGGGAAGGGTTCCAGTGAAGTAGGTACATCAGGGGACGAGCTTTAATACTGTAAGAAACGCGTTATTATGTTATGAAAACGAAATTTTTTTCTTTCTTTAGAAAAGTTTTAAGAAGATCTTCTGTTTGTTTAGAAGCGTTTTGTTGTGTTATTAATGCATTTTAAGTCACTCTATTAGAAACTTTGATATTAACCCACGAGCAATATTCGAAGGTAAAAAGTAACACTAACCAATGATAGGTAACATTAAAAGCGGTGTTGTAATGTCCAGTTTGCCTGTTCCTGAAGCTGTTTACTGTGACTGCCAAACTCGCACCAGGAATAGCCAGGACAACATCAACGATGACACGAGTTGTTAAAGTAGACGTCCGGTCTTGGTTCAGCGTTTTATTCCATCGCTCCTAAAATAATGGTTGAAACTGTTAAACTATATATGTTGGATGTGATCTCTAATTTTAGAGACCGTATTAAAAGGTTTATTTGACAATAAGTAATTTTCTTTATTTAATGTCAAAACCGAAATATCCTATTTTAGCCGTATCATAAATTTGCCAATGAGGGGAAGGAACTCAAAATGTAATGATTATTCCATCCTATGGCGAAAATACAAATGAGAAAAAACTCTCTACGTTATATCAATAACTATAATAATTATCTTGACAAACCTCTACTAAGAATCTGTTGAGACTTTTGCCAGATACACTGAGATGGACATCGAATATTCGATAACCTGTAGTTATTACACCATAAGACCAAAGGCGGTCACGTTTGAAGTAGAGATGTATCTGGGCATCCGGAATCAACAGCTCAACCAAATGCAAACGGTCTTTTCTATTGGCATGTAGAATCAGGCCATCCATGTTCTCCTGTCCTTCAACAAACATTCCATAGAGCATGTGAGTTTGAAATCAGACATAGTGATATGTTACAATCATCAAAGCTCATCATTCGGAATACTTCTACGACAAAAAAAGTGTCAGTCATGATCACTCGACGTAAAACCAATAATGTTCAAACAAACTTACATGTTTGATGCATAAAATGGGAAACAAACGACTATAAAAGTAATTCGTAATGCTCACGAACTGAACACGTGTACTTAACGCAAGTAAGGAAACAAACTGTAAAAAGTTACTGTAGTAATAAGTGAAATTTCATCATTTTCATCTAATTGAGGAATTCAGCTGAATATGCTATAGTGAAACTATAAAATCATTCTTTTATTAACGAACTTTTATTTCCTTTACCCTTTCACAATAACAACCAAACAAATTAGTTGTAGCAATCCAGGTAATATGTGGTGAATGCGATTAAAGGTTGAGGACTCATTTAAGTCGAAAGTGGTCAAATGAAACCTTTTACTGATCAGCCTTCATCCATGGTCGCTTATTTTAGCTATATCAGGCAATTAATAAACAAAAGTTTGGAGTAACATATGAATCCATAGACTGAGACCTCAACGATATCTTCTTATAAAGATTTTTGCTACGCATGGAATCATGCTTTCACATACAGATGTAAGTACCCACATGCATTTACCCGAGATCACAATGTCATGGCATGTAAAGACAAAAATAAATTTCAAAATATCGTATTAACGAGAATTCTTATGAAGGCGTTGGATCTTTGCGCTGAGCCGAACATGAACATACCTTGCCTTGTAATGTTGATCCAAAGGTGATCATCTATATCCCAGTCGCGCACAATTGACAGTTGGAATGAATTCCTGTTTCAACGTCAGAGTCGGTTAATTTCATGTATAATTTAACATCAATATTTCACAATGTGCTGACCATATTTTGGAATATATTATGTTACAAGATTATAACAAAAATGATGTATTTCCATTAAAAATAGAAAAGAAAAATGAAAAAAGGAGATCAAAAGGAATTAACAAGTAAGCTACATACGTTTCAACTTTACGTGTATCTAGGCTAAAGTGAAACGGTCCAGATAAGGGGAAGTAAGGGTGACTGGTAGACGATGTCGTGTTAGGGAACACAGTGGTGAAGCACACTTGGTTACCCATGACAGCAGACAGAAGTCCTCTATCACAATCATGTATCGTGGTCTGGATTTCTGGATCTGGCTCTATCTCCTCAATCTCACCGGATGGGGTCATCAAGTACAATTTCCCACTGTCAGAGATATAAAATATAGTAAAGGTCAAATTAAGACAATTCACAGGCATCGATCAATCTTAATATGCATTAAGCATCCATTCTACAGACAGATTAAGATCTATACTTTAGAACTGACAAATTTAAGCTAAACACACTTCAACGATTCCATTGACAAATGTGTCTGAAAGACTTAATAGTTTTTCTCCACTTACGTTACACTACGATATTCTCAAACATGAAACAAGCATGCTTCTTGATAGATTTTTGCTGTTCGTTGTTGACGTTCGGTCATTATTTGATTTTCTATCAGAAAACTTGAGAGGACAGCACATTCGCTATATTTATCACACCTATTTTTATCTAGAAGACAAGAAGTGGATTATTTATGCTTGTCGGACACCAAGAGTGATGAAACATTTTCTCGGACGTACCTCATGCTTGCTATAGTGTATTTGGAATCTGTATTGGTTTGACTTAGAGACATATCAAACACCCTTGGAGGATTAGGCTCAGGGTTAAATCGTAGAGATGGGGCGATCGACAACTGTAATAGTCCACTCGAACTGGCTGCAGCACCAGAAAGAGTGTGCCGTCCAAACTTCGTCATCAGTTCTCCGTTAAAGTGTACAGCAGCACTATGCAAGAGTAAGAGTATTTCAAATTACGTCAACATTTGCATATCGAAAACGTCAAAGACATTTCAGAACTTAAACTTTTAGATATCTTTTCGCATTTTATCATCGCCAATTGATAGAAAGTATTTAATTCTAAGCTGTATTGATGATCATGTCATTGTCTCAGTTCATCGGTATTTTTGAATACCAGTTTTACTTTTGATTGTTTTTTTCTGAAAGGTGAGAGCATTTTAAATGAAATTTTAGGTCCAACGTGTTTTACATGACGCTTATTGTACTATTGCCATTTAGAAAAAGCTGCATTCATATCGTCCACAGTCTATTTCATATTCGTGGTACAATCCAATGTTTCAAAATCAAAATCTAAATTTTGTGTCTTTAAATTCTTTTGTCGAAATTTTTCTATAATGTCGATGACCAAAAAATTGATAAAAGCATATTTCTTTGAAAATACTGATAAAGAAAACAGAAAATAGTTTTCAAACACTCACTGAGTTTTAATAGATGAATCCAATTTAATATCAGTTTTCAAGCTAAGAATGTCTGGCATGGACAATTTGGCATCGAATTCCAGACCCATATTCATTGCTACGGAAACCGTCATATTCAATGGAAATCCGCCAATAGTAGGCAACACTTTGACAATGTCTACCAGCGACGTTGAGCTGAAACATACATCATCATATCACCAGTACCGAAAATGACTTATGCTACTATCATATCGTGACAGTTATACAATCAAATTGATATTACAGACATTGTGATAGCTTCCTTACCTTACCTATGCAGATACTTTTATATAAACAATTATCTATGTCCATATATCGTGATTATTGTGTCGTTAAAGCAGTAACGACAATAATTTACCCTTAAAATGTAGACCATTGATAAAAATATAGACAATACTTACCTTTCAATACATCACGATTAATATATAGATAATAATTCCCTGAAGGTGCGTTTATCATGTATTGACATAGCAATAGATTAATTAATAACATTATTAATGCAATGCGGAAATGCATACTGTTGCTTTACATACTGTAATTATAATTACTGTAAATCATTTTATTTTAGCGAGTATTGGATTTTGCAAAAGGTACGTGACTGTCTTATTTGCAAATACCAAACTCAAAAGGCCATTTGTTTATGGACAACATCAGCAAAATATATATTCGCGAGGAATTTGAATTACGTAAAATATAATCCTTCGCGAAAAATACGTGATTTACAGTAATGTAAACATAATTCTACCTGGTTCGATACATTGGTAACTGTCCTAGTATTGTATGCAGGTGTCTCATGACAACTTCTTGGATGGAATGTCGTGAACTCTTCTGCAATAGAACCTTCATCAAATCCCGAACCTCCAGATAAAATAATTCTTGACCTAAAAATTAAAGAAATATATTTGTTTATTTGAGTCATTCATTGTATTCATGACAGCGGAGTATCCAAACAACTGTCATACATTCCTTTCCCTTAACTGATCGGGAACGTTCATTTAAGTTAGACACCAAGAAGAACATTTTGTTCTCAAACATTGGCTTTTACAAGAACAATAGACATACAAGACGGTGGTCAAAGACAGAAAGGGAAAGCAGGAACAACTCCAGAATGATGAATGCATCAACAAATAATTACACTTACCTAACACTTTCACATGAATTAGGCCATCCGGTACGTTCATTTGAGAAAGATTAATCTTATCGAATAATTCCAAAATGGCTGCCACTATATTTTTCTGTAGAGTAGAAAACACCATTTCGTCCCGTGATGTGTCAAACTGTCTACTAGGTAAAGGAAAAAGTTTCTGTAGGATGTTTATGTCCTGACTAATTGCATCCAAAATGACGTGGAAATCTGAAACATTTGTTATTTTCATGTACTCACAATAGCAAAGACCATGTTAAATGTTTAGCGGAAGACGTAGATAACAATGAAACAAAATAAGTCAAGCTTTAAGTTTCTCACAAATCAATATGAAATGAAAGACATGGCTTGTAATTGAAAATAATGTAAAATATGTGTTTTTCAGGAACATAAGCAACAAAATTATACTGAATCGACACATTTCATTACAATACTTTTAAGAACACTGACACACAGTGGTATTAGTACCAATGGTAACCTAAGATCACTTCAAATGATTCATACTTTATGAACGTCCCTATTTAAACGTACTCACCATCAATATCCGCAGCCAACTCTAAGAGATTGACCTTTTCGCCGGCGTAATAGTTCACACGGAGAACAACTGCATTGACAACGGGACTAGCAATGTTGTAAACTGTGTCGATTTCTATCTGAAGACCGTAATATTCAACACTGATGGGAAACCTGAAGTAAAATTCAATAGAAACATTAGCGAATACTTTGTGAACGACACAATTCATAAAGATCTTCATTTACGTCTCAAACTAAAGCTGCAATGTATGCTCGTCATTGTATAAGGCTTCAATGTCTGGTGATCGTCATTCTATAAGGCTTCAATGTCTGGTGATCGTCATTCTATAAGGCTTCAATGTCTTGTGATCGTCATTCTATAAGGCTTCAATGTCTTGTGATCGTCATTGTATAAGGCTTCAATATCTGGTGATCAACATTGTGTAAGGCTTCAATGTCTGGTGATCGTCATTCTATAAGGCTTCAATGCCTGGTGATCGTCATTCTATAAGGCTTCAATGTCTTGTGATCGTCATTGTATAAGGCTTCAATGCCTGGTGATCGTCATTGTATAAGGCTTCAATATCTGGTGATCGTCAATCTATAAGGCTTCAATGCCTGGTGATCAGCATTTTATTATATTTCAATATCTGGTGATCAACATTGTGTAAGGCTTCAATGTCTTGTGATCGTCATTCTATAAGGCTTCAATGTCTTGTGATCGTCATTCTATAACCCTTCAATGTCTGGTGATCGTCATTCTATAACCCTTCAATGCCTGGTGATCAGCATTTTATTATATTTCAATATCTGGTGATCAACATTGTATAAGGCTTCAATGCCTGGTGATCGTCATTCTATATATTTCAATATCTGGTGATCAACATTGTGTAAGGCTTCAATGCCTGGGTATCGGCATTTTATTAGATTTCAATATCTGGTGATCAACATTGTGTAAGGCTTCAATGTCTTGTGATCGTCATTCTATAACCCTTCAATGCCTGGTGATCAGCATTTTATTATATTTCAATATCTGGTGATCAACATTGTGTAAGGCTTCAATGTCTTGTGATCGTCATTCTATAAGGCTTCAATGTCTGGTGATCGTCATTCTATAAGGCTTCAATGCCTGGTTATCGGCATTTTATTAGATTTCAATATCTGGTGATCTACATTGTGTAAGGTCTCAATGTCTGGTTATCATTCATCAGATTAATTGAGCAAAACATTGTACATTGAAAATTAGTTTGAAATAATATTCTTCATTATGGAAATGCTCCTGTAGAAAGTACCTGACGTAACGAGACATTTCGATGTATTTTGATTTCCCTAGAAAATGACTTCCATATGGAAACCTTCTGGAGTCGGCATCAATCAAATCCTGCCATATATTGCGTAAGCTGAAAAGTAGAACAAAAGAAAACATTGACATCATGTCGGTACGGGACTTGACAGCAAGACCTTCGTCAGATCAAATGGAATCCACAAACAGACGAAAAAGCAAATGACATACACATAAAATGTGTCACAAGAAAACCAAAAGGAATCAGACATTACAAATCCTAAACAAGTTAAACAACTGCATTGAACAGATAAATATTGACATATCGTATAGTAAGGTATAGCATAATAACGACTATTTAACGTAAATAAATAAAATACTGGAGACCAATCATTACTGTCCTAATACGTGTAATGAAACAGGAAAAGAAACATTCGCAATATGTAATTAATGTCAGCGCGTGTTATTGTATTTGTATTTTAAACATATATAACCAAAGAAAGAAATCTTTCACTATACTACAAAACAGAAAATATCTCACGTCTGATACAATGATTCCAGGATTTAAAGTTACGAAATAAATTTATAAGGACAACTATATTTTGTATGTATATGCAAGTCAGAAGTTATATTTTCTTCGCACCGAGTTAATACAAATATAGACTGCATATATAATGTGACCCACTGTTGCAGATCCGGTTGGTCGTTCTTTAGTAGACTTTTGATATAGGTGATGATATAGTTCTTCATGTAGCGCATCTTCTCGGTGTACACTAGTTCATAGAGCCCAGCGGCCAATTCACGATCGGGCTGCATAATTAGCCGAGCGAATACCATCGTCCGTAATGAAGGTGGTCGATTCATATCGCCAAGAATACCAACCAGAGCATCTTTCATCTCTGAGGTAAAGGCCATATTGTGAAGTGCCTAGAATATAATGATAAATCATTATTGAATTAGTGTACTGAGTGTTTTGGAACATTTTCTTCGGGTTGGCAATGACAATACAATAATAGTTCTTATAACACAATCATTAGAAGAAATATGTGTGACGTTTCAATTACTACCTTCTCACCTTCCACCGCCCAGTGTATGTTTGTACTAGATGGTAACCAATCGACGACGCTTTTTTACTTTATTATAATCCTATGTCAACAAAGGTAAAACAAAAGTGTGACTAGATAGCGACAAAGTATTACTACCAAAGGATTTGAATGTCATCGTCCCAAAATATCATGTTGGTAATTTTATTGTAGCCACAGGCGTGTAAGAAGTTGAGTTACGCCGAGACTGACCAAATAACCTTAGAAGTGACGGGCATCTTAACATCTGCGTAATTACCAGCAAACAAGATATCGAAGGAAAAATTATATTAAGGAATATTATGTAAAAATCTAGAAAAATAGTACAGAAGGTATGTCTACAGTACTTATCCTAAAAGAGCCAGGAAACCTCACAAGACGCTTCAAAACATGCTAACTTACCCAAAGATAAACACCCAAAGTAAATGTCGTTTACTGCGAATGTAATATCATATGTGAGAACTTCGACGCATCGTACATCTGGGAACCAGACAGGACATCCGGTGTTTGTACACTTAACTAAATTTGCAGTATTGTGTTTGTGTCCAACTTATTAAACATCAGAAATATGTAAAGTCCAAAGAAGATAGAACTTTCACCTGAGCAGAGTCAAATGATCTCAGTCCAGGATCAATAAATCCGCACTTAAAGATCATTCCACATAGCAAATAGTCAACAGGGTAAAGACCTTTTCAGGAGGTCATCTGGACACGTCGTATCAGTCCCACACTATATAGGGACAAGTGTAGCCACAGACTCACATACATCTATGACCAAGTGTTAAACAAAACAACTATAATACATAATAACCATCTTGTGTATTTTCCTTTTTGCGATCTCGTCACATCATTTCCTATCTTTGCGTACATAGGATTATAATACAGCCAAAAAAGGTCGTACAATTTTTTACCATCTTGTGCACCACATATGATCATTTGTCAGATGGAGGTGGCGATGTAGTCGTTATCGAAACGTCATACTTCTAATGGTTGCGTAATAGGAACTTCTGTTGTTGTATACTGAGACCATAGAATAATTTACCAACATTTAGATATTGAAATATCTCACTTTCTTATCACTAACCCATTAATATAAGATTATATAAACATGTATTTCAAAACATTTCTTTTAAAAATTGACTCCGATAAAACAACATTTTCGTTTTAATATCACCTATAGCTCATTATTATGTTTACTACTCACCAGTACAGCTGTCTTTGAGACTTTATGAGGTAAATCTGTATTGTAAGCGCACTGTAGCAAAGCCTGGACCAGTCTCCTATCCCCGGGTCCGCCTTCCATTCCGGTATACTTATTGTCGTAGATATATTGGACTGGCTCTCCTATGTTGCCAAGAACCTAAGGGAAGGAAATGTGGAAGACGAAAGTCTCACTACAACTTTATCTTAATCCGGATAAAGAAGGAAATATGAAAACCGGAAGTCCGGATGTAATTCTACGATAGCAGACAATCCGAAAGGAGTGTGGTCTATTAGGATAAATAAATCCGACCTGAATTTTAGAGTTCTGTCTTGAAATAGCAGGCACCCAGCAATAGTCAGTTTCCTAGCCTATCGGGTATTCACAGATCATAATTTTTTTCACATCTAAGATTTTTTGTTGTTAAAAACAGTTTTTAAAACTTTTATTCTTTTAGGTTTGAACATGTTATTTTTGACAATTTTATAAACCAATATATACACGGGTAACAAGAGAAGTTATCTGTCAGCTATAAGAAAATTGTCAAGGCAATCTTCAAATTTGTCAAGAAACGAAAACCCATGACAAGGATCTAGTGACTGAAAACACTATTCGTCTCCGTTTAGAGTACAAAATATGAAACAATGATAAGAAGAAACTGATAAAGCAAACACGAAAACATTATTTGCATTCAACTATTATAATGGCTAGCACCATAACGACGCTTATCACAACTTCAATTGTGAATCCTTTAAAGTTATCTTTCACATTTAATCGGTTTTTTTCATATACTGTCACACTTCTAAACAATATCAGCTGTAATCAGATCACGAAATCACATTTTTTCTCAAAATTTACAAAGCACAACTGCAGAACGTCTGCCAAAATCATAAAACAAAATATATTGAACAAAGAGTTATCATATGACTTTCATAATTTGCAAGGTAACATGACTTCAGAAATGAAAATAAACGCTATGTTATAGTATTTATAACAGAAATAACTTACTTTCACACACAAAAAATCCATACCGTACACGTGTGTTTTATGAATTTACCTTTATCATCACGAGAAGTTCATCTATGGTATGCTGCTTCTCAGTTTCAGTTAGAGTCTGTGAAATTCCATTCTGACACGTGTCCCCAATTGTCTGGCGGACATGATGTAGTGTCCGATACAAAGGACCGGATTCCTTTAATATATACATATAAACAGGTAAAATATCTATTACATCTACCAAACAGAGAAATATGATTATCTATGAAAAAGAAAACACAAATACACACTTGTATATAGATCTACACCTGAATATTATTACACTCAGTCTAGTCGAGTTTCTTGTAAAACTGTTTACCTACCATATCTACAGCTAACCCACCAGAAGTCGCAAGCTTGCCGACCATAATGCTCAAAGGAAACCAACAGCTTATTCCTTCTCGTTCTTGGCACATTTCCTAAAATCCACAAAATAGAATCTTATATCTAGATATTTTATTTTTCCCCTTTTATATGAATGATAAAACATCCATGATTAGAATATCCGGTTATAGAAATTTTCATTAACAAGTGTTGGTTATTTTTTATCATTTTGTGTGTGTTTTCCACAACTTGGAATGATATCTACTCACCAACATGGACGTTGCAACCTGTGTTGATGCTTTATGGTACAGGGCAACATCGTATACAAACATATACTCGAGCCAGGAATTAACACGTCCGGCTCTCATTGCCTGTGTGAACACGTTGATACACTCCTCTGTCCCGCAGGAGAGTAAACCATCCAGAAAGAAGTCCTGTTTCAGTCTCTAACGACGTAAAAAAATAACAATGTCATACCTTGAATATACTTCTCTTATTATTTCTATATATATTTCATACTATTAATATGTAGCCATGCTACGAAGAATGATATGTAGTTGTAAATCTAAGTCAAATATGATAAGACTAAACAATTACTGATCGCTTTCCCCTTTTATCCCCTGATAAAACTCGCTGTATAGGGCAATCATGTTGAGTTCTTCAAAGTGCTGACTTGATACTGAAATTATCTATGTGTGCAAGACAAAACGTGGTTATAAACTCAGGCGCAGTTCTCCGAACTCTTTATTAAAGATGGTAAGTCAGATACTCTGGTCCTTATTACCTGCTCTTTCTTGTTACATTGATTTCCATGGTTTCCATGACAGTTCCATACATCTGCCATAACCTCCAACATGTCGTTAATCTGTGCCTGTCGAAGGCACCATAGGAAACCGTGGAATAATTTAGGGTTTGTTTCCAGGGTATCGTTATGAGTTGCTAGCGAGTGCAGCCAGTGACTGATATCATCTCTGGTCACCAGAATAGTTTCTCCGCGATCATCAAACTCATACATCAGACTTCCTGATTTCTTGCCTTTCATTTTACGATTTACATTACTTTCGACGAGAATTCCTGTTTCCTGTAGGATCAGATGCTGACTGAAAAACACCAGTGTTACATATTGACAGATAATAATCACAGCAATCAATTGACTAACGAAAATAATTAAAAGGGCAGTCCACTGTCTCTATGATAACTCTCTTTAGAATGGATCATTATCTCAGTGGTAACCCGACAAAAAGACCATTACATTGTTTCTAAGATACCCATACGTACGAACAGACAACTATATTAGAGCTACCTTTGGTCATTTGCCGAGAAAATGAAATCCTTATGACAATTACCAGATATTCAAGATTTCTATTATATTGATGGCGAAAGTAATAGTACATGTAACTGACACAAGAATTGACTGCTGTTATGAACATTTAAAAGACCTTGCCATTTTCACATTTGTAAAATTGTTAAATCAGAACAAGAAATATGATATTCTATTTATCGTTTTGATTAGCTATGTTAACAAATATATCAAGAAAGGAAGTTTGTTCGAAAGGATACATAATCAAACACCGGGAACACATCTTCCTTAAGAATAGTCCTGCCTCCATAGGTTTAACTTTTGACGGCCATTGAGTGAAAGGGTTTGCAATGATTTATAAATCTCTTTAAGAGAACAAACATGCATGAACTTCTTAAGCTTCCATTCTCTGATAAGTCATGGCTAGATATATTAATGCAATACCCTAACACGTAAGTAGTATATACAGAACACTTTTGACATTTCATGTTTGAATAATAATAATAATATTTTTTTAATTCTGTATTAGGGCATCACATTTATACTTTGACAAAAAATGAGTATCTAACATCACGATATTTTATCACTTTTTGTAACAATTTGACATCTACGTCCTAACAGGACCCGTCAGTGATGCTAAGGGATTAAACTAACAACAAATATCTTTGGTAACCTTGATAACAGCATTATTACCTGACATTGGTCATACATGTTGCAATCCCGGCCCCCTCGCGTGCAAAAGGACGAAACTGTTGTTGCTGTAGACATATTGTTTCCTCGAGTCTGTGGTTTATTCCTAATGTATGTTCACATTTTATTGTTGAATTGAATGGATAAATCAGCTGAAAAAAGAGCAGAAAATAGGAATGTGATGTAGCTTTATAAGATAATTTAGGAATATATAATATACTTTATGCATGGAAGCTGGGGTAGCTTACCTCGTCAATCACACCGTGGACATAGCCCCCATAGACACTCTTGATCATGGATATCAGGTTGTTTTGGCGGTAGTTGTAATGTGGAACCTGACACTTGGTGATGTCTCTGGACGTGTGTATCCTGTTCGGAGTCTCAACTATGTACTCGGTAGGACAGGACCCGATCAAGTCCTCCTACAAAACAACATGATACTTCAAGTCATTATTCAGATTCTATCAAAACTTTAATATTCGTCATAATATACATCCATAATTACCAATGGAGTAATACAGGGTTTTTATTGACTTGCCAGTTCATTGATTATTCTGTTCATATATCGTGCAAAGACAAAACTATAAACCAATTTGTTGAGGGCGGGCTTCTTAAGAAAGTAAAAGTACAAAACTCCGTTAAAGATTTTAAAAATGGCAAGGTGCCCTTGCAGAGTCTCCGATTTCACATGCGAAAGGTGTGGGTTATCTTACTCTGTGTAATTTTCCCCCACATTTGTGTCGATCAATTTTTATTTTCCTCAGTCGCCTCCCATGTTTAGGCCTTTATCTTCACTAACGAGTCCTTATAGGACGAAACAGCGGCATGGTGCAGTTTAATTCATTATTTGGCTCTACTGAATCTAGTCATTAATTTATGTTGAAAGATGCTAAATAGCCACCTGGGAATCGTCAAGAGACTTAATACGCTATGTTATAATTATTGATTATTTATCTACCCAATATTGCATGTGGAGATTAACATTTAATCGGAAAGATTGCGATGTTGATTGTAACATTTAATTAAGCTGACATCATTTACATAAACACGGCTATTACTTCAGTATTAATGTTATGAAGGTAATTCCATGTTCATACAGATGAAGTTACATACAAGTGTACCATGTCTTTCATGACAGGTAAGAAACGATGAAGTTAACAGATCTTTGAATATGGTTTTCAGGAGATTTTACAATCGGCAATATCAAACAGAATTGGGTAGTGATTGGAGTGTAGACCTATCCAATGAAAATCACAATGAAATGATAACTTACCGTCTCCATGGTATGTGTCTGGTCTCCGGGTGCCTCTGTGATGAGTTTGATCTGGAGTGCTGACAGAATCCCACGCTTTATGTTGAGAGCGTCGTTTGTCTCTGCTTGATCCACCACAATAGTGTGTGGACGAATCGTCCCACTACCAAACTGGAAGTACAGCTCCCTACAATTTCAACAAATATTGGTAACAAATACACATTCATAAACAACGACAAAATAAGTTCGAATCGTCTCAAGTCCAAATTGAACGAAAAGCTCCCAACAACTACAAAAGCTAAATGCAAGTTAATTACAAATGTTAATCAGTATATGCTATCTAAAATGAGGTCCAACGGCCAAACTGGATAAAGGCAATCAAGTGGATGACAGGCTCAATATCCACATGTTAAAACACCGGGAAGATCATATTCAGGCAGAAATATAGAAAATAACACTTAAGATGTTAGTAAATCAGTATTGGTAATTGATCAACATCACCCAATGTAAAATCTAAGAAACGTCAAATTATATCAATGATATCAAGAGATTTATAAGATATTCAAATACATGGACAATACCAACATGTCTACATCAATCCTAATTCAAACTCAACTTCAATCAAAACAGGGCAAAGAAAGAGCATATGTTCTAGAAGAGTAATCGTGGGCTGCTTCATCGACAACACCCGTCATGTAAATCTCGATTAATCCAAGTAATCTTACGGTCCCAAATGAGGTTAAGATTTATAGCAACGAAACTACCAGATTATCTAACAAGAAGTCATCATGAAAAATATTATGCCCTTGGAGTATTAACATAACGCTCCAAAATACCCACTTACATTTCACATACTTAGGACAATGACATATATCTGTTTACAGTTTTATACCATGCACCACCAGGACCGTCTTAAATTAGTTAGGATAATCTCTTTTGTCAGTAAATAAACACGGGTCAAAATTTACCCTCCTAGAAGATTTGTTATATCTGCTGACAAAGCTGTATCTTTGATATACAAGTCATCTTCTCCTAATTGTCGGTGATAAAGCGAACACGTCGTTACCTGTAAACAAAACAACAGGAATTTTACAGTATATTAGTTGTCATTCATATGAGATTGAAAGGGAAGTCAGTCATTTTTAACATTCTTGGCTTCTGGCGGGGAAAATGAGAAAAAAAAAACACGATTGATTTCGTGAATCTCAAATGAAATGGAAACGAATAGAAATCTTTACTTTTGCAAAAGTATTCGTAAATATAGCGTTTGATTAAACTGATTCAAAACTCTAAATCGTTAAATGGAACCTTCAGCCAGCCAATCACAGCTCATCTAGGTCATATCACACGTGTGTCGTAGCTAAATTTATATAAGGGGTGGTATTTGGTTGATTAACAATTACAATTGTTACATTTGCTAACAATTACGATGATTGTTTATGAGCAGGCAGGACAAATGTGAATTTTAGATAAGACATGACCGACTGTCAGGTGAGGAAACATGCTCAGGTATCGCTAAATTATACTGTAAACAATTATTACAAACCAAATGTAACATTTGAAACAAACAAGAATGTTGATCATAAACGGGGAAAGTCACGACCAACTGTTGACAAGAAAACTTATGAACAAATCTAAACAAATTTAAACATACATGCATGGTCTGTGTACAGGCAAATTCAAAATATAAGTAGTTCAGCAACTGTATTCGTTGTAATAAAAGCTGACTCTGCTTAGTCATATACATCTATATATTTAAATGCAAAAGGATACAAAAAACATCAGAAGTGAATAAGTACTGCATGAAAAACGAGACAAAACTGGACAAAACTTACATTCATATAAGCTTCACACTTCCTCCGTGCTTCTACCACAACCTCACAGTCAAGTTTAAAAGCCGATTTAGACTTTGTCGTTCCCACAAAACTCGTCTCCACTGTGGTACTGTAATGGTAGAGGTACTTGTGGCCACGATGGAACCTAACCTCTACAAATACAAATCAATATAGATAAATAACTGAGGGCGGAACCTAACCTCTACAAATACAAATCAATATATATAAATAACTGAGGGCGGGGCCTAACCTCTACAAATACAAATCAATATAGATAAATAACTGAGGGCGGAACCTAACCTCTACAAATACAAATCAATATAGATAAATAACTGAGGGCAGAACCTAACCTCTACAAATACAAATCAATATAGATAAATAACTGAGGGCGGGGCCTAACCTCTACAAATACAAATCAATATAGATAAATAACTCAGGGTGGGGCCTAACCTCTACAAATACAAATCAATATAGATAAATAACTCAGGGCGGGGCCTAACCTCTACAAATACAAATCAATATAGATAAATAACTGAGGGCGGGACCTAACCTCTACAAATACAAATCAATATAGATAAATAACTGAGGGCGGAACCTAACCTCTACAAATACAAATCAATATAGATGAAATAACTGAGGGCGGGACCTAACCTCTACAAATACAAACCAATATAGATAAATAACTCAGGGCGGAACCTAACCTCTACAAATACAAATCAATATAGATAAATAACTGAGGGCGGGGCCTAACCTCTACAAATACAAATCAATATAGATAAATAACTGAGGGCGGAACCTAACCTCTACAAATACAAATCAATATAGATAAATAACTCAGGGCGGGGCCTAACCTCTACAAATACAAATCAATATAGATAAATAACTGAGGGCGGAACCTAACCTCTACAAATACAAACCAATATAGATGAAATAACTCAGGGCGGAACCTCACCTCTACAAATACAAATCAATATAGATAAATAACTGAGGGCGGAACCTAACCTCTACAAATACAAATCAATATAGATAAATAACCGAGGGCGGAACCTAACCTCTACAAATACAAACCAATATAGATGAAATAACTCAGGGCGGAACCTCACCTCTACAAATACAAATCAATATAGATAAATAACTGAGGGCGGAACCTAACCTCTACAAATACAAATCAATATAGATAAATAACTGAGGGCGGAACCTAACCTCTACAAATACAAATCAATATATATAAATAACTGAGGGCGGGGCCTAACCTCTACAAATACAAATCAATATAGATGAAATAACTCAGGGCGGAACCTCACCTCTACAAATACAAATCAATATAGATAAATAACTGAGGGCGGAACCTAACCTCTACAAATACAAATCAATATAGATAAATAACTCAGGGCGGAACCTAACCTCTACAAATACAAATCAATATATATAAATAACTGAGGGCGGGGCCTAACCTCTACAAATACAAATCAATATAGATGAAATAACTCAGGGCGGAACCTAACCTCTACAAATACAAATCAATATAGATAAATAACTCAGGGCGGAACCTAACCTCTACAAATACAAATCAATATAGATAAATAACTCAGGGCGGGGCCTAACCTCTACAAATACAAATCAATATAGATGAAATAACTCAGGGCGGAACCTCACCTCTACAAATACAAATCAATATAGATAAATAACTCAGGGCGGAACCTAACCTCTACAAATACAAATCAATATAGATAAATAACTCAGGGCGGGGCCTAACCTCTACAAATACAAATCAATATAGATAAATAACCGAGGGCGGAACCTAACCTCTACAAATACAAACCAATTTAGATGAAATAACTGAGGGCAGAACCTAACCTCTACAAATACAAATCAATATAGATAAATAACTGAGGGCGGAACCTAACCTCTACAAATACAAATCAATATAGATAAATAACTGAGGGCGGAACCTAACCTCTACAAATACAAATCAATATAGATAAATAACTGAGGGCAGAACCTAACCTCTACAAATACAAATCAATATAGATAAATAACTGAGGGCGGAACCTAACCTCTACAAATACAAATCAATATAGATAAATAACTGAGGGCGGAACCTAACCTCTACAAATACAAATCAATATAGATAAATAACTGAGGGCGGAACCTAACCTCTACAAATACAAATCAATATAGATAAATAACAAACCTCTACAAATACAAATCAATATAGATAAATAACTGAGGGCGGAACCTAACCTCTACAAATACAAATCAATATAGATAAATAACTGAGGGCGGAACCTAACCTCTACAAATACAAATCAATATAGATAAATAACCGAGGGCGGAACCTAACCTCTACAAATACAAATCAAACCTCTACAAATACTAATATATAGATAAATAACTGAGGGGAAACCTAACCTCTACAAATACAAATCAATATAGATACAAATACAAATCAATATAGATAAATAACTGAGGGCGGAACCTAACCTCTACAAATACAAATCAATATAGATAAATAACTCAGGGCGGGGCCTAACCTCTACAAATACAAATCAATATAGATAAATAACTGAGGGCGGGACCTAACCTCTACAAATACAAATCAATATAGATAAATAACTGAGGGCGGGACCTAACCTCTACAAATACAAATCAATATAGATAAATAACTGAGGGCGGGGCCTAACCTCTACAAATACAAATCAATATAGATAAATAACTGAGGGCGGGACCTAACCTCTACAAATACAAATCAATATAGATAAATAACTGAGGGCGGGGCCTAACCTCTACAAATACAAATCAATATAGATGAAATAACTCAGGGCGGAACCTAACCTCTACAAATACAAATCAATATAGATAAATACGTCACGAGGGAACCTCACCTCTACAAATACAAATCAATATAGATAAATAACTGAGGGCGGAACCTAACCTCTACAAATACAAATCAATATAGATAAATAACTCACGAGGAAACCTAACCTCTACAAATACAAATCAATATAGATAAATAACTGAGGGCGGAACCTAACCTCTACAAATACAAATCAATATAGATAAATAACCGAGGGCGGAACCTAACCTCTACAAATACAAATCAATATAGATAAATAACTGAGGGCGGAACCTAACCTCTACAAATACAAATCAATATAGATAAATAACTGAGGGCGGAACCTAACCTCTACAAATACAAATCAATATAGATAAATAACTCAGGGCGGGACCTAACCTCTACAAATACAAATCAATATAGATAAATAACTGAGGGCAGAACCTAACCTCTACAAATACAAACCAATATAGATGAAATAACTGAGGGCGGAACCTAACCTCTACAAATACAAATCAATATAGATAAATAACTGAGGGCGGAACCTAACCTCTACAAATACAAATCAATATTGATAAATACGTCACGAGGGAACCTAACCTCTACAAATACAAATCAATATAGATAAATAACTCAGGGCGGAACCTAACCTCTACAAATACAAATCAATATAGATAAATAACTCAGGGCGGAACCTAACCTCTACAAATACAAATCAATATAGATAAATAAAACTGAGGGCGGAACCTAACCTCTACAAATACAAATCAATATAGATAAATAACTGAGGGCGGAACCTAACCTCTACAAATACAAATCAATAGATAAATAACTGAGGGCGGAACCTAACCTCTACAAATACAAATCAATATAGATAAATAACTCAGGGCAGAACCTAACCTCTACAAATACAAATCAATATAGATAAATAACTGAGGGCGGAACCTAACCTCTACAAATACAAATCAATATAGATAAATAACTCAGGGCAGAACCTAACCTCTACAAATACAAATCAATATAGATAAATAACCGAGGGCGGAACCTAACCTCTACAAATACAAATCAATATAGATAAATAACTGAGGGCGGAACCTAACCTCTACAAATACAAATCAATATAGATAAATAACTGAGGGCGGAACCTAACCTCTACAAATACAAATCAATATAGATAAATAACTGAGGGCGGGACCTAACCTCTACAAATACAAATCAATATAGATAAATAACTCAGGGCGGGGCCTAACCTCTACAAATACAAATCAATATAGATAAATAACTCAGGGCGGGGCCTAACCTCTACAAATACAAATCAATATAGATAAATAACTCAGGGCGGGGCCTAACCTCTACAAATACAAATCAATATAGATAAATAACTGAGGGCGGGACCTAACCTCTACAAATACAAATCAATATAGATAAATAACTGAGGGCGGGACCTAACCTCTACAAATACAAATCAATATAGATAAATAACTGAGGGCGGAACCTAACCTCTACAAATACAAATCAATATAGATAAATAACCGAGGGCGAGACCTAACCTCTACAAATACAAATCAATATAGATAAATAACTGAGGGCGGGACCTAACCTCTACAAATACAAATCAATATAGATAAATAACTGAGGGCGGAACCTAACCTCTACAAATACAAATCAATATAGATAAATAACTGAGGGCGGGACCTAACCTCTACAAATACAAATCAATATAGATAAATAACTGAGGGCGGGACCTAACCTCTACAAATACAAATCAATATAGATAAATAACTGAGGGCGGGACCTAACCTCTACAAATACAAATCAATATAGATAAATAACTGAGGGCGGAACCTAACCTCTACAAATACAAATCAATATAGATAAATAAACTAACCTCTACAAATACAAATCAATATAGATAAATAACTGAATGGCGGGACCTAACCTCTACAAATACAAATCAATATAGATAAATATCTGAGGGCGGGACCTAACCTCTACAAATACAAATCAATATAGATAAATAACTGAGGGCGGGACCTAACCTCTACAAATACAAATCAATATAGATAAATAACTCACGAGGGAACCTAACCTCTACAAATACAAATCAATATAGATAAATAACTCAGGGCGGGACCTAACCTCTACAAATACAAATCAATATAGATAAATAACTGAGGGCGGGACCTAACCTCTACAAATACAAATCAATATAGATAAATAACTGAGGGCGGGACCTAACCTCTACAAATACAAATCAATATAGATAAATAACTGAGGGCGGGACCTAACCTCTACAAATACAAATCAATATAGATAAATAACTCACGAGGGAACCTAACCTCTACAAATACTAATCAATATAGATAAATAACTCAGGGCGGGACCTAACCTCTACAAATACAAATCAATATAGATAAATAACTCACGAGGGAACCTAACCTCTACAAATACTAATCAATATTGATGAATACGGTTACGGCGAGACCTTACCTCTAAAAATACAAACCAACATAGATTAAAACGGCACGACAGAACCTTACATCTGTACATACAAAACAATATTCTTAAATATGTCAAAGCTGAATTTAACTTCTGCAGATTCAAACTAACAGCGATAAAATGTTATGCAAATACATCAAAATTACACTGAATCAGAAAATTAATAATTGATCAAACCCAACGCCACAAAACGTATTGTTAAAATACATGTACAATTACTTACCTACAAATGCAAACAACAAATATTAAGATTTTGTTGTTGGTCCTTGTACCTCATGATTATAAATGCGTACAAATGAGATTTCATGCAAGTTAAAGATACAAACGAATCTGTTCGTGCAAATCACAATTATCTATAAAACATAAATATAATTGAACGAAACCATTGTATATGAATATATACAATTCATAAATACAACCTCTTTGTAGCAGAAAATCTATTTTTTTTTACTTTGGTTTAAACAATAATTTATTTTCAGATTTTCATTTACAACATACACATACACTAATTATAAAATTGAAAAAATGGATCTGGCAACAAGATTTTTTTTTTACTTTTGAAATAGTATGTAGAAATTTAGCGTAACATTGCCACATAAGTATATAAGCGTTCGTTTGAGCTAACTCAGTCGACATTAAAACGTGCAAGTCATGCCTTAAATTCCGTTAAATATATTATTGTTACATCGTTTGAAAACAACCTAAAAGTAAATCCAGTTTTCTTTTTCACCTTGATCTTTGTGTTAAGATACATGAGTCGTCCTTACCGTCCCTGTCACAGATGACGGGCTTCGTAATCCGTGCTTCAAATGCCGAGGTTTCTGGAAAACATAATGTGGGTAATATTAGGAATATATCTTCCAATGAAAATTCATCTAGTTTTTGTTAGACATCCTAGGCATTCAAACTTGTTCTAAAAAGAAGTATTGTATCATTCTGTAGAATTCATAGGTCGCCATTTGAAGTGAACTACTTGTATAATTCTACAGCTGTTCGTTACCGATTTCTCCAGTATACATTAATTATCAGTCGACTTAACTAGACTTTTGAGATAAGCCATTTTGCTTTAGAACGTGTATATATCAGAGATAAATAATGCTGACTATTTATGGTAATTTAAGTTCTAGGTTAATTGATTTGGGTTAATTTGGGTTAGTAAGAAAATAGGTTGAGATCATACTGGAATCAGATTGTCCTTTGGAAATGATAACACCAAGATTCCTTAGAAAGATCAATTGCATAAAAGACACCAGTCAATAGCACATTGCATAATAAATTCAACTTAAGATACAGTACAGCTAAAATTAAACAGCACTATATAAAATGAAATGAAAAAATGAAAAAAAAAAAACATCAATCATATTGTGAAAAGATATGGAAATTGATTTCATCTATGATTTTAATGACCTATATATTGACATTTGGCATTATTTTACATAGCTATGAGATATGTAAATGAAAAATTATACCACAATTATCAAAATTATTATCAATGTTATATATTTGTATATATTATATTTATCACTAAATCCTGTGATATTTGATGAACATAATGACCTGTGGAACATTTCTATTTAAGTTACACGGTGCACAAATGAAACGTATATTATAGTGAAAAGAGTGAATGAGAATTTGACCTTTGAACTGGAATGACATTGTATATTAAACATTACTTTTGATGAATAAACCTAAAAAGCATTGATTTGAAAAACAATTTATTTGTGACCTTGAGTGATAAATATATTGAACTTGGAATGACTAAACATTGGTATAAATCTCTATCAGTATTATTCATAATTAAGGATGTATGACGGATGGATTTCCAAAATTTCGAAAATTTAACATTTGTTCCAGTGATTAATTTTGAAAGGTAATTGATTACAGAAAAAAAATTTAAAAGCACAATGTTGCTACAGTCAGAATATGTGTAATGAGGAAACATTAATTTTCGCCTTTTTTGTATCAAAATTTTGTTGAATTCTACCTTCTAGGGGAATTATACATGCGAGAATTACGCTGGCAATGGGAAAATGTTGACGCCGAAAACCGAATCACGACGTCAAGTACGCCGTCAAAAAATGTAGTCCGCAAAAAAATGACTGTATGTCAAATTAGGCTTTCAATTTTGGCATATCGTTAATGTAACTATTTTCGACTTCCGGTCAACATGAGTTGATTTGAAGTGTGAAAGACTTCTGTAATTCATTCGGAAATATTCAAACATTTCTGAGATTTTAAACTTAATCTCTAATTAAGAAAGCGTACCAGTGAATACACAGATGAATGCATAATGTAGTACTAAATGAAATAATTCCAACGAGACCATGCAAAGCCAAATAAGCTGTTTATGAATTTAGATAATTTAAAAATGGGTTACTTTCCAGTTTAATGTGTAAAACATAACTTACCCCAGATGAGACAAAGTATCAGTAGACATACTGATGTTCCCGCCATAGTTGGTCGGGACCGAGCCCGCGTGTGCGACTGTAGAGACCGCTTGTATATCGGTGACCTTGCGTAATGACACCTAATACGTATAAACAACATCAGCCGGGAGGAAAAGAGGTTAATGACCACCGAGAAGTTAGATTAGGAAATGCTGTTTTGCAGATCCAAATTTGATACTCTGAAGTGGTTTAAAAGTGGGCGAAGTCTGTTGACCCTTAAACTTTTAATGTTGTATAGCGCTATTGACATCGACCTTCTCCTGTGCTAAATATATATATAACGGTTTGTCAAACCTATATATCATTTAGAAATAGCGTTACTTTGACGTTTTATAGAATTAATGTGAAAGATGAAGGCTTGATTATTTGGTTTCGACATATATGAATTTACAATTTTTATAAAAAAAAAAAAAAAAAAAAACTGATATCATCACTGGTGATGATGTCATTTTTCCAACAACTGAAATTTGTTGATTTGCATGTAGGAAATAAAATCCCGTATACATCGCTATTTTTCTGTTATCTGGTAAACGAAACAGTTTTGTAAGCGAATCCTTGTAGATAACAGCATGAAATGGCAGAACGAAACATAAAGCAGGTTATTCAAAATTCGTAGTCTTGTTATCAAGAGTGACGTCAAACTATATGACGTCAAGGAACGCGCTATTATCTCCCGGACTAACTTATACAACCGCTTTATTTTATGTTTATATCGGCTGTTTTCGTTTTTTCCTTCATAGATGTAATAAAGAGATACGTTTATGATGGTCTGTTAAATACCATGTATATTTCACTAGTATTGCAGGATATATCTATGTTTCGTCGCAGCGATCTCTTTGAGAGAAAAAAACGAAAAACAAATCTACGTAAATCATTTTGTCAGGCTACTGTGATATGAAATCGCAGTCAGTGTTCCCTGTCACCAGTATAACTCAGTTAACAACAGTTGCGATATAGCACATGTGAAAGGCTATCCCCCCCTTAATACTGCGTATAAGCGGAGGATTGACGTCACGATGTCACAAATGAGGTCTATGCCTGAACATACAGCAGGTACCTTTCACTTCTGTTCTATAAATAGAATCATTCCCTCTCAATACCCCATCGCGAATATTAAGTGGTCGGACTTTGTATTAGTGTTATATACGGGCACCACTTGACGGGGTCACCAAACACAAAACGGAAGGGGACACCGTCACCAAGATATTTTACATAGTTATAGAGCTGATATTGAAAGACAATTTCTACAGAGATAGGGTTTTCAACGTTTTAAACAGAACAACTAAGGCTACAAATTATTGAACCATCATCTTTGAATAAACTCAGTTCAATAAGGTTAATATATATCAAGGTTAAGTCTTAATCAAGTATATATCTAATGGAAGGTTTTATCATACAGGCTAGTGATATTGAACAGTGTAATTATGGAAATGGCGTAGTCGACGTATTGGTAGCTGTGCTTATCGTTATTTCCCTCTTACTTATTAGAGAATAAGGATAGTGATAACAAATTGGCTATTGTGTTCTCTAACTTATTAGAGCTGAGAAAGCAATCTGATCTATGATGACGTTAAAATGCCTCTTTGATTATTATTTTTCAAAAGCTTATATTGAGTGAAATATATGTGATATTGAAGGGAAACTTTTAAAAACTTCTTTTTATTTGTTTTTTATTACAGTTTAAAAGGAAAATCAATCAGAAATATAGCCGATGGAAACATAAGGTAACGGGTGTATCATAAAACTAGGGAAAAATGTCCCGTTGGTTGATGTCGGATATTTCGGATCAACAAATAGACGACACCACTTATGCCAATAGCCTGATTGAAGAGTTAACTACCAAACTCGACGAAAATGTTGTTAACCAGAAACTCGATAATTTTTATGATTTCGTTTTACGTATATTTCTTCTGTGATTTGGTTGTATTTTTACGAAATACGCTTCAATATAGTTCACACACATATATTTATACCGCCGTTTACCTTTCTTGGAGAGGAAACCTCTCATAACAAGAAAAAGAATGCGATCATTCAATTTAGAACTGTGTATGGTGATGTACAGGGAGGGAAAATCGAATGTTCTTGTATAAGAGATGTTTTTAGAAGAGGGTGCTGAAGATTGGTCAAAAGCTCTTTGAGTTCTTCAAAATCCACATACTATTAATTCCACTTCCTGAGTAAACAGTATCACGATGAGACTTTAACCCATATTTGCTAGTATGTAAAATGGAGGTTAGTTGTTTAGAAAAAGGCTTGGTTGAACAGTTAGACGAGTCAGCTATAAAACGTCGTTTATATGGATTGTTGAGAAATTTAAGGATCCAGTATAAATGGGGAAGGTCCGTATACTTATCATTAATAGGCAATCTAAATCATTGTATTAATGAAGCATGATTAGCTATTATTTCGTCTTTTGAAATTTTGCATAATGCATTGGTGGGGCTTCCTTCGTTGTGAAGCAAGCCCAGTTCTTTTTGTGTATAGCGAATGTAATAATGTTTACAGACAAAAATCAAGTTATGGGACGCTTTATCTGCAGACACAATAACATATCTGTCGTGTAAATCTTGAACTGTGGATTTCTCATCAAGCTGCAAACTCTTTAAGAATGATGAACGGAATAAACATAACCCACTAAGAAAGTGAATTCAACACAGAATGTTCTCGTTTCGCCCATACTCTGGCATAGTTTTCATCAGAATCCAGACGTTTCTTGAAAATTTACATTCCAATGAACGGAAAGGGTTTCGCGATTTTTAGGACCCTCCATGAAAAGCTCTCGTAGCTTAACATTTTGAATAATGCTTAAATCACCAGTGCCCAGTTGGACCATAGTTATAAGTAGAGGTAGAAAAGGAACAAGCTGACGGAGGACAAGTTCTAATGTCATCAACATTCAGTTGCTGCAGCGTTTGATTGTAGTTGAAATGTTTGAAGGCAATGGACATGGGGTAACTGTAGAAAATTAAGGTGTGTTGCTTCTTTGAATGTATGGTGGAATGTTAGTCTGAACAGACTGGTGTAAGATATTGCTGATGTTTATAGCATCCACTCCCTTATTTATAAACTGAACATTCATATATTGGTGAATTGTTGAAGGATCGCGGCCATCTGTACGGTCAGGTTTAGTCTTATTTGTACCATATCATCAATAATTTTATGAAGTCTCCAAGCTAGTTTCCACAGGTCACCAGAAGCAGTATGAGACGAATCCACTTCCGTACGGAAAATCATCGACAGGATGGAATTGTGTTAGAGGTTGAAATGTTGATACAAATATTGATTCTCTCAGCGGTTTACTGCTGAACAGTGACCATTCATACGTTGTCTCATCTGTCCTTTTGTTTCACCAACATATATTCAACCACACAAAATTTACTGAATAGATAAAAGATCTAATTAAATTTCATTGTGTGGTTCATTCCATATCTTGTGTACATCAACAGCAGCTGGGTCAAATAAATATATACAGAACTGACAGAGAGAAAATATTTGTTAAAAAGTCTCATTCGAACTTCATGAATTACTGTGGTATCATATATCATATTTGCTATCAATTTTATAAAAATATGTTCATAGTTATAGAATATGTTACACATTCATATAACAAATCTTGCACCATCATTACAAAGTTTTTAATTGTTTTGAAGTGACGCTGAATTAAGGTAAGAACGTGACAATTTAAACTATTGTCATTTTTGCTGAACCTGCTCTACCGGACTGTTTATCTAATCAGAACAGTTTACACAAACATTAGAATTCCCGATTATACATGCAAGTCGTTTTTATCAACGAATGTGACTTAATTTCTTTTGGGCGGTGTGTTGAGGCGTCCATACTAAAGTATCCGATGTATTGGTTTTATTTACAGGGTTGCTAGGTGATGTATAGGTGAGGAATAGAGTAAAAATGAATATATAATCTTCTATATCGTCTATCTATGCCTGGTTCTCTTCAAATATCCTTGCTGTCTGGTAGATAATCATTTAGCTGAAATTAGTAAAAGCCAATACACTGATTAAAAAGAAACACAGTGTTGTTAAAATGCACATCTAGAAACGAATTTACACGTTTTAGATATGATTCAGACTTGCTAATACAAGTATTCAAAATCGCACGGCACCATACAAATTGATCGATGCGTTTTTTCATGCAATAATTGTCACAAAATTATTGATTTGTTCAAATTAAAAATACTTCTGGAACACTAACGACCAAAACACTTTAAAGAGACGCCATTTTCTGGAAAAAAAAATTAAAAATCATAAATATCTTAGATTCAGATGAAGATCAGTATTATACATGGTTTTTTTTTTAAATATCTAAATTTGTACACCGTTGGACGTCCTTCTGTCCTGCTATCAGTTAACGGGGGAGCAAGTGTTTGGTAAATTGCTATATGCTGTGGTTTGCTTTGTTTTTATGGGATTGACATTCTCTCAGTGGCCTTAGACATAGGAGAACTAGTGACAAGAGGAGCACCAAGAGGGACATCAAAAGTTGGCCATAACGCAAATACAGGAAGAGACAAGAGGTTATATACTGAAGAACCCCTCAATCAAGTAAACAGTCTCGTAGTAAAACTACTGACTAAGGTATCCCTAAATCTTAGTAAGTACAAGAATGTGATTAATATTACCTTGTATTTACAAGAATATCAGGGCGGGCTGTTAAAAGGAATAATTTATCCAGATATCAGATTTGTCATTGATCAAGCGTTGAATAAAAATATTATCTGAAAATAAGATATTTGCTACCAGATAACCATAGCCAATGTACTTTCGTACTTTCTTGAGAAAGCCCTGATCAAACAATGACTTTACGTAATATTATTCAATGTTGGGAAGCTGATATTTAATATAAACCTTATTTCGTTCAACATTGAGTTTATAGTAACACATGGCACAGTACAAATGAATAGGACCATGAAAAACGTTTTGGCAACTTAAATTAATTAGTTTCCTAATGTTTAAAATAACAGATCTTCTGGACTTGAAACCATGTATGACATCGACTCCATTAGGCAAAAAGATATTGAACACACACTCTTTGGCATTCTTTCGAAATGATTAAATGAATATGAATTAGAAAGACTTGTACATTTATTAATGTATCTTCAATAAAGAGTAAACATGATAAACTTTCTGACTTGATCATGCTAAATAGTTATCAAATAATAAAAGAGGCATTTCGAAAACCAATGAAGTTGTAAACAAACATTCTGGTTTCTGAGTGATTTTCCCACTCTAAAGTTTAGCAGACGTTATTCAACTGTATCTGTTCTTTGATGTGCTTCAAAATAAATCTTAGTCTCTTCTTTCGTCTATTAAAGATCGTGTCAGCATTAAAGATCGTTCCCTTAGTATTTATCACAAGCTCCACGAGATCTCCCTGTAAATACAATCATGATACGGATTTAACCTCCAAAAAATAAAGATTAAAAACAACAGGAAATACCTATACACTCACATGCATGGACATTACTATAAAATAGTATTAAACGCTGTAGAAGTACTAAAAAGTGCGTAATTTATCAATATAAGTACATTAAACATATCCATACGTATTTCACAAGATGTTTCTTTAAAACCAACCATTAGAATAGTACCAGCTTATGAAGTTCTAATGAAATTTTGATCCATCTTTTTCAGATCCACAATCTAATATCTGTATAATGTAACATATACAAATATATTGCAAAGTCAACGTTTGGTTATATAAATATTACTACCTTAATTTTGAGATAATAGTAGTTTTTCATATTCCGTAATCATATTTCCGCAATGCATGTTTTTCCTTGTGTTGAATCATTGTAATTTAATGTTCCTTTCAGCATATAACATCCTCATCTATTCCTTAGTATCATTTTCAATTACCATTTATCCTTCTTCATTGTCCTTTTAACTTTAAGCATGTATATCTTAATATTTGAGCTTCGTGACTTAGTTTACATGTGGTAGGAATGAAATTATTTGAAATTTTACCTCAGGGAGGGACAGCACACGGTACGCGGACATCCAATCCCGGTATACCACGGTACTATCCCAATTTATACCATTGACTTTGTTCGAAGGAATTATGGACTCGTAATCTCCGAAAGAATTCACAATGATATTCATATCTTCATATCTGGACTTTACGCTGTTGCTTATATAAGGATTCTGAAACGAAAATGAAAACTTCAATTTGCAAAACAATAGATATGTCAAAACATGGGACCTTGGACTAATATGTATCGTCAGCCTTCCCCCAATCTTTTTATTTCAATAAAAGCGACCGGGCACGGTTCAGAATATACACAGGTATTGGCCTTGTGCAACTCCCCATCCAGCTTTCGATTTAATCCTCGATTAATGTTTTTTTCTTTATAGACGCCTCCGAGGCTTCAAATTTAGTCTCTTAGCATCTCTAACGAGTCCTGAAAGAACAAAGAGAGCGGTATGATGCAGTTTAATTTATTTTTGGCTCTACTGTATCTAATTTTCATAAAAAGGTGTTATTCTTTGTGTGGCTTTTGTACAATCTTTGCCCCGCAACCTTGACCAAGGACCGACAAAATTAAGTAATATTGTCCTGTTATATTACATGAAATTAATTCATAGAGAGGTTCTAAAGACGTATTGTGTAAATTTTCTGTTTCAAAAGCGGTCATGTGCGACATTTCAGCTTTGATAGGTAACTACTAAACTCCGATCATATGTAGTACTTTATGATCTTATATTACAGTGTAAATTAAAAAATGTTGAGGGGAACGTCTGATAGCTTGTGCATCAGATCTGTGATACAGACGGTCACATGCATGGATGAACAAACCGATTAATGTTTACACTATTTACAGACTGAGGGTGGGAGTTATTAAAGTCTAATCTTTCAAATCAAAATCTGCAGCCTTACTCCTGAAAAGACGGCTGTCCAGCATTTCTTGTAGTTTAAATTAAGTTTATCAAGAAAAATGTAATATCCCAAAAGGACATGATGTATTATCTGTAGGGCTTTTTTTTTCTTCATTATAAAGCATGTATAATTTGAAAAAGTGAACTTCATAGCAATTCAAAGTTTAAGAGTCGTCTCTTTAATTCCTTATATATGTTGGATCTGATTTCGTTGTTTGAAATTCCCTTTTCGACTATCAGTGAAGCTGCATTTTTTAAAAAAGAAACAATATTCATATTGAATTATAGTAGCAGACTGGTATTTTAGGAATGAACAATGAGTACAGTAACATTTTGGTATTATATCTTATATATTTTAGGTATAACAATTGATGCTGAAGAATCGATCACAAGGAAAACTGCAAAATAAGCTTATGTCAACATGACACTTCTTCATAAGGGGAGATAACTGAAAATCAAATATTCAAGTTTCTGTCATTTCCATTGTAATAGTTTATAGTGCTCACTAACCTTCTCCCTTGATATAACGATGACTACCCTCTGAGTATTCAGACGATAAGGGTAGTTAGCGGCCATATCCAACGCCTCGTTCATTGTATTCACGTTCGGAAACCGCTTCCACGCTTTTCTCCATGGAGAAATATCCATTCCCACATCCAACCTTTCCAGGGCTACCATGTACCTTTCGTAAGTATCGTAAATACATTTGAATATTCAAAGTAACAATAATATTTAGACTAAAATACTACAATTATGTTATGTATCGACGCACATAATGCATGTTTTCTCACTTCTCGTCCATGTGGCGAAATATTTCCTATGACAGGTTGTGTACAACAGATCATCTATCAAACAGCATTTTGCAGGAATTTACATGCAATAACTCGTTACTGAGATACTCTTTGTGATGTCCGTTCTATGTTAATTGCGAACAAGCCATGGCAACCCTACCTTGACGACAGCGTAAGGTCTAGAGCATCGGTTATTTCCACATCATCTCCATACCCGATAATACCAAGCTGAACATTATGTAAAGAGTATTTTACGTGATGTAGAAAAGTCTCCATGTGGGCCTCTAAGTCAGATCGAGAGGATCCCAAATTCTCTGACATCACCATTACAATATCCACCGGTTGTCGACTTCCCTCGACGAAAGATGATGAAGTGTCTATACTGCAATTCACTGTAACGTAAAAGTAGATTTTGTATTTTTGTTAGATTTGTATGTTACAGAACAGCAAATATGAATGACATACACCAGAATAGGTGGGAAAATTCAGAATATTGATAAAGATTATGGGCTTGACAATACAGGTAGTAAACATGAAACTCGTTGATATATTGATAATTCGAAAATTTCGATAAAAAAACTTACCGTGAAGTATGTCATAGACTACATTCAAATGACAGGCATATTCGTAAGCATTGATGTGCTTGCAAGCGTCAGATGCAACTCGATCGCAGTTACGAGCTTCCGATAAACAGCTATCCTGAGATTGTAAACAAAGCAGGTTATCTACCATTCAAATAGTCACCTTAAAATGCTTATCTTGACAAAATTATCAAATTCCTTTAATTCATAAGACCAAAAACAATTATCTTCATGCAAATTTACTGTGTGTTTCAGCTCAATATTAAGCTATCTAAGTTAATTTCTTTTTCAGCAATAAAAATACAACTTATTAAAGTGTTTGAATGTCCGTGCTTGATTAATTGTTACTTAGAAGAAATGCATAAGACAATGGAAAACCTGCTTATAGTGACTTGTATTCAGAACAGAAATTCTTACTGATAAAATGTTTAGCTACATCTGCATTTTAGACAAAAACGCTAATTTATTTGACCAGTAACCAAAATCTTTGGTTATGTTATAACTTGTTCATCTAATAAAATAAAAATTGACCTTTAAGAACTTAATTTTTAATGTCTCTTTTTTCGTTATCAAATTATTACGGTTTATCAAAAAATGCTTTTAGTAATATTGTATGTTTGACAAATGTGATTTTCCCCATACAAAATGGATTTACAGGGCGAACAACCCAAGATTTCAATAAAGACATTAAGAATGGATTCTATCAGAATGCAATACATTGCCTTAACATACATGTATGTTATACAGACATAATGTTTGCCTGAATTACAGATAGATTTGATGAGATGACGGAAAACAAGAAAAGGACAATTAGCAATTGAATGCAGTCAAATCAGAAATCAATATCGGGCTAGATTCCATGAATTTATAACTTGCATACCTGTTTGATGTATGTAGCGAGACCTACGTACAGGTCCGTGAAGAAGAGTTATTTCCTGTGGTTAATATATATGTACAATCACAGAAAAATAAATTCTGACTCACCAAAAATTGTTGCGATGAAACATAAGAATCACAAGTAGAATAATTACTGGCATGCATAAATTGTCTATTGCATTCATCCGCCATTTCTGTACTACATCGCGTCGTCACATTGCTCGGAGAACGGTGATGAGGATTTATCACTTCGTTTGTCTCATTTTGGTGGGAGTATTTTGAGGAAATGCACTTTGGTGGTCCTCCCACAGCATAACCATGTATAAAGTTGTTGGTTAATGAGGTGATATGTTTATTGGGAAGCTGGAAGTCTGAACCTGGCTCCCCGTCGTTGCTGCCCAACAGTCCCCACGAGTGACTAAACTGTTTTCCAGTCAGTTGGATACTGCATACTTCTCTTTGGTGTCTACATGATACACGAACGCCGTTGGTGATGGTCAAAACCACATCGTCACCTTCCATAAATACGCCGGTTTGACATCCGTTACATCCAAGAGGCAATTGTCTAAAGAAGTAGACAACAAAGAAAGTTTTTCCCTGAGAGGCGATGTGTACATGTACACGAACTGTCTTATTGTGTCATAAAACAGTGGTTAAGATGCATAACTTTAAAATACATATAACTATTACATACAATACAGGACATTTCTTTAACAGTATTTTCTGCCGATAACGTATCTGCAAACATTGAAATGAGGCGGGTTTATGTTTTGTTACAATACTGGTAGAACTGTGTAGTAATTTCTATCTAGAAAAGAGTCAGCGAATCATTGAAAAGGGTATTAAGTGTTATTACACGTATATGCAAATAAAATGAAAATATCAAGTCAGATAAAGGACTGACTTTGGTTTTTAAGTTACAGAAAATGGAACCCACATCCCGAATGTATTCTCTTCCTTAACCGTTTAAAAAGTTATAGAGTAAGCGTAAGAGTTTCTTCATGGCAGAAGTAGGGAGCAGATTTTCAAAATTTGCATTTCTACTTACACGGGGCGTGGACAGTTATCGCGGAAGACGTTTCCACCGAATTCCAACATTACTGACATCTCACTGGTGACCACAGTGATACCCTGACGTGATAGCAAAATTGCGAACGTCTCACGGTCAAAATCTGCAGCCAGGAGGTGGACACAGTCGGCAGCCTCGTCATCTGTTAAAGAAATTATCCTCTCCGGAGGCAACTTTCATTGAGTAACATATAATCATGCAATTTTACTAATGACAATTAACATAGCAGCAACTCCTGCTATCGTTGGTAATGAAATGCATTTGGTCAGTTCCGACATCAATAATATTCACTTTTAAGTTAATATTTCAGTGTAAGACTAATTCCGTTATCTAAAATTGTAAGGAAATGAAGGTTCACTTTATGAGGATTATAAGACAATGCCATGCTATTAGCTACAGGGTCACCGTTCTTACCTGGTATATGGTAATGCTGGCCGTAGTATGTAATCACATACTGCCGGTTGATGATGTAAGCCGTCACTGACTTGTCGCTCTTGACAGGGTCTTTGGACGTCAAGCGCTTAAACACACCTTTAAGGTAACGATACCCGTAGGTCCCATGTGGACTCGACTGCAATAATTCATAGGGACACTAGTATATACAGAATCACAAAAAGGGGGAATCAAATAAATGCGATTACAGGGGAGAGCTACCCTATTAAAACACAACCATCGACTAAGCTAAGGAAATTGTCTCTACAGTTTAAACGGTAGACGCTACACAAAGCTGACTCTAGGAGTATAAGAACTGCTGTTTCGGGCATTTTCACATATACTGACAATTTGACTTTAATATTGAAACTCTTAAAAGCGAGTTTCTTATTTATATAGGATCAATTTACAGTTGTACTGTTGTAACCGTAAACAAAATGACTAATATATCAGAAATCTTGGACTTCCGCATTGCCGACGGATGCTCTTATCACCTGAGCAAACCCAGTCAATGGCTATAAACCTATTGAATTTCATTTCAATTTTCAATTTTTTTTATCAAGATTTTGATATGGTTTTTTGTTATAAAGGGCCTTCGGCGTCCATCGGCCGAAAGGATTATCGAAAATTTACACCACCGCTCTCGATTTAGATTTATACTTTGTATTTGTTTTATGTTCTATGTATGTAGTGTAATTTATGAAACATGTGTGTTTTGATAAAGGGGCAGGTTGCCTCGGAAATTTGACAATTCCCTTGTCCGTACTGTTGCTATTACTTCATTGATCACTAATAGTGCATAATCGATATAGATATAAATATGGTGACAGGTAAATAAAAGGTCGTCCATTATTTATATCAAGTCGCATTACGGGTAATAACATTTCTATCTAATCCAAGAATATGTTTCTGTTCCACTCATCTATTTTTTGTTCTGAATATACTCACTAAAAGTGTTTGCCAATGGCCGATGACAGGTAATGTGAAGGTTAGACGAGATTCAGATAATATTTTCTGTATCGTGGGACGTAAAAGATAATTCCCCACGCAATTCACAATCCTTGGTGGACGAAAAATTACTCTATCCATGGTTTTCAGAGTTTCCCCAATGGTTCTTGACATTATACCCAGCACTTCGTTGCCAGCGACAACTGTTGATAAAAAATTCCTTCCAGTTGCTGATCTCATCATTATCAGTGTCTTTGGATTATGTTCAATATTGCAGTTAAAGCGGAATGAAATTGATGACTGCCATAGAAAAATAGTATTATCATTTTACAAAACAAAGATGGAATTTAGATATGATTGTTTTATATTATTCAAAAAGTTAAAAAGTTGAACAAAAGTACACACGCAATTAAACTTTTCTGAGGAAGCTAGGGATCATTTGATATAAATATTGTTACAGATTATTGTTTTAACGAAGCGCAATACCAATGTTCGCCTCATAAGGCCAAGGTGTCCCTGGTTGATTACTTCCTTTAATTCCAACATCATCTGACATGTTTAGAGATTTGTCATCCATGTATAAGGATCTAGGATCACTGTCGTTCATATTGATTCGCATATGCGGATACAGATATGATTCTAGCATGGCACCTAGTGTCTGAAATAAAGTTCATACAGCTTGATTAAGATTCATTTATAGTTGTAATATTACAGCAACTTTTAAAGAGCAATGACATTATATATATTCTAAACTTAAACAATGCCATATGACCTTAGAAATTTCCAATATGCCAGTGAAAATAATTAGATATATACATGTATTTGTATATGAAATTTCAGTCGTGTAGTATTTCATCATGTTTGAACACTTAAGCTAAAAGGAAGAAAGCAAAGGGAAAGCTTTGTTATCTATATTTTATGACTGGCTTGTATATTATCTAGATTGTGAGATAGAATAGGCTCTCAATATTCTACCATGTTTGTAAATGGTATAACCATCAAATGCGTGGATTTCCCGGCGTTACGCAAGGCGACCTCCCCAGCTTCCAAAAGTGCCAATCGCAACTGGTTGACTTTGGTACCAGCGCCCTGTAGGAGGAGATTGACCAGATCGGAATTCCAACTAAGGGTGTGGGTGATAGCACGGCTGCTCGTCAATGCTATATCCCACGTAAATAAATGCGCAATTTCGTCATTGGGCTGAAACATTGAAACAAACCTTTTTTTAGAACAAACACTGTTTGCTGAGTCATTGTTCAGTTATATAAAAGTGATCCTGCATTAAAGTTAATAAATTCTATAAACAGTTATTGAAAGCTGGTGCAAGATAACATAGCTAGTTATATATTGGCTAAAACATTTGGCAACGATGAGGAGATATTAATTCTACACATAACGTTATTATTGTTATATACACCAAATACTCCATCTTGCAAAGTAATAGTTACATATAACACAACAAAAAAACACAAAGATCAGCAGGCTTGCATTATTCCTGGCATGCAGCAAACAAAAAGGTACCTTTTGAAATGTTATATTGGTGGTACTAAGGGTAGTGTTGATCATGTCAGCTTTAAGCTCGAGAGTGCCTTCTGAAGTTTCTGCAGCTACTAAGAGTTGTGGTAAAATACCATGTGACACATGCTGTTTAAAATAACCGGTGATGTTTGATCTTCCTTGTAGCCATGGCAGCTATTAAAATAAGTATGTGACTGTTAGAATCTTGAATGTAAAAACGATTATCAAGCTTGATTTTAGATCTGATTATTGTGACCAATACCATTATTAAAGTAAGACTATATTTGTTAATGTTGTTAAAACTTGTTATTCCTGTTATGTCATTAAGATTGGTATATCTTAGTAACCTTTTTTGAATAGTTGTCTCTTTACACTTTACTTCGACACTTAATTATATAGCATGTGAAACAAGATGTATTTATGAAACATTATGCCCCCGGTTGTATCAAAATTCTAAAGTGGGACATTAAAGCTGTTTTGTGTAAGGCATGTACTGATTGCATGCACATTTTGTGATTTCACTGTGGTTGTTATTTTTTACTTCATTATAAATGTAGGTCAACGGTTACTGTCCAGGTCTCAAGGACACAAATTTTGGTACCTCCGGAAAGTTCTTGTAACAAGGAACACATATTCGAAATATGAAAGCCCTACCTCTTACGGTGCAATAGTTATGGGTAAGGTTAAAATTGAGGATAGACAAACAGACAGCACAAAGACAATATGACCCCGATCTTTCGATTAACAATCACTTGATTGTATTTTTGATTATCTAAGAACAACGTCAAGAAAGAGCATGACTTCAATTACAAATAGGAATGTAAAATATCCAAAAATCCAATTTGAAAGAACTTACAATTGAGTCATTTGAACCACTATCTTTGCAGAATTGATAGAACTTACCCTTGATTCATTTGAACCACTATCTTTATAGAATTGATAGAACTTACCCTTCATTCAATTGAGCGATTGTTTCATGGAATTTATAGAACTTACCGTTGAGTCAATTGAGTCATTATCTTTGTAGAATTGATAGAACTTACCCTTGATTCAATTGAACTATTATTTTATAGAATTTATAGAACTTACCGTTGAGTCAATTGAGTCATTATCATTGTAGAACTGATTGAAATTACCCTTCCGTCAATTGAGCCATTATCTTGTAGAATTTATAGAACTTACCCTTGAGTTAATTGAGCCATTAACTTCTATCTTGAATAAGTCGCTAAACAACCTCATGTGATAATGAGATACTGTATCGACATCGACAAAGGCGAGTGCTACATCCATTTCGTGAATCAGATGATCCGTCCAATTATAAAAATCTGCAATATAAACATAATTTATACATGCTTATTTTAATTGTTATGTTCAAGTGCTTTAACATTTATTCTTGGTTTTTAAATAAACAAAATTGCTGGCTATCTGTATAATGATATAGAATGATCATAACTCACGTCTGATATTGAAGTTGAACAATGGCCACGGAGTATGTAACTTGTAGTGGAAAAGAGCGCATTTACTCTTCTTTGGGATTTCATAGGTACGTAGAACGTAGGAGGTGTTGACCAATTGGCTGCTGTAGTCCAGCAACAGGTGGATTGATTCTAAATGATCAACGTGGAAAATAAATCTGCCTTTGTATGACTTGGTACTGACCACAGGTTTGTGCTGTCCCTCGGAATTACTCGACTCTGTAATAGCCGCGTCTGCAGTAAACCAGTAGCTAGATTGAAAAAGGTAAGGTGATATTTCTTTTGTTTTTTGTTTGTACCAAAAGGTTACTTAAATATAATCATTTTCATAATAATAGCACGAAAACAAGTACAGGTATTTCTAAGAAAAGTGACAGATGGCCAATAGATATGTTCCAACTCAACCAAAATTCTATATCACTGCTTCTAAGCTGCAAAGCTTCTAAGTGTTGACATGCTACCAATGTATTTATCTTAATACTCACTGGAAATTGCTGCGTGTGTTGACAGGCTGACGACCATACACGCCAGATGTACGGTATAGTACATGTCCCTCACACAACTGTTTGGTGTAATTTAAGTCCCACCTCAATTCTATCCCATCTGGCACAGGCACGCGCGCAACAGTCAATGCTGCAACTTTCCGTATGGGGATCTTCATACAATCATCCGTCCCAGAACTCTCTGCGTTTCCTATCCCACTTAATCCAATCAACCAGTCTTCGCTATCATTCTTGTTTGAGTCTCTGACTAAAGGTGTTTCCTGTCATCAATCATTACCTATACATACTTAGCTGTATACATCACAAAATATATCAAAACTATGATAACACAGTCTAGTGGTATGATATCAATGGATACTCCATTTCTTTTCAACAATACATGAGTGTACATTTGACAGCGTAAAAGAGTAATCCCATAAGTTCCATAGACTACTCTCTGTCTATGATATTTTAGCTAGTTACCTGAACTGCATTGGAAATAGCGACATGTTCGATTTCCGCCAATATGTATAGATTTTGGCTGGTGCCCTTCAGAAAACCCCAAACAGAAAGGTTGTATGGCATCGCTGTGTGTGATAGCAGCATATAACAGTTATAGCTGTTGTAGGTGGTATTGCTACTGTTGGTCACATGGGCATCCATTGTCAGTGTATGCTGTAAACAAGAAGTATGGAAGTATGGAAATGCGTAGAAATCTTGTGGAAATCGACTAGTGCCAGCTATAATGGTGTTAAGTCATATAGTGGATACTCCGCGTAAAGTGTTTGTTGCTAACCAAGCGTTGTCACTTGATCCCAAACCCCATGTGACATGTGAGAACCTAAAGCGAAATCTTACCGTACCTTTTTTGAAACTCAGACATTTTTGACGTTTAAAAGTTCCCATAACGCCATAGTGAGAATGCCTCACCACTCCAAGTTCTGAATTGAAATATAAGCTTTTCGTTCCCCAGATTAATTCGTTAAGGATTCGTCAGAGTACTAAAGAGGAACATACTCTAGTGTATGGCACATCCATGTTTACTGTTACAGGAATCGAAGTTCTTACTGATGCACCAGTCTGTGTTATGTGTCTGTGTATAAACACCACTCAATACTTACAGATTTGATGTAAATCACATTTCAAGCATATCTTTAAGCTAATAGTGTGTTACTCTAAACAATCTCATCCAGAATATAGATTTCTTTGTCTACTTAATGCAGAAACGAATAATTATCTTTCTTTTACTCTTTCCTAGAACTGAAAACGCGTTTTAAAATGAAGAACTCATTCATCAATCATGTTATCCGATTGTTGCACAGTTACATTGAAAAAAAAACTGGTGACATGATCTCTTCAGAATAAGGCGTGTTTGAGCTGTCTTTCCTCAGGCACGTTAAGGTATGTACATTTTTCCTAAGCAAAACCAAGAGTGTAAGAGGAAATTTTACCTCCTGACCAAGGGCTCCTCCGTATACAATGACTGCTTGGTGATTGGCATGAGTCATATTTCCTTCAATGTTATTATCCAGACTGACCTTCAAACCTTTAACAAAAGATTCATACTAATGAGAAAAGCATTAATAAAATTGTCTGCACTACAAAACATGCGGCCTTTTAAGTTCAAAAATGTTACTTTGATTGAACTTAATGAGAGTACTATATCATTTACTAAGGCTGCAATACCCGGCAAGTTCAGCTGCATATAATCATTGGCTCTCCATATGTTCGTATCGCCAATGTAACCGCTGACAACATCGTTAACAAACTGAACGGTAGACGTATCCCCATTAAGTACAGCTAAGGTAGGGTTCCAGTGAAGAAGGTACATCAGGGGACGATCTTTAATACTGTAACGACAAACGCAAACTTTAAAATGTCATTTGAGCCATTTTTTTGATTGGGTATTGACATTTTTGTAACAAAGTCTCTAACTGCCCATGTTGGACCCCATTTGCTTAAGTTAGAAACAAAAGGCTTAACTGTGGGTCCATATATTCACATAGCATGTTTAGAAAAGATGGTACCTAATAAATCTATGCAGAGTTTAATTATGAATATCAAAGCCAACTTCTAACCATATCAAGGATCTAAATTAAAACGCAATCATAAGTTAATACAATGCAGGAATTATATATCTAATACACAAAAACAGAAGAACAGACAAGTCCTATAATTCAACCAATTTAAATATGTTTTTCTCTATTGCAGCTTGTTAAGATTGAGACATCGAAACTTTCGAACACTTAAATATCACATCTTTGTAAGACACATTCCGAAAGAAGTATGAATTCCAACAATTTGTTACAATATACTGAAGGAAACGCGGAAACAACCGAAGACGTTTTGTAAAATCTCATCAATTCATTGGAAGATATTCAGTTTAACTGAAAGTTTATAAGAAAATCTTATCATTCTTATGTCTGAATTTTAAGCCGAATGGCTTGCCAAGGCTACATATTATTCCGATATTTCAAGCCTCGTACGATAGCAAACTCAATTGGACCAACAGTGATGTAGTTTACCAAAGTGGGTATTTTCCGAGTCATAGTTGATCTTTTGATCTTTTACATAATACAAAATATGTTTTCAAATTCGATACATTTGCATTGATGTTTACCTTCTTTGACTACTTCAACTTATTTGATATTGTAAAGAGTGTTTAAAAATGTTGAATGTTGGAACTGAAGAAGAATAATCACGGGAGGGGAAAAAATCAACCAATGACCGCTTCGTCTCCTCAAAAATGAGATAATTTAGACGTGTTTTCCAGGGATGGGAGCAGGTAATGTTTTCAAAAACATCAGGCATATTTTACAAGTATCTAAATAAGATCAACCTGATATCTGATGTCACAAATGTGACATTACACTCACCAATGGTAGGTGATATTAAAAGCGTTGTTGTAGTGTCCACTTGTCTTGTTCTTGAAGCTGTGTACTGTGACTGCCAGACTCGCACCGGGAATGGCCAGTGTGACATCCACGATTCTCCGTTTTGTTAGGATAGAAATCCTATTCCTGCTCAATGTTTTATTACCTTGTACCTAGAAACATGAAATTGTTGTGTCTTTTGCCTTTTACCGTAAAAGATACATTTTTTAAAATCATATTTTATTTAGATCGCCAATTTATTCATCTTTTAAAAGATGTATTAAGGTCAAAATGTCTACATACAAAACTTCATTCTCTATTTTCAAGTGTTCCATGTATACGAAACGAAAATTTAGTTCAACCCATTTAATTTTTGTCTTTACGAATTACACATGCGTGTGTTATTCTCTATTCTTTACAATTTTAGGATTTCGACAAACCTTTACAAGGAACCTGATGATACTTGTGCCAGCTTCACTCAAATGGAAGTCGTATATCTGATAATCTGTGGATATTACGCCGTAAGACCAAGTATAGTCTTTCTTAGCATAGAAATGTAATTGAGCTGCGGGAATCAACATTTCCACTTGATGTAAATAATCTCTGGTCTCGATATGTAGGATCAGTCCATTCTTTTTATCTTGTCCTGCAACAATATATTAAACACAACGTCACACTTAAAATACCGTATACATGTTATAGCTAGAAATATGTTTCAACGACATTATTTTAAGTGGAGAAAGATGGAAAACAGGCAATAAAATAAATTAGAATGAAATTATGATTTCAGAAAGACAGATTTTTTAGTATTTTTGTGAAAATAAAATCAAGTGTATGTTAATATTGACTATAAATAAGAATACACGATGTAAAACAAAACCTGAACAGTGACCGCAGTTGGACTGTAGAGATATGTCCTTCTTTCAAGTCAGTGATGATAAGTGTGAATCAATCGGTTATCAAGATAGATAGAAAATTGAAACTGATAAGAATGGGTATTGAACAAATATACAAAAAATACTAAAACAACATAATTCCTTGTCACTATCACCAAGAAATAAAACAAAACGAAACCGAAGACTAAGATTGTAATACTAAATGACTCAAATTCAGTTTGTGGTATTCTGCTAAATCCTGATGCTAAAATACGCCCTTTAGATATTTTGAATTACAGGGTTTAGATATGAGAAAACATCGTTCTGGAAATGTCAAAGTGTCTCTATAGAAAGGGCCGGTTTCCAAAACGGCCCCTTCTCTGATTCAAATTTCCTGTTGGTGGTGCATTGCCCATGCCGTTGTGGTCACAAATCTATAAAGTATAAAGATTTAGGTCACTTGGTTTGTTTTTTATGGCTCCTCAAAGTTGTACCTTTCAGAAGCTGTCTAAGTGTTGATAAAATGTGCATGTTATGTAAAATATTAATGAAAATCTAATCAAATGATAGTCACCGTAAAGAATACATTCATGGCATGATTGTGACAAAAAATCATGTTTCCATCGCGCCATTTAGCTGTTTTATGGAAGAAACAATCTCAAAAATGCCATTTTCGATGATAACATTTTAGACACAAAAACTGTGTTTTTTTAGAGAATACACCCTTTTATGGGCGTTGGATGGAAACCAATTTTTATCCTGTTAAATAGTACGTAATATGCTATTGATGAGAGGAAAAATCATCAAAATGTAAGTGGTGGAACATTTTCAAATGTTGGGTTGAATTAGCCTATGGTTGAATTGCCGATTTTCGACTTTCTTCAGATAATTAACAAAAAACGAGAGTATTTGCTCGGTATGTTGAGAATATGTACACAGATATGAAAAAAAGTGAGAGAAACACTTTTTCATAAAAAAAAATCCAAGATGGCTACTTCACAAGTCCCCGTGGTTGAAGACATTGGCTGACAAATAGACAGAACAACAAACAAAACGTGTTCCTTATGATTTTGGTTGGTTTTCGCATTTACGGGAGTGTTCATAGCTACGGGCGATTGTATAATACCTATATTTATAAGTTTGGTTAGTCACAAGGTAACGGGGATCTTTCGTATCGAGCCCCAAACATACTTTCGACATATGCACTCCGTTGCCGCATGGAAAACTATTTTGTCGGAATTTCTTTACCTGTGGTTGTAATGGTCGAGGGTTTTCCAGCGTCCTGTAATACCCAAGGTAGTACAAGATACTGGAGATGTGCGCACACATTCCCATCGTTCTCTCTCCAACTGGACACTGGCAGTAGTAGTCCTTTATTGGGGCCTCAACATCGGGTGAAACGGTGAACCGTATCCAAACGTTGTATTTCGTTTGGCTTTTGTGTCGAGAATGTATTTGACATCGGAGAAGGTCTTGGGAGTGCTGGTAAAGCCACACCTCATAGTCTCCGTCATCACTTAAATGTTCGGCGATGTAACCAGGAGCCAGAGATATCTGATACGTTCCACACGTAATGGTTCTCAAGTAATCAAGATCGAGACGGGGAAACAGTACGGAAGATGCATCCATCTTGACAAACTCGGACCTTGCCGGATCTATCTTGACTCTCTGAGCTAAACCATTCGGTGTTGTCAAACGGTCCTTCATACGTTCAGCCATTAGCCTATCTTTGGCATCTCTCTCTGGAGATCTCTGGTAGATCGGTCCTCTAATACCATTCAGACAGGCTGTGACGGTTCGAAGCAAAGCCTCAATGACATTGATAAAGCTGTTAGACACCGATTGCGTTCGGAAGAACGTCCAGTGTTTCAGACGACCATGATAGGATTCCACAATCCACCTCGATTTGGTGATAGTTCTATCAAGATTTGCTTGGACGTCAGAATGTTGACTTTGACCGGGTTTCAGGTATGACGGCATGCTAGCATTGAGGCCAGAGGCTTCGAGAACCGTAGGACATCTCTAAAACCTCGGTCAACGACAACGTTGTCGTCTGGTTGTAGCCAAGTAACTAGTTTGTCCATGACATTTTTGTAATTGTAGCATCATTTTCGCTGCCAGTGAATGGTCCTACGGTGTCCAGAATGTAGCCATCTGGTAAGGCGATGCTCATGAATATGACATAGTTTCTCTTTTTCTGTCCACAGTAGGACATTCTCTGGAGCTTGTGGTAGGAGCTTTTCTGGATATAAATATAGGTGCCATCTAATATGGCAGTGGCTTTATCTCAAAAAAATGCTTCTGAAAAGACAGTATTGTGCCCGAGCAATTGTTCTCTTGTCAAGTGATCCGGACTTAGAAATTGTGGGACTATCGATGTGTCTAATGCCTGTACTATGGAGTGGAAAGTTTTGGACACACTTGACTTGGAAAATTCCAAAAAGAGAAGAACACTGACTCCAGGAAATGTCGGTTTTCAGTTTTACCCAGAACAGTAATAGAGCATCGTGTGTAGTCTTGGTATATATACCAGATGAAAGATATGGGGAACAGTGCAAGTGGATTTCGAGGAACTGATCTTTGGACCAACCTGTCCAGGCCATGCATGCCGAGTCATCAAGAGAAGAAAAGCTTATTGTAAACGCAGACTGGTTCTGTGAAAGGACGTGCGACACCTCTAGGAGGTCATTAATGATTTCGGACGATTTTGATGATAACTGAGATTCCAAGGAACCTCTACCATCAAGGACAACCTCTGTAGACGGATCTAAGTCGTTACCAATAAGGTGAATGGAGCAGACGCGGGATGAGGTGGGACACCACAGTTTGTGTGAATAGATCAGGTGATGTCTTGCACGTTTTGGTAAGACTGATGATTTTGTTCCATTTTTTGGAAAGGTAACAAGACAGAGACAGCATTTTTTGTGTGAAGATGATCCATTCAAAAGATCATAAAGGGTCAGCAACGGCAGGATATGGGACGGGGAGTCGTCTTCTTCCTCTATTTCCTGGTTGTGCTCGGGTTCAGGTTCAGGCTGATTTTTGTTCCGAAGATACTTCATGTAGCACTTCTGGCAAATGAATACTTGTTCCTTTGCTGACATCAATCCTTGTTGCACCAGCGTATCTAGGAGCCATTTATATTGTGGACTATTTACATTGCGTGCACTTCTGTTCTTATTGCCGCTACGTTTCTTGAAGTATACTTGACACTCTTCTCCAACACATTTACCTTCCATCTTGAAACAATAAAGATTGGTTGATGAAGCGTCGATAAAGTAACAAAATAGCAAACCACCGATGATTGCTGTAAACAGCTAATACTTAGTAGTTTGGTACAATTATGCGAAAATGTGTGATAAATAACGAACAACTAATTACACAAAATAACAAGACAATATAATAAATCACATTCAATACCTCCAAGAAGCGCAGAATTGATTGATTACTTAGAACAAAATAAAGTATTTCATATGGATAATCTATCTATTCGATGTGGCGTGGTCGGCAGGCACAAAGAAAGTGAGACAAGTCAGGGTCCCAACCCTGACAGAGCCACAACGCTTTAGAGATGGGACAATAAAACAAGGAAATTGAGACAAGAATAGCTAGCGTCGAGTGAATGATTTCGTAAAAGTATAGACAAAGACAAGAAGATACGGATAAATGTACAAGGCCACACGATCAGAAAATTCAGAAGAGGACAGCTTGAGATAGAACAGTACTCATGTATCAGGGTGTCCTCAGTGTAAATCTTTATATCGATACTATTTATTTAGTCGTTACACATCATAAAACTGTCATGAAAATATCCGCTCTGATATTCAATATCAAAGTTTGTATATAATAAGCTATATAATAGGGTTTCAGACAAGGTTGTTACTCATTTCCCCTTTTCTTTCAATTTACAACCACATTCAGGCGGCGATATGAGAACGTTCCACCACATGGAATTAGCTGATTTTTGGTACACATATGAAACAAGTAAAGCTCTATCCGATTTTCTGATGGAAATTTGCATCCAAAACTATATAATGGGAGAAAATTGCAAATTTATGTCATTTTTCTTCATAATTGTGTCTCTGCAAGTGCATTTTCATCCGAGAATATATTTTTTTTATGTTTTATGAATAAACACGATGTTTTGGAAATATTTATCAAAAGAAATTTATACTATGTTGCGAATTACAATTTCGAAATAACCTTCTTTTATTTACGAACTTATGTCTTTGATGCTGAAATTGACAACTTTATAAAAATACATTTTCACTGAAATTATGAAACCTGGGTGTCGGAAAGGTGTAAAATTATTTTTCGGAAAAGAAAAAAACAGTAGTTGAGCTAGATAAGAAATTATACGGGGGCAGGCTCCTATGGAGAATTAACATTACTGGAAACAGGCCCTATCAGTGAAGAGCTCTCCTGACATAAAGCTCAAGGTTGACTGAATAAAGAAACAGGAGTTGTGTCATAGACTCACCTATACCACCACAACTTAGTACAAACCGCGGCATTACTAAATAAGGCATTTCACGTAATTTCCTACAATGAAGTATAAGCCTAGAGATTTCAGTTTTTTCTAACAACCATCGTGAATATAGCATTCTATGCTTTTGTTGCGAAATGCTTTTCTTAGGCAAAACAGCAACCGAACACAACGTATAAGTTGCTAAAACCTAAAAAGTAGTATGTGAAAAGTTAACATATGATAAAGTAATGGACATATAAGTAGATCATATAATTGGGTCGACTACGAGAACCTGTGTTGTGCTGTGCCAAATTCTCAACATAATGTCCATTGAAGTCTTGGGAACAATGGAACAATGCTGAATAAGTCCATAAAGGAATTAAACAGGAGCACACTGACGCGGGATAACTATAATGATAACTTACGTTTGGACTCAACTGCCATCAAGAACATGTTTTTTTTATATTCAGCAAATGTGAGGCTTCTAGTTAACTGTAAGTAAGTTGTCGATTTGAATGCTATATAAAGCTAGCATTATAAAAACATGTCCATTATATATATTATGAAAGTATCGTAGGAATATAGTCGGCATTTAATTATTATCTACAAATCTAGTGAAAGGAAAAGTTTTATCAATTTACTGTGGTGATAATTATCAGTTATTCCTTCGAAACGCGGAGTATAGATAATTTTTGTCCTTTTCATGAATTTTAAATTGTCCTCATTAGCTGGGTAACTTTTGAATGTGAAAATAGGGCCAAGGACAATAAGAGGACATCATTTCAATAATTGTAACTATTAAAATACTGTATTTGTAATGTGCGAGGGAAACAAACTTTAGTAGCTCTTTAATTGTTTATTGAGGTTGATTTGTTATCATTAGGAAGCCAATGGTACTTAGGACTATATAGCTTATTAAGACAAAAAAACATCTAGTAAAGTACAGGGTAAAGTTGCTGTTACAGACATGTCTATATAAGGAATTATATTATATTCTATTTCATTCAGGATCTATTTAGTCAATAAGTAATTTTATAAATGATTCCCTTTACGCTTTATCACCATGGCGAGCTTGTTAGGCGTGTTAATTCAACAGAAAACAACAAACTCTACATATGAATTGAAAAAAGCTGTTTTGATTAAACGACGTATACATAAAGATGTACATATACAACAAATTTTAATAAATGTACATTTACAACATTTCTTGTAAATATTGTTTTGTAAAAGAAATGACAAGTCTAAGATGAGTGTACGAAAAAACGTCAATAAATTGTAAATTATGTTATGAAAACAGTTGACAAGTCAAAGATGGTGTATGAAAAACTCCATATAACAAATATCAAAAATGTTACCTTCAACTCTTAAATAAATATTGTTAAAACACAATAGACAAGACCAAAAGACGGAACAAATTATCCACTAAGCAAGCATATACCTTGCAAAAGGTGAGCAGTATGGGAGGTGGTGGAAAAAGAAATTTAAATTCTAATGTATATACACATGTTTGAAAAAAAAAACATTAGAATATAGACGTTGAATTTCACATATATCGAAACAGCTAAATGTGTACTAGTTTATTTATTTAGCCTGCGACAAGCAAAATTAAGCAACATAATTAAGAAATGGAGTTCTTTTAGTATGTTCTTACGAAGCTGAGCGAAGGAATCCAGACTGTCTCTTATTTTTACTACCTTATTTATTGGTAGCCGTGCTACCATAGCCACACTATCTATCTCAATGCCTAGAAAGGTCAAGCATGATGAGGGTATTTCTGTTTTGCTTTGTTTGATAGGAATAGAAGTATCCGAACAAATTGACAGAAAATTTGTTGGATCTATGAGACATTACTGCGTATTAGGGGGCACTATGAAAAAGGTAATCGTCCAAAACGTTGAACTACTTCTGTCACTTCAAACTTATGGTTTGAAATCCAATGAATGACAGAGCTAAAGGCCCTAAACAAACATCATTGGCAAGACAATATGAATAATACTGATCCTCTGTTTCAAAACCTAAAACTGCATAATCATCTGGATAAATTGGGATCAAACGAAATGCAGATTCAATGTCTTTGTTAGTTATGAACCTCTACCATACTTCTTAATATGTTTTATTGGATCATCAATACACTGATAGACTATGAAGAATTCCATCGTCAAAAGAAAAACCTCCAAAGACAGATTATGTACTGTCCTGAATACATCTGCGTTATTTCAAGAATATCTACAAATTATGGGGATGAAGTCGGATTGACCTCAACATATTTAAACATAGTGTTTTGTATTGAACACCATTGTTACCTAGAGGCAGCAATTTGATTCATTTTATCCGCCGCAGCTTAACTCTAACCAAACTTCCATGACAAAGCAGGATGTTATTCAACTGCTCTTAAACTGGTTAAATTAAGGTTAAATTACTTATCCCGAAAGACTTTTACGGTAGAGAAATGATTAAGATATGCCAAAACCCTGCTCATACAAAATATGCATACAAACATGTTCCTACCTTGCCTTGTCAGGTTGATCCAAAGGTGATCTTCAAATTTCAAAATCCTGAATGTGGAGTTTTGAAAATTTTCCCTGTTGAAACATCAGACGAGATACTGTTTATAACATATTATTTGGCAACCAAGATCCTACTGGTATTCATCTCTGTTTGCAACAAAATAGCAACGACTCGTAACAACATTAATTTCGGAAATTTTGCTACACTGGGTTACACAATAATATATGATATTATGATACATAAAAAGACAAGGAATGATAAGGAATTAGCATACGTTTCAACTTTACGTGTATCCAGGCTAAAATGAAACGGTCCAGATAAGGGGAAGTAAGGGTGACTGGTAGACGATGTCGTGTTGGGGAACACACCGGTGAAGCACACTTGGTTACCCGTGACAGCAGAGAGAAGTCCTCTATCACAATCATGTATCGTGGTCTGGATTTCCTGATCTGGCTCTACCTCCTCCATCTCTCCAGAAGGTGTCATCAAGTACAAGTTCCCACTTTCCAAGATGAAATGGCAATAAATGACAAATCAGTAGGTCATATGTTCTGTCACGACAATCTTCAGATATCTGCTTCAAATATGTTATTCAAACCGGAGGACAGAGAAGCTGTGTTTAACCCACTTTAAATCCATATCTTAATTGTCATATCTATAAAAAAAAATGTGAAACTAGTCTGTCCTATATATCTAAACTGTGGTTTTAATGCCAACAGACGTACCTTAATCTTACTCTAATTAAACTATAAAACACAATATAAGGGTACGCTATTATTTGTACACGATCACATGTAGCTATACCTCCTAGCCTAGCATGAGGCGTGTTCTCTCTCACATATACCTTAGTCTGGCTATATTGTATTTGGAATCTGTGTTGGTTTGAGTCACGGAAATATCCAGTGGCCTGCCTGGATAAGGCTGAGTATTTACACGTAAAGACGGTTCAAGCGACATCTGTAATAATCCATATGAACTTGCTCTAGCACCAGAAAGACTGTGTTGACCAAACCTCGTCATCAGTTCTCCATTTAAATGTACAGCAGCACTATTAAGAGAATTAGTGCTACATACTTATCTATTATCTGTACAAAGGGAAGCAATAATAGATCATAATTTAACAAGATTCAGATAAAAAAAAACTAACATTTATTACAGCTATGTAAAAATAACCCTCTGGAACGAAGTTGACCTTAAATTCTAGATAGGCCAAAATTGAATTTCAAATGAATCATGTTTCGTCTCAATGATGTCCATTTAATTTTTCATGCTATTTGAGTTTTTGAATAGATTGATTCGTCTGTTATTAGTTGCTTAACGTACGTGATTAATGCAAGAAGTTAATTAAGACAACCATTTTATCAGGAGTCTCCGCGTAAATCTTATTTTACCAAGTTTTAATGTTTTTGAGTTTGGACTATGATCATATTCACAAATTGGTATTTTCTTGTTGTTTATTCAACAAACAAAACTGTCTCTAGAGATTCAGATAGACATCAACTGGTACGACAGTATGTTGTGTGTATAATATTAGATTAAACAGAACTTGGGGCAAACGATTTTATCAGCTTAACCCCGTGGAGATATTTGTTTAAATCAGGAGATATTAGTCACTTAGAATTTATGACAATACACACTGTGATTTAATGGATGTATCCAACTGGGCATCGGTGTTCAATTTAAGAATATCGGGCATGGTCAATTTGGCATTGAATCCCAATCCAATAGTCATTGCTACGGAAACCGTCATATTAAGTGGAAATCCTCCAACAGTTGGTAACACTTTGACAATGTCTACCAGAGACGTAGAACTGAAACATACACATCACCGTCACATGTACATGACATTATACACAATTATAGGGTTATGTAGACAGATATTTACCAGTACATAAATCTAAAATAGTGTGTATTCTATTAGGTATCAATGAAGATGTTGTGATATCATTTAACTTTGTAGTAAATCATTTCTCACATTATAATAATTTAAATTGGTAAATTTCACATATATCGTAATATTGTTGTACATATATACTTGTATTTTTGTTATATACACGTTTTTATGTTACATACCTGGTCCGATACATTGGAAGTTGTTCCAGTATTGCATAAAAATATCGTTTCGAAGTGTTAATAAACGACTGTCCGGATCTTTTATTCAAAAGTTTCTTTTGCAAATCTCGAATATCCAGAAAACATACTTCTTTACCTTAAAAATGAACAATTAGCTTGGTTGATTAAAACAATTCACCAATAATACCTCAACATCTCTATTTGTGTACAGACATAACTACTATCTACATTACATTAGATAGTAATTTCAGAACTGAATATTCACACTCTGCTGATTATATATTTTCGTCATAAGAGCAAGCTTTAAGTGATGCCCTATAGTTAAACTTAAATGTTTACTTACCTAATACCTTTACATGAATTAAACCATCGGGGATGCTCTTTTGAGGCAAATTAATTTCATCAAACATTTCCAAAATGGCTGCTACAATGTCTTTCTGCAATGTCGCAAACACCGTTTCCCGGCGTGAATTCCTTGGTTGTATCGGTACGCCAAGTGGTAAGATTCTCGTGACTTCATTTACAAGGACGTGGAAATCTAAAAGAAACAACAGGAAAGTACCGACAAACTCGAAACAATATCAATATCACGTGGCGAAACATGATACAAATCAAAGGTACATGGAGGCTGGAAAAAACTAGGGAGCTTAGATTACGTATTCATTGTTGCACTCGTTTTATACCAATCATTACGCATCATCAAGAATAAATCAATTCTCCTGGCGCGCATCGTGGCTGTAAGGAACGACAACCCTGGCAGAGAAGTTCGCTGAGGAACACCTGGTGTTATTTTCCTTGTATTTTTCAGGAGTCTCCGTGTAAATCATTCTCTTGTTCATATTCTAAAACTTTGGATTCTGATTATGCTTACATGTTGGTATTTTTCATTATGCATTCCTGTTCTATTTTTTAATTAAAGTTTTTCATGCGATGTATCTAATAACTTTACTTTAAAGTATTTGAAGAGTTGTGCTTAACTTATTATCTTGCGGAGTATTTGTGATAGAATACGCATATAGAACACGCATTAGCAATAGCAGCACATGACATCAGTAGAAGGTAGGAAAAATTGTCATAAATATTATATGCCTTGTTTCTTGATAAGTAACCTTTATATTTCATCTCGCCGGGTGGAAAGTTGGATACTGCACATTCGCAGATATAATGGTTCACTTGATGAAATATATAGCACAATAATTTGGAATTTTCACGAAATACATTCAAACATAGTTCACCACCATGATAGCGCTATTCACTGTAAACAAAGCCTAAATATGACAGTGGTCCTTTAGTTTTTAGATAAATCCGGTAGTGGATCTAAAAGTTGAAAAATCAAATTGTTTTATAGACAACTTGTTTTCTTTTATAGCAACAATCTCAGGATTGGCGTAAACCTCTCTCGAACCGTTCACAATGCCCATTGATTGGATGTGTCACAATAAGACAATAATTCTAATTTAGATTTGGTTGAACTTTGAATGGTAATAAGAAGCTTGGATTATGGTTTGCTGAACAACTAGACGAGTTAACTATAAAAGTTAATAATTCATATATTAAAGAGGGTGGTCCGTATAATAAACAAGCAATCTGAATGACCATACCACTGATTTCGTCTTCAGAAAGCTCTGCAAATAGTTTTGTCAAGAATTACGTATTTTCCTTTTTATGCATGAAATACAAATTGGTTCTTAGACAAAGTTTTCAAGTGCCTTAACTGCAGATACTGTCAAAGATTGGTAAATGTGGTTTTGACATAAGGATCACGCATTACAATAATGTATTTTTTTTATTTCAGATTTTATCTGTAGATCATCCAAAGAATGATAAAGCGGTGATGAATATAATATATAGACAAACTCACCGTCAATATCAGCAGCAACCTCCAGGAGATTGATCTTGTGACCAGCAAAATAGCTGACCCGGAGAACAATCGCATTGACAATAGGGCTGGCAATGTTGTAAACAGTGTCTAGTTCAATCTGGAAGCCGTGATAATCCGTGCTGAGAGGAAATCTGTAAAAACCATTCCTCAAAGATTAACCGAAACCGTCGTGGGCCAGCAAGCATGACACACACCCATTGTAATTAATGAATCAATAAAGATAGGTAAATTCAGTATCACTTGTACAGTTTATGAATATAGACTTTGCTGTTCTTCGTTAACGTACAGAGCCAATATTCAAACATCGCAGAGACATGTTTAATCACAAAAAGGATGTAAATGTTTTGCGACCGGTTTCTACAATAGCAAACTTTGTGTAATAATTTTGAGTATAAAAAAAATCAACTGGACATACCTGATGTAGCGGGACATCTCAATGTATTTAGACTTTCCAATTTGGCGACTACCATATGGAAATGCTCTGGAGTCCGAATCAATTAAGTCCTGCCAGATGTTGCGTAAGCTAAAATGTATCAGAAAGAAAATATCTTAAGCCGTCACAAAAAAAAAAATAGCAAAAGGGTACAAAATAACAAAAATAGCAACAGGGTTACAAAGAAACAAAAATAGCATCGTCAGAAAAACAGGGACACAAAGTACAGCGCAGAGTCCCAAAGTAACAATATACACACAATACAAAGCAATGACTGGAGAGGATGAAAAGTCAAAATTAAAGTCACCAACAGGACGTCCACAACAGCGAAAACCAGGAAATTACAACACATCGAACAATGCCTAACCAAAACAAAAGATAGGAATACTGGCGAAAAAGCATTGAAAAGAAACTAGAACCTAAAACTAAATAAAAAATATATGTGTTCCAGAGAAAGATTTATTTTACGCAGTATATGGCACCAGTATGGCTATCAGTAATTTTACACTCTTAGAATTATGTAAACACAGACACCTCTTTTATTAAAGATTGGCAATTGTTTATAGTTAATATTTGTTTAAGCAAAAAGAAAGGAGAAAAATTAAGTGAAATTAAAACCTTTACTTTCGCTTTGAAACGTTTGTAATGAGGTAACCAGTGTCTAGATGATATTTGTAATGTTAGCAATATTTCTGTCATGATCTGGGAGAACAATGCTGCTTGACATCTTATAACTCTCATTTAAATCAATGTTTAATTGGCTCAAAGTCTGCTGATATCACAAAACAGTGTTACGAACTGTTGTAGGTCTGGTTGGTCGTTCTGTAGTAGACTCTTGATATAGGTAATCATATAATTCTCCATGTAGATCATCTTCTCGGTGTACACGAGATCGTGGAGTTTCGTGGCAAGATCTCGGTCTGGCTGTAACACTAGCCGTTCGAATATCGCTGTCCGTAAGGAGGGCGGTCGATTCAGGTCGACAAGAATACCAAAGAGGACATCTTTCATCTCGGGGGAAAACGTCATTTTATGAAGTGCCTAGATTAAAGTAAGGAACGACAACTGGATTTTTATTTAAGGCAATTGTGCAGAAACTGATCATCAGTCTTTAAACATGAAAAACATTAATTTGTTCAGAAGGGTAATGAAAAGATTATCATAGCTTCCAGACTTTGATACACTTGTACATATTATACATTAAATACATGAAAGAAATAACACTTTACCAGTACAGCTGCCTTTGAGACTTTGTGAGGTAGATCTGTATTATAAGCACACTGTAACAAAGCCTGGACCAGTCTCCTATCCCCGGGTCCGCCTTCCATTCCGGTATACTTACTGTCATAGACATATTGGACTGGCTCCCCTATGTTACCAAGAACCTGTCGACAAGACATCCAATGACTTCAGTGTTTCTGATCAGGAACAGTATCTAAGCTTTTAGTGTGACAAACTGTCACGTCAAATTTGTGTTCTGGTAAGAAAATTACCTTGTGCCCAAACTATTAAGTTATCTATTGATCATTAAAACAAACTCTTCCAACAAAAACAGTTAAACTCCGTTTAGCTTGACGTCATTTAGAGATCTCCACTAAATTAAACTCTTTTTTTTTCTACCGTTTTGATGTAGACATATTACACATTTTGTTACAAAAACTCAACTCTGCTTTCATATTATTTCAATAGAAAAATATTATTTTTCGCGTTACTTTGATCATAAGCAGAAGTTCATCTGTAATATTGTGCTGCTTATTTTGAGAAAAGGCCTTTGAGATTCCACTGTGACAAATGTCTCCTATAATCTCGCGGACGTGACTTAGAGTCCGATACACTGGTTCAGATTCCTGTAATACAACAATACATATAATTAAAAGCATTACTAGATCAATTAAACATACACATATAATTTTTTTTCTTTAACATCACATGACCGGGCAGAAGTGAAAATTGTCAAATAGCAAATGTCAATAATAGCAAAACAATCATAGCATCATTATACACCGTGTTGTATAGTCAGGAATAAGCCTTCATTGTTTTTTTCTTCTGTTGCTTTTTGTTATATAATGTACATAAGGTAGAAAATGTGTTTGAATTGTAAATGTAATCACTTTTGCAAAACCAGTCGCTATAGATAAGGTTCAACAGGTTCAAATGTAAAAATATCATATTGTGGTATAATGTTAGTCTGTAAAACTTTAAAGTTAAATAATTCAATACAATCATATACAATCATGCACTCATAAATAGGGGTGTTCATAATCAGACTCGGGGACCTTGTTATGTTCAAGTCAGATTGTCTGTAAAACACAATAAGATACACACTTATCTAACACCTATGTATTGAGAGAGTTCAGTCTCCGAACAAATCTACATCAAATATTTGACAATACCATGTCTTCAGTTGATCCGCCTTTAGGCCTAATTTTGCTGATCAGGATGCTCAATGGAAGCCAACAACTTCCTGTATTTCGTTCTATACACATTTCCTATAATCCAAATGAAAAGATAGATATAGGAAGTTTTCATGAGTTTTACAAGACATATTTACGTCTAATTAGCATTCATTCTTAATAAAAGGTTAGTGACAAGAAAGAATTTCAAATCACATTTTATAGAATCACGAACATTAGTTTCAGGTTGCAGGTGTATTCCCAGCGCAAGTAAAACATGGATAGATATCTACTCACCAACATTGATAACTATCTACTTACCAACACGGACGTTGCAACCTCTGTAGATGGTTCCTGTAACAGGGCGAAGTTGTAAAGAAACACATACTCGAACCACATGTTGACATGTCCTGCTCTCATGGCTCTGGTGAAAACCGTGATGCATGCATCCGTTCCGCATGATAATAGGCCGTCAAGAAAGTTGTCCTTTTCCAGTCTCTGATAACAAAAACATCATAGACAAAGTCCTGTCTAAAAAATGTTTCAAATATCATTTCTGTAGTCCGTTCAGATGTGTTTTATGTTTAAACATGCTATCACTCGGGTCTCACTCAAGGATGCGACATCATAGCACCTGAACATTGAACAGTATGGCTGCAAAGCTGCTGCGTACATGGAAAGGTTGTTAAAAATTCGCTTCCAAGAAAGTAAAAAATCGCAAACATTTAACAAGTGTGCATCAATCCAATACTCTTATCTCTGATCCCTATTATTTATATAATGCAGTTTATAATCCCTACTAAATCCTTTGATATACTACATCGGAAAGGTTCATATAATGGTTACAATAATTTCCAGCCACATTACACACTGGTGACCGTTTATTACTGTGACAAATGACATGATGGAGTGTTCTGTGCGCCTCCACAATATACATACCTAAATTGTCTAATTACCTGCTCCGTTTTGTTACAATAGTCTACATGGTTTCCATGACAATCCCATACATCTTTCAAAACTTCCATAAGGTCGTTGGTGCGCGCTTGTCGGAGGAACCACAGAAAGTCGTGAAATAGTTTAGGGGTGGTTTCCATTGTTTCATTGTAAGTCGTTAGGGTCTGCAGCCAGCGACTGATATCACGTTTAGTCACCTGGATATCATTTCCTTGAATATCAAACTCATACCTCAGACTACTGGATTTCTTTCCTTTCATTTTACGATCAACATTTCGTTCGGCGAGGTCTCTTGTTTCTTGTAGGACCAGATGCTGACTAAAACGTAAAACGAAACATTAACATTTGTGAAATTAATTTTCTACGAACATGAAATGATGTCCTTTGTCAAAGAGATTCCATCATTTATAAATGAGACCATCACCTAATTCACTGTTAGAGAGATATAGATAGTAAACTTTTACAGGAATCTAGCAACACTGCTCACCACCGACAACAACTATGTACGGTAATACATTCAAAATTGTATACTTGTCACTTGTTAGTGCCATTGACTGTAGTTTGTTTAATCTTAACGAATTCCGACCAATAAAACGGTAAGGAGTCAACAATCAACTCAATAATGAGTATAACATTTATAGTTCTTTCAAATGACCATTTAATATCACCTTTGTAACATTTTATTACTATAAGTGTTAGTAAGTGTAGTTGGTTTGGTACCCCTAGTTACACCATCCTTACCTTACATTGGTCATACATGTAGCAATTATAGTTTCTTCGTGTGCGAAAGGACGAAACAGTTGTTGCTGTAGACATTTTGTTTCTTCAAGTCTGTGTTTTTTTCCTGTCGTGTGTTCACATTTAATAGATGAGTTGAATGGATAAATCAACTGAAAAAAATTCAAATGCAAAGGAAAAAGGAAAAACAAAACAAAAACGTAATGTATGGGTTTAATAAATGCTTCTTAAATATATATTCTATGCATGGAAGCTGGGGTAGCTTACCTCGTCAATCACACCGTGGACATAGCCCCCGTAGACGCTCTTGATCATGGATATCAGGTTGTTTTGGCGGTAGTTGTATTGGGGAACCTGACACTTGGTGATGTCTCTGGATGTGTGTATCCTGTTCGGAGTCTCAACTATGTACTCGGTAGGACAGGACCCAAACAAGTCCTCCTACAAATCAACATAACATTGTTAAAATGAAGTACACCTACAGTTGCTTTTGTATCAATATGATTGTTTGAAAAACATTTCGTCACATTAAGTATTCATTGATAAATCACCAAACGAAGCAGAACTCCGCTGCACCGACCAATTAACCATTACACATAACTGATATCCTGAACGTTCTTTGTCTGAAAGACTGGAAGGTCGATGACGTTGTACCCAAAAGTCTTTAAATGTTAAATGTTCTTTTTTCTAATTGGAATCACGCCATTTTGAGATCGCCGATCGCAGGTAGCAGATTCTGCTGGTGGACTTTATTCCCCCGGGTTTACCATTTGAGTAGTGGCACAATTCAGAATATAAACGTGTACAAGACGTTTGTAAGAAATCATCGGACATTTGAAAAATATCAAAATTGTTGAGGTTTGAGGTAAATGCATATCTGCATCCAGATTGGACATTTCTTTCGATGAATTTTTATTTCCCTCAGTCCCTTCGTTCTAGGTTCACTCGTTTAGACCCTTAGCATCACTGATGAGTCCTAGAAGGACGAAATGGTTGTATAATTAATTCATATTTATTACCCCATTCTAAAGCAACCACTAAAGCAAGATTAAGAATCAGTTCATATGCATCTTCGATATTCCAGGGAATACAATCACTTTCGCTCTCTGCTTCCCTGGAACATGCAATGGCAAATATGAAGATTCCATGTGCGATACATTGCAGACAAGATGAAAAGACTAGTTTAATCCTCTGATGTGCATAAAGAGAACCTCGAGTTCGCATTACGGCATATTGTAATGGCTTTGAAGTCTATGTGTCGCTCCTTTGTAATCTTCAAAAGGAGTGTATCAGCTTGTGATTGGTCTTTTTATAACCTGGAACCAATGAAATTGCTTCACTTGTGCCTTCAATTTTACCATAACATGTTCAAGGGATGCAGAGAGCGAAAGTGATCGTAACCCCTGGAATATCGAGGATGGTTCAAATGAGAATTAAAAGTAAGCCTTGTAACTGCAACCTGATTGAAAATGTTATAACAGCGAGGGGATCGATTTGGCGGCGATTTCTTAGCATGTCTTGACAACAATAACAATCTAAATAACTGACGACAAACAGTGTTGTTATTATGAACTTTGGTATATCTTATTTTACACGCATTCAAACTATCTTAAATATTTATTTCTGAAAGAACAAAAACTGGGTAATAGGGTTACATAGTATATATGATTAACAAATATCGATTTTATGACAAATATCCATTAAACTCAACTTTTTAATTAACATAAAAAAACAAGGGCTAGAATACATTATTTATCGGACAGTCATTAAACTCCTTTTTGATCATAAAAAACAAGGGTGACGAAGATGGGTGACTCACCGTTTCCATGGTATGTGTCTGGTTTCCGGGTTCCTCTGTGACGAGTTTGATCTGAAGTGCTGACAGAATCCCACGCTTTATGTTGAGAGCGTCATTTGTTTCTACCTGATCCACCACAATAGTGTGTGGACGAATCGTCCCACTACCAAACTGGAAGTACAGCTCCCTACAATGTCAGCAAATTAGAAAATATCACTCAAAAATTTATATCACTCTCTGCAGTATTACAAGAAATTATTAAAACTCCGATCCACTTCAAACAACATTACAACAAATTATAATCACTTTCTACAACATTGTACCCGTTTGATATCACCCAATGCAACAATACAACAATTTACATCATTTCTTACAACATTGTAACATTTTGATATCATTCACTGAAATTTACAACAAATTAATATCACGTTGTACAACATTGTATCAACTGGATATTACTACCTATGATAATTTGACAAGTGACGGCATTTACCTCCCTAGAAGACTTGTTATATCTTCTGATAAAACTGCATCTTTAAGATACAAATCAGCGTCTCCCGGTTGTCTGTGATATAGCGAACATGTCGTCACCTGTAAAGAGGTTTTGTTATGTCAACCGCATGAACTATTACAGGCAGCCAAGGTCGGGGTCAGCCACATTAATTTGAATACAATAATTATATACCTATATATACTGACGAACACAACTTTGTTATAACAAAGTTAAGGTAAAAATATTTACAAATCCGTTCATTATCCATTGTTAACACGTTCATTAACCGCTGCCCCAAACATGTTACATTTAACCAAAAATAGTGTTTTAAATGTCAATTTTGCTCAAACATCTTTTTTTCTACAATTGGCCTTTCTCTATGAAGTTACCTTGTTTAGACTTAATTCTGTCTCTTAAAAGTGCTCCATCCTCTCTTGGCAGATTCGTGGTTAGTTCTATACCGTTAATACAGCTGTAGACAGTCATTCAACGTCAGATATTAATAATTAATGAAAAATGTATAGGGATGTGCTCATGTTAAATAATATTATATTATAGAATGTATATCCATACTTACATTCATATAAGCTTCACACTTCCTCCTAGCTTCCACCACTACATCACAGTTAAGTTTAAAAGCGGATTTAGACTTTGTCGTCCCCACAAAACTCGTCTCTACTGTGGTGCTGTAATGGTAGAGGTACTTGTGGCCACCGCGAAACCTAACCTCTACAAATACAAACCAATTTAGATAAATAACTCACGAAGGAACCTAGCCTCTACAAAAAAAGACAAGAAAGTACCAACATCATCATAATTCAAAATCAAACATAAAATAACTAGGGCGAAGTATGAACAAAAGAAAGATTCACATGGCAATACAAGACGAAATTCGTATTATACAAACACAAACCAATATAGATAAAATCCATTACTATTACTTTTATCTCTAAGGTGCTGAAGTTTTATTCATTGTTCGTCACGATCGTCAGTGTATAATCCATTCTTTGAAAGCAATATTTTACAATGAGACCTATATTTGGAAATATTCTTAGTTTAAACGATTTGTTCCCGAGGTCTGACGTTACCGGCTGTATACCATGTCTACACGTTGATTTCATTTTCTTAAAATAATTTTAAAAAAAAAAAAGAAAAAAAGACTAAAATATCAAAGAGTTGGTACACTTTCAAATGACACGAACACAACCTGTCATCTTAATACTGAAAAATTCTGGGATATAGAGATCGTAAAGATTATGACCCTTGGAATATTGACGATATCTTAATGTGCAACCACTGTTAATGGTATTGATCATGTTCACAATATACACATATATAAATATGGTGTTTACAAGGTTGTTATTTCATAAGTGGTGCTTAAAAATATACAAATATTCGTTTGAAATGGAAACTCGAAAATGCATTGACCATTTCTTATGTTATAAGCTGTACTTACCTCTCCTATCACAGTCGATGGGCTTTTTAATTCGTTTCTCAAACGCTGCACTTACTGGAGCGAAAAAACTCAAATAAGGTTTTAATGAAAATGTAACTGTATGGATAAGAACTCGTATACATAATGTAGGTGATTCTCATCAGAAATATCAAAGACATTCTCTTCAAATCATATTAACACAAATATACGCACAAAAGATTTGTCTTGTATCGACAAAAGTTTATTCCGATAAATCTTCAATTGTTTATCTATCAACTTGACAAAATGCACACATTAAACCTATTGCATTTTAATCCCCTGACGGAAAACGAACATAACTTACCACAGATAAGACAAAGTAGCGCTAGACATGTTAATATCCCCGCCATAGTTTGTCAAGGCTGAACCCACGTGGATGTGAATGAAGATCGCCTTAATCTTAACTGGTAACAGGACGCTAGATTAAGAAATGTTTTTTACAGAACTTAATTTGATACTATAGATATGAAGTGGGAGAGAGTTAGGTTTTCCATTGGTAGACAAAGTCTGCTGACCTTTTGACTTCCCACGTGCTATATAGCGTGATCCAGAACACTTAATGTAACATTACTTCTCTAGAATATATCTACGAAAATCGGAAAATAAAATTAAAATCACCATATTATCGGCGTTTGTGAAACATTTTCATTGTGTTCGTATGTGTATTTTGTCAGTAAGTTGAACTTGAAACAGTGCAAACTTGGTATATGATTTAGTGCGGAGAATCGGGAGCAGTAAACCTTCAAATACCAGTACGTATTACCAGTAAAATTCGATTGGCTGTAGGATTATCATGATATACCCACAAATTTAGGGTTATCAAGTTATACAGTATCTGCAGGTGCGCTTTTGTAAAAGAAATTATTAGTGAAAACAATCGATGTATCCATGTTAGCGTGACGTTTGTGCCGTAGGCTTACAATTTTGAAACGCCACGATATGGTGTGTGCATGTAGAGGAAACTGGAAAAAAAGTCTAAATATTTAATAAAAATAGTCTGGTCAGAAATGTGACGGTATATAAGTCACCTATAAGTCACGTGACATTGTCCAATTATCATCAATAACGTCATATGTCATTTGCCATAGTCAATTATCTTAATGTCACATGACACACTACCGTTATCAATATAATGTCACAGGACACACTACCGTTATCAATATAATGTCACAGGACACACTACTGTTATCAATATAATGCCGATACATTATCAACGATAATGTCACAGGCTCACTACCGTTTTCAATATAATGTTACAGGACACGCTACCGTTATCAATATAATGTCACAGGACACACTACCGTTATCAATATAATGTCACGGGACACGCTACCGTTATCAATATAATGTTACAGGACACGCTACCGTTATCAATATAATGTCACAGGACACACTACCGTTATCAATATAATGTCACAGGACACGCTACCGTTATCAATGATAATGTCACATGCTGCACTATCGAAAGTACTGTATGTCATGAGTTTCTACTAACTAATTATACACTAGATGTCATTTTCGGTATGTTGACTTCACATAGAACCCTTACTGTATCTGCTTTTATCACGTGGTACGGTCCTGTGTCTTCTCCTCACTCCCATTCTATTAATAGAATAGTGTTCTCCGTATCCTCAAAATCCAATGTGAAGTGGATGGACTTTGTTCTTTTATTAGGGTTGTACACGTTCACTTGCCTGGGTCACATAAAAACTAATTAGCAGACATCATACTGAAATCAAGCCTTCGAAATACATTTAAGTTTTTTTTAACTGTTTATATGAGAGGGATAGTTTAGATTAAGCCTGTTGTTCGGTGCTCATTAATTCATTATAATTTCACAAAATACTTTGAAATGAAATGAAGTGTTTATCCATGAGAGCTAACCTTTGACCCGTTAAGAAAAGAACATTACTACATTGTATATTGAAATTCTTCATTTATTCTTAATATATGTAAATGTACTTGGAAGATGATTGTTAAAAGATATATGGTGCAAACAAATTGGGAAAAAAACTCGTCAGAAAGTGCACGAATAACAACTGGTCTATACCTCACGCTAACAGAGATTCCTTCTATTCTGTAAGAGGGTTAGAAGCACTTGTAAATCGTCGTTCTCAGAGAAACAGAAACAACAAAACCATTGACATATTAACACCCAGTTATTCACCCTTATGTTCCTTAGTCTCAGAACACTCGCATAACAACTTCCGTGATACTAATAATTATTCTATACCAAAGTTCCTGGGACATCAAACAACTTTTTTAGTTCAGTAGGTGTAAATTGATCAGTTTGCGGGAATTACTCCCAATTTGGCTATTTCTAAACATCGTTTCCAATATTTCATTTTGACTATGGATCTGTATGACTTTTATCTGCTCAATGTTTAACTGTTTTTGGTATGTCATTTTTGTACTTTTATCAATACCTGCAAATTGGAGAAAATACATGAACGCGCCCTTAGATTCATAGAAGATGATTTTATCTCACCTGTATAATATATGTTCTTACTCTTCACTCTTATCCAGCTAAATAAGTGAGTGCTTTGTTGTTCCTAAACTTTATTTACTTATTTATAACGTTAGTCGTTATGTATTACATAGACTGTTATCATCAATTCTAAGATGTCTGTGCACCTATTAGCTTACGTTACTGTGTATTTAATGAAAGTATTATGATGGCTTAACTTCCATCATGTAGTGTTGAGTGCTAGTTGCTGTGATCGGATTTATGTATATGTACTGTATGTGTTATCTGCTGTGATATTGATAATGTACCAATCTAGTATGACAGGAATTATATACCAATCTTCTGTGACAATTATGATATACCAGTCTTCTGTGATAGGAATTGTATACTACTCTATAGGTTTTGTGTATATGTACTATGTTTTTATGTTCTCAAAAAATGCTTTTTAGATGTGTCGCTTTATTAGTCTAATGCTTGTTTTATTTATCTATGTTGTGAAATATCTTTACTGTTCTTTTTTGTCGCAAGCTACGAAGCTAATATTTGCTGTGAATATTGCATCTTAGATCGATATCCGGAACTAATGTTCGATCCGATATCCTTCAACAAATATTTAGGCTACGCCGGAAGTTGTCTGAAAAGTTGTTGTCTTACTCTACTGAACGCTTTTTGTAAGCACACCACGTAATTAGTGGTCAAGTGGCTGATTGACACAGACCAAAAAAGAATTGAAGATATTTTGCGGGAAGCAGTAAACAAAATAGACACAGCACTATGACATGAATTAATGATTCCGGTACAGTGTTTTGTATTTCCATCATCTTTTGCTCATTCGTTTTTTTCAAAATGTATTGTCCAGGGTATGGTATGGATGTTACCAATGGTAATAAGTATTATGTCATTTAGTAACGTTTGCCGTGAGATGGTAGACTGCAGGTGAACTCAATTAAAAACGAAAGGAAAATATAGTTTCAAATAAGTTAAATCCCTATCTAACATTTTTTTTGTTCTTATGCACGTGTAAGTTTTTGTCTATAAACCATATTGTCACACTATTTTCGATCTTGGACTTGGTGTACACAGGATTAGTGTACAACCGAAAAGTTATTCGATTGCTAGCCGTCTCATATACACTAAATACAGTGCTAGTGCACTTCACACTGGTCTGATGGGTGTGAACCTTTAGTCATTGAAGCGTCACACTTAAATCTACTGGTTGTGTTATAACAGTGTTTGCCATAAGTCGATAAGTGACATTGCTGTCATGTATATAATATGTAGTGCTTATTCTGTTTCCAAGTGAAAATATCATGAATCTATGGCATTACAAAGTAATACGTAAATAAAAATTCACATGGAAAGCAGATAGTTCTAAACACCACAAGGAAAAGTGTAAGAAAAGATTTAACCCAAGTGGTAGGATATTTATAACAGAATCTTTATCAGTGGATTGTTTCATTACAGTATTAAATGTAAGAAGTGTTTTACTGCCAATTAGTCTATTTGGAATAAACGATAGCATATAATTGGTTTTGCAACGTCCGTTACTCTTGTAAACAGGTGAGTTTAATGCACAGATTCACAGGTTCACTGGTCAGCATCACCAACTGTTCTGCAAATAAAGTTTTATGTCAATTGATATCGTCCAGACCATCTGGTTGAAAGGTCAAAACATGCTGAGTTTTCATAAGAGTAATCTCAAAACTGGTATTAGAAACAGAAGCTACCAAAGAGGATCACTGATTGCTTCTGTGATTAAGAATATAGTTAAAACTATATTGATTCAATTATGTTACTAATACAATGGACATGAAATATATTTTGGGTGGAAAAGTGCTTGAAGCTAAATAAATCATAAGGAGAATATCTTTATAGTATTATACAAGAGTAAACTGACATAAAATTGCATGTTTTGTGGTCTTAGTTTTCACTTAGGGCATATGAAATAGAACAAGAATGTTCAGTCTGATAAATATTCCTATTTACCTATCAGAATGTAAGATCTGTAGATTTTGGAAAGAAAATGCTAGTTTTCATATGAAGATTTTTGTGAACCTGTAAAATTTATCTTGGGCCTGTAAAAAGTTTTGACTACCTGCCTAACTGACCTGATTTTTAGAGTTTGGCACACACTGTTTAAGAACTTTTATTCTATCGAAAGTGAATTGTGTGGTGGAAGCAAGTGAGATATGTTGTGGTTGGTTAATTAAAGTAACCAATTTCCTATCTCACCATTGGAACATATTACTCTAAATGAACAATTTTTTTTATGTCCAGGAAATTATAAACATTGACATGAATCATAGCAGTGGATTTAATGTTGTGAGCATGTTATATCCAGGAAATGTAGTGCCAACAAAAATGCATATTTTTGCAAACCACAAAGGTTTTGCTCAAGAAAAATTTTGATTTTACAATAAGTCATGTATCAATATTGTACCAGTAGTGCAATTAATTGTAATCCCACAAATAAAACTAACCTTTGTCTTCTTATTGTAGGAAAATGATCCATAACCAGGAAGATGAATTGGATAAAGCCAACAAATATCTGCGTCTGAAAAATGTCCAGGGCAGAAACTTGTTGGTGGTGAGAGAAGTGTATCGTCGTGAGACAGTTCCTTGTCAGAGTGCCTTATGTCTCGCAGGCTGCCAGTCTGACAATAGTAAGTGCACCACTCAAATGTTGATACAGCCTTCAGACAACTCTCTATCAAAGTGCCCTGTGTCTCACTGGTGACCAAGTAAACAATAGGTACTACCAATAAAATGCAGGCTCAGCCACGAGAAATCTCGTCAGAGTGCCCTGTGTTAACGTATCAAATGTAGGTACAGCTGTCGGAAAAGTCCTTGTCATAGTACCCTGGGTCTTACTGGCTGCTAGGTAAACAGCAGTAAGTACAAAAAGGTCTACTAATGTACCAACATTGAGATGAGCACACTAAAACAAATTTTAAATGCTTGACCACCTGCTCCAAATGAAATTAACAGTATCCGTTGGAGAGAATATGAATTCAGATTCTGTATTTCATTATGTCTTTGTTGAATCAGTATGCATAGAGACAGCACAGTAGCACTTAAGTTTAACCTTCAACCTTACTTTTTGCTGAACAATTAATATATATACCATATCATTGAGGTAAACAAACAAATCCCTCATTCACAGGAGTCCACCACACAGGAATGTCTTAACAACACATTAAAATGTCACAGGCTAAACAATGCAACTTTAACTGTCATTCCTTGATAGTGATTGTCTAGAATAATGCACATAATTCCAATCAATAGAATTTTTGTTGAGTTTAACATTACTGGTATATCATTTGTCATAATGAATGGTTCAGTACTTTGACACAGAACAGGAACAGTTATGGAAAATTACTGATATACATCAAATGTTATGTCTGCTGCTTTTTGATGTCTCTCATGATCATTTTGTTTATAAAAAAATTTGTTACAGATGAAATTGGATTACTACCTGCAGATGTTACCCACTACCTTGTACCAGACTGCCAAGTGGCACGAGAATATTTAGAGGTGTTGGAAATACCACAGCTAACAGGAATTATTTTCCTACAGACAGTTGCCCATAGTGTAAATATCCATAGAAGGCAAATTAGTATTTTAAAGAAAGGAATAGTAGTTTTAGATCTATACAATTTTAAGAAGTAATCAACATACCATTTTATCTAGTTAATGATTGTTTATGATTAGTTGATTAATTATGACAAAAAACATACAGGTGTCACTTAAAAAGACTCAGGTAAGGTTCAAATGGTATAACCCATTTTTGGTGAATTTTGAAGTAGATGGAAGTAAGCTTGAATTGGATTTCCTTAAATAATGAATCTTTGATTTAATGACAGGTACAACATGAAGGTAACAGGCGATTACACAACCGACTCAAAAACCTGGTCAGGGATAAAAGGAAGGCATCTGTCATATTTCATAATGAGTTCCAGAAGTTTTCATACTGTGAAAGATTACGAGGGGAAAACTTGGCCTCCTGGCAGAGCAGGTACAGCTAACATACTTCAGTCGTGTTATGTTACAATATTCCTATAAACATGCTATTTCAGTGCACATGCAAATGGTGAAAGTTTATGATTTAGACCTTAATCGCAATCTGCTCACTATTCATTGTACCTTGTTAATTAATGATGTTTGCGGTCACTGTGACAATGTAATACAGAAAAGTTGCACTGTATCTACACTGCATTAGAATTAATGGTGTTCCATGTTACGTTATTATTTGCCACAGGAGTACCTATAAAGCAGCAGATTGGTTCTATAATCACCTGGCCGGACAAATACCTGTTGTAATGGTTACTCAGGACAAACAGGTATGTATATTAATGGTTACTAAGTGGGTAAAGTAGTGTTCCATTTTTTTCTATCAAAAATTTATCTGAACTTTTTTGCTGGATTTATAGTCCAATGAACAGCCAAGGTCATGTTTTGGGCACAGTCTTCTTGTGATACCTCACTGAACAAGATACAGGAGATCCACCACATTTCATCCAAGGCATTTAGGGTAAAGTGTCTCGCCAAAGGACATAACCACATCAATTCAGACTTGTCCGTTTTTTAGCTATCTGTGAAAAATAAACTGTCATAACACAATGTGGTCCTATGTTTTTGTTACTAAGGGCAAACAGGTATCCTGTTTTATCATAAATAAGGATTACAAAATTATATCCTTTCTGTATTCCTTTACAGTAGCACTTGCCACAACAGTCGAATGTATATTTCCAACATTTAAGCAGTTTAAATACTTTATACATGTTTTAATTCCAAATGGCATGAAACAATTGCAAACAACATCTTGAAACTTTCAAGCTAGATCTCAGGACAAAAAATCACCATATCTCATCTTGTATATCATAAACAGCAACACAAATTTTCAGCATTTCTCAAAAATATTACATAATGTAAATGTTTGATTTTCACCCTAAAAAAGACAAAAATCCTATTTTCATGCTTTTTTTCTGCGTTATTTTCTGAGCCAAACTCCATCTTTTCTAAATAATCATCTTTTGCTGATATAGGTAATTACGTAGTATTCAGAACACTAAAATCTTGATGTTTAAGTTAGCACATCATCTCTGAATAACTGAATTAGAATGTTTAGTTGGCCTTTGTCAATTTTAGCAGTGATGCCATTGTGTAGACAACCTTTTTATGATCAAAGTCTCCATATAAACATTCTGAGACTTTTTAACAAAGATTTGAAAGATGCAAATTCATGACTGAACTCTTGTAGGATCAACCACTTGACTTCACTACAAACATAACCTGTGTTTAGGGGCTTCTCTGTCCTCTTGCCTGAGAAGTCACTGTAGACAAGTTTGTATATTTGATAGGTGTACTGATTATTTTACAGGTGATAGCTGAGTATGGGAGTCAGCAGGTGAACGTCTTTGTGCTAACACTGCAGGAGTACCTGGATACCTTCTGGAAAATAATTGTGCCCAGTATAACAGATCTTGTTGACTCCATCACAGCTTCTCTTGAGGCCAGAAGTAGGGGTAGGTATTAATGAAAAACTGTTGCTAGATACAACAACTGTTTCTACCAATAATTCAATACAGGGATGATGTTTTCACTATTTCATGGTACATTACATTATTGCAAAAATTGAGTTTGTGAAATAATGGGATATGGGTGTAATAGCTGTCATTTTATGTCCAGATTACAAAATTTGAATTCGTAAAAATATGATTTGATTGTTTAAAAAGAAATCATTAAAATTTGACCCATAAAAAACGCCCAGCCATATGGTATGTAACAATTATATAATTATCCTTCAAGAAGCCGTTGGCTGTGTGTGACTGGAGGTAACCACCACACTACACAGTTTTTGATATGATAAACATGTTAAGGCATTTTTGCATGGTTGAAATATGGATGGGCTAATTTAATGCGATAAACTAGACATGGGTCTATTCTAAATAGGTTGAGAAAGGCTCTTTTGAACAGATGTCCCTCCTAAAGTTTTCGTTTGAATTGGGTGAAGCACATCTGATATAATCACCTCCAACTTGCTTGATCCAAAAGTTTCTTGGAGTAATGCTCCATTTTGCAAAATGTTTAGCAAAGTGTTGACCTGATAGCTCAATTTTGTCTATACAAATTGTATGCTGTGCCTACAGGAATTTGGATAATAGTGATTTTGAGGTAAATATTGACAACGAAAATTTATTGGAAGAATGAAGGCACTTTGGTGGCTTCCACGTTTACCAGTGAAATAAAGTTAGAAATACAACGTAAATTTATTCTAAGACTTTATATCAATAAGTGAAATTCCACATACAGTCACTATAACAATGTTTTACATTTATTCATGTGAGAGTTAATCCCATATTCTTGAACTCAGTGTTTGTTCAGAATATTGCTCATGAAATTTGTACCACTTCATAGACTTAAACAATATTTTGGCATATTACTGTCATTAGATTCAACTTTAAGTTGAAATTATTTAAATTTGGTACTTTTGTGGGCAAGGAGGAGTTTTTCAATTAGTATGTGATTTTCATTTCTACTGAACAGACACAAGTTTAAAGTATAAATTAAAAACTTTTTTCAATGTTCTTTTTTTTGTAAATATGTAAAGTTTCATAAAATATGGAAGAATTTCTAAAGGTCGTTGATAAGAAATTTGAAACTTAGAAGTCATGGGTGCTAACTACTCAGTCAGATATATTCAAAAAGTGTCAACCATGTGTGATTGAGGTATATTCTTTAGGTGTGTATAAAACCTCGATACAAACTGTTACAGAGAAAGACTATGTAGGGTACCTACCATCTGATGTTATTGAGGCTGGATTGAAGACAGGACATTACATTCAAGGTTTTCTCAATGTTAACAAAAGCAATGCATCACAAGAAGCTTTTGTCCATCGTAGGAGGTAAGTTTGTGGCAAATGTAACCATTACATACTTGTCTTAGGAAGTTTACCTGGCAAATGTATTCATACCTGAAATACCAGTGTAAGCATAAATTAAATCATTGCTTTTCACTAGAACAGAAAAGGTTATGTTGCATACCTTGACCTATTTGATTTATTGACTGCTTTCTTGTAGACAGGACAGACAAGATGACAGTGACTCAGATATACTTGTCCATGGCATGTCCAATAGGAACCGTGCTGTCCATGGTGACTTGGTAGTAGTTGAGCTGCTGCCACGATCACAGTGGCGTGGCAGGTCAAACGTCATCAGAGATGGTGATACAGGTGTGTACACCAGAATGTTGTTAAAAAAAGTCAATGTGATTCTGACAGGATTACCTTTCCTATGGTTTATTTAAATGTAGAGCTGTCTTATTATGGCATTTTTGGTTAATATAAATGTCTTAAGGTATGATACATTTTCCTAGAGCTCCTACTCTAGAGTAATTGGACTTTACACTTCAGATACCAAAGACACAGGGGAGGATGACATTGAAGAGAACACATCAGTGATGCCAACAGGAAGGGTTGTGGCAATATCACAGCGAGCATGGAGGGAGTATGTCGCCACCTTCTCACAGGATGAGGTAGGAAGGAAAAAGCAATAATTGTTATCATTTAATGTCCTTTTGATATACTTCAAACAAAAATCACATATTAGTTGTCATTGGTTCGTTAACTTTTGTATATAGAAAGGAGTGTCAGAAAATGATTCAGTCCTTCTGTGGACTAACTGTTGTTTATAACTCCAAGGATAGGAAAAAGCTTTATAGGATAAGAATCCAGATGTCCGTGGTGTACCAAATACATACTGGTTTATCTCACCCTCACTGACTGGGTTTGTCATGTAATCTAAGCCTTAAATAACCAGATATGTGATGGAACGTTTCTGAATTATTTGAAGTCCAATTCCTCTCTTCTAGTCAGTGGCTTAATATTAAGTCTGGCATTATCATTGAGCACTTCATGAACCAGGCACATTTGCAAAGAGTGATAAAAGATAAACGTGTATTGTTACTGTATCAGAAAATCTATTATAGACACTAGTTCTCTTGTGAAAACATAAATTAACAATCTAACGCTTAAAACCTATAACCATAAGCTTGTTATATTGAACTGATGAACCATACTGACATTAATGATAACCCTACAGGAGACCGGTCTAAAAGGCGGTAAGGTGCTTGTGATTCCTTGGAACTATCGTATCCCAAAGATACGCATCAGCACCCGCCAGGTGGAGGCACTGAAGGATCATCGTATCGTGGTGAGGATTGACTCCTGGGACTCTGACTCACAGTATCCCAACGGCCACTTTGTTCGTGCTCTAGGGAAGATAGGGGAACTAGAGACTGAGGTGGCAGCCATTCTTATAGAGAACAACATACAGATGTCAACATTCTCTGATGCTCAGGTACATCATAAAAAGATAACAACAGTTCAGACAATGAGTTTATAGAAGTCCTATCCATTATCAAGAAAAATTCCATCTAGAATCTAGATATTTTTTGTCAATATTTTGTCCAGTTTAGGTATGTTTATCCTTTATGTATGAGACAACTTGATGAAACAATGACAGTTGATATTATACAGATGAAGGAGTTACCTTTGGATACAGAGGAAGACCCCTGGACTGTTGAGGAGGAGGAAGTACTGAAACGGAGGGATTTACGCAACACTCATCTTGTGTTCAGCATAGATCCTAAAGGATGTGAAGATGTGGATGACACTCTTTCAGTCAGGTACAGAAATCATAGGTCTGAAATTCAAATAATGTCAGAAATGTTTACTTCAATTCTTTATGTAATTGAAGTCTTGAATGTTAGTGCAGTTGTGACTATAATCTGGATGATAGTAACATGTGTTGTTTATTTCACTGACTATAGGACTCTGGATAATGGTAATTTGGAGCTGGGAGTCCATATTGCAGATGTCACACACTTTGTTAAACCAGGCACGCTGACTGACCAGGAGGGCAAAAGTCGGTCAACAACAGTATACCTTGCTGATCGCAGATATGACATGTTACCTGGGATTCTCAGTGCCAATCTGTGCTCATTAATCAGTGGTGTTGACAGGTAAGCTGATTAACTGACTAGAAAAAACAATGTTGCAGTGTATTACATACATCTAATATCATATACATTTGTCACTCTATTTACGCCCTCTTTGGCCTTTGACCACTTTTTATATGACCATTTCTTGTATACCAGCATTTTTCAACAACAGTTAAACCCCACTTTATTACTTCTTTATATGCCGTAAAGCCCTTGATAGATTCTACAAGCTATAGATGAACAGGAGCAAACCAAGGAAGATGTCTTTCTACCCTAGGACTAGAAAGCTCTCCTGCCAAACATTACCCTTTGCTGAGACACTGGCCACCTTAAGGGCCACTGTGTCCAATCTCTGAGGTCCTTTGTTTTTTTCTGTTTTTACCCAATTTTAACCTTTTGTCAGTCCTACACCATGCACACCACCTTCATACATAGCAGAATCTTCAATCTATGGAAGGAGGTTATGACCTGACAGAAGCAAAATCTATTATCTCAAATGTTTCAACATCACTTTGTCATTAAGTTTACATATCTGAATATAGTATTCAGTTTCAAGGTAACAGATTCAAGTGTATGAAGTTGTAAAAACTTTGTACGTTTATCATACTTCATAAGTACATTTAATCAATTCTCATTGTATCACAGACAGAGATGGGTACAAAAATAGAGCTTGTCCTTGATATGCTTGTTTAAAAAAGCAAGGATATTTTTTTTATAAGAAATTATTAAATCTACATAGACCTGAGGCCTCACAATCTCAAATTTCCGCCTTATGTACCTACTTATTTGATAGGAGACCAGCAGAATGCTGTTTACTCTTTAAATACTTTTGACAAATCATCTGTACCTTATGAATCTTAATACGTTCAGGTGCAGAATGCAAAGTTCACCATTGACTATTTACATTCTATATTGGTTTTGCTAATGTCATTAAAACTTTACCCATTAATTTGATTAGATATGCAGTTAGTGTAATATGGGAGCTGGACTCTTCTTACAAACCTGTCAATGTCTGGTATGGAAAAACCATCATATGCTCGTCATACAAGTTATTCTATGAGGTAAGGTGTTTGTAAGATAATGAAAATGATGGTATTTTATTCAGAGTATTGATTTTAGATTTGTGTAAAAGGATGACATGCAGTCTTAACTTACATGTATGGGAACTGATTTCTACAATAATTGACTTGAATTTTTTATCCAATTACTTTTTTTCCATTTAGGAAATGTTGCCTTTTTACATTTATTTATTCATTGCCCTAGTTAACACTTTACTGTATAATTTGACAAAGTTTGCATGAACTTTGTTTTACAGATAGCTCAGGCCATGGCAGATGGGATGCCAACAGATGATATAGTTCAGAATGTACCAGAACTCCAGTGTCTTCCTGAGAGTGATGTCTGTAAAAAGTGAGCTATCCACCACTGATACAAAGCATCTATCTAGTGTTAGACTGTATGCTAGTCAAGTGTGTCTAGTCTTACACTGACTGTGCTAGTCAAGTGTGTCTAGTCTTACACTGACTGTGCTAGTCAAGTGTGTCTAGTCTTACACTGACTGTGCTAGTCAAGTGTGTCTAGTCTTACACTGACTGTTCTAGTCAAGTGTGTCTAGTCTTACACTGACTGCTAGTCAAGTGTGTCTAGTCTTACACTGACTGTGCTTGTCAAGTGTGTCTAGTCTTACACTGACTGCTAGTCAAGTGTGTCTAGTCTTACACTGACTGTGCTTGTCAAGTGTGTCTAGTCTTACACTGACTGTGCTAGTCAAGTGTGTCTAGTCTTACACTGACTGTGCTAGTCAGGTGTGTCTAGTTTTACACTGTGCTAGTCAGATGTATCTAGTCTTATACTGTGCTTGTCTTTTGTGTGTAATTTTAAACTGAAGGAGTCAGGTGTGTTCAGTCTTACACTGACTGTGCTTGTCAAGTGTGTCTAGTCTTACACTGACTGTGCTTGTCAAGTGTGTCTAGTCTTACACTGACTGTGCTAGTCAAGTGTGTCTAGTCTTACACTGACTGTGCTAGTCAAGTGTGTCTAGTTTTACACTGTGCTAGTCAGGTGTGTTAGTCTTATACTGTGCTTGTCTTTTGTGTGTAATTTTAAACTGAAGGAGTCAGGTGTGTTCAGTCTTACACTGACTGTGCTTGTCAAGTGTGTTAAGTCTTACACTGTATGAGTCAGGTGTGTTAAGTCTTACACTGTATGAGTTAGGTGTGTTAAGTCTTACACTGTATGAGTCAGGTGTGTTAAGTCTTACACTGTATGAGTCAGGTGTGTTAAGTCTTACACTGTATGAGTCAGGTGTGTTAAGTCTTACACTGTATGAGTCAAGTGTGTTAAGTCTTACACTGTATGAGTCAGGTGTGTTAAGTCTTACACTGTATGAGTTAGGTGTGTTAAGTCTTACACTGACTGTGCTTGTCAGGTGTGTCTAATCTTACATTGTGTGAGTTAGGTGTGTCTAGTTTTACACAACATTAGTGAGGTGTGCCTAATTTTATGCAGTGCGTTTATAGTGTGTGAGTAATCACTGCTCACTGTAGTTATCCATATTGTTCTTAAGAGATGTCTAATACGCCTTATAATCCTGGGCTTACAGGATAACCTAGTATCATATCGTTGTTACTCACAGAGTGACAGAGTTACGAGCTGCAGTCTGTCGCTTGATGGCAGTTGCACGTCACCTCAAGGCCAGGCGAGTGAGAGGTGGAGCACTGGAGCTTGAGAGCACTGAAGTCCAGATACAGCTGACAGAGACTAATAGTGTTGAGGACCTTACACCTAAAGAGGTATATGTTATACTTAAAATCTTGCGACGTTTTTTTGGTTTATGAAGGAGATGTAACTTTGTTATTTTCCCTTAAGTATATTACACGTGCTTCAATATATAAATTTTTATTCATTGTCAGAAATATTATCAAGTACTATTTATACCAAAAGGTATGGTTGTCAGAATGTCTGAAGGACACTCCATTAATCATTTTAGATAATGCATTATTTGTTTTTTGAATTTCAGCATCTTGAAGTCCATGAAACAATAGCTGAATGCATGATTTTTGCAAATCATTGGGTGGCAAAGAAAATTGCAGAGGCCTTTCCAAACTCAGCCTTGGTAAGCATAGCTGATAAATATGAAAATTGATATAAGAAAGCCTTTTTTTCAAAATTCTTTTGATCTGAATGTTTTCCAAGGATACATCTTAGCCATGATTATATCATTGAAATGACAGTCTAAATTTGTAATTTGCATTGGTTAACTACTCAAACAGGATTATCCCTTTTCGTTTTATTTAGGTAAAGAATCGGCCCAGTTCCCAGTAAATCGCTTGTTTAGTAAAATTCAGAGTAGAGCTGGGTTCCCATTAAAATATTCATTTAAGTATAATGTAGGGTAGAGATACAGTCCACTTCCCAGTAAAACGTTCCTTATAGGATAATTTAGGGTTGAGATACAGCCTAGTTCCAAGTGAAAGTAAAACTTTCTATCCTATTTCAATTAATCATAAATAAGGAGAAAAAGGATTGAAGTGTGACAATATGTAATCTGTAACTTTAAACGTTAAATCAGAATATAATTACCATTAATATCTATAAAACATTTATTGTTTGAAGAAGTAATGTAATGTGCATGTACATGTATTTACTTCTTGGTTTAAAAATGAAATTGTGTTTTAAAAAACTAGAAATACATCCTGTATCGAATATGCTTTCATGCTTTACTTAAAACTTTTTTATCATGAACTTTGGAAAATATAACCTGCAAAAAAATCATAAAAAACTCACAGTAAAGAACTGAGTTTACTATATGGAAACAATCACACCATTACCTGGTATTGTTTTTGTATGATACTAGTATTACTATCAATTCAAGTCGTTTAGGAATCTTAAAATGTGGTATTAATATATATTGGAAGCACATGCATATGTATATTACAATTCATACTGTGAAAAATATGAAATGAAATGATATTTGTGTACGTGGAAATGTGTCTGATGTATAGGTAACGTAATTAACATGTGTGAGTTATTGTCATACAGTTGCGACATCACCCCCTACCTCGAGAAGACAAGTTTGAGAACCTACTAACCTGTGCAAGTGCAAAGAACTACAAAGTACACACAGAATCAAGTAAGGCTCTAGCTGAGTCACTGGACAGGTGTGATGACCCACATGATCCTGTCGTCAACAAGGTAAGTTAACTACAGATGTAGTTGCTTGGTTGGTTGGTAGGTTAAATAGTTTTCCATCTCGGTCACTCTTCCTATTGTAAGGCGTTGTTTCACTGATGAATGTCAGCATTGTTGCATTATGAGGGGGCAACATGTATCCTCTTATGTGATGGAGCCATCTGCCTGGATGTCTGTATGTTGAATAGTTTTGGAAGATGGCTCCTGAGCCTAATGGTGCCTTATCTTGTCAGTGACACGTATGGTGTTCAGAACATCCTACCAGTTGTCTTAAGTCTGACTGGAAGGAGTAGCTAAGGGGCTGAGTGAGGTCTACAGAGTTTTAAATATGACATGATTTAGACATCCATTTTATACCCTAATGAAGATGAAATTTTTTGTAGTTGCTTAAAATTCCTTGTAAGACATAACTAAGTAAGCAGGTATCATCATATCAAAGATTCAGTCCAAGCAAGATTCCTTGTCAGTTAAGTCTGAAATGTTAGTTTGAAATATAGCTTTAATGTTATTGTTTTCTTTAAAAACTCACAATAATAAAACTTTTGTTAAAAGAACCAGCTTGTATCTTCATTTTGACTATTACAGCTGCTAAGGTCACTCGCTACCATGGCAATGTCTAATGCTGCCTATTTCTCCACTGGGACTTTACCACGAGATCAGTTTTTCCACTACGGATTGGCCCTGGATCTGTATACACATTTTACATCACCAATCAGGAGATACGCTGATATTTTGGTAATGAGTTGCTGATTCCTAGTGTTCTGCACCTACTCTCTGTATAACAGAATTCTGGATTTTGACTTTTGAAAATCAATATTTCTTGAAACATAAGATACATATTCAGAAAGAGTCCAGGTTGTGCATTCCACATTTTGAGCTGAATTTGATGTAAAAGACCCCATCTGTAATTTTGAATTTTTTCTGCTTCTCAAATGTATTTAAGGTATTCTTCAACTTTATAAACATCTATATGATACATATCTTTCTGTAAAAAAAATGGTAATGCTGATAGACTTTGTTGCCAAGACGACTGTTTTAAGTCGTTAAAATGAAAAAGGAAAAATCTGTTTTTATCAGTTTCATGACATGCAGAATTGAAATTCCTATAAGAACCAATTATAGTTAAAACTGCTTATGAAAAAGAAGAGCAGTCATCATGAAAAATGTGTACATAAAGGTTAATTTATTGAATTTTTTAGGTACATCGACAATTGATGGCAGCTGTCAGCAAGTCCACGGATGCAAATGGTCTACCTAGTAACAAGGAGCTAGAGGAATTATCGGAACACATCAACCATCAACACAGAGTATGTTTGTGGCTAAGTCTAATCAAGTCAATACAAACAATAAGGTTTCCTGTTAGAATTTTTAAGTCAATCTACTTGTGTATCTCTGTTATAGATGTAAAATTACAGGAGAGCAGTTGGCAGATATCTTCAAATTTGGTTGGATTGAAATCTAAATTGACCACCAACATAGAGTTTAAGAATGTGTAAACAGTATATAACAGGTGATCCAAGGGAAAAGGGAAAGGATAGAAACTTAAAAGATAGAAGGTCCCAAATATTACATCAGCACTGTAATGCAAGTGAGCAGTGTTCATGTCTTAGGTGTACCAAAATCTGTATGGCTTCCACACTACTTTCTCCTGTTAGGTTTTCTCACTACAACTTTTTGTACAGCTTGTAAACTTCTGGCTTCTGTTAGCCCTCACACTACAGCGTCCTGTTGAGCCCCCATGCAATAGCCTTCTGTTAGCCCTCACACTACAGCATCCTGTTGAGCCCCCATGCAATAAATAGCCTTCTGTTAGCCTTCACAATATGTCCTCCTTTCCCAACCCCACACTACATTCTCAGTTGATTGGTTGGCAGGTTTTCTGCCTCCTCCCATGTCCAAGTATTATCACACAGATGAATGTCAGTGTTCTGTTGACATGAGATGGCAACCTGCATTCCCCTCAGAGGGATGGAACCATCTGTAGCGGGTAATATTTTATTATGTTAGTTTAGAAGATGGCTCCAGGGTCTAATAATCCATTATACTAAATCTAGCAGTTTGAAACATGTCCTGAAGCTGAAAGGAAGAATTGGGGGCCTCCTTAGATTTGGTTTAGGTTAGAGTAATTTTGAAGTCTGTCAAATGCCTAAAAAAATAATTGTAAAACCAATCACTACCCCTAAAACCCTGGACTGGCGTTATCCCGCTTACTCTTTTCCAAAAAGCCACAGAGGGATCTTTAGCGTGTGAGAGTGAACAGTCCTCACACAGATCTACATTCTCCTGTTTAGACCCTAAATATAACACAGTTTCCTGTTCAGCCCCCAAAATATGGCCTCCTTTTTGGCCCACAACATTACAGCCTTCTGTTTCACCACAACACTACTGCCTCCTGTTCTGCCCTAACTCATATAACATGTTTCTCCATACCCCCCCCCCCCCTCCTCCATTCTCCCTACTACAGCCTCCTGTCTGCCTCAAGCTACAGCATCATATCCATTCGTAATGCTACAGCCTCCTGCTCCACCCCTACAATACAACATCTTGGTCACCCCTAGTCCTACTACCATCTGTTCTGCCCCCGCACTACAGCCTCCTGTTCTATCCCTATTCAACATCCTCTTGTTCTGCTCCAATGCAGCAGTCTCCTGTTCTGCCGTCACACTACAGCCTCCTATTCTGTACCAACTCTACATCCTCTTGTTCTGCCATTAAGCTACAGTTGCCTGTTCTGTTCACATATTTCAGCCTCCTTTTCCAAACCCACTCTGCAGCCTCCAGTTCCATCCCTCTACTACAGCCTACAGTTCCACCCCTCTACTACAGCCTTCGGTTCTTCCCCAAACCTACAGAGTCCTGTGATTGATTTCCTTTGAAGATTGAAAATTTATCTATTACAAATAATACAGAAAGCTGTCTGATTTGTCCAACCAAGACGGCATACAATTGAATTTAATCCAGTAAGGCTATATTATAGTCAGCGTCACACTGTTAATTTGCTACTCATCGTGTAGACATAAATTTACAACATGCCTGGTAACAGTGGCAGTTGTACTAACATGTTCTGTGTTAATCGTATTCCAGATTTGTCAAAGTTTTATTTGACAAAATTTTGATGTATATAAACAAATTCATAGACAATCAATTTAATCATTCATTCTCAGGCATCCCAGAATGCACAGCGAGACTCACAGGAACTATTTCAGTACCTTTTCTTCAAGGGTCGTGACCCAGATGATGAATGCTGTATTGTAGATGCTGTCATCTTTCAACTGAGAGAAAATGGCATATTTGTTTTGGTACCAAGGTATGTAATGCTGACATAACTTTGCTGATGTGGTATGGCATCACTTTCAAACAAAAATCAAGGCTATATTGTTTGTTGAAGTTTTGCCTTTGATTGTTTGTTTATTTTTTTGTACTGACAAGTATTAGTTTGTTGATGGATGTCTTTTTTGTAGGGAACCAAGATAGTATTGTCAATAGAATATCAATTTTGACTGAAGATTTGTGGAGTGCGGTTTAACAATTCCTACCCAGTGTTCTGGATAGTTTTGTCAGTGTGATGTTTGTTGACTGATGAATGTTGTGAAGTGCCTTACGTACTGACTGATGTCATGTTAATAGGTATGGTATGAAAGGTCCAGTGTATTTGAAGAACAAGGAAGGTCAGATGGCCTATGTCCAGGCATTTGGTCAGTTGGAATGGACAGGAGGCAATATCACCAAGAGGGGCCACACTTTGACAGTGAATACGATGTTTGGTGCCCAGAGTTACACACTGCTGGATCACATCACCGTAAGTCGATAGGCTATAAGTATTTCATACAAGGGATTTCTTCATTACAGGGACTAAACAGATAAATTTATATATTTTTTATGCCTTTCACCAATTTATGGGATGGGGGATGAACATATACTCCTATCATATCTGTCTGGGCTGTCACATCTTGTTCCAAACCAGTGTTCTATCTTGAGATTTGGTTGACATTTACCCGTTAGTATCGTAACATCAAGTTTTATACCTGATGAGATTCTGATATGCATAGGCAGATTCCCTTGTTATTCATTTGTTTAGGAGATTTTGTTTATCAGCTCAATACCCTCCTAAACATAAGTTCATATTTACACTATAGTAGTGTTAGAATAATTTTTACACCTGACTGTACAACAGAACCCACTTTTTATGATTCGATGTTGTCCAGAGAAATATGTCATTACCACTGCACTATGATAACAAAAAAGCTAGGTAGGTCACATTAACGGGAATGGATACATTTTGTATGTCAACATATGGTTTTAAATGAAATTCTGACCAATGCCACATGGCTTCCACTTTGAAGAAAGATTTTCTTCGTTTTAAATTCTTGTTTGATTTAAAGAGTGTTGTTATGCTTACTGTGCATCTTAACTCTATATCATGATCTACTTTATGCTGAAAATCCAATCCTGGAAATCTAAATGATTCATTAGATAGGTAGATTGATACAATTCTTCATCTGAGTTGATTTCATGTTATTGTAACAGTAGGTAACTGAATTACTTTGGTGAAAACTTTGTTTTAAAGATAAAGTTATCTTCTATTTAATGAAGTTTAATTTTTAAAACTTTCACATATTAAGATGATGTTTTTAGATATGATTGACGACTTAACACGTTTTGTATTTCAGGTGAAGATAACTTTGAACAACTCATGGGCCCACTCATCCAGTGTTAGACTGGAGTTGATAGACAACCGACCTCACCTCTCCTTGTCATCAGATAATGTGGCAAGACAACAGAAGGCAGAAATAATAAAGGTAATACAGGACATAAAAGTCATACATGTATTATTGTGTATAAAGTGAAACAACATGTCACGATACATGTATTATTGTGTATTACATGTATTATTGTGTATTACTGCTCTCTCTAGTGATCTAAAGTCTGAAACAACATGTCACGACTGTAATATCACAGATTGATTAACACATGTATTATACTGCTCTCTCTAGTGATCTAAAGTCTGAAACAACATTGACTGTAACACATTGATTAACACATGTATTATTGTGTATTACTGCTCTCTCTAGTGATCTAAAGTCTGAAACAACATGTCACGACTGTAATATCACAGATTGATTAACACATGTATTATTGTGTATTACTGCTCTCTCTCTGTTAGTGATCTAAAGTCTGAAACAACATGTCACGACTGTAATATCACAGATTGATTAACACATGTATTATTGTGTATTACTGCTCTCTCTAGTGATCTAAAGTCTGAAACAACATGTCACGACTGTGATATCACAGATTGATTAACACATGTATTATTGTGTATTACTGTTTAACACTCTCTCTAGTGATCTAAAGTCTGAAACAACATGTCACGACTGTAATATCACAGATTGATTAACACATGTATTATTGTGTATTACTGCTCTCTCCAGTCTGTTAGTGATCTAAAGCCTGAAACAACATGTCACGACTGTGATATCACAGATTGATTAACACATGTATTATTGTGTATTACTGTTCATTCCAGTCTGTTAGTGATCTAAAGTCTGAAACAACATGTCACGACTGTGATATCACAGATTGATTAACACATGTATTATTGTGTATTACTGCTCTCTCTAGTGATCTAAAGTCTGAAACAACATGTCACGACTGTAATATCACAGATTGATTAACACATGTATTAATGTGTATTACTCCTCTCTCTAGTGATCTAAAGTCTGAAACAACATGTCACGACTGTAATATCACAGATTGATTAACACATGTATTATTGTGTATTACTGCTCTCTCTAGTGATCTAAAGTCTGAAACAACATGTCACGACTGTAATATCACAGATTGATTAACACATGTATTATTGTGTATTACTGCTCTCTCTAGTGATCTAAAGTCTGAAACAACATGTCACGACTGTCTAGTGATCTAAAGTCTGAAACAACATGTCACGACTGTAATATCACAGATTGATTAACACATGTATTATTGTGTATTTAACACTGCTCTCTGTTAGTGATCTGAAACAACATGTAGTGATAACACATGTATTAAGTCTGAAACAACATGTCACGACTGTAATATCACAGATTGATTAACACATGTATTATTGTGTATTACTGTTTTCTCCAGTCTGTTAGTGATCTAAAGTCTGAAACAACATGTCACGACTGTAATATCACAGATTGATTAACACATGTATTATTGTGTATTACTGCTCTCTCTAGTGATCTAAAGTCTGAAACAACATGTCACGACTGTAATATCACAGATTGATTAACACATGTATTATTGTGTATTACTGTTCATTCCAGTCTGTTAGTGATCTAAAGTCTGAAACAACATGTCACGACTGTAATATCACAGATTGATTAACACATGTATTATTGTGTATTACTGCTCTCTCTAGTGATCTAAAGTCTGAAACAACATGTCACGACGACTGTAATATCACAGATTGATTAACACATGTATTATTGTGTATTACTGCTCTCTCTAGTGATCTAAAGTCTGAAACAACATGTCACGACTGTAATATCACAGATTGATTAACACATGTATTATTGTGTATTACTGCTCTCTCTAGTGATCTAAAGTCTGAAACAACATGTCACGACTGTAATATCACAGATTGATTAACACATGTATTATTGTGTATTACTGCTCTCTCTAGTGATCTAAAGTCTGAAACAACATGTCACGACTGTAATATCACAGATTGATTAACACATGTATTATTGTGTATTACTGCTCTCTCTAGTGATCTAAAGTCTGAAACAACATGTCACGACTGTAATATCACAGATTGATTAACACATGTATTATTGTGTATTACTGCTCTCTCTAGTGATCTAAAGTCTGAAACAACATGTCACGACTGTAATATCACAGATTGATTAACACTCTCTCTATTACTGCTCTCTCTAGATCTAAAGAAACAACATGTCACGACTGTAATATCACAGATTGATTAACACATGTATTATTGTGTATTACTGCTCTCTCTACTGTCTGAAACAACATGTCACGACTGTAATATCACAGATTGATTAACACATGTATTATTGTGTATTCTGCTCTCTTAGTGATCTAAAGTCTGAAACAACATGTCACGACTGTAATATCACAGATTGATTAACACATGTATTATTGTGTATTACTGTTTTCTAACCAGTCTGCTCTCTCTAGTGATCTAAAGTCTGAAACAACATGTCACGACTGTAATATCACAGATTGATTAACACATGTATTATTGTGTATTACTGCTCTCTCTAGTGATCTAAAGTCTGAAACAACATGTCACGACTGTAATATCACAGATTGATTAACACATGTATTATTGTGTATTACTGCTCTCTCTAGTGATCTAAAGTCTGAAACAACATGTCACGACTGTAATATCTGTTAGTGATCAGAAACAACATGTGATTAACACATGTATTATTGTGTATTACTGCTCTCTCTAGTGATCTAAAGTCTGAAACAACATGTCACGACTGTAATATCACAGATTGATTAACACATGTATTATTGTGTATTACTGCTCTCTCCAGTCTGTTAGTGATCTAAAGTCTGAAACAACATGTCACGACTGTGATATCACAGATTGATTAACACATTGTCATATTTATCACTCTTTGGACAAAAGTAAAGGTCTTGTAAAAGGGATGTAAGATTCTAATTGTAATATGCTCCAGGCAGGTACCTACTCACACCATTATGGAAGAGAAAAGTGTTTTACTTAAATCATGATGTTTATTCATCCGTTCAATGTGTTGTATTCTCTTGCACAATTTTCGTAGAATATGATCAGTACAAAGAAACGTGTCCTGCATTTTATTTTTCAGTGATTTTACTTGCAATTGATTCCCTTTTATAACCAATTTATTTGTAACTTTACTGATGTCTACTCTGATCTTTTGGATTTATTAACCTCTTTTTTTTTAAGACACAGTTCTATGTGAAAGCAACAGATCATGATATTGAAAAATGAAGTTTATCTAGATGAAACCATCAGTAAATTTGTAATTTAACCATACAATACTTGAACTAATCTTTCCTACTGAAATGTCTCCTTTATATTGTTAGGAAGTTTCTGATGCAGCAGAAGAGAAGAGGAGCCATAGGTCAAGTGTTGACCTTGGAGTTAACTTTGAGGAGCTAAAGAAAGAGTATGGACAGTCAGCTAGTGACCATAACATGTATAACTTATTCCAGTCTTTCAAGGAAATGGCTCTAAAGCGTTGAGGAGTATTTGATATAAATAATCCCTTACACACATATGTTGTGTGGCAGAACCGTCCATGAAAATCATACCACCGTCATTTCCAGACAAATTACAATAAAACTGACAAATGAACTTTGAAGTACCAAGTATATAGCTGTAAAATGGCCATGAAAACTGTAAAAGATTTTCAGTCTAAAATTAATTTTGGGGGAGAGGGGGTGGGGATCAATAAATATATGATAAGCTCCCTTCCTAGGAATTAGAGTATATTGATGTTTCACAAAATGTCCTTGTAGGCTGACAGTTTAAAGTACAAAGTCTCAAAGTAGAAAATTTGAAATTAGCAGATTTTTTTAACAGACTAATCAATGCCAGGTAAAATTTCAGAGGCAGATGTCAATATTGATCATTCTCCAGTCCTTGTATATAATTTCATTCAGCCATTTAGGATGAAATTAGTTTTGGCAAAAATTTAAGATATACCCCGGTAATTGTAAAAGTGTAAACTTTAGGTATAACTGTATTTTTATTGCAAGTATGGAGTTCATAGATTTATATCCACAGAATTCATTATCAATATTAAACAGCGTAAACATTTTAAATAGGAGACTGATACATTACATAAAAATTTCCGAACAACAAAAATATCATATTGGTGCAGGAAAGTCATTTTTGATAGTTTTCTTTTTTTTTTAAATTGCCTTTTTGTTTGTTTGTGTATGAAATCTCCTGATCATGTTTTTGTTTACCTAGTGAAGTGCTAATATTACTATTTATATAACATACAATGTTAGCGTGATTTTTGGTTCGAAAGGTTCAGATGTTGGGAAGGAACATTACTTGTATGCTATACTTCAAAGACATGTATTCTTCAAACAAAAATATATGCTGTAAATTCTGTAATAGTTCTTGTTTCAGAGTGTTCTATGCATGATGAAAGTGAAGCATGTCTCAATATGCCAGTTACAGTTCAGGGCCTTTTTGAAGGAAAAGTTTCGAAAGTCTACAATAACTTTGAAGTTTACAAGTGATATTCCTTATCTAGTTTCTAAAGCCTGTAGGTACAATGTAAACCAGAAAATAAATACCTGCTGTGTGTTTTACATAGTTGTATATTTTGTAATTTATAAGCCACTTAGTTGAGATTTTTATGTTTGGATTCCTGAATGATGTATTTGATAATTGTAAGATAGAGATCAGTTTTCTTACAATGGATAAGTACAGGACTCTTTGTGCATCTTTTTGTTACATTGTTGAAAAATAATTATATTGTCAATAAAATGATGAAATTAGATGTTTCAATGTTCATTCTCGTGTGGATTTGTACATAAATCTCTGTCCTTGTGGAAGGCATTGAATTGGCCTAAGTCATATACATAGTGACTGACCTCAGTCAAAATATAAGTCGGTTCTGGCACCATTTTGATAGATATGTACATGAATAGATTGAATACATGGTTCTGATGGAAGACTTCATCTCAATACATACCTTCATACTGTCCAAAGCAGCCTCCAAAAACTTACTGTTTGCCTATTGTAATAATTGACGTAGCTCTTTTGTGGGACCCCTGAGTACCATCCAGCTTTTTTTTATATATATGAACATTTTAAACACCAGTATGTAAATAGTTGGCATTCCATGGCAGAGATTGTATGTTGCTCTGCTAGAGAGGTGTACATCAGCACATTTATTATTATCCAAAATGAGGATAAACAAGGCATTGTCAGTAAGTTGATTCAGGAGTCTAATGTATTAGATTGATCAGTCCAAAGGAACTTGAGTTACTGAATGGAACTGGAGTTATTGTGTCGCAAAGAATTTTAAATTTAAATTCACATTGATATTAACCAAAATTGACATTTCAGCTTGTAAAGCAATGCAAAATTATCGTTTTTAAGAAATACAGTGTTGGCAAATCAAAACGTTCCTTGCAATGTGTCAAACTGTAAACCTTAGCTTAAAATGAAGGTTACAGCACTGAATCAGATTTGATTAATAAAATTTTGACAAAAATATCCGTGGGTTAATGAATAGAATATTGATATTGACGTCTTGGTTTCATTTTGATCTTTCTGGTTCATAATGTCACAAAGTAATTTCTAGTAGTAATAGAATATATAATATTTGACCTTGACCTTCAACCCGTTTATCAACTTTGCTTCACATTATATAAAAATATCCATCAGTGAAATGTTAAAATTGGACCTCGTTAATTTGACCCTTAGTCAAGAGAATTCTCATTAAAATCGGGTTGGCTTTGCTTCCCAATATCCTCACAAAATATTTTTTCTGGGTACCAGTAAATATCTAAAGTTTGACCTGATGACCATGACTTGTAATCGGGCAACTTCTCATTTTGTTTCAGTCAAGTTAACTTCATAATTACACCCTTCCACTTAGAGAGGTGGGGGGGGGTTTACAGTAATCAATTTGTCTGTCTGTCCATGCATCCACAATAACTCTGTACACCTCATGAATCCTTAAACAAATTGGGTTCAAATTCCCACCAAGGTGGATTTTGGTGGTCATTTGTATAGGTTAAAGGGTAAAGATCACCCTTGAAAAGTCTGGCCATTCCAGTTTCTCGGTTTGACAAGTTGGAACAGGGTTATTTGATGTTTTGACTAGCTTTGACTAACCACATTTAGGCCTGTATCAATATTTGAAGGTCTGTCCTGATTTATGCCCCATATGTTAAAAGTACCGATTGGTCCACATTAACAAACAGGCTCCTTATGTACAAGATATCACAAGAACCCTTGAACATATTGATTCACACTATTAACATCACACCACCTGATTAGCTATTAGTATTTGTGAGAGCTCCTGCTCAATGGTTTTAATGTCATAAAAGAATACTTAACAGTACCATAGTCACATTATTACATATTTTTGATAATATCTTCTCAGTTACATTTCTAGAGAGAGAGGGAATAAACATGTACAATTGTGTAATATCAAATGATAAAATTTGTGTATGTTCCTAGATCATTTTAAATTGAGTAACTAGCTCTAATTTACCTCTGATGATTGGAGAAAACCCTAGAAATCATTTAAATTATATAGCCAACCATGTTGGGCTTACTTGTTTAATCCAAAGAAAATCAAGAATAAAACACAAAACAGCTGATAAATTGTATTAACCCTCTTTATTCAAATGATTATCCATAATAAGTTTTGTTGAAAAGGCAATACATATACACCAAAAAGATATACCAAAACATGATTTAAATGATAAAACCAGCTACAAGAACTTAACCTCAATACATAATGAAGTACTAATCCAATAGGATTATGTTTAGGACTCTTAACTCATCCGAAGGAATGTTCCTCTACAGAAGCAATGCCCTGCATTTACTTGAAAAAAAAATAATTAAAAGTGTGTTACAAGTAATTTTGTGACTCCAGTCACTGGTTTTAACATATAACATATTGATAATTACATAATTAGAACCCTATCTATTTGTCACTTACTGATAGTAACAGTTGTCATTTTAAACATCCCTAATGACGAATTAGAAATGTTACCATAAAAACACCAAGCTATTAAATAGAAATGAGCACTAGTGATAACAGCTGAAGCGACATAACAAGTACAAGTATCAAATATGATCAGGATATCCCACAATTCCTGGAACCAATTCTTTTGGCGCAGAATTTTCCTCAATGAATATACATGGTGTCTCACATTTTTTTCGTCAATCATTAATGTTCATTGTTTCAAATGTCTTTTTCCTTAAAACTGGTTTCAATGAATATTCAAGAGTTTCACCTGTTTTTTTTCTATTCAATAAACATTCAGATTCACAGATCTACCACAATCCACTATACCCAAAGTCACTTCAGGAACACTCTAGATGTTCCAATTTTAAAAAAAAATGAAAATATTTTACTTATTTTCAACTACTAAAACAAACTCTGCAAAATGAAGCTGTCATTTATGAAGACAACACTTACATCTAGTATCTTAACAAATGGTGTAAAAAAGTTGAAATTCCAAAAGATAGAGTGCCCCAGATCAGAGCATTCATTAATAAATAAATTAATTGCCAAATATTCCATGTTTCACAGTTGTGCTTTGTAGATGATACTGAAGGATTTCTCTTAAATTATTTCCATATGATTTCTTCTATCATATATTAAATAAAATGTTGGGATTTCTTTTCTTTTGAGAAAGTAGTCTTTCAATTAGTAACAAAAAATGTAGATTTAATCAAAACTCTAGTGTTATTCAAAATCACCTATAAATGCAAATTTAACACAACACTTGGTCTATCTATTGTAAAACAACTCCTATAAATTTCTCAACCTGTTTGGAGGAGGAGCCCCTTCATTTCAAACAGTTTATACTAGGTATTTATATCTCTTTGTCATAACAGTTCATTACATATAGTGCCTACTACCCAGGCCACAAAAAAGTGAGGGTCTGAAAACATTCAAATGACTAAATTTGCTTTGAATCACCAAACATTTAAATACATATGGTGTGTTTCTATGTTTTCTTTTGTATCTAGATTGAAGTACTTATGTATTAATGATGTTATATAGTCCTACCTCTGTCAATGTTTAATTTACAGAGAACCTCCACAAAAGTTCCAAAACAATAACAACTTCCAAAAGCCACGAAACATCCAGCCAGTAAGCAAAAACAAAGTTTTGTACATTAATTTTGCAATTGTATATTCAACACCTGACCATCTACACATACATAACACAATTAGTTTATCCCGTTTTTTACCACACATGGTTGAACTTGTGAGTGTTTTCTCCCAAAACACAAAATAGTGCATTGTATGTTAACACATACGGGCGCAACAAATGATCGGGTGTAATCATGCTGGCTAGATGTACATATATACAGACAAGACAAAAGATGAGGTGTAATCACATTGCTAGGTGTATATATATATAACTTCACAGACACAATGACATGTTGTAATCATGCTGGTTAGATACCTACATATACTTACCATGCTAGATAAATATACACATTCACTTTCTTGCAGAACCTCATCACGGTTTCCTGAACTCCTTTTTGTAGTATTTACTGGAGCATCAAATATGACTTCTCATCAATTAGTACAGCAGCAATGAGACCACAAATATTAATATTGTGGCCAGCCTTGGGGTAACAGTGACTATAGAAAGGGAAACATTGTAGATACCTGAAGCAGGATCAAACAGCCACTGCAACTTGTGTCCTCAAAAAGGAACACCAGAGATTTCAAAGCAAACATGGTCTGTGGTGGTTTACTAACAGTTGTCCTCATTATCAGGGACCCTCAGACACAACGATCACTCAGATTAAATTTATTACATTTTTGCCAGTGATATATAGCAATTTATTAACTCGATAAATCATCACTGCAGTGATGGTAAAAGAAATACTATTTCATCTCGTAATAATATCATTTTTACAGTGATGATAACTTTGTAGTTTTGACTTATCAAAGCGGTTCTTTCTATTCACTGCATTGAAATTTGTCAATTTTCCTGTTGGTATGCAAACGAAGTGAAGGTTGAACAAGTTGGTTTTCCATCAAATTTTTTTCATGTATATTTCAAGTATATGAAAACAGTTTTCCAAACTATTTGTATCGAATGACAGCATAAAATGGTACACTACCATACAGAGTGATCAATTAAAAATGGTGTCATCTTATTGTCAAATGTAACATCAAACCATCTGACATCAAAAGAACATGCCAATATTTCCCAAACTTTTTTGAACGCCAGTTTACATTATGTCAGATTGGTAACTGGAGAAGATGACTTCTTGTTTGTCAAGCCTTCAGTGTCAATGAGATATTCACAATCAAGTACTCTTTTGAGTCTAACGATTCTGCCTGAAAACACAGCACAGCTTTTTCGTATGAAAATGGTCCTGAAAATATTGTCCGTCTTACAGATAATACCACTCACCTGCACGGATAAAGGTATCTCATCAAGACTTCCTACCTTATAACAAGAATTGAAATATTAAATGTTCAAGTTATTCCAATATCTCTGTTACGATTTTTTTTTTCATCTCCTTCTGACTACCATATATCTGGCCAGCAATGTGTAAGGCACAAGATAGGAAAAAAAGGGAAATGTTCATGATATTGTGTTGGATCTCTTGGGTTAGTTAATAAGTTTGAAATATTGTAGCTTTAATCAGACCTTACAAAGTCATTAATCCATAAATTACAAGACAATATAAACCATCAGTATATATATACAAATTCTCCGTGAACTACATAACTCGACATCAAAACAGGCTAGACATAAAGAAGCAACATAATATCTTTTCTACAAGAAAATATCCCGAATATTGATTAGAACATAAAAAAGTCATTCATATTATCAAGATGCATATTAAAAATGTATTATTCACAAATTCACATCTATTCTTTCATAAATCAGCACTCAGTTCAAACAATCAACAACTTTAAACAAGGTAAAGAATATATTTCTACAAAGATACATACAGTTACACACAGAAATATTTTAATTACACGAGATTAAAGGATAAGGAAACAAAATCCATAGATTCAGCCTCTGTCAGAGTTACCCATGTACTATCAATGAGTATGCATCTCATAAATAAATAACATGTGGAATAAGACATTTTCATCTCACTTAATCTCTGAAAATTTCTAGTTGATGAATAACAGTTTTTTTACCTGGTGTGTGTATATATATATAGATATATAGAAAAAAAATTAGGTATTGTTTTGAAAATGAATTACACTTAAAAGCATCTTGAGGAAAAAAGGACAACAAAATGATAGGCTTTGCTATGAGGAGAAAAAATTCTGATTCTGGACATTTTTCTAATGACAAATCTAAACAGACAGCATGGTGATACCTGACAGCTACTCATCTTAACACACCTGAATTTCATCATTACTGACATTTGATTCTGGTAAAACTGTGTACAAGATTATTCCATGTATATCTCAATACATAGAACCTGACCAAACAAAACAGACTTGGCCAGACCTCAGAGCTGAACTCTAAGCTCAACACAATGCCTTAAAGCATATGTAAAGGTCCATTAACCCTTCAAAGAGCTTTTCAGGTTTATATCATACACATTATCTTAATAAGATAGTAAAGCATTAAGCTTTAATTCTTAACCTTTTGAGATACTGTTTGCTGTAATTTACACCTGTGACAATGAAAGAAGATCAATATCCTTCTTAGTATTTTATCCAAGGTAGTTATAACTGCGACTATCCAAGCATCACCATAAAATCACAGGACTTGTCTTCAGAGTCTTCCCAGACTGTACTCAACCCCTCGAAGCATCTTTACCATTTAGTTTCTCTTTTTTACATCAGAACTTAAAATTAGAGTATAATAGAAGAGTAAAGTATGTTGGAAAGCATCTTAATAATTTTTCTATTAACATAAGAAACAAAACCCAGGCTGATTATTGCAAGTTATTCCCACAAAATACTGACAAAATAAGCAATGATGAGTTATATCCACCTTCCACCTGACATAAAGAAAATTCATAATGATCCTACACAAATATGAAAGACAATTTAGTCAATTATCAAATGTTCTAAGCATCCTAAATATTTACAGGTTGACACTGATGCTAGCAGTGCTTGTTTGTGTAGTGTCTGATGAACATCTGAGGCAGTTCGTGTGACAGTAATTAAACACGATTCACCTGTAATTTGATGGGGAGAGGCCCTGCCTCCTGGTCCTGTGGAAAACTCAGCTTGATACCCATAGCCTCCAGCTCTTTCAAATATTCCAGATCTCCATTGATACTTAATTTCTGTAGAAACAGAAAAATCACATATAACAGGTCAGAGGTCATAGATGTACTTAATTAAACTATATGGTAAACAACAGGTCAGAGGTCATAGATGTACTTTATTAAACTACATGGTAAACAACAAGTCCCTTTTTTAATTCTTCAGGAGCATTGTTAGAGTATTCAAAATGACTTCGTTTATCAGAAACATTTTGTGTTGCACTGAAATGAACAGGACACCCAATTGGCCTGCAGTGCTCACCTGGTTTATATATTTATTTTTTTAAAAAGTACATTTGACAAACTTAAAAAGTGGATATTCATTATGTAAATAAACAAACACAATAGTTACTGTTGAACTTCATTTGTACTAATTAAAGATCATCAGATATGTTGCATGAATCAATTTGTACAGGAAATAAAATTTGTGATGAGTGATTTGAGTATTGTATTGTGACATTTAACTCCACAACAAAACCAAAACAGAAAAATCGATTGAAGATTCTTAAATTAATACCATGAACTATTTCTGAACAGATATTGCATATCGTATAATCATAATTTGTAAATTAAGGGATGCATATCAAAGAAAAAGGACAACATCTCTGTAAATTGGAGTTTGAAATGGCTTAATTTTAAACTACACATCCAATGTCATTGATACTTTCGAGTTCCCTGTGTGTACAGGGTCCAATAATAAAACAGTCACCAGTCTGGCTTCATCCTAGAAAATTAGTAGCCAAATATCATGCCTCTTGGCATTTTAGTCCATGTGAAGAAGTCGTTTAAATGTTTTAACAAATCTGGCCCTTGACCTTGAATATAGGGCGAAGTATTTCTTTTCAAAAACTTTGTTGATCTTCATCCTAGTAACATACCAGCCAAATATCAAAACATTTGGTCCATAAGTTATTGAGAAGAAGCTGTTTACAGGAAAAAGTTGATGCCAGATGACAGACGGATGGCCAATGCTGCGCCATGGCATTTATTCTAACAACCAAATAGAAGTGCTGCACTATTTCAGGGGAAGAAAACATTATAAAACAAAAGTTTACAAGAGGGAACAAATTTTATGATCCTTTGGCACTGAGGATAGAGACAAAGGATTATACATCTGTGTCTAAAGTGATATTCTTATGTGTATTTTTTATCGAAGTGGTACTAGCGTTGGTAAGACATCTCATTCCCATTCTATAAGGAATGTATAAAGTGAAACAAAAAGGGAATTAAGAAACATATTGAAAAGACATGAAAATTAGGGAATTAGCCATGACAAATAGAGACAAGATGAAAAGAATGTAAGACAGAAGAGGAGTGTCAGAACATGTACCAGTATTGCTTATTGATCATACCAATAACAAAAATATGAAGCTAAAGCAACAAAAACTATTTATAAATGGTCACATATTTCAACAATGCTTTAATAGCTTTACTCACCTGACTTTCAGTTTTGACCCTCTGATCAGGTGCGGTGACCGTGGCAGCTAAACACAACCAAATCATCATGACCGCACAAGATAGAAGTAGTAAGCTAAGGAAGAGGCGAGGAAGGCCAGTTTTACGTGACACACATGTTAACCAGTCACCTGACCGCTGGGCTTCAGGATCACGCAAGTCTAACTCAGGATCACTACGCAGGGGATGCATCTGTGAGCTCCTCAGCATTGGTGTGGCTGACCTATCCAAGGGCTGCATGTTGGTCTCAAGGTAGTTAGCTGTGTTGTACTCTGCAAAAAAAATGTAAGATGCATTACACACTTACCAACAAAGTATCTACCTAACCTGCTTTCCCATAATTTGTCTACCAAATGTGGTCCATCTGAAGTTGACTTCAGGAAGATTTTAGTCTCAATGCTGACAGCATAAAGGATGTCTATGTTTTCCTTAGTATACACAATAGCAACTGAAAACAAATATGATTCTGAGGATTTACGTTATCACTGTGAAGCAGTCACAAAATATTAGAATTACAGACCATTATTACAGATTGTAATATCCAGCATGTGTCGCAATGATATATATTTGATAGTTAAGATTTCTCCTTTCCTAAAAAAGGTGTGAAAATTTAAAACAAAAACTTGATACTGAGTTCTGATGGCAGAAAATCAAGTTAAAACATGTTAAAATTAAACAAGAGCATCAAAATTGCTGTGACATCACTTCTACACTTGAAACGGATCAAGACAGTTTATAACATCAATGAATTTTATTTGATGCAAAATTAAAATCTTGGTGTAAAATTTGAAAAAGAACCTTAATAACACACCCAGACCTCTTAAGATTGTTATATAATAAATAGAAGGGTTTTGAAATGTGGATTATAAGAAGTCTTTCAAAAACACGCCCTAAAACTTTTAAGGGAAACCCTATAAAAATGTATATTGGGACTAAAAAAGATTATAACAAGTCTTAAACTGCTGTTATATCCTTCCTTGATCTCTGCTAATGTTGATGCTAGAAGGATAATGTAAGCCAATGATAATTTGAAACTGATGAGGTTAATAAGAGCAATCAATAATTGTGTGACTTATTATATCTGTTGTTCAATTAGTCAGTAAGGATTTTCAAGCTACTTATTTATTCTTTGTATTGGGACTTGCTCGTTATGTCTGCTGGTGTCAGCACTGTCCATTAATGTTCTAGATCTACATAAAATCTCCTTCATGCAATAATGCTCCAGACCAAATTGATCCAACTACTGAACCATAAGACTTAAAGCATCTCCATGGAAAACTTAATGCACAGGTAAGCTAAACAGGAATGTCATTTTGATTTTGTCATAGTAGAGCTAAAGGTCCTAGAAAAGAATTTTGACCAATTACAATTAACTATTTAAATGGGACAAACATCTACCAAAATTTCAAGTTATTGCTTGTCATTAAGTTATCATCTGCTGAAATGTTATCTATCCAATATTATTTGCTTAAGACTGTCAGCTCACTGCCCAGCAGTACGTCTTTAAAATATGTTCAACTAGTCTCTCATTCTAGTGAAAACAGCTGATACAAATGGTACTGACCATCGTCCAGCTCGTCTCCCTCCAGGTCTGTGTAGAGCTGTGGCTCTGAACGCACCACTATCACCTTTCCATTATCTGACTGCATGTAGAATGACCAGCTTATGGACATACCATTGTAAACTTTGTCTATCATATTACTGTAGAGACTGTGTACATACATAAGAGGGTACAACACATGGATGTTGGGGTCGTCTATCTGAGCCTGAAATGAGGATGAAAAAACATAAGATTTAGTCTTTTGAATAATGCAATGTGCATAAGTGGACACTTCATGCCATGACTTAGATAAGTCGAATTTCAAAAGGTTAAGAATACCAGTAAACCAAAAGTATTACAGTTAATGATGTGACAACAATCAGATATAATTGATTATATAATCAATTAATCTGATGGGATGATCGATTATAATTTTTCATACTCAATCATTGGTACCTAAATATCTACATGTGTTTTAGCAAAATCAAAATTAATATTATGCATAATAAAGAGGTCAATTTCCAATAATTCTAGGTATTTTAAACTTAACAAAAAAAAAGAAAGAAAGAAAATGTTACTGCCACAGAGAATAAAAACATTTTCTATAAATATTGAACATACAGTCAGCTGATTATAAAATCAATTAAATATATGGAAAAGCCTATCTGATTTTAAGATATAATTGATTATGGATTTAACTGTTTCCCATCACTAATTACAGTGTTGTTAACTGGAAACAGGAAAGTCTTACCATTTCCTGTTGTTTTTTGGCCTGGGGTATCTGGCTCTTACAGCCCAGTGAGCATGCATCATATTCTTCTGTCTTGTTGTAGGCCTCCTCACATGCTAAATACAGAAAAGAGTGTCACCATAAAACTGGGTGGATGTATTATCTACCAAAATAAAAACTTATTGTCAAACATCTCTAACTCCACATTTAGACAATAACATGTTTGTATGTACAATAGATCCCAGAGAGATCTTTGTGCCCACCAATGTTTGGTCTTTTGTTCTTTAAAAGTTTACACATTTCCCTTCTTTCCTCTGCATTTGCTTTTAATTATTTGAAATTTGAAAGTTCCTCTAAGAAACTTTAACAAAAATAATCTTACAGTGTCAAATCCAAGATGGTTGCTTCTCCAACAATTTCAATTATTATAAATCAAAAAGGCGCAATTTAGAAGTAAAGGTAATCTTTGTTTAAAATTTGAGAAAAATGCAGACCACTGTCAATTTTTTCTAGAAATATTGACTACAAACTTTCAATGTGACAATCTATGATGGCTGCCAATCAACTGTTTTGATTCTTTTATCTGTTCAAAAATCAAAATAGGCAAAAAGGGACAAGGGAAACATACATAGGAAATTTTAGAATGATTCATAAAGTTTTTCTGAAGCAATAACAATAACAAGCTTTCAAAATGAAAATCTATGACAGCTGCCTATCTGCCATTTCTTTCTTTTTTTTATCAGTTCCAAAATCAAAAAGGTACAACAAGGCACCAAGTGAAACTGACATATACCAATTAAGAAAGCTCCATCTAGTTCTTCTCAAGAAATATTAATAACAAACTTTAATTGTCAACATCCAAGATGGCCACCTGTCAGCCAATTTGTTTTTCTGATCACTTCCAAAATCAAAATGGCAAAACTTGAGACTAAAGGGAAGTTACTGATGAAATTTGAAAAAAAAAATTTAATAATTCTCAAGAAACAGTGATGACAAGGTCGGAAAGTACTTGGGACAACTGAATGTTTTGGGGGGTTTTCTTACCAATTAAATGAAACTGACAAAGGTGAACCTATGCACTGCTGAAGAATATACATATTCTATTTTTTTTACACTGAAAATTCAAACCCAGATTTCTCTTACCAATATCATCCTAAAATATTTGATCTGGATAAACTTACATGATATACAGCCTTTCTGTGTAAGATTGAAACTACACTCATGGTCATATATAAGCTCCATTATGGAGAAAAATCTGCATCCTCTTCTGCAGCTTTCCACAAGGTAACTCTGAAATGAAATTACAGGTAGTATATAGGTAAATGATTCAAAGTCACAGTTGCATATTATTGCAAAGTTTTAATGTGTCATTTGCCTGTCCGTCTAGACAGTATTTTACTGGACTGATGACAGAGAGAATAGTTTCCAAAATATGAGTGAGTCCCACAGGAAGAGTATAAGTCTAGAATTCAGATATCGGAGTCCCAAAAACACTGATGGACTTTCTCAAGGACCCGGTAACCCCCTTCAAGCTAACATGTAAAACTGATCAAGTTATTTCACAACAAAAATATCATTATTAATAATATTTTTGCTGAAAAATAAATGCATTTAGTTTTGTTTAGTTATCAGAGGATTTAAATACTTCAAGAAGTTGATGGGGAAATTTTATGAAAATTGGAGTTCAATGTGTTACATTTGCTTCATAGCCCAGATTCTTCCTAATTACTTAGGTATATGAATAATCTAGTGTCTTATCAACAAAACAATGGTGAGATTTACTAAATCACTGACGTGGAACACATAGGCCATGGTGCAATGTCGACATTTATATATACACAAATCGTTGTCGCAGCGTCAACACATACAAATACGAATACATTAAGTGAATAGGTGATCACTTGACCTTCTGGTATTAGTGTCAAACGCAGAACTACATTAATGAACAATCCGTCAATCGTGCAATTTTATGCACAATTCACTTCCCATATGATTACCCTTGTAGTACCTTTTCGTATGTATGAGGAGAATACGTATTTGAACAAACGTCCACACAAGTAGTGATGTCGTCTAAAACTCCGTCCAGCATGCCACCTGACGAAAAGCTTATGCATAAGAAACATAAAAAGAGGAACGAAAGTTCTTTCAACTTCGCCATCTTGGTGCGGCTTTATGTTTTGATCACGTGATAATTCAAGGGAGATAGTGACATATTGGAGTTAGCTCCCTTCAAACATGTTTACGTCCCGTTGATGTTCTGATTAAAAATTGAAAACAATGGTAACAAAACAATCTATCTCTTCTATTCCTCTCATTTTTTGTATTCATTTTAATACACAATTGGTATGCATCCAGAGTAATTTGGTTTGCACATACATAATTGATATGCCGACAATTGTCCGTTTTGGTGGTAAATAGTGAGTAAAACATCCCCCATATCTGAAGTTTTTAATTTGTTCTTGTCATTATAAAATGACGTTTCGGATTTAGAATGTAACTCATCCTAATTCTGCCGGTATTTTACAACTTTGCCTGTAATTCTAGGTATTAAACGGAAGGCGCGCATTTTTATACGAAAAATGCATCTTCGGCTATCTATCATCCAGTATGGAATTTTGAACTTGTATTACAATCAGCACATTACACACCCCCGCACATGATAGTGCTTCTTTATCAATACATATCCAGGTGTTTTTTATGACACATCCATGCAAATTAACGGACGAATGTTTTTATTTTCTGCACATCAGATTGGTGTGCCGATCCCAATGGTCTAGCAGAATTGCGCTGTTTGATAGTGTTTGACATGGTAGGTTAGTTTTGGACTTGATGGTTTTCTGTGGATTATGTTGCTGGACAGTTTTCATAAGTTCACTTTTAAAATATTACCACATTGAATTTGCATCCCATTCATTATTTGTTAACCTATAGTTATAAACATCCTCAAGTGTAATTTGATAGAATTCCAATTATCATTTTTGTATAATGGGATTTTTCTTGGTTTTGAACAAGTTTTTTGGGTGTGAGAGTAAATTCAACAAAGACGATGTTATGGTCAGACATGCCAGGGATGATTTCAGTACGGGACACTTGATTAAGAGAATTTGTTATGACCATATCTATGGTATATCATTTCGGGTCGGTTCTTCGACGACTTGAGTTAGACGAGTGTCGTCCAATAAATTTGAAAAGTCATAGTGGATTTTACGTTTGGCAAGTCAGTTTGGGTTTAAGAACTTTGTACTTCCAGTCCCAGCCTGGAAGATTGAAGTCTCCACCTATTATAAGGGCTGCATTTCTCAATTTACAGGCCTCGTTTACCGAACCAATGAATGATTTCGTGCTATCTTCGTCAGAGGTCTTAGGATGGTAAAAAGAGCTGACGTAAAGAGTTTTACTCCCGACTATCTTACCTTTAGCCCGTACCATTTCACATGAGCTGGTAGGTATAAGATTGTGTACCTCATCACTAATAAGTTCTTTCTTTATTGCAATGAGAACACCTCCGCCATCTTTGCTGTTATCACACTTTTTACGATCGTTTCGAGGCATTTGTAACTCAAAGGAAATATTTCTGAGTTTTTATATTTGGGTTGAGCCAAGTCTGTGCCAATGACAATGTCTGGCATGGGGCTATCTAGGATATTGCAGAGATGATGTTGTCTATTTTGAATTGATTGGAAATTTATATTTAAAAAATTCTTAGTGGTCTATTTTGTTATTTTTTATCTCTCTCTTTTTCATACGAACAGGGGAGGATGAATGGAGTGGTTTGTGATGGAGAACACCAGTACTTGTGTTTGTACTAGAATTACCCAAGTCGTCAAGACTAGATAGTGTATTAAAATGATTTGATGTACTTATGCCATGAAGATCAAACAAAATATGGCTGCAGTTAGACTGATTACATATAAGGCAATGTCAGCTGATGTCACTTACATATTGTATTAATAAAGAGTATGAATTTATAAAACTGCTATTAAAACAGTTTTAGACACAATTAAGTTGAAGAAAAGCAATTAGCAGTCCACTCTCTGTAATGAAAATTAATGAAAAATATGAATTGGCCATCCGTTTCTATGCTAATATTGTCAATTGAATGCGCATAACGTGCAGCTATGGAGGCCATACTGCGTTGCGCATGCGCAGATTTCTCGCTTTAGATGAACGATTTTGACGATAGATTATAAGCGACATTTCAGAAAAATATTGATATATCGTTTTATAGGAAACCATTCCAAAATGTTAATGAATAAAGTTAACATTTCTTCATTACAGATATATATATGTTTTTTTTCAGTTTTTTTTTCATATGAAAATTAGTTGTGTCCATTTTAGTTAAATCTTGCACATGAATCCCCTTCATAGCCTTACCAAATTTGTAACAAAACGATTATTTTGACAACTTCAATGAAAAGCAATATTACGAAAATATCTCCAAATATATTCCTCTGACTATCAAGTATAGTAAGTTTCCAACACATTGATATAACTTTGACAAATTTTCTCAGTCCCATCGCTGTACAGGTAAGCACGGCATCAATGTACGTGTATCGATGAGTCATTAGGACGGATTGCTATTTACATACGTTGTTACATTGCTTTCTGATCAAAGCACCTTTGATATCTGTGGAATAAAGGATTTCATATGTAAATAAGGAAATAAATAATCAAATTTAAGCATTTCCGTATAGCGGCTATAATCAAAACAGTTCACAGTATGTGAATATCAACAATCACTGAACTTTATTTTAATGTCTCGGTTATTTTTTCTTCGTTTATTTATCTATAAGCTTGCCACGCTATACATTTCGCGCGCGCGCGCACACACACACACATAATGCAATTTAAAAGGCAGATGTACAGTTTACGACTGACATTTGTAACCATTGGTGTGGATATATACTCACCGATTCACTTACAGTAAATAACAACAATAATGACCAATCATGAAAGCACTATTGAAGAAGAGTACAATGTATATACTATGTCGACGTTGATAATTACATGTACAATCATTTTAACGAGAAGTGTACGATGCAAACATGATATTATATCAAAGACATTCATTCATTCATTACCTGCCTGTAGAAAATGTTCCAAATAAGAAATAAATGATAAAAAAAAGATGGTCAGTTTGTCTGTTAATGGTATGTATGTGAAAATCTAAATATGCAAGAGGCATACCAAATACATGGTACGTTAGACCCTTTTGTCATTGTGTCCACTTGAGGAAGGAAATAAAGTATATTATTTTCAGTTATTAGTTATAGAAGGCACCGATGTACTTATATAACATGATTGAATATATAATTCTGTATGTTTCAGCAGAGGTCAGTGTTACGCGTGCCAATTTTCACCATGTATACTGTATTTGAAGTAATTAGTATTGCATAGTAATTAATCTTTTGCCTTTATTTTTACCGAATTGCAGATTGTATTTAATTAATTAGTAGTAAATAATTAGTTTATTTGTCACACTCTTTAAATAGTGGAAAGGATTTCACTAATTGAACAATAAAGAAATTATTTTCATTGACAAGTTAACATAAAACTATCACAGTACATTACTTAGTGGTGACATTGTGTAAGGTACTCCCAAGCCTCTACTGGTGCATTTTGATGGTTTTTATAGTAGATGCGTTGTAACGAGTTTCTAGTTCAGAAAATTTTTAAACGTCTTTGCTGGTAATTCAAGCAATAATATTCTTAAAATGAAATTCTTAATTATACAACTTCAATAGGTGAAAGACCTTTGACTCGTTTCTGTACACGTTTACCACTCCAGTTATTAAGCACCTGTGTCTTAATCAAGATCGACGGTAGCGATAAACCATTATTGCAAATGGAGTTTTTAAAATGTAATCGTTACACCTATTATCACCGTTCAGGTGTTTACGAAGCTGTCAGTACTGCCACGTACACTGACAACCTGTAGACGTGGACTCGCGTGGCAAGGGGCTCACTATCTCATATATTGTAAACATACATCATCCCTGAAAATAAACAGTGCTTAGCATGTAATAGTGATTTTTTTTCTCGCTTAAAAGAAAATGTCCTCTCTGTATCCTCGTGCACTATATATTCGTAAGTATTTGATTTATCAAGTAACAAAAGAGAACACAGAAATTTCATTTAAATTTAAACATATTTTCTTGAAACTCCAAAAACGACTTATGTAAAGCCCTTTCCTACCGACACCAAACAACAATATAAGTACTTTTTGAAGATGGCCGCAAGAATTACTCTGTCAGTTACAAATTGCTCCCTGCTCGCGCAAAGGGAAGTATTTGTTCATCATATTTCGTGCTACATAACCCTCCCCTAGAATTATACATTACACTCATTGTAAAGGTAATAATAACAGTTTTAATTTACATATCTGAGTGTATTAATATACGGTGTTTATGCTTAAAATTGTTTAATGAACGTATTAGGTTTCAAGTTTTCAGTGTACGGTTATGGTAATGGCCAGCTCCAGACGTCTATTATTTGAATTAGAAATAGTCATCGAAATTTATTATTTTTTTATGAGTTTCAGATTGAATAACGACATTTCAATTCAATATTTTATAATATGTAGATACTTTTGAAGTGTAGGTCAGTGTTTTGGTGGCACTTAGTTAGTGAAGTTAGTTACCTGACTATATCGAATGTATCACTTGTTACTTAAAAAGAGACAAGGCCATATATTACTCTGTTATACGTCCCTCGATAAATGCTAAGCAAAACTTATATATTCTATGTTTATGGGGAGGTCGTATATGTTTATACACAGAAGTGACGAACACACCCGAGTATTGTCGACCGAATGATATTCGGGCACCTGTCAGTGCCCCGTCGAAGAGCGTGGTGAGATTTTATTGGCTGAAAGTTAGCCAATCGAAGCCTTCCATCTGGCTTGTCACGTGTATAGCCGGCATTTTCATTATAACAAGCTGGACAGTTGTGAGAAGATCTTGAAAGGATGAAAACGTGTTTGTGTCTGCTGGCGTTGGCCGGAGTTGTTTTCTCCGAGCCAACTACAGTGTTCAGAGAAGAATTCACAGATGGTAAGAAGTTATTTCTTGATGATAACCTTTTTAATTTATATTTTTTTTCGTAACAAATCGACCATGTGCGCAAGATCTTGTCAAATGTCAATACCATTAATGTTTATCACTTAACAGAAATGTCAAAGCATATACTATTTAGGCTTTATATCCGTTACATTCCTGAGAGTTTCTAAGATTTGCTATGTATTGCAATTTTGTATCGGCGTTGTTACCGTAAAAGTTACCTCGAGGACTATGAGAACTTCAAAGTGCCCCTCCCACTTCATGTCTGGTGGAGCTGGCATCGTCGCTGTTATAGTTGTTCATTAGTATTGGAAATGCTAGCCGTTTAAAGACAGAGGACTTGAACAGAAAGTATATGTATCTGCATATCAAAGTTATAAGATCTGACTTGAATTATACAGGAACGTGTTTCTATCAAAATCTAATCGTGGAATTTTTTGTTTTGCGAGTAAAGTTTTCTTTGGTCATGACTTGGGAGTGTAATTTACTACTGGTTCATTAATGCAACAAATAAATAAATTGCAGAAAAGTCGCAACAAAAGTTGTAAAGAGCATATTTGGTACATGTATAGAGTTCCTGTCGCCATTCAACACCACACCAATATATAGTTTTTTCATATGAATGTGCTTGAGAGGAGGCAGAAGGTGGGGGCAGACTACTTGTTCCAAGAACCATGTCTATTTTGCCATTAACATACATATAACTAGATATGTGAAGATCTTTAATTGTCTTTCCATTTTGGCAACTGACATTTTCAAATAAGCAGACATAAACCACAAGTTACAATAACCAGTTCCAAAAGCATTATATTATGGCAAATCAGCCCAAGGAACTAAATGACATGTCGTAACTTTCAACAGAATAAAACATTTTCTGAAATCCTTTTGACATCTGATTGATGTCAGATGCCCAGAGGCAGATTTGTGGTTGTTGTGTCAATAGCTACCAGGGATATAATTAATAATGGCATCAGCATGTTACCTGTTTGAAATCATTAGTTGGTATGCATCATATTACTTCAAGGATTATTGTAACCATGACTTTATTATTACAGCTGACTGGGCAGATCGATGGGTAGATTCCAAACACAAGAGTGACCTTGGCAAGTTTGTCCTAAGTGCAGGATCATTTTATGGAGATGCTGAAAAGGACAAAGGTGTGTAATTATGTTCGACATTGTATCATTTGATTTATGTGAATGTAAAACAGTCTTGTATGAAAACTGTTACTAAATGCAAATAACATGTACAATGTGATGATAGGAGCAGAAAAAAATGTGAAAATAAAAAATATGTATATTTCATACTTTAGTTTGCACAAATTGCCTGAAATTGGACATTGCATTTTCAGCCTTTGTTATTTGTTATACACAACAGGTATCAAAACTTCTCAAGATGCACGTTTCTATGCAACGTCTGCAAAATTTGACAAGCCTTTTGACAATGAAGGAAAGACTCTGGTTGTGCAGTTTACAGTCAAACATGAACAGAACATTGATTGTGGAGGAGGCTATGCTAAACTTTTCCCTTCTGAACTTGACCAGACAAATATGCATGGAGATTCCCCATACGCAATCATGTTTGGTATGTATATTTTATTCTGATACAGATTCTTCATAAAATGACTGCAATTTATAGATCTAATTAAAATCAATATTCGATCTGTTTTTTCCTTTCCGTTGATTTTGAACAAGTCTCAGTTTAAAAGGCAAACAAGAGAAAAAAAAATAGGATTCAGCATTTGTATTTCAATGAACTGAGATTGTCATTATTACTATGTCTTTAAATGCATTTTACAACACAGCACAGAATATTGTTACTACATGCATTGAAATAAAGCTTTCTGCAAACTCGCATAATCTTTAACAATTTTCAAAAAAAGACCTATAGTAGATATTCTCTATTTGTATATTGTAAAATAAAAACTATTTAGAAATGGTTTGTAAAAAATGGTTCTGGCAAATTATTTATTTTGATGGCATGTTAGCATTTACTACATTTTTATCAGAAGATCTTAGGTTGCACTCATTGCTGATTTTTTTGGTCCATTTAAACAGTTGAAATATTCTTTATTCTTAGGACCCGATATATGTGGCCCTGGAACCAAGAAAGTTCATGTCATCTTCAATTACAAAGGAAAGAATCTGCTAACAAAGAAGGACATCCGATGCAAGGTAATGCAACAGTCTACCCTTTGGTTTTGTACCAAGGGAGATAAGTCAGATAATCAATAATGATGCTTACAGATAATGAATTTGATACATGTACATGCAAATGTTCTATTTTTGAGCACATAAATCTCCCCCAGTGAAAATTTCAAAAAGTTTGCAAGTAAACTTTGTTAAAGTGAATATTCTACCTGTATGCGTAAGGGCAACTACAGTGTCTTGTATTGCTTCAGAAACACTCAATATATATGGTAATCAAATGAACTCCTTGATCACCGATTGCTTGAAAAGTTGTGCTATATTAACTTAGATTTCAATGGACATATGGACTGTTAAGTTTGTCTGGTTTTCAAAAATAATGTGATTTGACTTTTGAAAATGTGAACAGGAACAATTAAGAGAAAACAATCTCCATTGTATTCTAGGATGATGTTTTCACCCATCTCTATACCCTGGTTGTCAAACCAGACAACACCTATGAGGTGAAGATTGACAATGAGAAGGTCGAGAGTGGTACTCTTGAAGAGGACTGGGACTTCCTTCCAGCTAAGAAAATCAAGGTAATTTTTATGAGCATGGTTGAAAGGTTGGTAATATGCTAGCCTCCGAGTAATTGAAGATTTTCTTCTTTCTTGCCTTGCAACTTTTTGACTACATAAAAATCTGTGAACTCCAGAATTTAAATGGGTATAAATGAGTTGAGTTTTGTACACTGAAAGTATGTATATTAGAAATCCTAAGCAGTGCTATTAGTCAACATTAGATTGTTATACAGGCAAGTTAATGTTATGGATGACTTTGACTCGGGGACACCATTTTGATATTTCATTAGGATCCTGAAGCAAAGAAACCAGATGATTGGGATGAGCGTGAGAAGATTGATGATCCAGAAGACTCCAAGCCTGATGACTGGGATAAGGCTGAGCATATTCCAGACCCTGATGCCAAGAAACCTGATGACTGGGATGATGATATGGACGGAGAATGGGAGCCACCAATGATTGACAACCCAGAATACAAGGTAGGTTTCCGATATAAGCTGCTTAACAACATGGGGGTAGTTTAAAATCACAAGACATGCCATGTGATCAAGCCTTCTGCTGATGACTTTAGATTCATGAATTTAATGACAATCCCCAATTGATGATCATGGTTTCACCAAGCTTAGCTTGTTCTTTTTGAAATGTGATTTTCTTTTGCCAAATACCTGGTTTAAACCCTGTACCAATGTTGTATATTAATCTTTTCAGGGAGAATGGAAACCAAAGCAGATTGATAACCCAGACTACAAAGGAAAGTGGATTCATCCAGAAATTGACAACCCTGAATACAGCCCTGATGATAAACTTTACCATTATAGTGATATTGGTGTTATTGGATTTGATTTATGGCAGGTAAGAATTAACAGAGAATAACGTTAATTGAAATCAACCTATTGAGTTTAGTTAACTACAAGAACCGACCAATTTATTCTCACAACAGTAATTTTACAAAAACTTGTTAAAAAATGTATGTTTTCAATATGATTGAAGTTTCTGATAGTTTGTATACATTTAGTAATAAACAAGTTTATTCACAAAAAGAAATGTATTAAGATTCAGTAATTGAATTTTTTCATCTACTTTATATTTTAATTATTTAGAGAAAAAAACTTGTAAACAGACTGGTCAGATAGAGCACAGTTGCTTCACGTTTTGACTTAAACTGTTTCAGTTAGTGTGTTGGTTGGATAATCTCTCTTTTGTCATTTAGCATTTTATTTGATATAAAATGTTTTTCAGGTAAAATCTGGAACAATTTTCGATAACATTCTGATCACGGATGATGTGGATTTTGCTGAAAAAGTAGGAAAAGATACATGGGGACAAACTAAAGATCCTGAAAAGAAAATGAAAGATGCTGCTGATGAGGAAGACAGAAAGAAGAAAGAGGAAGAAGACAGAATTCGCAAGGAGGAGGAAGGTTAGTTCATCTTAATGATTTTTTAGGAAATGTCTTTGGAGAATGCATTTCCATTTTTTGAGATGTTTACTGATTTAAGGACCCTTTCTATATAATACATCAATGTAAAGCTTTTTTCTGTCACATTTCGAGCAAAAAAGATCAAATCCAAAGAAACGGTTATTGCTTGGGGGAAAAAATTATATAGCACAAAATATGACTTTAAGTTTTTGACACAAATCTTCAATGTCAAAAAGACATGCTCTTATCAAAGTGAACAGGTACTTATCAGAGAAATATTGTTACATGTATCGAAGGAAATGTCTTGACAGCATATTTTACTTTACAGAAGCAAATAAATCTAAAGATGATGAGGATGAGGATGAAGAAGATGAAGATGCCGATGAAGAAGAGGAGGAGGACCAGGAGGTTCATGATGAACTCTAGATGACGCACCAATTTCCATATGTGATTCATACTTGTTAGTGCAGTATTGGGACGATGCGCTCATTTTTAAAGGGACACATTCATAAATCATGTGGGGAACATACTTTTGTTAATTTCTTCTTTCATAGTGAATACTTTTTAATATAAGATGGGGACTAGACTTTAACTTATACCATTGTGCAACTGTGTTTGAATGTTGTGTAACTGTTGAGAGTTTAGATACAAGTGAGGAGAGTATTTGTTGGTGTCTGATAATTGAGTAAGTGTATGATACCTGGGCTTGCTTTAACAGTCTTTCTGAGTAGCTAGTAATGTCCCTGACACAACTATTTCTAGGGTTTGGAAATTCAACCCTAATCAGAAGTTACAAATGATAGGTTCTATTTTTCATGTTTTCTTTTGAGATTTATTCAGTTTCTTCACCTATGATTTAAGACTGTATTTTAAGTCCAGGTTCTCTGCAGTGTTTTGATCCATGATGGATGAAGTGGTAATAAACACTTTGTTTTATAAAATTTGTGTATTTGTTGTTTTTAACATATTCTCTAAATGGCCATTTTAATGGTACTTTTCTTGAACTGTTTCATTAAGTACTTCAGTCCCATCATTAAATAATCACCATTTGTTCTTTTCAAGTTGGATGTTTAAGTTTATGTCATCTTCTTAATTATCAGTAATTTGAGGGTTCTTACAAAATCAAATTCAAGATGGTCATGTTGGCCATTTTGTTTTCAGATAATAATTTGAGAAGTGATCCATCTTGTACTTTTAAAAACAAGAATGAAGTTCAATTTTCTGATTTGGTCCAAAAATCAAAAGCACACATAAGGACCAGAGGTAACCTACATATGAAAGATCCATGGAGAAATAACAAACTATCATCACTGTTGGTCTTGTTGTTTTTCCTGAAGCGCTCCAGTACTTCAACATAGATAAACATTCGATTGTCCAAATTGGTCCCGAAATCAAAGGCACCACTGAACACAAAACACTACATCCATAAAAACTAAGGGAGGACCATCTAGTCCTCAAGAAATAGAAGAATTCTTGGGACAGACACTGGGCGATATGAACAGCCATCTATCTGGTGTGGTGGTCTTAACATGCCCATAGGGCCTGTATCGTCACCAAACTTTGCTGAAATTGCTTATTAAAAATAAAGGAAATGGAATTTTAAACGTCCAAGTACACAATACATCATAAATATTTCTGCCATTGGGTCTAAATCTGTACCCATGATAAGTGGGTCAAACCATTGATGCCTCGGACCAAAATGGGACCTGATCCTGCCATTCCCACAGAAGAAAGGATTTTAATGAATGTTTATTTCCACTAATGAGCCCCACCTCTGTCATAAAAGGGGCTAAGACTCACTCTGCAAACCCTCTAAAATTGATTTCCCTCCACCCTAACATGCTTCAGACCAAATTGGAACAGAATCCATGCATTCCAATGAAAGAAAGATTTTGTAGTCTGTTTTATTTCATGTATTGTGTCTTGCCCCATCAGCCCCACACCAGGACCCACATTTTATACAAAATTTTGTTCCTTAACACAATGTAGCTTCAGACCAATCTTGGGCAGTATCTAGACGTTCCTAATGAAGAAGGAATTTGAAGAATGATCCCTATTGATCCCTGCCCCAAAGACCCTTTGTTTATAAAAAAAAAAATTAGTTCTCTTCATTTTATGGATGAATTTCAAAGAATGAAGTTTTTTTCCATATTTGGTCCTACCTCTGAGGCCCCATGTTGATCTATATTAAACAAGAGTACTGTCAAATGTAGACTTAGCTTGCTTCGCAGTGTTATCGCTAATCCTAAAACTAACATTCCAGTGCGTTTTTTCCCATTGGAATCTACATCCAATTATATTGATACTTGAACTGGAAGTCCAGACTTTCAACACTGTTATGAAAAAATTAAGAGTTGACACAAAAAGTAACAAAATATACAAAAAACAACAAAACACAAAAAATAAAAAGCCCAGACCTTTTTTCTCAAAAAGGGGTGACAACATAAACTTCCCCTCTCTTCAAGATGCGACCCAAAAATTGTTCCTCTTTCTCCAAGAATGCTTCTGACTATATTTTTGTCAAATTTCCCTCAGTCTTTCATGATGAGATTTTTGGGAAAAAATTCAAATGACGGACTATGGCAAAAGACAATTCTTCCTTCAGAGCAGGTGTGCTAGAAATTCTGACCGGTGTATAAAACTGTATACAAGGCTGCTTTCGTTTATCCCAACTGAAACTATTCAGATGGCACAGAATTATTCCTGATAAATGATCTCTGTAATACCAAATGTTGTAAATGTCAAATATAAGACATCAAAGCAATTATGATATATCTTTCATCTTAATTTGTACTGAATATACAATATCCAGGAATATGCGTGTGCAACAACCCTGCTTTTTTGCAGAAATTGTGAACACTAGTTTTGGGCTGGTTCTTCTGGGCCCATCAAACCATTTATGCCGAATGATCTGTGTATGGCATTTTATTTGCAGGCTCAGTCTCTTCAACTACTCATTGGAAAGCAACCTACATCTTTGGTTAACTCCTCCAATCATCTATGGCCGATTTTTTTGAAACCTCATACATAACTACCCCTTGAGGTTGTCCAACTGGGGATCATTTTTCATTCTGATCCTTATGGATTTATGTTTGGTTGATTAGCATGAATCTATATCCAGGAAATTCCTCTGAAGACAACGTGGCCTTTCTAAATGAAATTTACATGTAGCACAAATCCCTTAAAGTTATTGATATGTATATAGTTGCCTTCCTCTTTCTCCTTTACCTGAAAAACAGTAAAAGTGTTTGTTCGGACAATTTCCCAGAGACTTGTAGGTTTTATGTTAATTTATGCTAATGGAGATTTCTTTCAAGACCATAATGGTTAATAAAAGTTGATTGAATGGTTCTGTTCATGAAGACAAATGTTAAAAATCAATCGGTCAAAATAAAATGTTGCTTACCACAATGAAACCCAAACCAGGGCTTGAACCTGGATTTTCCATTTCAATCAATGGACACTTTTCATTAAGTTACCTGGGTTTATGTATGGTTTTCACAACAAGGATAGAAAAACAAAATGAAAATTTTTATTTCATCATAGATGATAAATAAACTGTCAATTGCTTTATTGGAGGAGTCACCATTTAAAACATTAAGGAGTAAAATATATCTAACATATCCAGTTTATCCCGATTTAAATATGCAAATCTTTTATTTCTATCACTGATATAAAGTTCTGACAAGGTATTACAACTCTGGTAAGTTCTGTTGCAAACACACACTCTGACTTGAGAAGAAGGTTTCTATAGATCTGATTTGACCTCACTGGGATTATTGCCAAGCAAAATTATTGCCAAACTTATGTTGGATAAGTGTTGTGCTTTTAAATGTTGGCTCATTGGTGCATGTACTAAAATATACAACTTACTCTTAGAAGATGAAAATTTTATTTAACTTAAAACATCACCATAAAACAATTGATTTTTTTTTAAATGTATCTCCTTATGGAAAATAATATAAAAAATATGCACATAATGAGTTTAATCAATAACCATCAAAAGGAAATCATTATCTGTTAATCAACAGTCTGGATATGTTCATTTTTGTTTCATATGTAATAATAATCTGCACAAAACGCCATTGCCTGTAAACAAAAAAACATCTTCCCACTTGATTCGGTGCTACATTGTTGGCGATTAACGTCACTTATTTCATAATTCTAAGAGTTATCAAATGATATTTGCCACACCTTTAACAAAAACCAGTGCTGAAAAAAGAGATTTTACTTGCAGTGTCACTGCTGTCGCAGTGATTCTGCCCATCATCATGTCTTAGTGTGTTTTTACAAATTGACCTGCCTCATTTCCAAAATTTTTATGCAACATTAGCATTGCTAATTTTGAGAGGGGTTTCCCAAGTGGTGAAGTTGAACATTGGAAATCGACTGTTAATATCGGGATAGCATAGAAATGTAAATGCATAAAACATGTACAACCAATAACAAAATGAATGTTTTTGCTATTATGACCCTTTAAAGTCTTTTAACTACATTCCGTAATGAATGTAAAATTAAAAGCCAAAGAAATGAATTCATGACACCAAATGCTGGCCAGACTCAACATACTCAATAAGGAATAGTGTTGGTGTACTGTTGCAAATAAACACAAAGTGATATATTTCTACCATAAATCATTCTTTTTCTTCTGATCACGGTACATTTAGGGATCAATCTATAAATAACTGCTTAGTATTAGGGGGTTCATGAAGTATCTTGTACAAAAACTTTTCAATTAGAAAATTGTCAAATGTGTTGACCTTTGACCTCATACCTAAACCAATAACGACTAAAACAAATCAAATCTGGTATAGAATTTGAGATATCTTCTGTTCAAAATTTTTCCTTCAAGGGTGGTAAAAAGGGACCTGCAATGACCATCAGATTTGGATCTGGTCTAGAATTTGATAGTGTGCAGCTAGGGTGTGAATAGTAAATTAAACTATTATTATTTTCGTTAGATATCCTGTATGCACAATTTTTGTTTCCAAGGTGGTGAAACTTCATCCTTGTCCGATGACCACCAAAATCTAAACAGGTGTAGATCTAGACTGGATTGCATGCTGTAGTTTCTCTACCCACAGCTAGACTTCACTTCAACAAGAGGCCCAAGGGGCCTTAACGGTCACCTGAGGAATATATGCCAATAATCTGGGGATTTTGAAATGTTGCAAAAATGTGACAACACTTGTGCAGGACCAAGTGTAAAACATCTGTACCAAGTTTGAACATGACCCACCCAATGGTTCTTGAGAGGAAGTCCATAATGTCTTAGCCAAACAGAAGCCAGGGTGGCCATCTTGGATTCTGAATTGCCCCAAAAAGTTAAAACACTTGCCAGGACCTTGTGAAGAACATCCGTAATAAGTTTCCCCCCTCCTGGGGCCACGCCCTTTTTCTTCGCAAACTTGAAGTGGCTTCCCATGGGGATGCTTTGTGCCAAGTTTGGTCAAAATCCATCCACTGGTTCTTGAGAAGTAATCATTTAATGAAGGTTTTTACATATGGTCACTTTTACACCCCTTATGGGCCCCAAAGGGAACATAATCACTTTTTTCAACACAATTTCACATGTTCTTCACTTAGGGATGCTTTCTACCAAATTTGGTTGAAATTGGTCAAAGTTGAATTTTCGACCCTTTTGAGCGCCCCCTAGTGGGGCCGTTTTTGACCTGATTTTTTTTTCATTCACAAACTTTGTAGACCTTGCCATAAGGACCCTAAATATCAAATATGAATTTAATCTGACTGTTGGTTCATGAGAAGATGATTTTAAAAGATTTACCTAATTTTACCCCCCTTTTCCCCCTCCTGGGGCCACACCCTTTTTCTTCGCAAACTTGAAGCGGCTTCCCATGGAGATGCTTTGTGCCAAGTTTGGTCAAAACCCATCCAATAGTTCTTGAGAAGAAGTCATTTAATGAAGGTTTTTTACTTATGG